CAACATTTGAGAAAGCATATCCCCAACTGACATAAGTTTCATACTGGCGGCTGATGTCTGACTTTGATTGGGATCAGTCTTGTATTGCGGTTTGCCGCAGTCAACACAAGATTCTTGGTTGTCATTAATGCCATACAATCGACAACCACTAGAGCAGACATCATACTCATGGCTCTTGACACTTGACTTTGACTTGAGCAAAGCATCAACAGTTTCGCCATGACTGATCTTAGCCCCAGGTTCTAAAAAAAACGATATCACTACATGTTAGTGATATGGAATTAAAGTACAAGATAACAGAAAATATAATATTTTACCCATCATTATATCGTCATAGTCTCGGATGACAGTGTTTATAAATTGAACAATGTCTCTATATGCTGCTCTAGCAATTCTATGCTGTAGCATCAATTGAGACAGATGAATACTCATCAACTTGGCCTTGATAAAAGTATTTGTACTAATTCGACTGCTGTCATAAATGTGAGCTTCACCCTCACTGTCCTCAAAATTACATGCGCACTTATATGAAATAATATTATCAAGATCCATAGACTCCATAGTATATTCTGTAATACATTATTTAGTAATTGGAAAATAAATAATACAGTTACAGCTCTTTTCATTACCTGAATTTCTAACAGATTCATCTTCATTACTAGTATCATTTTCGTCATGGTACATGTCAACATCATCCAGAATAGACTGGTCAATTTCAGTCATTGTTGCTGAATCTTCTCTGTGAATTCTCTTGTGGTTTTGCAGCTTCTGGTAGTTATCAAAAAACAAGACACATTGATCACATTGGTATTGCTGTGTAGATATTCTATCTCTCTGCTGGCTGGCGTTGGAAGAAGACATATTGGTTGGGTTGGTACGTATGTAATATATAAAATAAAGCCGCAAAAATGATTTTGGTGCTATTCATTAAATGTAAAAGACATCTTTATATACTCTTTATTTTTTAACCAAAATGCTTGCGGCTCTTTTTCTTTTTCTCTCTCATAGTGATGATATAGCAATGATTACAGTAATGTCAATGCTAGGTGAAACACCTGTCAGTAAATAATTCCCGTGGTTGGAAAGATTCTTCTTCATTAATACTTATGATGTAAGTTAAAATTCTTCTTGGTTAACAAGGGGGTACCATTAAAAGACCACCGGTGAAACAGACACGTACTCTTTACTTGTGAGCAATTAGATATTCTTTGGGCTTTATAAAGAGGTATATGTATATTTAGGATAATTAATGACCAAATAATTTATGTTTTTTTTAAATAAATTATCAATTACTCTCTAATACCAAAGGCAAAGAAAAACAGCCTTCTAATAATTAACAGTTAAAAAAAAGTAGTACTGTCTAAACACATTGGTAGAAAAGACATATTTATATTATCTGTGTTATACTAATAGTATTTTTGAGATAGTGAATATATGTTTAGCTAATAGCATTATTTTCTTGTTTATGTATAAAACTTAAAGAAATAGATATAGATAATGAGGGCTATAGTCTGATACTCTTTTACTGACATCATCAAGATAAGCACTACTGATCGAAAGGGGTGTTAATTGAAAGTGCCAATATGAGTTAAAACACATCTTTTTCAAAAATGTACGGTTTCAGTCAAAAATGCCCCTTGGTAAATAATAGTAATGAGAGTTAAAATTATTTTTATCTTTGATGACAGCATCAATCAAAACGCGTTTTAGTCGATAATGATAATAAGTATGATATGGACTTGAGTATCATAACACTTACTTTACTGTTGATAAAATGGGACTAATTAACTATATGATGTTCAGATGTTATATAGCTACTGTAGAGTATATTTAAAGTTATAATTTTAACTGGTACAGAGTTTTGTCATCGAGAACTTTAACCAAATTTTATGCTATATCTCCAATATGTATAGAGTGATATTATTATATCATATACTTTAAAACATTTAATATGTAGATGATGCAAAGTATGAACATTTATACATATAATATTGATTTAAAGTCTAATTCATTTTATCTTTATATTTCTTACAGTTTTGTTGTGTTGACACAAAAAGACTGTATCATGTTCACATGATCTACTGCAGACAGGTGCAGACAGGTGTATACAAGTGCATAAGTATCCCTTCTTTTATATGTTTTGTTTGTACATCTGTCTGTATCTTTTTCATATAAATAGCTATCAATTGCTTATAATAAATTGTTGCCTTTCTCAAACTCAAATCGCTCTTATTCTACTTGTCTAAACTATCACCTTTTCTTTTCAACTCACTGCTTATAGCTAAAAAAAAACTTAAACATGTCCGATATTAACACAACTCTCCTCAACTCAATTCAAAAGATTGAGGTTGATCTTGCTGAAATCAAGCAAACATTGCGCAAGCTTCAAAGGCAATTCAGCAATCAATTTGCACCAGCAGTCAGTGCGGAAGATCTAACTACAATGCAACAAAGCATTATTGAGCAGAGTTGTAAGTCATATATATTCTGTGCTTAGATGTTTATTTACTTTATTAATATTATCATACATTTTTTATAGCTCTTGAGTGCATTGCCAAGTCTGTGAAAAGAGCCCAGCTCACAGAGTACCTTGATCAGCTTGGTAAGTGAGTAATCAATACTGGCGGTGAGTTCAAAGGAAAAACGAAGCACAAAAATACAATCTGTTGCTTCAGATTCTTCATGAGCAGGACTGGAAGGCGCGCTGCAAAGAAGTTCCACAAGGGCAGCCTTTGCCCCCATTAGTCCCTCTTTCAGACCATGATTTGACAGTAAAAAGACTGCATCTCAAAACATTAGGCCGTACGATAAAGCATGATATCATTGACAAAGACTATCCTGCGGCCTTAAAAGAATGGAAGAATATCCCAGAGAAAAACAGGGAATACTACATGATGCATTTGGAGAGGTTGGCAAAGAATGGTGGATTGCACATCCACCAATGTAAAAGAATGTGGTGTGCAAGAAGCCTTCTTTGGGAAAGCTTCAAGAGTGACAACCAGACACACAAGAGAAGAATGGCAGAGAAGAACAAAGTAAGTTTATCAATTAACAAATCTATATATTGTAAACTTTAATTAACATCATTTCCTTTTATTATGCTATAGACACAGCGAGAGATAAGTGATTCTTCGCTTTCTTCTCCTGATATGTCAGAAACTGGTGATGTTGAGTCGCCCATAATGGCAGATGTGCTGTAAGTTACCATTATTGCTTTTTCTCATGCGCTGTTAATACAAAACTAATATAAACTTCTTACTCTTTTATGTAGGTCTCCTCCACCCACAGCAAGTGTTGAGCCTGCTCGCAAGAGAAGCCGAAGATCGTAGTTTGGCTGCTGTGATTGGCCGAGTTTGATTTTTTTAGTCTGTCTTTAGTGCATTTTTTTTCTTATCTCGTCATTTTTCTTTTTATGTTTTTTATTCCTTTTTTCTTTCATATAAAAAATTTATCGACCTCTTTCATATGATTGCTAATGTTGTGATTACAAGAATTTGAAGCTAATATACAGCATCTACAATTCTGCTACATTCAAATATAAAAGGAAATAGTATATAGCTTTTTTTTTTTTAGAAAAAAATTAATAGTAATATTTTTGTACTGATATATTATACTTGGGAGTCATTCTATTATATGTAAATATATTGAGTAGAATAAACACTTTGAGCTTTCTAACAAGATGCTCACTCTGGTTGTATGAATCAGATTCGAATTAGCTTCATGTTACATGACTTGAATCTTTGCTCAAGTTTTTCTTCTTCTACGATAACGACTTTCTATAGTGCTTATGTTTTATTGCTTTTCTTATATATAGATCTTAAATATTAATACATTCTTTAATATATATATATATTCTTAGAGTAAATGCTTATTTTACTGAACAAGTAAGCATATTATATAAAGGTAAGCATTATAATAATATTATATCTATTTATTTATTTTAAGTTTTTTCTCTAATATTAGTATATTTGTAGAAACCGGTAAAAAATAATAAGTGCTATCTAAGATATATTAGAATACCCAAAGTATATGAAATACAATTTGAATAGTAGTGTTTTACTGCATACGTTTTGCAGTAGCTAAACAGAACCATTTTTTATTGCGAGTGGCTGATAGAATTGTTTTTTCATTATTACTATTATTATTATCATTTTCATTTAATAAAACATGCATTGAAATAAAGATTCAATTCAATTAAACCCAATTTAATATTGTATAATAAAAAACAGACCATTCTGTTAAAGCTGCAAAGGAAAAACAAGAGGTTGTGCTAGAATTGAAAGCAATAGAACAAAAGAAAGAATGTAATAGAGGAAAGGAAGGACGCTTGATTTTTTTTTGAAAAATGGCAACAGTGCCTGTTTTGGCTTTTTACATAATAAATAACTGCCATTTTTTATTATGAAAAAAATGGTAACAGTGCTTGTTTTGGCCTTATACAGAGTCATAACTGCCATTTTTTATTAAGTAAAAAATGGCAGTTATGTTCCCAAAGTGATAACATGTTACCATTTTCTTCGCCATAGTGTATGCTTATAATAATCTCCTGATATATCCCATATTATGGTGATGTCATCATATGAAATATAATCATTATCATGTATGCTAAACCTGTGCGTTAAATAATAAAGTAATTGGTAGACATCTTTGACTGGAATAGCTGAAGCCTTATATTATTTCATTCAGATTTATTCTCAACTACAGCAGTAGTCAATACTCATTTATAACAGATATAAAAAGTAAACTACCAAAAATAAGCTTGCTCTAATATAAGAGTATCCGGACCTCTACACAACTGTTTGTCCAGAGTATCTGTTCTAAAGGATTGGGATACAATTATCAAAAGGATAAACTCATATGTTAAACTGCGTCTATTATTTGGCTAGGGTGCATTTTTTTTATAATAGACAACTTTTGAAAAAGAGGACATTTTTTGGAATTTAAGTACCAATTCCAAAATAGTATTTTTAAAGTCAGAAATGTGATATTTATTGATTTAATCACAGCTTACGATGATATTTGTGAAGCTTTGAGAATTGTTTCACGATTTCAAATGCATGTTCAGCATCATGACCAAGACTGTAGGCATTGATGTAGATAAAACTTTTGTGGAAGTATCTTTGAATCTTTTCAGAGACATCATCTTCTGGTGGGCAAACACTATCCAGAAATGAATTGATTTTTCTTTTTAATGATTGAAAAGAATAAGCACATTTACATTGTGCTTCTTTCTTGGCTGCTCCCCAGTATGTTTTGATCCAATTACATTCACAGTAATATTTTGAATACAGTTCAAATTTGTATCCACTGCCTTCAACTATTCCTTCGAGTACTGATTTTTGGTTGGCAAAGTCTGGTTGTCTCTCCATAATATGAAGTGCACAACATCTAGAATTAGCTGTTGCAACATTATTGCAAGAACGTTTTAAAGAGTATCTCTCTGCTTCGTTTCTATACATAGAACGTTGCTGTAATATGCTGCAAAGGCCAATGAAATATTTTTTGTATTTTTTATTCTAAATATGAATAGTTTATAGACACATTTTTTAGCATAAAGTGATCCCTTATTATAATTGTATAAATTATGTTTCTATTTGGATAGAATTGTATATAAATCACTTACTTTATGGAGCCGAGACTCGATTACTTCATATTCTTTAAGTTTTTCTTCATTACTCTTTTTTTGAAAAAAAACTTTTTGCTGTTCTGCATAGCCATATTGCTTTCTGACATAAAATGAGCTGTCACAAAATTTTCCCTGGCCTGAGTCACTGTCTTTTACTTCAATTGCTAATTATTCGGGCCAGACACTTTTCCTCTCGGGCACAACATTTCTCTGGAGCACTACGTTTATTGAATCTCCGCCTTTCACCATTTACCGGTCTCATAAAAAGTGACTTGTTGTCCGGCATCCAGCAATTTTATCTGGTCCCTAACCACCCAAAGTAGTTTATATGAGTAAAATCAATCTATCAAAATATAAATAATTTAATTCATGAATAAGGTACATCTTCATTTAATATAACGGATTTTCTAGGTGTACTTAAGTAGTAACCATATTAAAATTTCTATTTTTTTTATGCAGTATATACAAAATATACAATTTGTAAACATTGTGCCCGAGAGGCAAAACGTCGTGTCCCAAACGTGACTGTGTAAGAAACGTCGTGTTCGAGAGGCAAAACGTCGTGTCCCAAACGTGACTGTGTAAGAAACGTTGTGCTCGAGAGGCATAACGTCGTGTCCTAAATGTGGCGATAGAATAATTGTGTTCAAGAAAACTGTTGATGCAATATTTTACTTATTGAAAGTAAAGCTTCTATAAGTATAATTATAGAGGTTTCTAGAATTTTACTTTACATTTTAAAGAGTTCATATTCAATGCAATGTCTTTTTTATTGTAGTTCTCATGCAATAAACGCACAATATAAAATAAATAAATAAAAATTGTGACCACACCTATTTCTGTAAAAACACAAGATCTATTTGGTTCCCGTCAACAAATCATATACCTGCTGTTGCTGATGAGTCATTTTTTCACGATTTAACTTGAGACATAAATCATATATTTTCATTTTATGTGATTTAAGTGGAAAAGATTATAATCCATATAATTTGCATTTTTTTTCAAAAACTTTCGTAATAGATATAAAGGTAATGAAGCCTTTTATGCCTAAGAAAGTTTGCATAGCAGTAAAGCTAATATATTTTTACAAAATTCATGTTTTTATTTTTTATTTTTTATTTTTATTTCTTTTGTAAAAACTCTTTCTATCATTTCCTTGCAACATGTACATGAGATATTTTATCAAAAATACAAAAAATGAAAAATATTCATACAAGACCAAAAAAAGTTTTTAATTACATATATTCAGATAACATATGAATCCAGTAAAAGTTTCATAGAAAACAAATGAGAAAAAAGTAATTCTACAAGCAAATATAATATTTTATTTTATTGAAAAAAAGCAAATTTTTGAGATATTACATTAGTTTTCTCATGATTGACCCTTTTAATTCAACTAAAAATTCTAGAACACATACATATATCTATACACTATTTGGATCCAAAGTTATAGAGAGCCAAGGCTTGAATTGATGAAATAAATAGATGCAAATGTATAATATAACATATTTGATGATAGTTTGGCTCGATCTGTGTAACACCATCCGATATTTATGATTTTTAATTCGCTGGTTATAAGTGTAACTTGAAGGGTAAAGTACTTCCCACGAATGATCTCTAGGAAAAAACAGAGCGGAAAGTCATTTAACCCACAAGTGATAGATAGCTTATGTTGATGCAAAGAAACAAATTGATAAGATTTATAAAGATTTAAAAAAATTGTCTAGCTAATAAAATATAAAAGCAAATGAGTAAATAAATAAGAAAAGATCTAGCTAATAAAATATAAGTAATAAAGTATAATTAAAAGAGTAATAAAATAGAAAAGAATATCGAAAAGAAATTATTTTGGAGTAAGATCAATTGGTTGATCTAGATCAGAATGGAGAGAGAGAGCATGGCATTTCGGCAATCATGCTTGTTAAATTCTTTGAACTTATTCCAGTAAGTATCAAAGTTATCATCAATCTTATTTCTGGCACAACCTAAAAAAAATAATTCAGGAACGGTTGGCCATTTTCTAGAGATATTATGGGAAAGGTCAACTGTTGTCCAGTGATTACTGTTAACATGATTAAAAATCAGAGGTTGTCGTTGTTTGGTTTTGTTGTTGGGAAGGGCGAATGGGAGAAAGGTTGTTGAGGGGGTGTTGAGGTTGTCTGAGTAGACGCAGACTGGTTGTGTATATGTGTCCACAGCTAGTTGAGCACAGTCGGGTGTGTTAAACAACATACTGGCATGTGAACATACTGGGATGAAGTTGGTGTTGGTGTTTCTGGTGTTGCTATAATCGAGTTGAGAGCCATGTTGAATGATTTTTTCTAGTTGGCTTGTGTCAGTGCCAAAGGTATTTGTGTACAATGTTTTGTATTTCGGCAGGGCGGCTAGCATATCCCTTTTTACAAGTGAAAACTTATTTTGATCTTTGTAGATCAAGTGGGCAAGGACCCGAAAACCACACCACCCATCAGCAGTAGGGCTAAACCCACCCTTGACATCATCGACTATCTCATGAGAGACAGGAAAACCGGGCTGGAATTTGACCCTCTTGCCAACAGAGGTGCGATTATCATACTGGTAATCTTCTAGGGCGGTGGCGGGTCTTTTGAACCCATTTTTTTGGGGGGCATCGACTAAAAAGTATATAAGTATAAGACGATAGTTCTCTTTATGGATTCAATTACACTGTAAAATAAGAAAGCATATTACCTGGGTCGAGAGGCTCTTGTTTTATTTTTGCTGTTTTATTTTTGGTGGCATCGACTAAAAAGCGTATTCGTGTAAGACGACATCCCTCCACATAAATTCAATTAAAGTAAAATAAAAACACATCTTACCAGGGTCAAGAGGCTCTTGCTTTATTTGTTTTATTTTGTTTTTGGTAGCATCGACTAAAAAAACATGAAAGTATAAGATGGGAATCCTTTCTCATAGATTCAATTACATTGTAAAATAAGAACACATCTTACCTGGGTCGAGAGGCTCTTGTTTGTTTTTGTTTTGTTTTTTGTGTGGCTGCAGACTTTCCCTCCCTCATTTTAGCTCTCAGTCTAACCATTGCCTTAAGGCCAGCCTAGTATTTCAAGATACATATTAATACTTTGTTATGTTATTTTTTTTATCTTACATGACCAGACGAAACACTGATCTTTCTCCAGTTTGCCCGACCAAAGTCTTTGGGGAGGTACTTTGGACATGCACTACCCTTCCGTCTGCCAGGGTACTTGATTTTTTCTGGGGCTTGAAAGTCAATCGAAGGGTGCCCAGTTTTGCCTTCGAATTCAGAAGTGACCTTCTTGATCTTATTCTGGAGGTTAGCCACTTGCTGGCTGCCCTCACAGGACTAAAACAGTGCATCGAGTTTAATTACTTTCTTCATCCACACCTCTGGTCTTTCCTCAAGCTGGAAGTTTTCCTGACAAGTGCTGTCCCTTGGCTTTACATTACGAGGATCAATAACCTACCTTTCAGGGATATCAGAAATATAGATATCCCTTCCAGCAGGCAAAGAATGGCGACAAGGTAGACCATACTGGAGCTTGTTCGTGCATTCACAAACAATACTGCTTTCACATTTCAGTTGAACCTCTTGGTCTATTACCAGTAAAGCTCGCTTTGAGACCTTCATGAGCAGTCTAGACAAAAGCTTTTTTCGTCCAACAAGAGGGTCAACCGTGGTAGATTCCCTGATCTCCACATTCCGGAAGTCTCTCTCAAGCCTCTCGATATATCTTGAAATATTTTCAAAGGTGAGATCCAGAGAAGCTATTGCAGATATACCTCTCTTTAAGGCTTGATGGGCACTTTCCACTCTTTGAGATGTTGTGCATCCAAAATGCATTATCTTCTGAGTAAGATAACCTGCCCACATCTCTTGGCATGTAATCCACCTGTCATAAAAATATGCCAAGACTGGCGCTTTCACATTGCCGTTTTCTACTTCGGAACCAGCAGATAAAGCGTTGAACTTATTCAGCGCCCAGTCAAACTCCTTCTTACTTTTGCTATAGATCATATTGGATATATATCCTGTCAGCTCTTCCTTTTTTTGTACCGAGCCAACTTTTCCCGAAAAAGCCTTTTCCACACTATTCAGCATGTGCCAGTAACAAAGCAGCTTGCTGTTGTTCGGAAACACAACATCAAGAGCGTTCATAAGTGCAGCACACTTGTCTGTCACAAAAACTGTGCTAAGAGCCTTGTCTTCAAAAACAAGTGCCTTGAGTTGCTGGAGGAGCCAAAGATATGTGCCTTGCTGCTCATTAGAGACCCAGGCAAAGGCAATGGGAAACGATTTGAGGGTTTCTCCTCCGAGGTTGTGGATACCTTCCACGCAAATCAGCGGCATTGACAAGTTATTGGTAGAATATGTAGCATCTACCACCATAACTTCTGAGAAGCGACGAGCTCTCTCCATCATCTTCTGATTGGTAAAAAACACCCTCTCCAGCGAATTGTCCCCGTTTACATCATAATGCACCTGGTAACCTTTTGCTTCCATCATCTTAACAAGTCCAGTACCCGCATTCTGGGCAACAGGGGCAGAAACTCGAGCAAAGGCAGCCTTGATATTGTTGATATCGCTAACGTACAGCTTATGGCCATCGTCTTTTTTGTCTGTGATAGCCCTTTGGATCTCACGAGTCTTGGCCTTTGTCTCAATAAGTTTAGATATCTGCTTGGTGTCTTCGGCAGTAACTCTTGACAATCTGCCTTTCAGAGTCGATTCCAAGCATTTGTCATCAAGAGGATGATTGTAATAGCTCTCCATTTCACTAGAAGCTTTCAAGGGAAGATATCCTTTGATTCCTTTCTTGTAAGATAGCTTTATCATGTAAGGACATCCGGTTTTCGAACTAGGGCGGATTTTTATGCGATCGCAGTCTTCAAGTTTATGGGTGTTTCTATAGTAACCACCCCTGGCGCACTTTAAGTAAACCCGGGTTGGTTTACGGTCTTTAGTTGCAAGAGTGAAGTTGTTAGCAAGTGCATACTCCTGCATCTTAGAAATAGCCACAGTCATGTTGGCATAGCCATTGACTGGTGTAGTGGGAAAGTCTTGTTGAACGGGATAATATTCATTTCCATCAATAAAAATTGATTCTTTATTGATAGTATTCATGTTGAAGTGATTTCTATTGAGCGATTGTTAACATCGTTTTTACAAATACTAATTTGTAATGATAGAAGTAGCACTCTTGTTTCTTCTGATAAAAACACTATATTATGTAAAAGATGTCTAATTCTTACAAGATGAGTATATAAAAGAAAAGAAGGTTTTATAACGGGTCTTTCACTAATTTCTTCAGGACACAACTTTTTTTTGCTTTCAGGTACTCTGTTACCATTGAAGGCCGAACCATAGCCACTTTACAGGAGTCCGGTACACAATTAAAAGTGGTGTTTAAAATATTTTTAGTACTCTATCGAAACGTCAGGCCCGAATAATAGCTTCTCTCTTTTCTTTACCCAATTCTATTTAAAATCTAGATTCTTTATTTCTCTCGCTCTCATTTTCATCTTCGTTGGCATTGTCATCCTTGCTGGTAAGTTCCAAAAAGTCTTCATCTCCATGACTTAACAGTAAGTTATATAAAATACAATAACTTCTGATTCATATCTCAATCTTTGCAACGTCATACTTGTTTTTTATGATAGTTCATAAGCCTTTTAAAAATTGAAATCTCCCTTTAAGAATTCCAATGCAATGCTCAACTTTGACCCATTCATTGGCGTGTTTGTAGTTGAATCTCTTGTTTTCAGCCAAGATTGTTCCATTCTGCGGTTTCTTATAAGTGGGGAGTACATATTGGCTTGGTGCATATGCTGAATATCAAAACAGGTATTGATCCCCTAAAAAAAACCGGCCAGGAGTTCTTCCCAGCTGCGAGTTTGCAAAGATACAGGCATCATGAGAACATCCTGCCCGTTCAGTATAGTAGTGATAGATCATCTTTTTATCATCACATACAATTGTTACCGAAATACTGTAGTATGACTTCTGGCTGTAGAAGTCTTTGCCTTTCCATGTTGGCTTATATTCCAACCCAATCAAGATCCCATTCACAAAACAAATCCAAGAAGGGAAGTTTGTCCTGTCTTCAATTCTTTTGTTGATAATACTATGTTGTAGCTCATCAGACCAAAACATAGTTCTGCTCTCTAGGCATATAATGGCAGTGAGAAACCTTTTAGTATATTGACAAACTGATCATTCTAAACAATGGAATGCAGTTAAGTATTAAAGTATATACACAATATATAGTTCTTCTGATATTATTGACCTCACACATATATAACTTATCTATCTTTCTATCTTTTAATATACTTTACTCCTATTTTTTCTTTAATTTTTTAACAAACACAATTGCACCCAGTCTGTCTTTAATTTTAATGTTACATGTAAAACCCAGATACGAATATTATTGACATTCAACTAATTGGAAGACCATATAATTGGTCTTTATTTTTTGGAGTACAAAGTCTGTGCATTTATAAGCAATCTGATTAAGATCATCCGATCACAGACATGGATTTTACTGTAAAAGATGTAAAACAAAAATGACACATAGCTTTTGATAGATTTCTGTCTTAATTCAAATGCTAAAGCTTGAATATTTTGCCGTGTTTTTGAAAGAATATGTACATCTTTATGTCCAAAATTTGTAGTTAATTGATTATGTTTTGGTTGAATAAACAAGCAAAATATACACTTTTTTCATGTTTTTAACTATTCGGGATAGATTGTTTTTGCTAGTAAATACATTTTCTATATAATAAGATGGTCTAAAACTTTTACTGAAACATTTTTTTACTATTTTCCATTGATATAAAGCATTTGCAAGTGATTTTTACTAATATTTTCAAATTGTTGTTTTTTGTTCAATCTTTCACAAATGAAATGTACAGAACTTTTGTAATTCACTCTTTAAACGTGATTCAAAAAATATTACAAAACAAACAAATACTCAATTTATGCAGAAAAAATCAATGAAACCAATCATTCTACTCTCATATTTCTATCTATTTTTTTGAACAAGTTATGAATTTTTTAAAAATAAATAAAAATGAAAATAAAAAGTTACAGACAAATGTTCTTTCACTTTTGCATGATTTTTCTTAGTGAATAAAGAGAAGTAATTATACTGGATGGGGACAGGGGGGTGATTGTTTTTTGGGGGACAGAGTGTTACACACAGAAAAAATGGATGTCTGCCAGACAAGTTAAAAGTAGTCACGCCTCTAATTATCTGCCAGACTACTCACTATAAGCCTGTTTAACACCCTGTTCTCATTATCCAAAAACCTTCTGCCCCCTAAGATTTACAGATTTTTATTGGGAAGTCTCTTAAAAATTCTCTCAAAGTAAAGACAGTAGTTTACTTGTGTGATCATGCTGGAAAACCACAAGTGAAAAAAACTTCTTAGCCTGCTCAGAAATGCATCAGAACAATCAAGTCCATCAAGATTGATTGTTCTGCTAGTATCTATAAGCATATCATGACTGATGATATTGTTTGTATAAAATACAACTGGCAGCACCCAAACCATAATTCATTTAAGATTAAAGAGATTAGTGTCAAGATTGCGAGATAAATTAAAACAATGAGTGAAATGGCTTGCCAGCCAAAACATGGATTGAAAATCTATCAAAAACATGTTTAGAATGAGTGAAGACAGACTTTTTGAAGTAAATATTATATAGTATATTTTGAGAGACTTTGCTTATTTAAAATTACATAGCTTGAACAAGCTGGCAATAGATCTTCTTTCTCTTCTTCTCTTCTCATTGATTATCAATATATGAGAAATGTTATCAATGCTCGAATGATGAAACTCTCAAGAAAACATGCGGATCATTATGAAAGTGTCAAACTGTGGGTTCAAGAGTTGAACGAAAGTGAAAATACTACTCTTTTCACAGTTCATAAGAATGACCCCTTCCTTGTTTCATGGGTTTCTAAGTGGCAGAAAGAAGTAAATAACATGTATTATTTATATTTTATTCTATACATCTATTTATACATCTTATTATTGTATTAGTTTCTGGATAATTTGGAAGAGTGGTGCATTGACTCAACATACAAGACAAGCAATTCATTCAATACTGTAACTGGTAAAGGTCCTGAAGATTGCTTTCTGTTTACAATTGTTGTGCAAAACCCTATTACCAATAAGGGATTGTCTGCCTGCTTCTTTATAACTGATCATGAATATATCTCAATCTTAAGTCAATGGTTGACATGGGTAAAGAACACCTTTACATTAAAGGTGAAAAGAATAATGATTGACTGCAGCCCCATCAAAATTAGTGCAATCAAAAAAGTCTTTGGCAATAGTATTAATATCCTGTTAAGTCATTGTCATATTAAAAGAGCATGCGAAGTTAATGTAAAGCATGTAAGTAGCATATTTATTTAAAATTATATATATCTCATATAACACTATAATAGGTGCTCTCGGAATTGTTTTTCAATAAAGAATTTTTTATCAAAAAACAATAATTTTCCTATTTTAGAAGTATCTTTTTTTTCAAAAAAGGAACAATATTTTTAAAGACCGTACTTTTTATATCTGCTCTCTAGCAGAGATAATTTTTTTTTAATATCCAAATATAGAAGTATATTTTTACTACTATCAGAATATCATTTGAGAATCGCTTTTATCTTACTGTTATATATTATTTTCAGGGTCTTATTTGCTATACAAACCGATAATTTCTACTCAAAATAATATATGGTATGCTATCTTGCACCAAGTGCTTTGCTTGAAGTCGAATATTACATGCTTCCTCATAGTGATAAAGCCACAAGAAAAAGTATTCCTTTAATATGCTTTCAAATAAGTTTATATCTTTGAAGTATAGTACTGACTATAATAACAACGTATTATTCATTACACGACATCTATATTTGGCATATATTAATCTTCTAAAAAAGGAACATTATTGTTTTTTGATAAAGAATTCTTTATCAAAAAACAATTCCGAGAGCATCTAATAGAGATTAAAGTGCAAAACTCAACACATGCTTCGAACATAGCTTGTAATAGTATTTGTGCTGTATTGAGTAATATGATGCATGCAACAACTTCTGTCGCCTATGATACATTGTATAATGAATTTTTTGTGAAATTTGGGGAATATGAGAACTTTATTTTGTACTTTAACAGAATGTGGGTGCCGAAAAACAAACTATAGTACAAAGCATAGAGATTGATATAAAACTTTAGTAATTATTAGCCCGTTTCTAATATGTAATATAAAAAATAGGCTGCAATCTTTCACATCAATAATTTGATAGAGTCTTATCACAATCAGCTGAAGACTTTCTATCTTGGACGTGCAAGATCTCTTCGAGTAGATAGACTTATTTATCTTCTGGCCAAAGTCTTGACTCTTGACTACAGACAAGAAAAAGTCAAGACGTTATATGAATTCCAATCAGTACGTCTTACATACAAAGAAGAGCAAAAAAGACAAAATGTTTATATGCTAGATAGAAGTACTGCTATGAAAATGGTTGAGAAATTAAGTGATACTGCATTCACTTGCAGATCATTCACAGTTAATCTTATTTTATACAATATTGAGCTACAGAATAGAGAACCTGTTGGGATGTGATACTTTGCTAGACTGCTAAAAAAGAATTATTAGTGAAACCCAGTCAAAAAAAAGAAAAAACTTAACCATAGTTGATGAAAACATAAGTACTGTGACAAACATAAGAGAGATACATCTTAATAAACTTGGCTTTCCAAGACTTATTCTCTTAAATAGATATATAGAGAAGGCTCTTGACTATATTAGATTTATGTTCAAAGGTGGAAAAACTTGGTGATGAAATGGCCTCCCTCTGCAAAATTTTACACCTTTTTTTTGGGAATTTAAATCGCCGCATAAAGCAAAAGTGAGTGAAAATGGGGAAGTTGACGAAGTGAAGACGAAAGATGTGGTATAGGCTCTCCGAGCTGCACTTTTATTTTTTGAAAATATATAAATTAATAAAGTTATCATTCCTCTTGTTCCTCATATCTTTCCATGCTAAGCTAGTCATATTTGTTGCTATTGATGTGGTAATTGGGGAGGGAAAATGTCTGGTAAGTATATGGAAAATAATAAATAATAGTCAAAATGGTAATAGTCTTGAGTACCAGCGGCGGGTAGCTACCACATCTTTCGTCTTCACTTCGTCAACTTCCCCATTGTATGTCGTACCTAACACAATTGGTGTTGACTCCGTTACGGCTACAGATGTGGTACTGTTCTCAGTACTAGGCACAAATATGGCTTCTGTAATCTGTGCTCCTCTGGAATGTTGTTCATTTGGCTTAAAGTAATATTGCTCAAATGTATTACTTGACGAACTCCAGTTTGCATGCCATTTGACTTCTTCTACTGGTATTCCTTGTAGTATTGCATGAGTATTTGCAGCTGATCTTGTGGAGTGTGCTGTATATTTCCTGGTATCAATCCCGGCTTCTTTTAAGATGTTGGTCACCCAGTTGGCTACTGTTGTCGGTTTTACGGGTGTCAGTTTATCTGAGTCACTATATCCCAAGAAAAGAGTGTGGTCTATTTCTAACTTCTCCCTAGTCATGGCTGTTCTTTTCACAAACCAATCCAAGGTCAAAACTGGGCAGATTTCTGAAGTGCGAATAGTTCCTAACTTTGAGGACTTGGCCTGAGCCTCTTTTGGCTCCTGTGCAATCAACGTAACTCCTACTAGTTCTAGTTTCTCATTGTACTGTAGTTTGACGTCTCGAAACTGTAGGCGGCTCATATCCAATCTAGGTCGCCACATTGTCGCTAAACACAAAAGCATAATGGTCTTTTGTTGTAATTTTCCTAAAGGAAGATTCTCGCTCGGTCCCCAAGATTCCAATAACTGTAATACTGGTTGTACATCCCATGTTTCGTTGCTGATATTAGGTAATTTAAATGTTGTTCGTTTCTTTGCTTCGAAGAAGTTTTGGATCAGAGGATGATCTGCTAGTGGAATTTTGGTAGGATGTGTAATGTGATATACGGATCCCAAGGATGACCTTGCTACATTTAGTGTTTGGGACGACTGATGTTTTATTGATAAAAGGTATCATACTACTTGCATTGGTTGATATTCTTCTGGTATGACTTCTGGTGTTTGATGTGCACACCACTCAACCCATCTCTTCCATCCACTATCATATATTCTTTGCGTGCTACTTCTGGTGGACTGAGAAAGGAAATCAATAATCTCGTCATCTAATCCGTCTATCTCTTGTTTCTTGCGGATAATATCCATGCGCTTAGAGACCATGTCCTGTTTATTGGAATGTACATCGGTGGAGCAATACTCATCTGTAGAAGCATCGGCCACCAAAATTGGGTAGGCTAATTTGGGGCCACTAGGATCGCTTTCTTCACCTTCTGTTCCTGAATTCGTTGCAATACTTTTGGAATCAACTTCCATGGTGGGTGTAAGTATAGTCCTACCCGTGGCCAGTTTTAGTAGAATGCGTCTTGAGCTTCTGCTTCTGGGTCTGGAAATAGGCTCCAAAACCTTGGTAGCTTCGTGTTGTGCCGTGCTGCAAAAGCGTCTATCGTCATCTTCTACCTCAATTGTTGTTGAATCTGGTGGAACCATGTTCGTGATAGACTCCACTCGTAAATCGGTGTTGCTTGTTGACTGAGACGATCGGCTATTACATTGTCTATCCCAGCTATGTGTCGGTACTGTACGGTGAGGTTGTGGCTTTTGGATATCTGGTATATCTCCAGAGCCAGTTGCTGCAGTATCACTGATGCGGTTCCTCCCGATTTGTAGGCATACTTCAGTGCTGTTGTATTGTCCAAGTATATCATTATGCTGGAGTTTTCGGATTTTCTTGCATGCAGTTGTAGTGCAATCAAGATTGTCTTCAGCTCCCTGACATTGATCAAATCTTCTTTTTCGTCTCTTGTCCAATATCTGGCTGTTTGGATCATCTGGGATGAGACTCCCCAGCCCGAGTCGGATGTATCGATGTGTATTGTGAGCGTTGGTGGTGGTGATATTGGTTTTCTGATTGGCAATCCATTTGCAGCTTCTGCGTTTTCGACCCACCAGTTCAACTCCTTTTGTGCTTCCAAAGATAAAGGGCAACTTGCTTCCCATCTTGTTGCTTTCGCTTGAAGTGCTTTTGATAAATCTCTCTGCATGTACTGGACGTGCAGCAGTGACTCCCCTATTGCCGGAATCATGGCCATCATTTTCCCTATCAAGCTGGCAATCCATCGGCACGATCTCACTTGTGTGAATGCCTGTTTGACTTGGGCGTTCAAGTTTATCATTTTCTTCTTTGGAACTTTGATGTCCATAGCCTTGATGTTGAATTGAAAGCCTAGGAATTCCTGTTTGTACGAAGGTATTAATACACTCTTCTGCCAGTTGATCAGATATCCTAGAGATGTTAGATGCTGGAGTACTCGAGATGAGTGCTTCTCCATCTCTGACTTGGTTTTTGCTAAAATACAAATGTCGTCCAAGTAATATACCAGGCGTATTCCCTCCTTCCGAAGAGGTTCCATCACATATCGCATGAGCTTTGAGAATACTCTCGGGGCCACACTCATTCCAAACGGTAGAGATTTGTACTGGTAAACTATATTCTTGTGCTTGAACGTGAGGAATCGTCTGGATTCCTTGTGTATTGGTACGACAATGTATGCATCTTTTAGATCTATCTTGGTCATCAAGTCTCCTGGCTCTATTATGTCCCTCAGGGCAAGTACACCTTCCATCTTGAAGTGATAGCACTGGATAAACTGGTTGATCCTCTTGCAGTCCAGGATGGGTCTGCATTTGGTTGCTTCCCTGACAATAAAGAATTGGGATAGGTAATCCTCGTTCTGTGTTGGTGATATTTCTATCACATCGGAGATCTTGAATTTCTCTACCACCAAATCTACTTCTATCTGATCTTCGGGTGGTAATGACAGTGTTTTGGTTCTCCAAGCAATGGGGGGCGATGTCCATTGTATTTGGTAACCTTGTTCCACTACCATTATTGGCCATTGTTGGTTGATGACATTCTTCCAGACGGATAGAAATCTGTTCAATCGTCCTCCTGGAGGAATTCCATCTGTTGGTATGTTGTAGTGTTGTTGTGTAACCGACATTAAGTTTGACGGGTTTTGTGAGACTGATGCTGATGTGTTCTGATCCATTTCTGGCAAATTCATTGGATAATCTAGCTGTGATACTAGATGATCTTTCCCTATTGCTGGTTGAGAGGATTGTTGTTCGTTGATGGGCTCTGGTGAGCATTGAATCCTGTTGGATTCGATTTTCCTCTCCCAAAAAAAGGTTTTTGTGTGTAAGTGGACTGTCCTCTACTAAAGAAGTTGCCTCCACGGCCTCTTCCTCTGCCTCTATGACCTCCATTGGAGTATCCTCCGGTGGAATATCCTCCTCTCTTGTTACTGACAGCACTCTGGAGGACAGACTCTTTGTATCTTGCTTGTTGGATTTTCTCCACCCACTCCTGATCGAAGGCCATGTCTTTGTCGTTTTCATCTTCATCTTCGAGATATCTTGCTCTTGTGGGGAGCTTAATTGCTCGGATGCTGAGTTCTTTGGCATCTTCGTCCAGCGTTTTTCTACTTGCGAACGCATAGACGGCCAAACGCCTGACTTTTTCGATGAGTTCATCGAAATCGGCTGCGTCTTTGTTACTACTTTGTTGTGATTTAATATACTTGAGGTCGTTGAAGACTTCACTTGCTGCTCTTCCTGCAATTCGAAGTTTGCCGCCATCTTTGTATTTGCCTTGTACAATCTGATGGGCATCCACGGTGTATTTCTTGAGGTCAGGGACGAAAATCTGATTGATCGCTCCTGAATTTGTCCATTTTCCACCCTCAAATTGGAGGGTGTCTTTTGTGAATCGAATAATGTTCGACTTGAGACCTTTCGCTGAAGGCTCGTCCAAATCTTTGAGGATTTCTTCTGGGAGGTTATCTCCGTCGTAATCTCGTTGTCTCTGTTGTGCCTGCTGTCCAAGCTTAATAAGCTCGAGGATTTGTTTGGGGGAAAGTTCATTAATATTCATTTAATCCACGGTGCGCGGCTTGGAAAGATATGAGGAACAAGGGGAATGATAACTTTATTAATTTATATATTTTCAAAAAATAAAAGCGCGGCTCGGAGAGCCTATACCACATCTGTAGTCGTAACGGAGTCAACACCAATTGTGTTAGGTACGACATACAATTTAGAATTTTCACTTGACAAAGGGTTCTTTAATAGCTTTCTGCAAAACTGCACTTGCCCTGATACTTCCAAGCTTTACAAACATATCTTTCTCATCAATTGTATGCTAGACATCCCCTACTCTTTGTGCCAAAGCCTTTCCTTCTCCTCCTCTGCTGTCCATGTATCTAATACTGATACTAAAGCAGTAGTTGACACTTCCCTTCTTTCTGACAAGATAGAAGCTGATATCATGAAGTATCGTCAGTTATACTCTGTTGGACTTGACAGCAAGATAGCCGATTACAAGAGAATCTCAGAAGACATGAGCCAGTTCTTAGATACGTTGAAGTTTGCATATAACAAGCTGAAGGAACATGGCTCTCCCTCTCAATCCCATCTACCTCGACATATATATTTTTTTTATTATCAATTATCAATTATATATTATCAACTACTATCTTTTTTATTTTTTTTTAATTGTTACTTTTTTAAAATTGTCTTTATAAAAAAATCAAAATCAAAGAATATTTTAAGTTGTGCCTTTCTTTTCTGATTGGGGAATTAACGGTACTTGTAAAATGGATTTTTGGTAAAAAAAAAACCGCCAGAAAACAGCCATAAAATCTTTATCAGCAAGTATAGACAAGCTTATTAAAGATATTTTAGAAGTAATGGAAAAGGAAGTTAATGTAAAGTTGGAACAGATAGTTGCCGTGAAGAAGCTTGAGCAAACATTTAAAGCCAATATATACATAAACAAGGCTGACAATGTATTGCCAGATCTTGAGTAAAGGGAAAGAACACTTAACTTCTTCCAGAGTCTAGGTGCCTACAGGCTCAAAGAAGAAATCAGAATCTGCAAGAGTTTATTCTGTAAATGCTATAAAAATCTACGAATTTTATATGAATTTTGTTCGAACAACCTGGCTTAGAACCCTGAATATTTAACTTTGTACACAGGTAAACAGCGTTTGTTTAAATTTTGTTCTTGCTTCGTCCGCAAAAGGTAACCAGGTTGTATATATTTAAATTTTGATCTGTCTAATAAAAGAAAAACACTATTGATTTCAAAATACACTATTTCTCCCCTGAAGTACTAGGAAGGGAAAAAAAACAGGGTATCTTGAACAGATATACAATTAGCTAGTCCAGAAAGATAGAAATATTGTGTCCCTAAAATTGTTATAATTTTGAGTTCTTGAACTATATATCATCGAAATATGTTGATTGACTGGCTGACTACTTCATTTTAATCAATGCTTTTTGTATTAATTGCGTATGAGTATAAGAAGGTTGTATTGAAAGCAAGGGCTTGAAACAAACAAACAAACAAAGAAAAATAGAACTTGATTTTTTGTTTGTCTGTTTATACATTTGATTGATTGACTGGAATGAGAGGGGAAGGGACTTTATAGATTTACGAATAGATTCTCGTTCAATAAGAATTATTATTATTATTATTATTGAAAAAAAACCCCCTGCTTTTATGATATTAAGTAGCTTATGTATGGCTTTCTTTAATGCGATGAATGGCTAAATGAAATAAGGAAAAGTAAAATACAATTCAATACAACACAATATTTTTGGGATGAATTGGTAATAATGTCTTTTCTGTTAGTTTTCTAGCCATTATTTTTGATTGTTTTTGCACTGCATACAAATTTTGCCTGTTTGCCTGTTTTATTATATCCCCTTGATCTTCTGTATAATCAAATGTCAGCATCAAAATCACCAATTGTACATATTCAACATATTGCGCATATTGCATCATAAAATCTCACTTTTTGTTTATATATATATATAATATTTTGGGATATTTAAGGTTCAATTTAATCAAAATTAGAAAGATAAACATTTATTGCCTACCTGTCTGTTTTGCTTGCTTGATTATTATTACTTTTGGATTTTATAAGAAGAGAAACACATACACATACAAAGTCAGAATCTCTACCCTTCTTTCTCTTTCGATTTCTCTTTAGAATCCAAAGCCATAAATACTACCAAGACAAAACGCTTATCGATAAGAATCATGCGGTTAATTTTGCTTGTTCTTTACATAACGTTCGGTGCCGTTTATTCTGCAGTCGAACAATCCGATATTAGTGGATGGGGTATATACAAAAATTAAAAACATATATACATAACAATTAAATTTAATCAAATCAAATCACTCGAATACTTATAATCATTGGATATTTCTTTTAGGGCAGAGACTTGGCTTGGGCTGTCCAGACTACAGTTATAGATGCCCTGATTGCTATGATGGAGCTCAGTGCTTGTACCCGGACAGCAATGAATGTCCAAACTCGGGTATCCCAATGTGTTATAACTTTGACAGGTGTGCAAATGTTAGGTGTTCAATGCAGCGAATACCATGGTAAGGGCGTCACGACTACTTTAACTCTATTCTCTAAATAAGCTTGTGTTAATATACTGATACTGATATTAATGTTGATATTTATACGTATATGTAGTCCAGCAGATTGTCCTTTCTCTTGTGTTTATGATGAAGAGAGTTGCTGTCCATTTGCAGGAGAGCCAATATGCCAACCACCTTGTATGACTTTCGCTCCATGCAAGGTTACTCCGTGTCCTGCAGCCTGCCCCTTTGATTGCTTTTATCCGAACGCCGGTGAATGCTGTCCAAAGAGCGGCGAACCAGTCTGCAGACTTTTACCCAGCTTGCATTTACCTTTTATTCACCCAAAGGAGGATCCAAATGATTACACTGGTCACTCACACAGTGAAAACAATGAAGACAACAACGACTACGAAAATGGCTACGAAAAGGGTAATGGAAATGGCTACAACAATGGCAATGGCAATGGCAATGGCAATGGCAATGGCAATGGCAAAGGAAATGACAATGGAAATGGAAACAACAAGCACAATAGCAAAGGAAATGGAAACAACAAGCACAATAGCAAACATAACAACAACAACAACGTTGGATATGATCCTACACCTTCCGAACCACCATTCTATCCTCAGGATCCTTACCAATCCCAAGTAGGAAGTATTATAGTCATTCCATTACCAGTCTTCACTGCAACCGTGTCCAGCCCGTATCCAGAATGGCCTCAAGATCCACAGGACCCCTATTACAGACCACAGGACAGCATCAAGGTTATCACGGTACCTCTGCCTACAAAAACCAAATCCCATCATCACTATGAATGCCGAGACTATGACGGCTCCGAGGTGGAGTGCGAGTACTCAAACCCTTCGGATACCTATGGAATACTCCCTATACAAACTCTGGGTGTTCTGAAGTCCAGTGGCGCTAGTACTTTTGAAGATCTTTCTGACGCAAAGGGGTCGCAAAACCTGGAATCTATTGAGTATATTGAGACTGGCATTATTAACGATGTTGATCCTGGTTCTGACGATGGTGAAGGGATAATGTGTATTGACATGATCGTGCCTTGCCCAAAAGAATGCCCTGAAACGTGTGTGTATCCAATGAATGTCGATTGTCCTTATATACATCAGCCGTCTTGTCCCCAAGAGGAACCTATCGCGATTGATCCGTCTTATTCGTGTCAAGCTATTGATGGATTTCCACTTCCTACTACACCAATTGAACCAACACGCGAACGTGAAATTCTCTGTCCATTAGTGTTTTTTGAATGGTAAGAACCTATACATATATACTTAATAACAGTATTAATTTTGTGAATATAGCCCAAATGAATGCGCTGATGATTGTATTCGCCCGGCTGTTCCTTGTCCATTTGCTGTACCAGCAACTTGCCCAGAAAAAGGGTCACCCACCTCAATGGATATTGAGCCTACCTTGTCAGAAGAACATTATCTATGTCCACATTACATGATTGCATGGTAAGAGTCGCAAATATACATAAAGTATAATTGGTAATAGTCTTAATATTCAACAACCCATTGCATTGTATTTCATTCTATTGTATCTTGTCATATCACACACTACACACTACGCACCATACGTTATATACACAAAACAGTCCCGAGTGTGATACCAACAGTGTCTGTACAAGAGCAACAACAGGCCACTGCCCAAATACAAATGTTCCTTATTGTGTAGAAATAGCAACGCCAGTCGATAACCAGCCTTCAATTGGCTTTTAAAGTAGTTTGAATATATATTATTTTTATTACCTTTGGACAAATAATAACAAAATCGGAAGAAAAAGAGAGACAAATATAACGCCAATCATCGTTACTTTCAAAAATGAAAACAATTAATTAATTAGTAAATTCAAGTAATAAATAAAGATATATTGTAATAGAAATTCAATTCAAAACCCATACCACAACTACACTATGCTACACCACCATGTTACTTTATTTATTCTCATATATATATATTGTCAAGAGGTACTACTAGGCTTATATTATTCTTTTACTAAAAAGAAATCAAATCATTAGAATTAACCACTGTTTAAAGACCAATATTTTTTGGTCTTTAGCACTATTAAAAAAAAAAAGTCAAATTGATTCAAATCGATTCCAATGACGTCGTAAAAGTCTAAAAATGGGATATCTGGATACACCAAAAGATCATAAAATAATGTCTTTGATGTGAATTCTTTTTAGTGGAGTGATTAACTCTTTTTTTTTTCTATTAAAATTATCATCGTTGGATTTCAACCAACCAAGGGCCAAAAAGAAAGAAAAAAGGAGTCCTGTAATGTCCTCTACTTACAATGTTGTAGAGTGGTTTCCACTGGGAAATATTCAGCGACATTTCTGCGAATTGATGATGTTATTGATGTGCTTGGTTTCATTCCAAATGGTGGTTACGTCGACTCCAATGACAGAGAGAAGACGACTTGAATTGAGGTATACTTTTACTTTTACTTTTATGGTTTGTGGTTCTATGTGTATATATCATTCTATTGAATTTCATTGCATTGCATTGAATTGTATTGCGGTAATAATGTGAATGTGGACTTGAAGAAAATGATAAATTCTTTTAATGCTTTATTTAATTTTGAAACTGCTGTTTTTGTATATTAATCCTCTTGTTCATCTCAATTTTTGTATAATTCACAATAACAATTTCCTTCTTCAATTTTTTCTTTTTTTTTTTTAAAAAAAAAAGAGAAATGAGTAGTGTAAGGGCTTATTGTTATGATTATAATTAATATTTTTTTATTTTTTTATTGTTTTACTATTTGGCTGTAATGTATTTTAACTCAAAATGATGATCATTTAGGAGATGTTCAATCATGGGTGGCACAACTATCTTGAACATGCATACCCCGCTGATGAGGTATGAAAAGAAGATAAAGAGTAATAAAAAGTTATAAATATTAAATTGACTTTGGTGTCCTTAAACAAACAAAAACCCTTTTCTTTTTTTTTTAAAAAAAAATAAGCTTAACCCTGTTCAATGTAATGGAAGAGGAAGTGATAAATCTGACCCGTGAGTAGTAAGCCTTTTCTTTTTCTTTTTCTTTTTTAAGCATAGATATACACTATAGCTAGAAACCCAATATTTTGAATAGTATTAATGGTTGAGATACTCTAGGACAAATATAAATATCAATGATGTACTTGGAGATTATTCTCTCACCCTAGTAGATACATTGGACACCTTGGCTGTGAGTACATTTATACATACGAGTTTGTGCTTTATTAACATTCTAAACTTATTTCAATTTGTGTGTGTGTGTTGGGTTGTAGATTATGGGTACCCAAGATCAATTTGAAGAAGCAGTCCGGCTCGTATTAGAACAAGTTTCATTTGACAAGGACAGTAAAGTTCAAGTATTCGAATTGAATATCCGTGCCCTGGGTGGTTTGGTAACTACATACAAATGAAACATAAAAGAAACATTGGCTAATTTACAAATATATATATATATATATATATATTTACAAATGAAGCTTTCTGCTCATGTATTTGCTTCAGATCCTTCATTTGGTCACAGCATCAAGGGTTACAATGGTGGCCTATTGAACCTCGCAGAAGATCTTGCAAACCGACTACTTCCAGCCTTCCAGTCATCTAAAACCGGAATACCATATCCTCGTGTAAAGCATTTATTGTTTTTTATTGTTTTTTATTTTATTTTACTTTACTTTTATATTAAACATATAAATAATCTCCTATCCTAATGGTTGTTACTTATCATTGTTGTCTTAGGTCAATCTTAGGTATGGTGTGCCTAGAACAGAAACCGTAGAAACATGTACTGCTGGTGCTGGAAGTCTTGTGTTGGAATTTGGTGTTCTTAGTCGACTGACAGGAAATCCCTATTACGAGGTATATGAAAAAAAAACTAACAAACGGTACATGCATATAAATTTTTAAATACATGTTTTTATATATATATCTATATTTGCAGAGTGTCGCAAAACGTGCTCTCAAGGCAATTTGGGACCGGCGATCACCATTAGACCTACTTGGAAATGTGATTAACATCCAGACCGGCCAATGGATCCACACTGCATCTTCTACCGGGGCCGGCATTGACTCCTTTTTTGAGTACGTTCTCAAGGCCTATGTGCTGTTTGGCGAGACCGAGTACCTCAACATGTTTGAGGATGCCTATGGGGCAATCTTACAGCACATCCGAGACCCGAGTGGATACATCTATCGCAATGTGCACATGAGTTCAGGTACTCTGATGGCCACCTGGATCGACAGTCTTAGTGCATTTATGCCTGGTCTCCAGGTCCTTCATGGCGATCTTGAGTCGGCCATCAAGGGGCACTTGATATTCTATAACATCTGGAAACGATACCACGCTCTCCCCGAACGATTCGACTACTACCAAAAGACAGTCGACATTGCATTTTACCCCCTCCGACCCGAATTTGTTGAATCAACCTATCATCTCTACCGCGCAACCCGAGACCCTTTTTACCTGCAAGTTGGCGAGATGATCATCGAGGATCTTAACAATCGGACCAGACTGGCTTGTGGATTTGCAAACATTGGAGATGTCCGGACCGGTAGACTTGAAGACCGGATGGAAAGTTTTGTGCTCAGTGAGACACTAAAGTATCTCTATCTTTTATTTGATATCTGTAAGTCAACAAGCTTATATGATGTTTATGGTTGTCATGGTAATATACATGTATTTAAACTAATTTTTTCTTATTGATTTGATTCTATAATGTATCCTGTAGCTCATCCTTTGAATACCATGGACTCCAATTTTGTATTTACAACTGGTACGTACAAACCACTTCTCTCCCTCTCTCTTTCTGCTTTTTTTCCTCTTTCCCAGAAACCCATTAGAAAATATGAACAAAACTGAATATATATAAAGAAAAAGAAATCAAAGCTAATTATTAATATTATATTATTATTTATAATCAATCAATCGATCGATTAATAAGAGGGCCACGTCTTGCCGCTTGCAAAACAATACCTGGTCAGAGAAGAATCACCATCCATTCGTCACTTATTTTCCGAGCGTGTGTGCAAACCTCACCGTGTTATTTTCGGAAATCCTGTGTATGGAACACAAAATTCATCTTCGACATACTCTTCATCTCCCTCTTCATCATCATCGTCACCAGTAGCCGACCAAAGCCAACACCACTACTTGTCTCAACCACAATTACTTGACTTATCATCAATTCCTTGTAGACCCGAAACAGACTTGGCAGCCGAAATGGTAGGCACTATTGTTGGTCCCTCTGATGATGATGCTCTTTCACCCCTGGGAGTATGTTCTGCGCCTGTGATCAATGATCGATCGTTTGAATTGAGTTTTGGCCCCGACACCCGCAATAACAACAATCATAACAATCATCATGGCAACAACAACAATGGTGGATTTGGTGGAAGAGGAGGAGCAGGATACGATCGCAATCGATCACCAAAAATCATTGAGTTTGTTGGCGGATTCTTGGCTAGATCGCTCTCTGATCTAAAGATAGAGCTCAGTAAACGATCCTGGAGCAACGGTGGTGGTTATCAAGTGACTGGAGGTTAGTGAACTTGCTTTCTTTAGCAGAAGATACAGAATATATATATATATATATATATATATGTATATATGCATAAGAAAGACATATTTTCAGGTGTCTGTCTGTATTATTATTACTTCTCCTTCTTGTTTTTCTCTTTCTATTCATATTCTCCCTTTCGTTTTCCTTTTTCTTCTTATTTTCTTCTTCTACTTCTTTGGATGGCAAAAGAAGTACAAGAAGGAGGTTGTTCCTATTATCAGCTATTATCTAGTGCTTCCTTGATTTACTATATTGTATATACCCTTCCAATCTACCAACTTGTTTGATTTACTTTTATAGAGCTTTGTTTAATTATATTATATCCATTATTATTTTCTTTATCACTATCTTTTATTCTTGTTTTACTCATGGTTTACACTTCTTTCTTTCTGTATTGATTTTATCCTTATATCTGTACGCCTTTTTGTATTTTGCAAAACAAACCATAATAATAATAATAATATTTATAACAATAATAATACAATTTGTTTTTTTTTCTTTACAATTTTACAAATTGCACAGTACAACCTAATACAAGGTAATGAATTATTTCATTTTATTTATTATATATATAAAAAGACTTCATTTGAGGGTGTACATTCATATATATATATGAGCAAGTGAATGTGAGGCCATTAGACTATAGATATAGATATAGATATAGATATGTGTGTACAAAAGGATGTGTTGCAGCTACTCACAACAGCAGAAACAAGCGACTCAAATAGTCAATTATGTATGCTAGACAATAAAAGCACAAATTATTCCAATGCTCTCTCTCTCTATATATATGTGTGTGTGTGTGTTTATATATACGAGCAATGCAAGCTATACGAACAAAAATAATATAAACAACAAAGTATCATAATTTGTAGATTATCAAAAAATGACGTTTTGATTGTTACCGAGGATGCCATTACACCTTATCTACGACAAGACGTCCTGGAACTTGTTCCTTTAACTGATCACGTGTCTGAATCATCAACAACAGTAGCAGCAGCAGCAGCGGGAGCGGCAGAAGCAGCAGAATCATCGTCATCGTCCTTTCCATCACCGTCATCATCATCGTCTTCGTCGTCGTCAGCCCTGTTTGTTGATCAAGAAACGTTTGATATACGGGTACTCAAGCACAATACGGTGACCGAAATTTTGAGCGCATATCCGTCATACTTTGGATCCAGATGGACTAGTTCAACCCAAAACGAGATCCATTCTGCAGTGCCTGTGTTTATAGAATCGAATCGATTCGGGTGCAGTGTGTACTCTTCGACCGAGCAAATGATCGCAAAAGGAAAGGTGGTTGTAGTTTACCGCGGACTCTGCACATTCTATCAAAAGGCCGGATTTGCTGAGCGAGCCGGTGCATTGGGAGTGCTGTTTGTTGACCAGGCTGGCGGACAGACTTTTAGAGCCCTGCCGGCCATTGACACTAACGATTGTGGTGACAATGGGGATAGCAACAACAACAACAACAACAACAACAATAGCCAAAATAGCAAGGTCTCTTGTACGGAGGTCAAGTTACCGAGTGCCATGATATCTTTTGAAGACGGGTCGGCTTTGATTGACGGCTGCTTGAATCGAGAAGACGTGGTCCTGGAGTGGGTCTCTAGTACTCAGGGCAAGAAGAACGTTAATTCAGGAATGGGGATTAGAGTTCATGGCGAGAAAGTCCATAATTTATTAGTACTTTATACCGCACCATGAATAAATATATACATCATTATAATACTTATAATAGTAATAATGTTAACATTAATGCTGATTTTAATCCTAATCCTAATCCTAATTTTAATTTTATTGCTAATTATATACTTTTACCTTTTTTTCCTTCTTTGTGTGTGTATGTGCCTTTTTTTTATGATTTTTTTTTAAAGAATGTATTCATATTCATACATTTGAAACAAATCGCTAGTTTTGGCGCAAAATACTTTTTAGATGGCTCAACTGACATGTTTGTATCACAAAATCTGTATATTCTATATACAAAAAGATAGATAAAAGTAAGGAATGGAAAAGAGGTAAAGGAGAAGGCAAAGGAGCGTGAAAGAGAAGAGAAAAAAAATGGGGGTAGACAATTGATCAAGATTGAAAAAAAAGGGTGATAATTAGACTCGGTAGTGAACATAAATATAATAATAGACTAATCCAAGACCTACACACATTTAATATAGGAATAAAAGAAAAAAAATTATAAAAAGATAAAAGCTCCCTGCCTATATAAAGACCTGTATTGAGAATAGCTTGGTGAATGAATGTATGAGCCTATATCTTGTGTGCTTACATTACATTTCTTATGAAAACATTGATTTAAAATAAAGATAAAGAAGTAAAGAGTATTAAATGAACAAACTTCATATGGCTTGGTTAATAATATTAATACCAATAGAAACATATTTGTGTTTTGTTACAAAGTGTAGGTAAATCTTCTTTTTCTACTTTTGATTAATAACATATTTTCAATATAAGACTATAAAGTATTATGCTGTAAGATTTATCAATAGAAAAAAAAAGAAGATATTAATTGGCAATAGATATATAAATATATATGTAATTGTATGTATTTGTAATTAAAGCGTAAAGATATGCAGAAAATGTATGAATTATGGAATAAGAATTATAAGTTTTATAAATATGTATGTATCTATTTATCTATTTATCTATTTTAAAGATATATAGTAGTCAATGGTTAATCTTGTCGGATAGAAATCTAAAGAACAATAGACAGGGGAGTTTGTCCTAAAAGACCAATAAAGATAATGACAGGTAAGAGGATGGAATAGGTAGGTGCTGTGAGCTGTAGGGTAGCTTGGTTTGGTATAGGAATATTGTAGATTGGTTTTTCGTCCGAGGTGTTTGTTCGCAGAGCACTAGGAATACCTCCGGGCATATTGCATCTATAATATCGCTTACACCCATCCGCACATAGCTCTTTGGTTGTTCCTTCGGCACACCCGTTATTACATGCATCTTCTCGTCCTCTACACTCAGCAATCGAAACCGGCCACTGGTAAGGAGGACAATCTGGAATTTTGGTTTTACAATCACATCCCCAGGCCATTGTATTCACATTACAGAAACTATAGAGACGATAGAAAGATAAAAAATCAGGATATATATATATATATATATATATATACAATTTGAACAAAAAAGAAAAAAAAAAGCAGGGCTTTACTTTAATGAGGTTGAGTTTGGATCACCACATTGTTTCTGTTTTGAATAAAAAGTAAAGCACCAAGTTAGACAACGATGTATATGTGGTTGATTTCTGTAGACCGACTTCTTATTCTTGTAATAATACATGTATGTGGGTAGATTGGAATGATAGACTAAAAGAGCGAACAACAGAAAGGAAGAGGTGCCTTTGTCATATAGTATGTATAGGTGGTGGGTGTATAAAAGAAAACGTACATCACAAAATAGGAGTTGATCATTGCAAACATTTGCCTTTGAGGTCGAATTGAGATCAAGAATATTCCAAGAGCCGATAGGTAAACCGACTTGATATGCGTACATACATATACATATACATATACATATACATATATATATGTACATACACACACACCACAAGATAATAATAATATTAATAATAATTGCAATAACAATAACAATAGCATTAATATTATGATGTACATGTATGTGCTATTCTATGCTATGTTGTCTTGTACTGTACTGTACTGTAATGTGCTGTGTGTAGATTACCACTGGGATGATGTACAGTATTATCCAAAGGCCCGTTTGTGTAGCCACTAGAATTGACGGTCGAAGTTGTTTGAAGGGTTGAGACTTGTTGAACAGAGAGGATAGTCAAGGTAGCTATCAAGCAAAGAGGAGCCATTGTGAATCAAGAATGACAAATGGCCTTTCCTTTTCTTTCTTTTCTTTTCTTTTCTTTTTTTTACTGTTTTCTTGTAACGAAATTTATATACTTGTATAAAATCCAGAAATAAACAAGAAAGAAAGATAGAATAGAACTGTATGTCATTAATTGAAATAAGATAAAGATAAGGGTAATAGTGAAGTTAAAGAGGAGGTATATATATGTATATATATATATATATATATTTAGTTAGTTAATTAGTTGCTTGGTTACTTGGTTGCTTGGTTACTAAAATAAACTCTCCTATATAAAGAAGCCTAGACCATTCTATCTGGTGGTCGTTTGTTTGTAGAAATACTTATTGAGAATAATTGTAATAAGCAGTTAACCTATTCAATAAATAAAAAAAAAAGAAAAGAAAAGTAGAAGCAAAAGTAGTGTCAGAAGAGGTGTTTTTTTTATGATTATTTAAATATTGCCAGTTCAACCCCTGTTGAATATTAAACTACTTTATTATAGTTCTGTAAGAGATCTCTTAAAACAACATTATCAATGTCTGAACGAAGTATGGATTGTGAATATGATTAATCGATTCGATTGATTTTGTATATATTGGGGTGCTTGAGTTCTTTGGATCAGAATACTCAACCAAGATTAAGATCAAGTTGATGTTAAAGAGCAACGTATAGATATATCTATAGGATCCCCTGGCAGGTGTATTCATTATCTATGTATGTATAGATGATTTTCCTTGCTTCTACTTTTTTTTTATTTATGTATTTATTTCTGCAACCATATGCGTCTTTACTGATGCTAGATATTGCGGAAATGCTGGTGCACGGTTGTGTATTGTTGGACTGAGATGTTTACATATGCAGATATATTGTTTTAATACATCTCTTGTCATTCCAATATTTTGGGATAATGATTTTAATATTGAATATTAATTATACTACCTCGTCTTCTTCTTGTTTATTTTTTGATCAATTCCACATACATTAAGAGAGAGAAAAGGGCTTATTCCATTTTTAGTAGATCATAATGCTTAAGGTCTTTTTATCCCTCTCTATCTCTATCTCTCAATGTTATCCACTTTACACCCCTGCCCGTTTCATTCATTCGCTCATTCATTTTGCTCATTTGCTTCACTTTGTCTCTCGACTCCTTTTACTTTACAATTCCCCTAGATCCCCTTTATTTGACTTTCCAGCTCTATCTATCTCTCAATCTATCTCTACATTCATGTCTCTATGACTTTATTCCCTCTTGACTTGGCATAATATCCATTTAATTCCTAGTGCTTTGAAACAAAGTATATATATATATATATATAATTAAATGAAGAATGAGAAAATTAGAAGAATACTATATAAAACAAGTTGATAGGATAAACGGGTAAACGGATAACACTGGAATGAAAACAAAACAAGAAAAAAAAACTTGACTTGGGCTATTACCATTAGTAAAACTATTTCCTTTTGTTTGTTTGTTTGTTTGTCAGAAATACATTTTCACAAATGAAACAGGCATTATTTGCCTTTAAAAGATTATTTGTGCTATCCTCAGATCAATTAAGCTATTAAGCAACTCTGAACAAGCAAGTAAATAAGACAAAGATAAATCAAGGGGATTTGTTTTTTTCTTCTTCTTTTATATATGGTATATGAATATAGAGTACTAGTGAACCTAGTAAACATAGTAAATGAAGAAGTGCGTTTTAAGCGTCATTAAACGTTATGCTTGTGGTCAAAGACAATCAATTAAACTCACAACAGAAACAACAATAACAAGGGGATATTTGCCATACGAACTTTAACCCATAGGAAGGAGACAAGTGTTATACATCTATGTATGTATGTATGTATGTATGTATGTAAATAGGTAGTTAGGTAGGTAAAATAAACAAATAGACTATGATAATAAGCGTAATAATCAGAATAATACAGGATCTATATATATACATTTTGGTAAATATATATATATATATATATATCTTTAGTATCTTTCTTTCTTGCACGAGTTCCTTCTTACCCTTTTCTTTCTTTCTCGCTATTTCTTTAGCTAATCTACTCTACTTAATTCTACTCTACTCTACTCTGCTCAGCTCAGGTCTGTTGTGCTTTGCTCTATTACACTATATTTTCACATCGATATACATAGTTTTCTCTCTATCTCTCTATATATATATCTGTACATCTGTGCACGTACATACCTATACATACACACGCATTAATCACATACACATACGCATACACACACGCACATATATATACATATATATTTTTTCACTTGGTCTACATATCTATATACATATTACCTCTTTGTTTACAAAACATACCATTCATTAGTTAGCTACTTAGAAAAACAAATATATATATAAAAGAAAAAGGGGGTGAAACTAATACCTCAACAGTCACTGCTCATCCTCCCTTTCGATCCTCATCACTTCATTAACTCACCAGAAAAGAAAAAGAAAAAGAAAGAGGCAAAAGAAACAAAGTAAATCAACAATCGGCATCTCTTTCACTTCATTACACTTTTCTATTTTTACTTTTATATAGAGAATAAGAGTTAATCTTCGTTTCTTAATCTTTACAAACTGCATAGACTTGATGGAATGTCGAATCGAATCACTGCCCTTTTTTGTTTCCTCATCGTCAGCGTCCTTGTGTTTTCACCTCTTCTAATACAATCTGCTCCATTCAGAACAAGAAAAAGGAACCATTCAATTGAAGAAATCGTAAGGATTTATTATAAACCTTGTTATTATTTATATATATCAATATATATGCATAATTCTTTTATTCTATTTTTATTTATATACAAAAAAAAGCAAAAAAGAAAAAAAAAACAAAACTCCTGACGCCTGCATCCTTTTTTTTTTTTTAATTTTTTAATTTTTTAATTTTTTATTTAACCCTTTTTTTTTTGTTCTCCTCTCAAACCCCCCTTAATATATATAAATATAAATATAATTTTCTTTATGTGTTGATAAATATGTATTGGTAAATGCATTTCTCTCGCTCGTTCGCTATACATCTTTATGTATGCTATTTGTCTATTTTAGTGCTCCGAAGTCGACCAACATATTGACCAATGTGCTTTTGTGACAAGAGCGTGTGACGGATTCAGTGGAGTGTTTCTACGATTCTACTATTGCACTGTATTATGGAAGCCTCTTTGTGTAATCATTCTGGTAATAAATCTCTCACACTCTACAAGCTTCATGAATATAGATGCGTAGATACCTACATGCCGTACATGTTTATTATTGTGATTGTGATTTACTAAAATTGGCTATTGTTGTTTTTCATTAGTGTGCAACGCTCTTAATGTTATTTGGTGCTGTCAGTGTGGTAGCATCTGATTTTTTCTGTAAGTATTGAATCTTTGTATCTTATAGAATTATAAAGAAAATTTGCTTTACAAAAATTAAATTCATTTTAGGCCCCAATTTACAAACAATCTCTTCAAAGCTTGGGTTGTCAGAGAGCATGGTAAAATCAATGAAAATTTCAATTATATATATATATATATATGTATATATTATTTAAATTACTTTATTTGTACATATTTTACTAATATGTAAATTTCATGAAACCACAAAAAAAACCAAAAAAAAACATAGGCTGGTGTCACAGTCTTGGCTTTTGGAAACGGTAGTCCGGATCTATTCAGTACATTTAGGCAAGTCTTATCAATACGTATACTCTTTGATATATACACAGTTACTAGAAAAACAAGAAATAAATTCTAAAGCTAAACTCGCAATGTATATTTGCCTTTATATCCTTATACCTATTCCTTCTAAAGTGCTATGGAGTCAGGGGCTGGTTCTTTGGCCATAGGCGAACTAATCGGAGCCGCATTCTTTATTGTCGCAATTGTATCCGGCTGCATGGGCATCATTCGGCCTTTCCAATCAAAAAAGGTTACTTTTCTAAGAGATGCTGCGTTCCTTACAGGAGCAGTCATGATGATTCTGGGGATCATCTATCAACAGGCTATTCATTGGTACCATGGTCTTGGTTTGATATTCTACTATCTATCTTACGTCTCGGTCGTACTCTTGAGCAACTATCGCATGAATAGAACCAAGTCAGACAAACCAACAAAAGCTATGACCGAAACTTCATCACTTCTTGGTCACCAAGGTAAGAAAGAACCAAATGATGTGATGAGATCAAGAAAGTGGGGGAGGGGAACTAAAGATAAGTAAGGAATTAAGGAGAAAAGCGATCTTTACTAGTCATATATATATATATATATATGTATAAATATAAATATTTAAAATATTCTTATTACTCTATATACATGTGTGTGTATGTGTGTTTGTACAACTGGTAGTCAGGATACCTTACAAGCCAGCTCAAATAACAAACCTTCCAGATCAATCACATCTAGAAGATCAACATGACAAGTATAACACTCATCACAACAACCAGCACCACCATCACCAAGGTCACATTATACGACCCGTGTTACCCAGTCAACCTTCACGCCTTTCTTTAAGAATCGATACTACCAATCTCCCAAGATCACCGAGTTCACTTGGATCAATATCAGCTCGAGCCCATCGTCCTTCAATGACTCCACGTGTTGGCATGCGTACATCTCTTTTTAGTGCTATGGAGGTACGTCTTCGATATTATATATATATATATATATTTGCTTTTCCTTATTTGTTATTGAGTATTTCCAACCACATTTTTTTTTCATATTTCAATAGCTTAAAGAGAAATTTGATTCACTTAAAAGAGCTTCATCTTCCCACCATATCCCTCTCACAAAACGAAACCGCCAAATATCAATGCCACATGAAGTGTCCAAACATGCCATTTCACCTGGCCAATCATTTAACCCGGGTTCTGAACGACGACCAAGAGCAAACACTCTGACAGATCAACTGAAGGTCTCAATGCCATCTCCTAATACCGCTCATAACAGTAATACTAATATCAGTGCCCACTCTACGCCAAATACAACCAACGCAAACGCAAACGCGAATAAAAATGGAAATTCAAATGGAAACATCAGTATATTGACTACCAGTGGGATGCAGCGTTCACAGACCAGAAATAGCTCGAATAGCAGTACCGGAATTGCAGAAGACTACTTTACATACCTATCTACACAATCTAGTCTCCATGACTACAAACCAGAATCATCTACCTTTGATATAGTTTCCCCATCATTGCATTCACAGGACTACTACTATCAACACCCTAATCAACAGCACAATCAACAAAGTCAGGGCCAAAAGATCCCAGAGATCAGACTTGCTCCTCCACATACACCAAAACCACTCGAACTATCACCATTCAATCATCCAGAATTCTGCCCTGGTCCATTATTCCCACTACCCCCACATCATTACCATAGTACGAATAGTAATTATCTTCATCTCCATAACCATAACCATAATCATAATCATAATCATAATCATCAACAGCATCATCAGTTACCATCTTCATTATTCTCTCCCACATTTGATGACAACAATACCACCACCGCCATCCCACAACTCTATCCGTGGCACAGCTATGCAACAGCCGGGTCTCCGCTCCTTTCTCTTCCTTCTCCGTCACCTTCGCAACAATGCTCGCCGTCTTCTTGTACGATGTGGTTAGAAGACATCTGCCAGACATTGTTCCCAACTCTCCAACAATGGCACACCAAATCCGTTTTGGGAAAGATCTCGTCTTTGGTTGCCACACCGATCGTGCTTGTCTTTACACTCACCATACCTGTCGCAGAATCCGAGGATGTCAAGGTGGATGGTGTGCACATTCTGGAACATTCTGGAGGTCAAGATCAAGATCAAGTTCAAGTTCAAGCTCAAACTCAAACTCAGGGTCAGGGTCAGGCTCAAACTCAAGCTCAAGCTCAAGCTCAAGCTCAAGCTCAATCTCAATATAATATGTTTGGAAATATCAACAATGGTGCTATTAGTAATATAAATAACACCGATAGTATTAATATCAGTAATGATAGTAATGGTAGTACTCTTAATGGCACCGTCAACGGTGCTTACTATTATAACAGTGGTTATTGTGGTGTTAATTGCAATGCGGATGCCGAAGAAGGTGACTGTGAAGAAGAATGCGGCGCACAGACCAATGGGTTCCTTGCGGTACCGGTGCAGGTAGAACAAGCTGAGGACGAAGAGGAGGTGGAAGTAGACGAGGATGTTAGCCAAGGCTGGTGTAGATGGTTACTAGCCACCCAGGCAGTGACTAGCACGACCTTTCTATTTACTGTCATGGCTGTCCACCAAATGATTCCTTATTGGGCTATTGTGGTTGGAACATGTCTAGGTGGTGTGCTATCTATTGGGGTCTTACGGACAACCCGGCAGGATGAACCGCCCTCGTGGTTCTGGATGCTTTCCTTTGCCGGGTTCTACGTTGCGCTTCACTGGATATTCTTACTTGCTAACCAGATGGTTGGATTATTAGAGGCAAGTAGATAAAGATACATATGAAGATGGGTGGTAGAGTTTTGGCTATTGTTGGATTTATATATATATATATATTTATAGGGAATTTATGTTGTTTATTGTTTTACTAACAAAATAATGTGGATATATATTTGATTTTATTAGGCATTTGGAAAGATTTTTGACATCAGTGAGGCTATCATGGGGCTGACAGTGTTTGCTCTTGTAAGTATTGTTTCAAGTAGATAAAAGGGGATCTGGCTATCGATCATTTAGATTGACTGGATGTATTAATTCTGGTTGGGTTTTGTAGGGAAATAGTATTGGCGATTTCGTAGCAAATACAGCCATTGCAAAGGTAAATAGGACTAGATATCTAATACATATATATATATATATATATATATATTAACGCCTGATGACTCTTCTTTATGGATATAACATTGTATAATGATGATATAGATGGGCCTACCTACAATGGCAATCTCTGCTTGTTATGCTGGTCCTTTGTTGAGTAAGGGATTCTTTTTGTCACTGTTGGTGGTTTGAATATTGACAGAATGTATTTAATTTATTTAGATATGGTACTTGGTGTTGGTGTGTCAGCCACCTATCAGACCTGGAAGACAGGTCGTCCGTATGCACTCAATATTGAGCCAACGATTGTCGTGTCTTCAGCTGGCCTGTTGCTAGTCCTGTTTAGTACGTTGATGGTGGTGATCAATAATGATTATCACATCAATCAACGGCTTGGCTGGTGGATGATTTTTGTGTACTCTGTATGTCTTGTCATTAATTTGATATTATAATCTTCATATAATATTTTATATATTTTATATTTAATAAAAACAAAATACATTTACTTTATATAATACACATCGATAGCGATAGGAACAATTCCTTCTATATAGCTAATTCAGGCGCTGACGATGTAAATAATATACACGTGTAAATGAATAAGATTTTGTTTTCAAGATATAATAATAATAATAAAAGAAAGGCCATTCCAGTATAAGTATATTCTGTCCTGCTTTTGTCTGTAAGAGGAATATATACTCAAGTGTCCATATTTCTACCGTGACATTTGTCACACATTAATAATAATTCCAGTCAACAAAAGAAAAATAGAGCTATTGTCATTTATCATTAGTATTATACTGCCTTGATATTCTTTAATAGCCAGTCAATCCTACACAGTATATATATATATATTTAAATGTTCAAATATACGATAATTTTACTTGTTAAGAAATGAAGCAAAAAAAATAATCTACATTTTAAACTACGCACAAGATTAGTGAACAAGATCTTTTCTTTTTTTTTTTAAAAAAAAAGGGGGAAGCTTACGGACAGCCTGGCGGGACAGCCTGGCGGGACAGCCTGAAAGGACAGCCTGAAAGTGTATTACGTCACCTAGTCACGTATTTGGGCAAATGTCATATTGGTGGGACAGCCTGGGCAGCCTGGGCAGCCTGGAAATATGTTACTAAACTTACTTCACGTATTTAGGCAAATGTTCATTTTTTTGAGGCAGTCAGATTTTTGATATATGTTTAATGATTCAAAAAATAAAATAAAAAAGCATTGAAAATAAAGATAAATAAATAAATTAATAATAATATGAATAATAATAAAAAAACTTGATAAGAGATAAGGAGATAAATATAAAAACAAGGAAATGGAATAAAAAAGAAAAAGAAAATAAAAAGATCTACAAAATAAGATAAATATTAATATTATTGAATGGAATTCCGTTATGAAATCCATACCTTGGTAGTTAATACAGAATGGAAAAGTCCTCTAGGTTATATTTTTTTACTATGGCTTTGTGAAATGGGTTTATCTGCGGCCAATTGAAGTTTCTGGTTGGTTTACGTTTTGCGAGGAGAAAGTGGTTGATGTCTAGAATAAGTATAATAGGTTCGAATCTGTCTGGTGTGGTGGTGAATGGTACAAATAGACAGTCGCCGGTTTCTCTTGGAGTATTCCAATATACGGCTACGGTTCTGTTATATGCATTTGCTACGAGTTGTGGATGGTCAATTGTACCAAACCAATGCTGTTGAGGGAGGGGCGAGCGTTTGTCTTGTAGACTGATAATAATGGGTTTGTGGATGCAGGCATATGGCCGTGCTCTATTCTTCCTCGGTAATGAGTATGTTGATATTTTAAATAGTTTTCTAACATTTTGTCTTTGACTTCAGGCCATCGCTCCTGGTTCTGATATACTTCCATTGCTATTGCTCTATAGCCACAATTGCCATCTGCTTCCGGAGAGAATATCTGAGATATTTGGTGTGGGGCGATTGTAAGATTAGTCAGAAGTGTATGGTCACATGGTGAACCTAGGTTAATAATTTTTTTTAATGCTTTTTGTTGTTTTTCTAAAGATAATTCATGTCTAGAAAATCGAAAAAAGTCGAATGAGTTAAATCTGAACAATATGTTATAATAAAGACTTACTTTTTTTGTTTTTTTTCAGTTTTAGTTTTTTTTGTTGTTTCTTCTTTTTCTGCTTCTAGACAGTGCTCTAGGGCAATCATTTTTCTTTTTGTATTTTTAGGTCTGCCTTTGATGGCTTCCACTACTGTTGGACCATTAAGGTTCTCAAGTTTCTGCTTGGAGTCTAGTTCTATTATTTTGTCGATGTATTCTTCGAAATGTATTTGCTGTTGTTTGCTTTGGGCGTTGGTAAGTATTTGAGTAACCCGTTCAAGCTTATATGCGAGTTGGGGTGTTATTGTGGTAATTTTAGTGATGTTTTTAGGTACAGGTAGTGCATTGTGAATAATTGAGTGGTCTGTACATAATTATATATAAAAAGAGAAAATAGTTTAATAACATATATGTATATATATATACATTACCTTCTCCTTCTAAGTAGTTTATTCTCCATCGTCTGGGAATGCAAGAAATTGGGATTTTTTTATACTGCGCAAGTTGATGGTAGCAGGGCAAGAGATAGTTGTAGTTAATGAGGCATTCGCACTCTTTTGTGAGTTTTTCAGGTATAATTGATTTGGCAAGTTCAAGTTTGATGTGGTCCATTGCAAAACGACAAACTTTGTGGCGAATATCATTCAGCCTGGAAGAATTGATTTTATCAAACACAACGGTAGTGCTCTCTCCGAGACACTTCGTTGTCAATCTGCGCTTTCGATCATCGACCTGTAAAATTTACAAAAACATTTCAATTAGTTATTGTTATTATAAAGTTTAATCAATTGATATTTAAGATAACAAAGCATAGACGTACCAACGCTTCATACCACTTGACAACTTTCATGGTAACTGTCTTCAGTTTACCGGAAGAAGTTCCAAGGGCATGCTTCAGAGAAGCATGTGAAATTTCTGCACGGTTGGAAGTGCGATTTCCAAAGTGAGGATGCTTAAAAACATAGGTGTTTACCCAGTTCTCTTTGTCATGCATTTTTCTGATAACGTATATAAAAAATAATGTCATTATTTATCGTTAACAAACTGTTTCCAGCAAATATAACAGCACTTTGCATACCTCTCAAGGAAAGCTTTGGCACTTTTTCCTTGATCTTTACAATTGTCTTTTGCAAACCTGAGATATGCATCAATCTCTTTTTTCTCTTCTTCGGAAGTGGTGCACTTCAACGCAATTTGGTCAAGATGACCGGCTAACTCATCCAAGAAGCCTCTCTTGTCCCCATTCTCGTCTTCCTTCATCATTGGCAATAGCTGCTTCTTAAAATTATCCTTAATGTGCTTATAGCACAGCAGCTGCTTACACTCAGGGAAAGCATTTGTAATTGCATTCCTTAATTCTTTCTCATTGTCAGTGATAAACACACTTGGAAGTAGAGGTATTGCGGTGATTGTGTTGTTGTGGTTGTTTTTGTTGCCGCTGCTGCTATCATTAACATCTGGCTAGACAGAATCGCGCAGACAGCGAAGTACCCATAGATAGTTGTCTATCGTTTCGTGATCCACCCAAGCTCCAGCAATTGGGAAAGTCTTCAAAGTCGTACAGGGGGTTCCACTTACATTGCTGGCACCAACAATGTTGACATATGTCATTCGGTGACTATTCGTCTTGTACGTAGCGTCTATTACAATGGTTTCTGGTATTCTTCTTGCTTCGTCAATGGCATCCTTATGGATGAAAAACACCATGTTGATTTTGTTTTCCTTATCATCACCAACATTGTGCCGGACATAAAAGTCCAATTCTTGCAATGCAGTAATGAAACTAAACATTTCTCTTCCTTCTTCTGACTTTCCGAATTGTTGTTTGATATTTTTGATATCTTGACGGATAACCTTGGTGTACCCACTTCTCTTCAAGTTATTGAAGATGGTGGATACATCATCGTTTTCCTCAAGGTGTCGGACAACAAGAGCCATGGCTTCAGGTTCAAGCTTTCGATGCATGGCATATGCTCTGCGGTCTTCCACAATCTGATGATTGTGTTTTGCCTCGCGGGAGTAGACTATAATCTTTCCATCTTTCTTTTTTGAGGCATACACAAAACAAGGACAGCCACTCTTTTGGGTATCCTTTACGCGTTGTCTCTCCCATTCAGGAATAGGGGTTTCTTGGTTGACAGAGACTTCTGGAACAATTTTTTCGGTCTTTCTAGTGTCTCTATATTCCCCGTAGTGCTTACAGATCATTCTTATACGGGTGCTTGAGGAAGAATAAGTAGTGAATGCAATATTATGCTTAGCACCATATGCTTTGGTGGCTTCACGAACAGCTACAGTTGAAGAGAATTCTCTTCCAACAAGAAATATCGAGTTGAACTCGGTCAGGGCAGCATTGTACTTCTTTGAAGAAGTCTCACTAACAATGACATGGTCATTGGTGTTGTTGATGTTTTTGGTGTTGTTGATGCTGCTCATCTTAGAATGTCAAAAAAATTATGCGCTGATGTTGTAGTAAAAAAAGGGCAGTGATTTTATTGGCAAACTAAAGAACACTTTATATAGTCCCCCCTCCCCCCCTCCGCCCAAAAAAATGAACATTTGCCTAAATACGTGAAGTAAGTTTAGTAACATATTTCCAGGCTGCCCAGGCTGTCCAGGCTGTCGAGACTGCCCAGGCTGCCCAGGCTGCCCAGGCTGTCCCACTAATATGACATTTGCCCAAACACGTGACTAGGTGACGTAATACACTTTCAGGCTGTCCTTTCAGGCTGTCCTTTCAGGCTGTCCCGCCAGGCTGTCCCGCCAGGCTGTCCGTAAGCTTCCCCGAAAAAAAAATAGAGATTTTGACGTCACCACAATAAAAATGAAAAATTGCTTCCAGAGCAAAAGTAAAAGCAGAATTATAGTGATCTTCTTTTTGTCCCCCTCAATTAAGCATACCATCAATATTCGGTACATTGTTTTGCCTTTTAATATCTGTGTTTATTGTAATTATATATATATATATAAATAATATAGTCTCACAAAAGGATAGGACCTTGTTTGAATATCATTCACTCTCTATTTCTCTTCCTGTCTTTTTATATAGATATATCTACTTGCTTGGCTGTACGTCTGCTTGCTTATTAGTCTATTTGCCTAATTGCTTAATTGCCTGATTACCTATACTCTTCTTCCGCCTTGACAACATTTTGTCTACCACCACCCCTCTCCACTTTCTATTATTATTTATTATTATTTATTATTAAAATTTTAATATAAAATTATAAGATTAATACAATTATTTCCTTTTATTGAGCTGTTTTTTTTGTATGTGTTGGTATCTTATTATATGAAGTGGGTGTGAGTGTATCAGTGTAAAGAGAGAAAGAAGAAGAAGAAAATAGAGAGAGAGAGAAAGAGAGAGAGAATGTGCCTGTGTCTCTACGTCTGGCTGGCTATATTTCTGTCTGTCTGTCTGTCTGACTGGTTGGCTTGGTTGGCTGTGTCTGTATCTGTATCTGTGTGTGCGTTGTAGCTTTTTTTTTTTTTACTTGCCTGTTTCTTATAATTTACAACCCTTACTTGTCTATTAATCTCATGGACTTGCCATGGTACTATTATTTTCTTTTTCTTTAACACATTGACAATCACATTCATTCTATACCTACCTCTTCTCATTCAACTTCCTTTTTATCCTTTTACCTCTGCCTCTGCCTCCACCCCTGCCTCGCTTTCTCTTTCTTTATTTCTCTGTCTCTTTATTTCTCTCTCTCTATATATATAACTATTTATTAATAAACAACACATATACACACACAAACACACAAACACACAAACACTCCCTCTCTCCCTCTCTCCCTCTGTCTCTCTCTCTCTTCACTATCTTCTTTTGCACTCATTACTGTCTTTAGGACTGAAGATAAAGCACAGTCAACCGGAAGCACACTGGCCACCCTGACTTCGTCTTCCTTAGCTTCCTCATCCATCCCTCCTGTTCACGATCCATCTAATCCAACCCTGATCCATTCTAATCATGCCCTCGACGTAAGGCATTATTATTGTTATTGTTATTATTGTTATTATTATTATTATTATTATTATTATTGTATATGTATATAGATTTATAATACATTATCTTTGGAGCATTCTATATATTCTTCCTCTTCTCTTCTTCATTCTCTCGTACAACAACGACAAATAGGATAAGAAGCATAAAACTGTATAGAAATATATACCATTAATACCATTAATATATAATGTCGCTTAGTAATATTAATAATGTAAATCTACACTTTCCCCAATTACAGCCACCACCTCGGGATCCACGACTCAGCATGCTGGGGTACGGGAAGAACACGTCTCGTGGACGCCAGACCTACCGATCTACACTTCTACAGATTCAATACAAAGTAAGCCTTGCTGTAAATCATAATCATAATCATAATAATGCACAGTCAATGGCGACATTGGAACTACGAAGACGAAGACGAAGGCAAAGACGAACAAAAAAAGAAAGTTTTGGTTGCATACAATATGTTATACGCTATCAAACCCACACCAAACCACACCAAACCACACCAAAGCAAAGCAAAGCAAAGCAATGAAGTGAAATTCAAATGAAATGCAAATGTTTTTTGTGTGTGTGTAGCGTATATTATATAGTCTTTCTTTCTTTGTGTTTTTCTTCGGGATTGGTTCATGGAGTTTTCGTCTTCGTTTTCGTCTTCGTCTTTTTCTTTCTTTCTTTATTTGGAATTCCTTAGATACATCCATTACTTTTATTTTTGACTTTTTGTGTTGTCTAGTTTGATGAATTCTCTGTCGGTCCAGCACCCCTCCAGACAGTTCTAGTGTCTAACCTGTCGCCTCTAACAACCGAATCCCAAATCATGACATATTTCTCTGTCTATGGCCAAGTAGAATGCGTTATAATTGAGAAATGCCCATTGACAGGAGGCTCACTTGGACTAGCACGCGTGACATTCGGAGCAGACATTGCTAGCGGTGATGGGCATATGGCAGCATGTAGAGCAGTAGAGAAAGGAAGCGGTAGACACATTGGTGGATCCAGTGCAATTAAAGTTGAATTTGATCCAGGAGGTAAAAATCACAAATCACACAGAAATTTGATATGTTATTTTTATTATTACTTTTAAAGAAACTTGTAGTAAATTTAATTTAATATTAAACAAAATAATAATAATAAGAATAATGCTTGAGAACACAAAACACAAATACAGACACAAAAAAATAATAACCTTTTTTTTATATATATATATATATTCTTTACTTTATTATATAAATAATTCTGCTGCAATTTTTTCTTTTAATATATGCATATAGAAAAACAGAAACCCGGTACTTCTTCATTATCTTCATCCTTGTCCTTGTCTCCATCTCCGCGACAATCCGAAAAACCTCTGGCAGACCAACCCATAGATCCATCTTCCGCTGCTTCTTCTTCTTATCTGACACAACGCCCAAAGCCAACAACTCCCCTGTCATCCTCTCCACCTCATGAAGAAGGCGAAGTAGTTGAAGACGATAATAGCCTTAGCCATAGCCACAACAATCATCATCACCATCAACCACATAATCAACATTATCAACATCATAATAGCCATCATTACAGCAATAATAATCATAATACTCATAACAATCATAATAATAGTAGCAGTAGTAGTAACCACTGGACATCCAGACCAGATTCCTCTGCACTCAATAGCGGCTCTAGTAGATCATATTATCGCCCACGAGATTATCGCCAAAACGATTATCGGTATGATGATTCACGGTATCACCGAACTCCGTTAGCTTCAACGGCAACTGCTACCACCAATACGATGACGACGACGACGATCACTTCAGCTACAGCTACTACAGCTACAGGAGCAACAGTAACAGCAACGGCAGGACTACCACCATCAACATCAGGCGTTGGGGGAATAGCAGTACAGCAACCATCATCAGATTCAACAACATCATCAGGCTATCCACGCTCTTATTCACCACGGTACTACTCGCCCTCACGCGAGACAGACCGGTACGAGCCACCGCCCACAAGATCTCGACAACCTCCCCGATGGACAAGACGCAGTCCAAGCCCAGGTTCAGAACGTGATCGTGGTGATCGTGATAATAGAGATCGGGAACGGGAACGGGAACGGGACCGGGACCGGGATCGTGAACACCCTCGTGATAGAGGAGACAGAGACAGAGACAGAGACAGAGAAAGAGACAGAGACAGAGATAGAGATAGAGATAGAAACCGGGAAAGAGATCGAGATAGAGACCGGGATCAGAATCGTGAACATAACCGTGAGCGTGATAATAGAGATCGAGATAGAGATCGAGAAAAAGATCGTGAACGGTACCGCAGTCGAAGTCGTAGTCGCAGTCAGAGTGTCGGTAGAGAGAATGGACAAGGATATTATGGAAGAAACAGTAATAGTGGGTACGGACGAAGTAGTAGTCGAAGAGAGTCTGGAATTAGAGGGCCAGGAGCAGGGCCAGGAGCAGGGCCAGGAGCTGGAGTAGGAGCTGGAGCAGCTGGAGTAGGAGCTGGAGCAGCTGGAGTAGGAACAGGAGCATCAGGAGATTACGAGTGGAGAGAATATGAACGGAATCGAAGAAATGATTATTGGGCAGATGATCGACGACGAGAGGTAAAAACTAATAGGATTTGAATATCAAATACCAAAAAATGTGTATATCTGTGAAAATTTGGGCTATAAACTAAATGCTAAATAAATCATGCTTATAGGAACGGTCAAATGCATCTTCAGAACCTCAACCTTGTCTATTAATCTCTCGTAAATGTTTACCGTTTGTACGAGGAATTCTAGAAGAATTAAGAAAAGTATTTTATTACTTTAATTGCGTTGATGTAAGTCTCTTTCTCTCTCTCTCTATCTTCAATAACAATTACCAAGCATATATATATATATATATATATACATTAAATAATTAAAGAAGAAGACGAATTTGGCTTATTTATATACCATTATCAATTCTTGTTAATTTTTTTTAACAAAAAACATTAGATTTATCATGATGCAGACGATTGGTTTGTTGTCTTTGATTCTAGTACGGCCGCAAAACGAGCTCTCGCATCAGTCGACAAAAACCAATTGGTAATGGGTTACAAGCTCAGTATGACTCTTCGGGATCCCACCGTGACAGCAGCGGTAACTGCAGCAGCGGCAGCAGCATCAGCAACAGTGGCAGCAGCAGCGGCAGCAGCGGCGGCGGCAGCGTCCTCTTCAACAACATTAAATCCAGCAAAAACATCAACGTCAACAATTACGACTGAAACCCTGCAAAGTTCAACAGTGACAGGTTCTTCAACTGCCACTCCAACCGCAACTCCAGATGCGTATGCAACCACAAACACGGCCACAATTGCTGCGGCTGAGAATACATCAACAGAAACAAGTTCAGCACATGGAATAGCAACCACAACCGTACCAGCAAAATCATCAACTAGATCAACTGTAAGCTCTACGGTCGACGCACAGAAATCTCCCGAGACTATGACCAGAAAACAATCGGTCATGAGTCAGGAAGACACCAAGTGCCAGGCCAAAAAGATGTTGTTTGAACAATTGGCCGATGTCTTTCTCAAGGATGTCAAGAACCGAGTTGTGGGACCTTGCATCTACGATTTCTTGAACCCGTCCCTTCGAAAGTCCCGTAATCACGATCCTGCTGGCTCTTTTGGAAATCTCGTCGATCAAGACAGTGGCAACAGTAGTAGTAGCTTGCGCGGGTCGCACGACAGTTTGCCGATCAATAAACTACCGAGGTTCAAGAAACGGCGTGTGGATCCAAGTACGGCAGCTACACCGACTGCGAGTGCGAGTGCGACAGACACACCGAATGCAGCAATCGAAACAGTAACAGCAACAACTGGTAGTAGTGGATATGATGTTTATGATTCAAGATCCAGTCACCTGGTCTCGCCAACACTGCAACCACAGATTCCATTGTCGTCGTCGTCTACGTATAACGGCCTTGTTGGATCTAAAAACAAACAAGCTGAGAAAAAGAATCTCGAGGAAGGCGAGTATCGATCTGGATCCTCTAGTGAAGATGAAAATGAACACGAAAATGAAGGCAGACACAACGAAGAGGATGAATATGAAGATTCTTATTACAATTATAATCGTTATCGTCAAAATCGCCAACCAAATCGACACCACAATCACCATTACAGCAGCCACAACCAAAATAATACTCATACTAGTTATAATACTCATAATACTCATAATAACCATAATCATCATCATAATCATAATCATCATAGCAGTACTACTACTACTACTAGTAGTAGTAGTAACCACTACAACAACCACTACAGTAATCACAATAGTCACAGCCATCACAGCCATCTTAGCCATCACCAAAAGTCTCATTCGCAAAAGTTAAATCAGGCATCCCCACTTCGATCCCCAGCTCGGTGGAAGCCATCTAGCAGGAGAGAACAGCCACGCCGACTACGAGACTATCTTAGTGACGAGAGTCAGGTTGATGATGAACACGATGCGTTTTTGCGACAGTTGCATGAAAAGCAACAGCAGCGTAGTCGCCATCAAGAAAGTGAAGAAGAGGAGGAAGATGATAAGTGGTTAGAGCCAGACAATGTAGAGGAAGAAGAGGACGATGACGACGACGACGAAGAAGAAGAAGAGGAAGAGGAAGAGGAAGACGACGATGATGACGAAGAGGAGGAAATAATAGAAAAGAAACGGTTTACTACACCTCGAAAAAGACAGTTGAAATACAGCAGTGATTCAAGCGAGGAAATACAGCGAAAACCATTGGCTCGAAAGAAACGTTTATTGAAACCTTCATCAGCAATAACAGTATCATCGATATCATCATCGTCAACAACAACAACCAGAAGAACAGTTGCAGTTCCACTAACAGCAATGACAAGTGTTGCAGTAGCTCCTCGTGTAAAGTCGAAACCAAAGGATGAAGCCAAGTCACGAGAAGAAGAGGCTGAAAAGGCTCGACTGAGACGAGAGGCAGCAGTGAAGGAGCGTGAGGCGCAGGAAGAGCTCGAAAAATCACTGATGATTTCGGATTCAGAAGATGATGAGGTGTTGACTACCGCCCAGTCTGAAGAGCCGTGTGACTGGGATCCGTTCAGACAAGTGGATGATGTAGAAGATTTCGACTTTTTACGACAGGTTATTGTAAACGATATCCACGGAGATCCCAAAGGTATGTATAAGAGAGATAAAGAGAGAGATACTATATGTATATTTGCGTACTAATTAATTGATGTTTAGATGATTTGGTTCAATCTTCAGAGACTGGTGGAAATATTACGAGTATCATGACTATTAATCCTACTACTATTAATACTACTGCTATTACTAATAATAATGATAATAATAATAATAATAATACTCTGAGTGTTAGTAGTAGTAGCAGTAGTATTACAGGCGGAGGATGTGCACGAAGCCGTGGATACTACATTATTCCTGACTCGATAAAGGCTACATATCTGCCTAAAAACAAGGCAGTTTTTGACACACCTGCGATCCTGGCTGGCCGGACAACCTCACGTACCAATCGAGTCAACAATCGACGCCTGGCAGTCGGCATGGCTATGAACAACCGAGCAATGGCAGATTCGGACATCCTCAAGTTCAATCAGCTAAAGAGCCGTAAAAAGCAACTGAGGTTTGCCAAATCACCTATTCACGACTGGGGATTGTATGCAGAAGAGCACATTGATGCAAACGACATGGTTATTGAATATGTGGGCGAGGTTATTCGACAGCAGGTTGCCGAAGAGAGAGAGAAGAAGTATGAACGGTGTGGAATTGGTAGCAGCTATCTGTTTCGTGTGGATGATGATACGGTGATCGATGCCACTAAAAAAGGCAGCATTGCGCGATTTATCAATCACTGTTGTTCTGTAAGTTTGTGTTTCATTTTTAGAAGAATAGGAAGAAAACACCACACAGAGACGAAGGAAATGAATAACCATTTGCTGTGTGGCTTAATATTCATAAACATTATTATCAAAAACTAACCAAATTTCAATATTCTACTATATATACTTCCATATTCATGTACACTCTTTGTGTTATGCTATAATGAACGCTTATCTACGTCTTGTAATCTCTATACGGTACTATTTCCTTTCTTTTTATAGCCTAATTGTAGTGCGAAGATCATCACAGTCGACAAGCACAAAAAGATTGTAATTTATGCCAATCGGGATATTGAACCGGGAGAGGAGATTACTTACGACTACAAATTCCCGATTGAAGCCGATAAAATACCCTGTTTGTGTGGCAGCCGGTTCTGCAAAGGAACGTAAGTATCAAGAAAGAAAGATAAGATAAGATGAATACTTGAATATCCTTATTAATCACTGCCTTTAAATGGATTACTAATCCTTGATAGATTGAATTAAAGGAAAAAGAACAAAAAGATAATGAATAAAAAAAAGGAAATACTAACTACTACTACTACTACTACTACTACTACTACTACTACTACTACTACTACTACTACTACTACTAATAATAATAATAATAATAATAATAGTAGTACTGGTATTAGTAATACTGCTAATAATAATAGTACTAGTACTGGTACTAGTAATAATGCTAATAATGAAAATGTCAATAATTTATACATACTTTATACATATACATATACATATATATAGACTATTGTGAAAACGCTTATTGGTCTCTTTGTTTTACCAGTATGGATTCAATTAGTATTACAAGTGCCCAGAAAGAATGTCATTAACAAGGGTTTATATCCAAACAAGTCCATAGGGTTTTGAGAATAGAGAGATATATGCTAGTCTTTATTTCGTATGGTTTTCTGTGCTTTAATATTGTTTCTATCATTTTCTAAGGTCTGTTAATCGTTTATTTCTGGTGCTGTGATTTTGGCTATTGACTATTTTCAAAAGAAAACACCCGCCCACATCACGTTGATAGTATAAATGTGTGTGTTCCTAAGCGTTTACCTAGTTGTGGCCGACCGCTGAAAAAAAAACAACCAACCGTAATTAGGTCAAAGTTTGCTTCTGTGTGTCTGTGTCTGTGCTTGTGTAATTTATATTGAATTTGGGGAAAAGTATATATAAATATAAATTTGTAGAGTTAAACAGTTTACTGCTATTCTTCTTTAGCTTTCGTCATATCAATACATAGGCCAGCCAGAAAGACTTTATATAAAAACAAAGCATGAACCATCCATACCACAAAATCGTTCTCTTTGGGGTAATAAAATTCTTTCATATATGAATATCAAGAAAATAAAATTAAACAACAAAAAGGAAACTAATAAATTTATCAGGATTCCATTACTCAGGTACATTTACCATTCGAATCAACAACAATCGAGATGAACCCACCCTTTTCTTCAATAGTTCAGCTTTGATCCTCTTTTTCAAGGATTTGGCGCCAGCATTGCCAATGTAATGTATTTGTTCCAATGTATTTCTATACATCAAGCTTGCCTTTATCTAAGCTCATTACCATTTCACAGGCATACCAACGCAAGATTGATGTCATGAACCGTGGATTTTCTGGTAAATTAACTTAAATACCAGTCAATGTATATCAGTATATAACAGTCGCGCATCTAACCTAAAACACGCATATATACAAAGGTTATAATACCACCTGGGCTATTCCTATCCTGCGTCAGTTGTTACCAACAGTTGAGCAGCAAAAGCAGCCTGCAAAGATTCAACTTTTGACCATCTTTTTTGGTGCCAACGATGGTGCGCTTCCTATTTCGTTCCAGCATGTCCCTCTTGAGAAATACAAAAAGAACCTAGAGGAATTAATTTCCATGGTTCGGTCTCCTTCTTCTCCTTACTACAACCCTTCATTGCGTCTTGTCTTGATCACCCCTCCACCTATCAATGAAGTCCAGTGGAAGGTGGTTTGCGAAGAAAATGGCATTCAACTGGACCGCAAGTTTGAGACAACCCGTCTGTATGCAGAGTGTGCTCGCAATGTGGGCAAGGAACACAAGATACCAGTAATCAATCTCTGGGATGAAATCCTGGACCGTGCAAAGGAGCAGAACCGCGATCTTTCTCAATTCTTGTCAGACGGTCTTCATCTTAGTAGTCTCGGAAACCAGGCAAGAATTAGATTAATTTATTAATTTATTATTGCTTTAATATGAGCAATTTTACTTACTATTTGCTTTGGTTGCTTCTTTTGTACAGACTGCTTATGAGCTGTTTATGGAAGTGATCAATACACACTTCCCTGAGCTTCATCCTGATGCTTTGGAAATGGAATTGCCTTACTTCCGTGATATAGATCCAAAGAATTATCTCGATGCACTCCAGTTCAAGCTTATCCAAAAAGAATAGGATTTAGATTTTGATCTTAACTGCCCAAAAAAAAATACAAATAAATAAATAAATAAGAAATATAGTGATGAAAAAAAAATGACTTGCTATCATTTATTTATTTACTTATTTATTTAAGCACCTTGGACAATAAACCTGGGATATCATATAGACAGAGTCATATACATATATAAAGAGAAGCTTTGGCTATCTTTACAATTCTTGTTCAAATAAACACTGTTTGTATTTTATTTTCTTTCTATTCATTCTTGGTCTCTCTTTTCTCTCTTTTCTCTCTTTTCTCTTCTTTGGTTGCTTTCATACCTTTCAATATATCATCCCGTCTACGTCTACATCTTTACCTTTATCATCTTCGTACATATCTGTATCTGTATCTGTGTCTGTGTCTGTATCTATATCTATATATTGGATTTTTCTTTTAAAAAAAAAACAAGGACAAACAAACAAACAAATAATGGTGCCTCAGCCTCGTGTGCAGGTTGTCAAGCAGCATTTGATTACCCCATCAGAACCCACACCTATTCACCAAAAACGTGTGAAGCTATCAGACTGGGATGTGGTCATGTTCAAATCCTACACGCCTCTGTTGCTTTTTTATCCTAACAAAGACAACACGCCAAACTTCATGGACACTCCAACCCTGAAAAGCGCACTTGCCAAAGTTCTGGTCAGCTTTTATCCTTTGGCCGGCCGACTGCTTGACATTGGCAACGGCAGAGACGTGATCGAATGTACGGACACCGGTGTGTTGTTCGAGGAAGCCGTCTACAACGACCGCCTCGAACGCTTCAGAGCAAAAGGATATTTGCCGACCCAGATCGACTACCACCACATGTTCCCTGTTCATTTCTATAGCTCGCCAGACGACCCACTCTTGGCCATCAGACTCATACGATTTACAGACGGCGGGGTTGCGCTGGCCATCATGATGCTCCACAAAATTGCCGACACTTACTCAACCAGTCTGTTTCTCGATTGTTGGGCAAAAACTGCCCGGGGCGTCGATTACACAAAGCCTAGCTTCAAACGCGACCTGGTCAAGTGTCCGGACAACACGGTTATCGGACCCGAGTCTTTGGAACACTATCGACAAGAGCATCGTACGACCAAAGACCCACTCCAGATGCAGATCTTACCCAGCCGCAGGAACCTAGAGACCACAACGCACAACAGAAGCCGATCTCTTTTGGACACTCACATAAAGCTACAGCCAACCAATATCGTCAAGCCTCCTCCACTCAAGAGTGTCTTGCTTGAGTTTTATTCGGACGGTCTGCAGGCCTGTAAAAAGGACGCCCACACACCCGAAATGATCCAGGCAAAACAGTGGCTGTCGACAAAAGATGCGCTGTTTGCTATGCTTCTTAGAGCACTAGCCCGGTCACGCCATGTCGATGACGATGAAGAAATCAAGTGGGTTGTGTCAGTGAATGGGCGCTCACGTATGAAGAACAGCAAGGAAATGAATTTTTATTTTGGAAACTGGATGATGCAAGTAGTGTGTGGAGTGTGTTTAGATATTTTATCTTTAATTCATACATGTACCTAATTATCATTTCTTTTTTTTTTTCTTTTTTTTAGTACTCGAACCTTGGGAATCACAAAGAATAGCCTAGAAAAGACATCGTTGGTAGACACGGCTTGCAATTTTCGACAAATGATGGCCAATCTCAAGGCATCCGTATTTCATGGTCTGAGTCAACTGTACACTACCCATGAAGACATGACTGTCCACTACCTGTCCTACCAGCCCAATACACCCACGCACCACACCGTCAGTGATGTGTCGATGCTTCCGTTCTGGCGCCTGGACTTTGGGTTTGGGGGTCCTGATCGCACGCGCGGATACATCACATTTGGTGGAAACGGGTGCTTGGTTTTGTTTGGAAGAAGTGAAAATACAAAGGGTCCAATATATGATATCCAGTTACAGATGGATGAACAGTCTATGAGGAAGTTTATAGAGGATCCAGACATAGTCAAGTATACCCATGCAGTTATTTACTGAGGTCTCTCTTTCTCGTTGTTTCTTTTTGTTCGTACTACACTACACCAACCTATAGATGCATACATATAAAGACTTGTTTTTGTGGGTATACACATATGCATGCATGCATGTATATATGTATATGTATATGTATATATATATGTATGGGTATGGGTATGGGTATGGGTATGGGTATGGGTATGGGTATGGGTATGTATGTGTAGTATGTGTAGCTATTGTTGTATTTGTTGTATTTTCACATCTTTATATTCCTTTTGACCATTCACTCCCTCACTTACTCCCATCATCGTTATCTATCTATTTATCTATTCTTCTTCTTTGTATCGTTTATTTGGTTTTGAATATTACTATTCTTATTTAATTCTTTGTTGCTGCTTTCGTTTTTTTTTGGCTTCGATAAACAATATATCTATATATAATACATATACATAAAGAAGGAGAGGCACAAGAAGGACAAAGAACAAGGAGAAGAAAAATTGTATAGAACAATGATCAAGTCAACCAAAAAAAAAATCAAGGGGATTATTTATGTGTGCGTGTATGTGTGCGTGTGTTTGTGTGTGAATTACTAGCTCTATTGCTATTGCTATTGCTATTATTGATTTTATTTAAAATTTTATTTTACAAAGCAGAGAGAGTCTGGTCTTGGAATCCATTTGGGGTGAGTTCGTAACCTTGGGAACGGTACCTTGACTGATCGAAATGTTGGTTGATTTGACCCATTCGATGGAATAGCCCCTTGTCTTGTGGCTTTTGTTGTGATTGTGATTGGGATTGTGATTGTAGTAGTGGCTGTAGTAGTATTGACTGGTTGATATGATTGGAGATGTGGTTTATGCAAGTATTTTTAGTTTGAGTATTATGATTAAGATTATTGATATCGATATTAGAGGTATTAGAGGTATTAAAGGTATTGAAGCTATGGAAGGTAGTATTATTAAAACTATCGTCATAACCATCATAACCATCGTCGTTTTCATTGTCGTTGTCGTTGTCATTGTCATTGTCGCCATTTTTTATGCTATTATTATAATAATTATTCTTATTATTAATAATGTTTTCAATGTTGATTTCTGGTAATTGTAGTTTGGTGTAATCGAACGGTAAGAATTTTTCGTCCATCAGATTGAGTTCAGATTCATCGAGTGTGAGTGGTACATCTGAGACACCCGAACTACGGTGTACTTTTGGAGTGTATTTTGTTGGTCTAAGGGGTACTTCTTCCAAAAGTAACTCTTCTAGTGCATGCACTGCATCAAAGTTTGATTCTTGGCTCTACAATAAACAATAGACAGCAACGATTATAATAATAACAATAATAGCAATAGCAATAGTAATATATTGAACAACAGTAACAACAACAAAAAATTACTTTAATTCTTTCTTATTTACTCTTGATTTAATTTAGTAACTTACATTTGGTATGAATGGTGAAACAGCAGTTTTTGTTTCAAGACCACGCCAGTCTATCCCGGCAAACCAAGCATGTTGTAGGAACTTACGCGGGCCAGCCGGTCCACAACCAAGTCGGTCGATTGGAGATTTTGTAAGCAACTAATTTGTCAGATATATATATATATACATATACCAAACATAATTAAATTACATGAATGTGTATATGTATAGAATGCAATTGCCCCACTATACACCCCCCACTTGAATTTGAATAAACACAATTGGTTTACAAAATAAGAGTAAAAAAAAAGTGCATATATGTAAATTTGGTATTATTCTTATATATCCACACATGTCATTTTAAAAAAGCCAAAATAGATTACCCATCCCAATGAAATAAAGTAAAATTTCTATATTTGTAATAAATGTTATTACTTACACCTTGGATGACTTGTAAACACTCGGGTGAAAAACGTGCAGAGGCATCTACGGGCAGGCATAGTGGGTCCTCCATAATTGCGTTTGAGAGAGCCTCGCTGTTAATGCCTCGATAGGGACGCTACATAACAAATACATAAATACATAAATATGTATGTATGTATGTATGTATAAATTATTACTATTATCTTTATACCTTTCCAAATAGTAATTCGTATGCGGTTATACCTAAACTCCACCAATCTACAGTCGTATCGTACCCTGACCCATTAAGGATCTCTGGTGCCATGTATGCCAAAGATCCTACTCGAGACCAGCGCATGGGACGTTGAGAATCAAATCGAGTCCCGATATTAAAATCCGTGAGATGGGCGTGGCCTTTTGAATCCAGCAAGATATTGTCGGGCTTGATATCTCTTGTTATATTATAAACACAAATATAAATAAATAAAGAAATAAAATAAAATAAATATAAAATATATGGTGCGATATGTATATATTACATATAAAGTGACATTATTTGATTTGATTTGATTTGATCTGATTTGAATATCTATCTATCTATCTATCTATCTATATATTGTTTGTTGCCCTTACCGGTGTCCAATTCGTTGTTCTCCCAGATATATGAGAGCTAATGCAATGTCGGCCACAAAGAAACGGACCTGATGTTCTGTAAAGACCCCCAATCGATCGAAATGAAAACGGAGGTCGCCTCCTAGCATCAAATCCAGGGCCATAAATACATGCTCGTCATCCTGAAACGCATATCGCAGATTGACTATGAGAGGATGATGGATATGCTCTAGCAGCCGTCTCTCGGATATCACATTGTGCGCCACCTTGAGTTGGACACACTTGGACTTGGATATGTATTTGAGAGCATATTCTTTCCGAGATTGTTTGTGTTGGATTATCCGGACCTTTCCAAACGCACCCTTTCCAATCACTCTTAGTAAATAAAAGTGACGGAGATTGGCTGCTATTATATATATATATATAAGTGTGCGTAAGTAGATAGATAGATATTAATAAGAGAATAAAAGAAAGCTATAACATTTTGTTTTGTTTTTGGTTTGTTAATTGTGACATGATTTAGATGCACAATGTAGATGTACAAGTCATTCGTTGTTACTGCGTTTTCTTATGGTAGTTATTGTTGGTTGTCGTAATAGTAATGACATCAAGCAAATAAGAAGCAACAGTAGTAATTTTATTACCTTGACCTTGGAAATCAATTGCTTCTTCTTTACAGCACTGATTACCCATAAAAGTGTAATGAGCTTCGGATGAGAACAATAAAATTGTGATAATTTAAAAATTAAAATATATTATAATTATTCAAATTATATATATATATATATGTGTGTGTGTGTGTGTGTGTGTATGTGTGTCTATATAGATATAAACAGTGTATATGTATGGATATATGTATATCTACTATTATAAATCAAAAGTTAATATTGAATATATATATATGTATATATATGTATTAATCTATATCTCAATTCAATTCAATTCAATATACTACAAATTCAATGCAAATCCATTTAAATTTATTCAGTTAAAGAAGCAGAGTTTAAATATATATATATATAAAATAGGAAACATCAAGGGACATAGATATATAGATACATAGATACATATAAATTATATTATAAATACAAAGAAACCAAGAAAGAGAGAAAAAGGGAAGACAGGAAAAGCAGGAAAAGCAGGGAAAGCAGGGAACAAGCTGTAAATGAGAGAGAAATACTATATATAATAAAGAAGGTCTCTCTCTCTCTCTGTGTGTGTGTGAGAGTAGAGTATAGAAATAGCATAATAATCTTTACAGTAAAACACACTATAAAAGTCGCATAATTCGAAAAAATAAGTCGCATTTTTAAGAGTTCCTGACCGTTATGAATGAACCTTTTTTTCCAAATAAACCGCACCGAAAAGCGCTCTTAGGCTATTAACCCATTAAACATTCTGACACTATTTTTTTAAAAATATATACTTTACCTTTTAAATATATAAAAAAAAAAGAACTTTGAAAAGATTTTATCCCAAAAATGCGCCTTATTTTTTTTTCGAATTATGCGACTTACAAACGTGTTTAACTGTATTTTGGCACCACAATATATAGCTAAATACGCGTCTTTCTCTCTTTTTCTTTTATACTCGTACAATACAAGAAATATAATTAGATATTGAATAAAGTGTTTCCTAAATTAGAAAAGCCATATTTGGAAATACTTTTAATTTATTATCCATATATGTAAATATGTTTACACCATTTTCCTGAGAGAAATATCATGCCTGCAAATCGCGTTTTTGGTGTGTATGATTCTGAATTGTAAATTCCATTACAAAAATTCACGACATAAATTTTCCAAGATATATTTTATATTTTATATTTTGGTCTTGGAAACATAAAATACATATTAGATAAAGCTATACAAGAGAGATACTGTCTGTTATGCTTTTTTTGTTTGTTTTACTTTTACTCTTACTCTTACTTTTACTTACTGTTAATATCACGTGACTGTAACTTGTGGCGTCACCCTTGGGCTAGAAGAAGGGGAAACAAAAACAGAAAAAAAAAGAAAAAAGTCATCTATTTATTGTTATAATTCTTATTCTTATTTTTTGTTGGGCCAATGCGTATCATTATCACATGCATAAAAGCGTGCTCTCTAACTATCTATAAAATATAAATATTATAAATCCATATTACTTTTTATATTTTATATATATATATATATAAATAAATATAAATAAATAAATAAGTAAATTATATATTCATATTCATATTCATCTATATATATAATAGTATTATTTTTATTTTACTTACTCACTTGGTTGGTTGCTTGGTTGCTTGGTTGCTTGGTTGCCTGTAGAAAAATTAATAAGAAATCCAAAAATAAAATAAAATAAAAAAAATTAAAAATTAAAAATTAAAAATATTAAAAAAAAAAAAACATAAATTATACTTCTTGTCCTCTTTTTTTTTTTCTCTTGATTTTCTTGATTTTCTTCTTCTTTAAACAAAACAAAAAAAAGGACGTTATATTATGATTGAAGACATTAGCCTTGCGTTGGGTAGAGTCCACTGGAGTGTCTGGGCTGTTGCTCCTATTGTGTTTGCTGCTCTCTACCGTAAGCATGGCAGCTTCTACTACCGCTCATTAGTTTCTATCATTTGCCTCGCAATCTCTGCAATCTTTGGAATGTGCGCCTCTCTTCTTCTGCCGCTTGTCCGTAGAAGCGACCTCACCAACTGGGCCGTCGCTCGACTGTATTACAACCTCACACGTATCTTCCTTGGCGTCAGCGTCAAGATTGAGGGAGCTGAAAACCTCAAGGTCGATGGTCCTGCTGTATATGTGTGCAACCACCAGTCCAGCATGGATGTGTTTGTTATGGGAAGCGTATTCCCAAAGGCTACCTCTGTTGTAGCAAAGAAGGCCATCAAGTACTACCCTATCCTCGGCTGGTACAGTAAGTGTTGTGAAGCCTTTTATTTATTTATATATGTATTTCTACAACCGTCTATAGAGAATACAAATAAGAAAAAGAGAGAAACATATATTGTATGAGAGGATTAAAGAATTGGGAAGACGGGAAGACAGGAGGAAGGAGCGTGAAAGTGGACGAAGGAATAGAGGAAGAAAAAGGGGAAGGGAAAAAAGAGATCGAATCGAATCGAATCGAATCAAATCAAATGATGGTTGTAACTAAACCATGTTTTTATGTTGTTTTTATCTTTATTAAACTATAGTGACCTTGAGCAATGCCATCTTCTTGGACCGTAAGAACCGTGACAGTGCAATCAAGGAAGCTCAAAAGGCTTCTGATGATATTCATCGTAAAAATGTAAGACTAATAAGACAAAACACAACGCAAATCTTGTTTTTCTTAAATCTTTAATATTAATTATAATTGATGTCTTTTTTTTGCGTTTTTATTTTTCCCCATTTCCCCACAATTCATATTTTTTACCTTTTTAAAAAAAACAAACTCCCCATTTTTAGACAAATGTCTGGCTTTTCCCTGAAGGTACTCGTGGTCATGAATCAGAAATCACCATGTTGCCCTTCAAAAAGGGTGCTTTCTACATGGCAGTCCAGGCCCAGGTTCCCATTGTTCCAATCGTTGTTGCCAACTATAACCACATCTACAGCTCTAAGCGTAAGGAATTCAAATCCGGAGAAATCACCGTCAGAGTCTTGCCAGCCATCCCAACCAAGAACATCCTTGCAGAGTCCGAAGCAGTGGATCAACTTGCCACTGGAACTCGTGAAAAGATGCTCGTAGCCCTCAGAGAGATCTCGGTTAATAAGAAAACCCAATAATTGATTAATTGATTAATTAATTAATTATAAGCTTTTCTTATAATTGTTTTTATTTTTATTTTTATTATTGTTTTTTATTATATATAATCATCACCTTACCGCACTACACTTATTCCATTATCTTTTTTTCTTTACCTCTTTATTTTTTTCTTCGTCTTGTTCTTGTTTTGTTTTTATCTCACTCCACTTTTCTTACCTTATCTCTCGCCTCATTTTACCTCATTTTACCTCATTTTACCCCCCCCCCCCTTTTTTTTTTTTCTTACCTCACCTCATTTTACTACCACTGTCAATGGCGCCTTTACTACAAACGTATGTTTTTTTTTTTCTTTTTCTTTATAAAAAGAATAAGAAGAAAAAAGAGGTGAGAACACAAGGGTACAAAAAAGGAGCAAGAAAGAAGTAAAGAAGTAAAGAAGCAAAGAAGCGAAGAAGCAAAGAATAAGAAGGTCAAATCAAGGATGATTAACAAACAAAACATTTTATATACACGAACACAAACATATATATATATACTACTCTACCACAACCACCACCACCACCATCACCTTTTATCTTCACCAACATATTATATAGTATATTTTATATTACAGTATCTAGACCTCTTTTACTTTCCTTTTATATAGAAAATATACAAATATTATAAACAAATGAATGATGGAGACAAACAGTGGGTCAAAAAGAAATCAACCGTTTTTAAGATCGTTTCTTCTCCCAAGGCTTTTTATTTTAATTCATTTTGATTTGCATTGATTTGATTTGCATTGATTTGATTTGATTTGATTTGATTTACATTGATTTATTTCAAATATTCATTTTGTACAAAATGACAAGCAAACCAAACCTTTTTCCCCCATCTTCCTCGTTTTCTCTCTCTCTCTCTACACTTCTTTTTCCCCCTTTTTTTTTCTTCCTCTCTTCTCCTTCCACTATATTTCACTAGAAAAAAATAGAAAAGAAAAGAAGAGGAGTGTATTTGTTTCTTTTTGTTGTTGGTTGGTTTGATTTGTGTAGTTTAAAGCTGGATTTGGTTGCGAGCATTGTACTTGTGAACGAGAGTCTAACAATAAAATGATTGAATATATTTATATATACAATATTACATTATTAATACCAATGTTCAAATAAAGACATGTATATATATTTATCACTCTAACTCTTTTTTTCTCTCTCTCTCATTTATACACACACACACACAATATATATATATATATAATTTACCTGACAGCTGCAAAATGCAAGGAAACAAGCATAGACTATGGCAGCAGTGAAACAAGCATGAGCAGTGGCCTTGGGGTCATCAGGGTCACTGGTAAACTCTGTCAAAACCTCTACTTCGGCATCAAAAGCAAACCCGAGAACAACCTATATAATATATAATATATTCACATTTCGATTCACGAGTAAATAAATGCATATATATATATATTAATTTTTATTGAAATAATAGTAAAATTACGAGTTTGTGAGTATAAATGTAAATGTAATTGTTCCATTTACTTTATTTTTTGGTTATTCATTCTTCAAACCAAAAAAATAAAATAAAAAGATATGTGATGAAGGAGACCAAATCCCTTGATGACTCTTTTAGATTGTCCATCGTGTTTATTACTAGCAATTACTCCTACTACTGTTTTCTTCTAATGTAGTAATGGTCTTTCTAAATCGAGATACTTACGAGAAAGATAATACCACAGACTGACAAGAGACTACAGCAGACAGACAGTCCAGGTCCAACAAATGTCTTCATCGTTATGTATTAAATTGTAGATATATGTATGTATATATATATATATATAATATAATATAATATAATATAATATATATATTAAAGGGGAAAGGGAGGAATTTGAAAGGTTTGAAACAGTAAAGGCAACCAAAAAGTTCACTTAAAAAAAGAGAGAGGGAGAAAGGCGACACTAATTAAATGTCCGACTTTACGTGGATGTAACACTACCAAGAGGACCATGTTGGAGTATAAGTCACGTCGCCTTACGTCACGACATTGCACACATACTAATCATTTTTATGCATACTCTCTCTATCTTCTTCTGTTTCTTTTACGTCTTTAGGGAATATAAAGAAAGGAAAGCCCATTATATATATTTATATTTACGAGGTAGATCAAACTTTACAGACGAGCTGTTTTAAGAAGAAATAACCCGTTTGTTCAAGTGTATTTGATTATTTGATGTAGACAGGCTAAAAAAGCTCAAATGAATATTAAGTAAAGTCAAGTTTTAGTACTATTTCTTCCACCAAAAGTACAATCTTCTTCTACTATTCAAGTGGTAATAGAAACAGACTAGCCAATCAGAGTCGTTTGAACTTTTTTTTTTTTGAACTTTTTAGTCTGTCCACATCAATAATTACAAAATATAAATGTTTATAAGCCCCCATTCTACTCTACCTTTTTTAACAGCTCAATGTTCATCTTCAATTGAATTGGACACAAATGTCGTTTCTGACCTATCTTGCTTCCAATATTTACATTACTCTTCCACAAATTAACCAGATAGAAAAATAATATAATGTAATAAACCACTTCTTCTTCTATTATTATTATTATTATTATAAGTATTAATTACAAATTAATAATCCAGATACGGATCTCTAGCCTAGAGACTGTTTAACTATCAACTCTTTGATTTGCTCATTTTTTTTTCTCTTGCTAATAATTCTAATATTATCATTATGTTATTTTATTTATTGTGTATTTGTGTAGTTTATATATCCGTATGTGCGTGTGCGTGTGCGTGTGCGTGTTTGTACTTAAATTATATCTGTCTTTGTTGTCTTCTTCTTCAAGGCTTTTATGGATCATCATCCCAATCACTTCCTTCACTATCACTGTCATCTGATTCAATGGCCTTCTTACGATCCTGAAGTGCCGCCAATAAACTTGTTGCTAAATCGTTGGCACCTGCTCCTCCTACAGTTCCGCCTGCAGCCGTAGCAGAAGATTTGGTACCTTCCATTGGACTGCTGCGATCATGAATTGCATCACGTGGAGCAGCCTTGAGAGCACTGATACCACCTGCACGTCGAATAGCATCCAAAAGAGCGTTTCGTGGCTCACCGGTAGCTGGAGCATTGGATGGAGCAGATGTTTGCGATGGCGGAGGAGGTGGTGGTGGTGGTCCCCCTCCTGATGATGATGGCGGTGGAGGCGGGGGAGGGGGAGGTCCACCACCTGGTGGGGGTGGAGGAGGAGGTGGTGGGGGACCGCTCGACTGAGGAGGATTAGGATGAGACTGCTGCGGTGGAGGTGGAGGTGGTGGTGGAGGAGGAGGAGGTCCTGCTTGGAATGACTCGGAAGCATCAAAGAACTGTTCATTCATTGATGAAGCAGGTGAAGGCATGGCAGGTCGGCTGGAAATCGAACGTGCTGTAGGACGTGGTCCAGCTGGTGGCGGTGGCGGTGGACCACCTCTACCTCGGTTAGGTAATGGTGGTGGTGGAGGAGCAGAAGGGCGTGCAGAAAGGCGACCTGAAGGCAATGGTGGTACAGGGGGTGGCAATGCACGCTGAGGTGGTGCTGATTGAGGTGGTGATCTTTGTGGAGGTTGTTGTTGTTGTTGTTGCGGCGGAGGTGGCGGTGGAGGGGGTGGAGGTGGTGATGATGAAGAAATATGTGAAGGCTGGTGTGCTGTATAAGCATTTTCATGTTCATACTCTTCTTCTTCTTCTTCATGACTGTACTCTTCATGGCTATGTGGCTGGTGGTGTGTCTCTGCAGCTTCTTCGTAAGTATTTTCGAAGGAATGGGTAGCTGGTGGTTCTGCCATACGGTATGGGTTGTTGGATTTTTTGGGCTGGTAATTAGTCTCCAAAGGTGGTATACGAGGTTGCTCTGTAGATCTGACTGGAGCAGGAGGTGGTATTCCACGTGTAGGAGGAGGCGGAGGAGGCAATTGTGTTGCAGGAGCGACGGTTCGAGATGGAAGAGGTACTCGAGTTGGTGCTGGTGGTGGTGGTGAAACATGGTTACTAGTGCTAGGGCGTATAGGTGGAGCCGGGGGTTGGGGAGCTGCTCTACGAGATGGTGGGGGTGGAGGTGGAGGACGACGACCTAGAATAAGTAGATTGGTAAATAAATAAATAAATAAATAAATAAAGGTTGGATGTTATGTTATTAATTATCCATTAATATTTGTACCCGCCCTTCCTTTGCCGTTCTTTATTTAATATTCTCTTGTATCTAATACATGTATATATATATATATATATATACTTACCACCAATTGGAGGGGGTGGAGGAGGAGCTGTTCGTCGAACAGGCGGAGGCGGAGGAGGAGCTGTACGAGCCTTGGCAGAGTTATTCTGCTGATTTGTAGGGACTTCAGGACCACCACGCTGGTTCACAAAGTCCTTGATAAAATCTGCGTTCTCATTAATCTCATCTGCAGAAATTCCCAGAGACTGTAGCTGATCAAATAGTCCATTCCATTCTGGATCAGTATTTTGAACGCTGAAACCATTCTCTGGAGTGTAGCCGATGTGACCCAAGTGTCTAATTTTTTATTATTAAAGTAAAACATAAAGTCATTACATATAACGACGGTGTTAATGAACAAGTCTTACCTAAAGCCTGAAGGTAAGCCAATTTGTGTCTTGTCTAGTTTTCCTTTTGGTTTCTTTCCATTGTCTAATTTAAGTTTATTGGTTAATTCAACAATGCATGTGTTGGTGACCACACACACACACCTTTCTTTTTCTTCTTTGGCGCAGTCTTTACACTTCCTTCTCGGGTTCTCACTTTGGTGTAGAATACAGAAGCATCTGTGGTGTCTGTAAAAGAAAGACCAATCATATATTCCTACACGCAACAATTCAATTCATAAGACATCTCTATTTAGATATAAATATATAGATATAGTACTTACATCGCCTGGAAAAGTGTAAAAGAATTGAGTAGCCATTTCAAGTTCGAATCCATCGTAGAGTTCTTGTTCCCAAATTACACCTCGATTGCTCTATACAAAACGATTTGATATGCAATGTAGTTCATTTAGGCATTTGTTTCTTTTTTTTTTAGTAAATTAGCATACCATAAGGTCGACAATTCTAAAATACATCGAGTGCTTCTTTTTGTCTTTTAAAAAACAAACAGCTCCCCAGATGTTCGAGTACGCCCATCGATGTGGATTAGGGTAAGCTACATAAACTCGTGCAACAGTAGCAGCATAGATTTTCTACAAAGATAGCAATATTAATATAAATATAAAGGTTTATTTGAATGGTGAAATAATGCTTGATAGAAAGGATAATGGGTTTGTGGGTGTTTTTTTTTCATTTTTTCATTTAAAAGATGTATCAAAAAGAATCGACATTAATTAACTTACAGAGGTCGGCAAGGCCCGCCTAATCTTGTTCTTGTCCTCAGCAGTCGAAAGTGCTATGGACGGCATGAAGGATAAGACTGAAGAATGAAAAGAAGAAGAAAAAGTAAAATAAAAGAAAAGAAAAAAATAAAGCACGAGATTTTGGCTTCTTCTTTCTGCTTCTCAAATTTGGAAACCAAAGAGCACCTTTCTATTATTTTTTCATTTTAAAATAAGAAATAAAATATAAAATATAAAATAAAATTAAAATTAAAAAAAAAAGAGGAAGAGAAGGGAAAGCGGAGTGTATTTTACCACGTGATTTCAATGCCGTCATGCAAAGGGTAGTCGTCAGTCGAAAGACAGACAGATAGATAGATAGATGGAAAGAATAAGAAAAATAAACGCGTAATCTCCATTTTGTTTCTTTCCAGTCTCTTTATTCATCGCATCGAATGTACCGATTAGAATCATCCTTACTGGGTCATGACCAAGACGTACGTTTATTGAACACTCTTCCTCTTATATACGCATTGAGATGATTACAAACAAACAAACAAACAAAAAACCCAAAAAAAAACAAAGTGAAAGAGAAACAGGAACAGGAACAAGAACAAAGAATTTATCGAGAATCACCTTTCTGTTTGTCTTATTTTTGCTATTATTGTTATTATTTTGCGGGATTTTTTATCTTACTATATATATATATATATTGTATCTTTGCAATGATGATAAACATAAACAGGTCAGAGCTGTCAGTGCTCTTTCCAATGACTTGGTTCTATCAGCCGCACGAGACAAAACAGTTCGTAGCTGGAAACGCACAGGACCCAATAGTTTTGAGCTAAATCATACATTCACTTTCCACGACCACTTTATCAATGCTCTTACTACCATTCCTTCTTCATTGGAGCATCCTAATGGTGAGTTTTTATTCTTCTTCTACAAGTCTATGATTAGTATGTAGAGTTTAAACAATTAATAAATAAAATCAGTCGCAGTGATAATGACAGCAATAGTAGTAGTGACAGTAAAAGAAAAAAATGAAAAAGAATATGCTATCTCAATCTTTTCTGTTAATGCTATTATCAATAATATCAAAATATTTCTCCAATTGATCGATATATGTATATTGGTATAAACTAAACTGTGGATTTTATACAAAAAAAAGGTCTATTTGTGTCGGGTGGATCAGACAAGTTAATCAATATCTGCGATCCATCCCAAACCGCAAGTCCATTATATACATTGGTTGGCCACACTGAGAATGTGTGTGCATTGGATGTTTCCCCAGGTGGTGACATTGTATCTGGTTCCTGGGACAAGTAAGTTTTTTTTTCCACAGTTTATTATTATGTGTCTTTTGATTCATTGAAAGAAAGAGAGAGAAAATTGATTTTTCTGACAACAGATATTACAAACTTTTATTTTATAAATTTTAGAAAGGCAATTGTCTGGAAGAATTATCAAAAGGCATATGTTCTTACAGGACACGAGGCTGCAGTATGGGGTGTGCTTGCCTTGGATGATGATGTGATTTTGACAGGTAAATATCCTATATATATATATATATATGTATGTATGTGTTTTATACACACACGCACACACACACGAACTAGCAGAATTGATTGACCGAATCTGACAACAACAACAATAGCTTCTGCTGACAAGACTATTCGATTGTGGAAGCATGGTAAACAAGTTCAAATCATTAGAGGACATACAGACGTTGTACGATCCCTTGCGAAAGTTCCTGGAGTTGGATTCGTTTCGTCGTCCAATGATGGGTAAAATACACAAAGAATGATTTATATATCGACAACCTAATGGAATATAACAACTAATATTATTAATGTAGAACCCTTCGAGTTTGGTCATTGGAAGGAGAATGCTTGCAGGAACTCCATGGGCACACTTCCTTTGTTTATTCGGTAGATGTTCTGAGTACCGGTGAATTTGTTTCATCTGGAGAAGATAGAACTGTACGCATTTGGAAAGGTAAAGTGAGAAAGAAAAAGGAGAAAAAGATATACTTTAAATAATAGTAATAGCTCATTATGTTTTTTCTTTATATTTTTTATCTTTATATGATGTATATTTGGAACAAACAAACGAATAATGCTTAGATGGTGAATGTGTACAGACTCTTCAGCAACCGTGTATTTCTGTCTGGACTGTGTCTGTTTTACCCAATGATGATATTGCTGTAGGTGGAAGTGATGCAACTGTTCGTCTGTACACCCGTTCTGCTGAACGTTTTGCCCTTGCTGAAGATCAAAAGGTACAAGATTTGTTTTTTTTTGTTGGTAGTTGTACTCGTATTTGTGTGCATGTGTTGTGCACCAAGTAACTGGAAAGAGGGGAGTGATTTGATAGACTACTACTGTTACTCTTACTATTCTTTTAATTTATCGGTTTACATTTTTTATAGGCATTGGATGAAGTATTGGCTAGTCAATCCATTCCTTCGTAAGTTTAATTAAAACAGTGAAACAAAAGAATACTCATGTACATAATATATATACTATTGATGTACTTTTTATAGTAATCAACTTGGAGATGTTAACAAAGAAAAGTTACCTGGACCAGATGCCTTGTTGACTCCGGGAAAGAAAGAAGGACAAGTTATTATGGTAAACGCAGGGAATGGCACAGTGGAAGCTCACCAATGGAATTCGTCTACCCATAACTGGACAAAGATCGGTGAGGTTGTGGGCGGTGTTGGATCAGACAAGAAGCAGATTTACGAAGGCGTTGAGTACGATCATGTGTTTGACATTGACATTGGTGGTGGACCCAATGCGATGCTCAAATTACCTTACAACTTGAACCGTAAGTTAGTCAGTAATATTATTATCATTAGTAACGTGGATCATTTGGGGATAACAGAAGAATGACAATAGAGTTAAACTAAATTTTATTAATTTGTATATAAAAGAAAACCCGTATGATGCTGCACAGAAATTTGTTACACGCCATGAACTTTCACAAGGTTTCCTTGATCAGATTGCAGACTTCATTACTACCAATACCAAACCTGCTGAGATTGGCCCCAGCACAACCCAATACCAAGATCCATTCACAGGTTAGTAAAGTGTTCTTTCTTTTATTTATATATGGGTAGATGTGTAAATAATAGTAACTCTAACTGGATTTTTCTTTTACATATATACAAATACAATCTGCAATTTATACATACAAAGGTGGCAATCGCTACACACCTGGCCAACAGTCTTCTCAATATGGTGCTCCATCTACATACTCGGATCCATTTACTGGTAACGTACCCAAGTATACATGTATACTAAACAAACCAAAAAAGAACCAGTATATTAAACAGTACAAACTTCCTTTTTTTTAGGTGGATCCTCATACAGATCGTCCGGTCAACCAAGCCCTGTAGTACGCACCCAGTCAATATTACCTATTGTAAGTCCGTGAACCTGTTTGTTTGTTTGTTTGAGGGTATTTATGCTTAAAAATATATACACACACACACACACATATATATATATATATATATATATAGAAAACGTATCTGGCTCTCAAGCAAACAAATCTCAGTGCCGTCCAAGCAAAACTAAGATCTCTTAACAACGAAGCTGCTGGATCTTCCAAGCTGTCAGATGAAGAGCTTGGATTGGTAGCCAAAGCAGTCGACTTTTTGAGCAACCCTCAAGGCAAATCGATTGATCCAAAGGGTTTGGAAATCCTGGTGAGACTTTGCCAGACCTGGCCTGTTGGCCAACGTTTCCCCGCATTGGATATTCTGAGACTATACTGCCTCTCAGCCCCAGCTGCGCTTGCTGCCGCAACCTCTTCGCTTTCTTTTGCCAGTCCGGCTACCTTTTTCTTACAGGCCGGTGGGTTGGACAAGCCGGTATCTGAAAAGGTTGCCGAGACAAATGCTATGCTGGCCTACCGTGGACTTGCCAACCTCTTGTTCCCTGAAGGTCGGGAAGCATTGTGGCCAAATCGTAATGTTTTCTTGAACGCTGTACAAGCCGCGGGTGTCTACAAGAGTAAGGCAACCCAGTTGGCCGCCAGCACCTTGGCTGTAAAGTAAGTTAGGCTGTACGCGGTAATTGTTTTGTGTGTGTATTTTAGGAAGATATGAGGAAATTAATGAATCTGAAATGCCAAACCAACAATCGTTTGCTTGTGTGTGTATAGTTTGGCTGTATTACTGACTACTCATGGTGACCGTGACGAAGATGGCGAGTTATCATTGATGAGTAGTCTGTTGAATCTAATCAAGAATGAGGGACTTGATGAAGAGACATTGTATCGTCTTTTGGTGTCTCTTGGTACTTTGGTAAGTAGAACCACCCCTTCCTCTTCTTTAATATATAATCTACTCTACTCATTTAATTTACCCTTAACAAATTCATGTCCAAACTTCTACAATGTTGGCTTTATTTTACTTACCTGTTTATTTTTGTATAATTTCTGTTTATAGCTAAAGGAATCAAGCTCTACGCGTGAAGCTGCAAATATTATGGAACTTAAAACTGAACTCCAGCGCCTCAGAGGCAGAAATGCACTTGCAGAGAGAATTACCCGTGTATTAAGTAAGCTTAAAACTAGTATATATGTATGCAAAGAAAAAACCTCCTTTGATGAAAATTAAGAAATAACATGTAAATACAATTCTTTTTTCTTTAGATGAAATGGTTACATTAATGAAAGCTTAATAGTGTATATATATATACACACATATTGGCTTATACGCGTATATGTTTGTATACACTCTCAATCATAAACAGAAAGAAAAATGATATAAAGATAACTAGTTTTGTATGGAGTATGAAGTATATATATATATATTCATGAATAAAAAAAAATAATGACTTGATGATTGAATTATTTTAATAATGAGATATATATATATGTATATAAGACAATCTATCAGCCATATGTTTTGTGTCGGTGTTTGTTTTGTAATAAGCACTGGATTTGATGATATAGTAAAAACTCAATATGGGTGACGAAAGTGCGAGAATCAAAACCTCTTTTACTTGCATATCCTAGTTTATCTACCTACTTTCGCTTAGCAACAGTATAACTGATAGAAAATATTTAGTTTAAACAGATAATTATTATTATATACTTTGAAGGTTGTTGAATATACCGTTGGTGGAAAAAAAAAGATCAATTTTGATCAAAATGACAAATAAAGTACAAACAGCCATCTATAAGTCAATATCTGTTAACTAAAGTTTCTTTACATATGTAAGTAACCTGGTGAGGTACGCTGTGATCCACCATAAAAAAGACGTTTGCCATCGATTGCTCACATATTGATAAAAATATCCCATTTTTTCACTCTAAAAAAAACATTTACGAATGAAAAAATCGATATTTACATCACATAACGATGTTTGATCCCAAAGTTCCCTCAGGACATACACCTAAAAAAAAATCGAAATTTTGTATTTTGTTCTACTATGTAAAGTTGTTTACAAAGTAAATATATAGCGTTCAGTGCCTGTCTGACTAACAACAGACCGATATTCATAGAGATATTGAGGGATTAAAAAACGACAATATCAATATTTGCAACATATAAAGACGTTATTTGAATGTCCGACTATAAAAGTGTGTCCCAAAACCTCATCTCGCTGTGAATGGCAGCCTTTGTAATCATTTAGCGCATAGCTTTATCAAGAAAATAGATACTCTGTGATATTATATATATATATATATGTCATAATTTTTATTAGATTTTTCAGGATAATAAACAAGAGTAGTAATAATATAAAAAGTAATATGAGCATGAGAGCATAAGGTAGAGGAAAAAAGATAAGGTTAAAAGGTGACAGATGTGATACAGAGTGACAAGTGTATGGATCTGGGTGTAAGCATAAAAGTTAAAAGAGGCATCTTGAATGTTGGAGTTACCATTTTGAGGAATTAAAAGGCACCAAACCTGGCATACGATCAAAAAAAATGTCATATGAACCGTCGTAGAAAGTAGTAGGATAGGAGGAAAAATTCATATAGTGGCAAAGAAGGGCCGTAAGATATCGGTATTTGTGTCAGTAACGCGGAAAAACCTCTGAATGATGTTTGGATACGCTGGTCGGTGATATTGAGTGTCATAAAAAAGGGGGCAATGAAGTGAAGGATCATATTAAAAGGTATCGGATACCACCAGTTCGTGAGATTGAGAGTTAGGAAGAAAAGTATTGCGTGGCATAGGGTGTCATATAACATTAGGAGGAAGAGGAAGAGATAAGCATATTGAAGGAGGTGTATCATAAGCAAATAAAAATAAAATGTAAAAGATAGGGCAGAACTGCGCGGGCAAAGTGACTTTGCGACTTGTAAGATAAAGTAAAGTACAAGATACAATTATAAAATACATAGAAGAACGGGCTCATAGCCAACGTATAAGAATCAAATGAATTGTTGGCGCAAGAAGAAGGAGAGGAAAAATGCATTGCGACCGGAGAGCATAGTGTTGTGTGGGCTGTATCAAAGAGGCCCAGTTTTCCAGTGGGTCGAGTAAGGCATAAGGTGGTATTTTTTTTACCCTTTGAGACGCACGGTACATAGCAAGTATACCAATAATAGCCTGGAGGGCTTAAAGGGAACAACCGCGGGAACCAGACGGGATAGAGATTATGCCAAAGGGCGAGAAAGGATGGGGACCCTAACGATTGTTGCACAGATACAAGCAGAAATTTAACATTGAGAAGCTTGGTTCCGGATGGATAGTGTGAGCAAGTAGATAAGCTGAATAAATGGCCGGCGAAGAAGACGAACACTCATTCTAAGCTAAAATCCCAACCGACTAGAGAGCGGCCATCCATTCTGGAAGTGAGGTGCTAGACAAAGAAAGAGGGCATGATATTTGTGCATATTGACCTTGGCATTTGGTATCCAAGCAATGAGTACGGGTATATATGTTCAGCCGGTGTAAACCATAGGGAGCCTTAATATATTTGAGGAAAGTATAAACATAAGAAATTACTTTGAGATAGAGAGAGATATTAAAGAAGCCAACTGTTATAATTTGAATCGTCTTTTATAGTTTCTTAAAATGATACTGCGCATTATTCGCAGTAGTTGTTTTAATATATATATAATAAATAAAATAAATGCAGTATAATGTGATTAATGCTCAAAAAAGATGTTATATGAGAATTCATCCTTGGGTGGTATATGGTCGCTCAGTGACAACAGTCAAGAGTCAAGAGTATATTACTGCGCTTAAAGAAGTACTGCGGTTAACCGCCTTTAGATTTTACATGTCGTACTTAATTTCAGTGATACAAATCCTGGTTATTTATCTTTACGAAAGAAACAGAAAATTGAATGATTATTCATAAGCATGTAATTTTAAAGACTTTTAGTATGTTTGTAATAATATGTACTAATACTAGACACTTCTTTATGGTAGTCATATATGGATAATCATTTGAACAACCATATAAAATAAACCAAGCCAAAACCAAATTAAAATAACAGAATTCATATTTTCTACTTTATCTTACTTTGCCATACTCCTGTGTTGTATTGAATATTGACTGATTCGGCTACATTTACAGCAAACTTGAAGATAACCTAGGCCAGGAACGACAAGAGTAAAAAAAAAACGTCCGCGACCATGATTCGAACATGGGTATCCCAGATTAATTCCGGGTATATTACCACTACATTATCGCGGATAATATGACTTTTTTTTATGAAACCTAGTATACTAATTAACTTTTAACAGAATAATAATAATAAAACAGTGGTAAATATGAAATGATTATTATGTACGACATTCCGCAGTCGATTTTAATGAGTTCAAAATATGGTTCTACACAAGTCTTACACATGTATCATATGGAGAGAAGTGACTAACTTTATTTTCCATGAGAGGAGAATGGCGTGAATAAAGAAGAATATGGTCAGCACTCAATTTAATAATAATTCCAGAGTAATTTTTTTTTGAATATAGTGATGTTTGATAAGAATGATTCTCGCCCATGTCACTAAATCAAGCACTGTTTTTATATATGATGAGTTATACCAGCTTTGAAACTTATTTCTATAAAATAAAGATATAACACAATTAAATGATTAAACTGTTAATAATTAACAAAATTAGGAAGCAAGAATAATCAAACAATATAGAAAATACTGATATGTTATTTCAAATAAAGAAGACTTGTCAGACAAAAAAAAATACTCTAGTTTATTTAATAAAGACATTGAAGATATTTATACCAAAAAAAAAGAGAAAATGCTGGTAGAATAAAGCTTTGACTTTTATATATGAATAATATGATGATAGAATTGTAAATTAAATAATGTTAATGCTTATATTAAATGATAAAAGGTGTGCGGGCATGTCAGACATCTTATAATTGCTTCGAAAGACAGAGAGTCTCATAACAATTCCGTGTCACAATTGAAACATGGTGGCGAGAGAATGAGTAGAAGTTAAAGGAGCAATCTTATTAAAGAACCAAAAATAATAATAATGAAATGTTTAATTAATAGGAGCCATTTATACAGCTGCGCCACTATCTAAAAGCTCACTTTGATAAGTGGCATTAAAGAAAAAAAACAGTGTACAAAATTAATTGTGTAAAATCATCTTATCTGTGATGTTACAACGGCAGTATTCCTGGATGGTTTCGGGAGATCCATGTTCGATTCATGGTCACAGACTTTTTTGCTTTTTTTTTGTCGTTCTTGATCTAGGCTATCTTCCAGTTCATTATAAGCATAGCCGAATCAGTCAAGCTTTGATACAACGCTGGAGTATAGAAAAACAAGAAAGAAAGATATATATACGTTTGACTCAAAGAGTTAAAATTGGGGTTATCATGTTCATAGATGAGAAACATATTACATATCGGAACAGATTCTATATGCTTTTATATATCAATGATAGTTTAAAGAGGTACCCATCATAATTTATTTGATATTTTATTTTACATTCGTGAATCATATAACAGCAGTAATAAATTTACTATGGATATAGATAAATAAATTTAGCGAGGTGTGATAATCATAATATTCCCAAGGATGTATATATCTTATAACTGACTGAGGGTGAAAGCTTGGACTAAAAAAAGGCAGGCTTTTGCCTATTGAAAAGAATAATAGTAAATAATAATGAAATGCCAGAAATGAAGATCTATACCATTGGAAGAAATGTAAAGAAAAGAAAAGAAAAAACTGTCCTTTGGTAGATTTTTTTTTCATTTCATTTAGAATGGACCGCCACCCATATCATTTCTGAATTATTATGAATCTTTTTTTTTTAAAGAAAGGATAATGATTGAATGTTGTAGAATAGAAACAATAGTTATTGACAGTTTGATATAAATGTATATATTCAGTCATTCATAATATATGTAACTATGGTAAAGCAACAATACATACTACAAGGAAATATTTCCTGAATAGGTTGTATTAGATAATTTATTTTACAAAGGATATTTTTTTTCTAAGAAGATCAAGATGATTTCTGCCTTTTGACAAGATGTCTTTAGAGCTGGATTTGTATGTCTTGATAGAGTCAATTTTATAAGACATTCCAAGAACTAGAAGCAGGTTATTATTAAAAGCAAAAACAAAATTACTGTTATATCAATTCCACTTTGAATCCTTTTCCTTTTCCTTTTCCTTTTCCTTTCGTTTCCTTTCGTTTCATTTCATTTCATTTCATTCTTTTACTCCTTTATATATATATTTATTTATCTTACCTTGCAGAACAAATAAATAGAAGAAAGAAGAAAAAGAAGGAGATCAGATCCATATCTTTATAATGGCTCGTCGATGGAATATTCCGGAATATAAACTTCTGGTCACAATAGGTAAAAGTTAAAAGAGAACATGTATACATAGCATGATTTGTTTCAGAAAGACTTCTTTCAAATAAGTTCAAGATCAACATAAAGTTAACATACATATATTTTAGATCTCGGAACAAATCTTTCTGGTTACCTTTTGACGCATTTTAAGCAAGAAGCAGATATAAATCCTATAACTGCTTTACCTGTGTAAGATATCTTGATTCTAATTATTCTAACTATTCTTAGATATTAAGATAATAATAATAATAAGCAAGACCAAGCCATTACGATACATATACATTTGCAGAAAAAAAAATGGTTATTCAATCAAAATTGTCTTTTCTTGTATTGTATTGTATTGTACTGTGTTAGTTTTGTTTTGTTTTGTAAGGCTTATGTGAGCATTGAAGTTCTTGCCAGTGCATATGATTTCTGACTCATAACAAAATATTATTTAAAATTGAGAGCTATAAATAATGGTACTAACTCGGATATTTCTGAAACAAAAAAAATTGTTATGTGAAAAGAGCCAGACACTGGTTCGGATGGAGGCTTATTCAAGAAATCCAGCGCTTAGAAAACAATAGGGATACTGAGCAAAGTAAAGTATATATATAAAATGATTTGTGTATTTACTTACTTATTTTACTTGCTTAATTCATCAATAGTTAGCCAAGACTTGTTGATGCTAATAAGGAATTTGATCTTGGCTGACATAAACATACAGTACCCCTTTTTCGACGATCGTACAAGATACAGATATGCTCTTCCAGCCCCGGCTAGCTGGTCCGAACGAGCCAAGCTCAAAATACGGTCTAATGCTGCCGCGATTAATCTAATCAATCATCAAGACGATCCAGGAAGGATGATGCTTATTGACGAAACCGTGGCCGTTGCCGTGTTTGCTGATCATGTATTCTCGGGCCTGAATAGCCCACATTTACAAAGTTTTATGGTTTGCAATGCTGGCACGGGACTTTTATCCATTAGTGTATTTGAGAAGGAGACAGACGAAGAGTCGGAGACAGGTACAGGAAGTCTCAAAGAAATCACAATGGAAACCTGTGTCTTTTGGGGATCTGCCTTTTTGGATCATTATTTTGAGATTCTGGTAAGACTCAAGGCTTCAAATCTTGAAGACTACAAAGAGAGCGATGTGACAGGAACTTTAGATGAATTCAGGCGAGCATTAAAGGTACGTATGCGTATTTATATACAATGAGTAAATATATACATATTTCAAACAATAGCTTAATTACTATTTAATATATATATATATATTATGTAGATTTTCTATGAAAATAACTGTCATGACGAGGATATAATGGATTTATTAAGAGCAGTTAATGAAAGATACACAAGAGGGTATAAAACCACGGGTGATAATGATGGATTTACGCTGTATGAGATTGGCGTATATGTCTTTGATCCAGTGATTGATCAGGTAGTCCATACGATCGAGGACCACCTTAAACAACTTGGGGATCGAAATCTAAGCACCATGTTTACGACCGGGAGACTTGGGGAGTCCAATTATTTTATGAAGCGGATCACACAAGCTTTCAGTAACCGATTTAATCATTTCGAGAGTTTTGGAGAAGAAACCAGACCTGTGATGAGAGGAGTCAGCTTGTTTTCTGCTAACCCCAAATTAGTCAGTCAAAGGATCGTACGCTACTCGTATGGAGTCAAGCTGGGTTCGCCCACTGTCAGGCCCGATGGTTTGCCTCCGGTCGACGAAGACAGATTTTATGTGTGTGTTAAAAAAGGCGAGGCAGTTGGCGAGGACATTTGGTCCAGTACCGAAATTCCTTGGAATAAGAAATTTCTTCCGATTGTATGTAAGTGTTTGAACTGGGTTGGGCTGTTTTTTTTTTTTATTATTATCATTAGAAAGCTGATAATGACAGTAACAATAAAGCTTTGTATGCATACTATGATGATGGTCCGATTCCCGACTACCCTGATGCTGAGAAGCTTGATTTAGTATGCATTTCTGACTACAATTCTCCAAGGATTAGTCCAAGGGCTATCAAGCGTGAGATGATGGCTGTGAAGTTGTGCTTTCGTATAGACAGAGTTGATGTCAAGGTGAATTATGCGAGAGGAAAGGATTACAAATACGACGTTGTTTGGGATCCAGTTGGAGAAAGGGTAACCCGGCGTATGGTTGAGATTAACCCACCACCATCCGTCACAGTAAGAAGGGATTGGATTATAAGGGAGTTGAATAGACATGGATTGTAAAAAGCAAAGGTTTGGCAAAGCATGAACGATTATAAAGATTCCTTTGGTTCTTTATAATTTATTGTTTGCAAGCCGTATATTTTTATATTTTTATATTTTAAATATGAATGTTAGACTTGGTATATGTATAGAGATGCAGTTAGTATTTACTATAGCAAAATATATTCAAGTTCAATGGCTTTACATCCATTTATAAGAATTACTTGGCCACTTGTTCATTTGTCTCTATGTATTAAGCTAACGGTAATGAGACCTTAATAGCAGCAATTTGGCTATTTACTGATAGCAATATAGAAATATCATTATCTCTATATTAAGTTTCTAAGAAGAGTAATAAAAACCCCGGTCTAATTGGGGTCTAGAACAGTATTTGATCTAATCATTTCCCATTTTCTTTTTGCTTCTTTGCTTCCTGCTTCTTGCTATCTACAGTTATAGTCGAATTTGTCATGTCTTGTTCAAGTTTTATTACTAGTATTAAGCATAAAGATATATAGTAGAGATTTATGTATGTGTTTTATCTGAAATACTAACCAATTTTCCTTTTAATTTTGGAATATTTAAACAAGGGCTATAGATATCATATCATTTAAGAGAAAATAATAATCACAAGCTTATTAATCATAATAATCTATTTTGAAACAATATTTTTTTTGATAAGAAAACCTGTTTAATACTTTGGATATTTATAGACACCACACCATTGAATTAATAAAAGCACATATATGATATTATAGGCCAGAATGTGTAACCTATGGTGTGAAAATAAAAGAGGGAAGGAGGAGGAGAAGGAAGAGGAAGAGGGGGGTATTGAAGGATAGAAGAGATAAATGCTTACAAGTTGGACTAGTATCAAAATAAGATAAAAATAAAAATAATAGCAATCATCAATTCCATTTCGATTGAATAACCCGACCCCTTTCTTTTTCTTGTGTTATATGGATATAGATACACTATGTATGTATTTTTTCTGCTGCTGCTGCTGTTGTTCTTGTTGTTCTTGTTGTTCTTGTTATTGTTGGTAGTCTCCTTATTCCTGAACCAGACATTATAATAGCCCATAGGAACATAGATACATATCTTTATTTACCGATTTATTGATTTATTGATTTATTGATTTATTTGGGTATCTTTGGTAATAAAGGGGTTTGTACGGTAGCACGATGATCCACTAATTGCTGACGTCTCTATTTATGCACTCCTTCTATAAAGCTTGAAAGACCAGTGTTCTTTACTTTAAATTTTCTCAAGCCCACAGTTGAGTAAGTTGTCAAGTAGCCAAAGCATATAAAGAAAACTAAGAAAACGTTTGGTAAGATATGTGACAAAGAATACCAATCTCTATTATATCTATATCCATGCCTGTGCCTGTGTCTGTGAAAAGTGTGTAAATTTTGTAAAATGTGTGTCTGTTGGTTTCATTAAATGATGTGATTTTTACTTGATCAACAGAGTACTTTATAAACTTTCAATCTACATATCCAGGCACACTTCTCCCACACACACACACAGAGAGAGAGAGAGAGAGAAATATATTTAATTATTTAATTTTATTTGTTGTCAACTCTGTTCTCCTCTTTCTTGCTCTCTTTCCTTTTACTTTCCTTCCTTCCTTCTTTGCTTCTTTGCTTCTTTGCTTCCTTTCCTTTACTTCTTTACTTCTTTATTATTACTATTATTCTTTACTCTTATTGTCAATATTCTGTACAAGACAAAAAAAAAAGGGAGAAACATGTCACAACTACCAACTGTTCGCGAGTGTTACGAGTGGATCAACGAACACTGCGCTTCTCTTCTCAATAGCCGGGTCATTAGCGAAAAGGATCTACTGATGGTTCTCGACAGTGCCCGCATTCTCATCAGTGCCCTAGACGCGCCGATTCCTCAAAAGACTGCCCTTGAACTTGGACTCCAGAAGCTTCGGCAACAACAACAGCAAGAGAGTGATGCCAATAATCCAGACCAGAATGAGGAGATCTCATGGACAATTACCATTCAAGAATTACAAAAACTGTTTCAGAATGTTTTACCCTGGATACAATTTCCTGAAAAGACAATAACCAATAACAGTAATAATGATAACAACAACAACGACAACGACAACGACAACAACAACGACAACAGCGATAATAGTAACAATAGTAACAACAATAGTAACATTATAAAGATGAATAAGAGTGGTATTAATGGTCACTATAAAATCGAAGAAGCACGGATATTACCGCACCGTTACAGCCAAGCAGACTATGCATCAATGGGAACGGACCCAGTGGATGCCCAGGCCATCTGGTTCCGTCAACGCTTTGTCGGAAAATCATATATTAGCTTGATTGGACCCATGGCATCCAACCGTGACACACACAAAGAGAATGTGATTATTTCTGTAGTTCAGGAATACAGCCCTCATGGCTACAATATCATTATCCGTCACAAAGAGGTACAGACACACACACACACACATATATATATATAAAAGAAGGTTTATAAAAAAAAGACAAAATTAAAGAATCTTTAAATATATATTATATATACACATACATACATACATACATACATACATACATACATTTAAAACAACAACGGTAACGACAACGACAACGACAACAATGACAATGACAATTACAATTCCAACAATAAGTATAATGAAGTTCGGATAGTACCTGAGTCTACAGCTAAATATACCGAAATGCGTCTCGAGGCAGCAAACCAGGGACATTTGTTACATTGTGGTCACTCTGACCGTAAGCAGCGTCCACTGAGAAGTCTGTCGTCGGCAATTATCAGCAGCACCCAAACTCACTCTAGCAAGCGTATGCGGGCAGCTCTGCTTTCAATTTACCCAACCATTGACCTCAGACTATTCAAAGAGCTTACTGCTGAAGCAACCATCCTGGCTGGCCTAGAAAAAGACCTGATAAAGTTTGACGAAATGAATGTGAGTTTCTTCTTATTCTTGTATTTTATTTATTTATAAATAAATAAATTAAGAAAATAAGAATAATTTTAATATAAAAAAGGGCAAGAACCATGAGGTGAATAGATATATGGGAATTTACAGTAGTAATTTATTATTAATTTATTATTATTATTATTATATATTATTCACTCAGATCTCACAAGGCTACAAGTTTGGTGTGCTGTCAGTCAAGGATGGTCAGACAACAGAAGAAGAGTGGTTCTCAAACTCTGGGTTGTCGGCACCTTGTGAACAGTTCCTAGAAATGATGGGATCTCGGGTGGAATTGAAAGGCTACGGAGGCTATGCAGCTGGACTGGATACAAAAAGTAAGTAAGAGAGAATGATAATTAGTTATCAATATATCAGGTATACTGGTGTCATTATATTAGAGTTAGAATTAACATTAGAATTAGTATTTTCTGAATCCCCCCTTTTTTCTTTCTTTCTTTCTTTTTTTAATTACTGCATAATAATAATCATTACCACTATCATTATCATCCGACGTGTGAAATATATATATATATATATATTACTCAATATATCTATCAATCAATATTTTCTTTATGGGTATTTACATTTATTTATTTTTATAGCTGGTGAATCAGGCGAGGTGTCGTATGTCTCTAGCTGGGAACATCGAAATATCATGTACCATGTAGGTCCCCTCATGCCCCTCAAGACTACAGATAGACAGCAAGTACATCGAAAGAAATACATTGGGAATGGCAAGTTTCAAACCCAAAGTTTTTATTTTTTTATTTTTTATTTTATTTTATTTTATTTTATTTTATTTTTTATTATTTTATTTATTATTATTTATTCATCAGATTTTCATGTTAATAATCATAATAAAAACATACACACGCAAAAACGAACGCAAAAACGAATCTACATCTACACCAATACCAATACCAATACCAAACAAATACAAAATTACACATTCAAAATCACAAACATATGAACAAACAAAACCTACACACGAAAAACATATATATATATATATATATACGCAAATACGCACTTTTAGATATCGTATGTTTGGTTTTCCTCGAAGGACCAGAGTCAAAATTTGATCCAAACGAAATACACTCTCAATTCTTGCACGTATTTGTACTCGTCAGTCCAGAAACAGTTCAAGACAGACAGATGTGGAGGTAAGCAAGAAAATATCAAAAAGATATAAAAGCAATAGAGTAACCTAGCCCTTTGAATATATATAGAGTACAGGTCATGGCAAACAAAAACATTTCCGACTTTGGACCATGGTTACCCAGCCCACCTTTACTCAGCAGTAATGAACTTTACGGTTTCCTGACTCTTAAATGTAAGTGTGCATATCTGTAAATAGAGTACAAGAAAGAGAGACAGAGCAAGTAAGATATGTGTATGTGTGTGTGTGTGTTTCTGTATTGTATAGCCCATAATGTAATCTAATGTAATGTAACGTCATGTAATTTTGTATGTATCCATGTAGTGATCAATGCTGAAAATGCTGCACTCAAATCTGACAAATTTGCTAGCATGAATGCAAAGACCCGCACAGCTATGCTAAAATCAATTATCGAAACTGGTTTGGATGCCAACAATGTCACTCGATCGTTCAGCACCGGTCGCCTGTTGGATGGTGGCTACAATGTAAAACCACCGTCATTTAAGAGTCGTGGATATACATTTGGGGAAAGACCAAAATCAGCAGGGGCTGCTGCTGCTATTACTACTACTACTATTACTAATAGTAATAATAGTAATATTAACAGTAACAACAGTACAAAACAAAACCATCGAAATTCTCGAACCTTGAGGAATCTGTATACATCATCACTAGACAACAATCCACGTTCATTGACACCAGACCAAATGACATCCTCAACATCGACGTCAACGATAGTCCCAATACCAACATCTTCTCGCTCAAATGTTCTCAAGGATTTCAAGAGTGGATTCGGAAGACGACGGAGCAGCAGCACACAGGCCATGATGCTGCCACTCATGGCTTCTGATATGACGCTCTTGTGTGAACACGATCACCACGACAACGCACATTCTTTGTGCAATCCTCCTACCCTTATACACCGACACTCGAGTTCTCTTTTTAGCAAGACTCATCAAGATATTCAACAACAACAACCAAACACCAATAATGATAATAGCAATAATGTTTACAGTAATACTAATACTAATAATAATAATCCTAATAATAATAATAATAACAGTGATAATACTGGAACTGGCACTAGCACTGGCACTGGCGCTAGTGCTAGTAAACAAGGAGGAATCCTCAGCTCAATAACATCACATCCAACCATCAAGCCAAACCACAGCAAATCTTCATCAGCATCACCTGGAGAAGGAGGTCTTCGGTCCCGGGCCCAGCACTTGATGACATCTGTGATGGGTAGGCGGACTCAGCGAACAGTTACAGTCAATTTACCAGGCATTCCACGGTCAAAGACATTTATAAATGATTCGACTATATCTCTTCAGTCAATGGCCCATTATTCAAAAGGAAAACCAGACGAAGTGGAATAATTTTCTATATATATATATATATATTATAATATCTCTTTTGTGTTTTCTGTGCCTGTGTGTGTGTCTGTGTTTCCTATTTTATTCTTTATTATTTTCTTCACTCTGCTTCTATATCTCTATCCCTTTGTGTCTCTGTGTCTGTGCCTCTTTGTGCCTGTGTATGTAAATGTATACATATAAATACAAACATATATATATATATATATAATTATTATTATTAAAGAATCAACAATATGATTGTATAATGAATTGGAAACCTCGGCTTATCTACAAATCTATCCTACTATACTTTTATATATAAGTGTGCGTGTGTGTGTGTGTGTGTGTGTGTGTGCTTGGGTTTTATTGTTGTCAATAATCGCAATCAATAAAGTAAAGTAAAAAAAAAAAAAAAAGGTTTATGGGAGATAGAGAAAGAGGGGGATAAATAAATAAATAAATAAATAAATAGGTAGGTAGGTAGGTGAATGGTTTGATAGAAAAAGGAGAGGAAGAGGTCATTCTAAAGAAGTTGAATAAACTTTTTTTTGTGAGATTTGTTTGTACAAGGCGCAATAAAAATAGAAATAAAAATAGTAGTGAATCGCAATGGTAGTGGGTAAATGGTAAATGGTAAATGTTAAATGGTGATAATAATAATAGAAAGAAGAAGAAGAAGAAGCAAATGTTAATAAGAAATAAGGAGCATTTGTTTGTTTGTGTGTATGTCTTTTTTCTCTCTATCTTTATCTTTTAAAGAAGATCAATGTTGCGTAGATTGTCGTGTACAAGAATATCATTGACAGCCTCCATCACGAATTTGATTTGCTTGGTGTCTGTTGCACAGGTGAAATGAGTATAGACCTGTTTGGTATCCGCCTGCGTGTTGAGGGACACGAACCGATGGAGTAAGTACTGGCGTGCTGATTCATAATGATTTCCACCCATGTAGTCGTCAAAGTAGACATTCATTGGACTCCGTTTGATCTTTTCTTCAAAGAGATCAATCTTGTTGAGAAACAGGATGATCGAGGTCTTGAAGAACCAGCGAGAATTGCAAATCGAGTCGAATAGCGTCAGGGCCTCCTGGAGTCGGTTCACACTCTCGTCCTCAAAAAGGTTCTGATCGTATTCGCTAATGGCCACCAGGAATATCAGGGCTGTCACGTTTTCGAAACAGTGGATCCATTTCTTGCGCTCGGACCGCTGTCCACCCACATCAAACATTCGGTAGGTCATGTCCTTGAAGCGGAAGGCTGTTTCGGTAATACCGGTCGATTTAACCCTAGATCTCAATACGTCTTGGTCACTGGGCATGTAATGGCTTTGTCCTATTCTGAGAATTGCATCGAAATAACTAATAGAAGGTAATTATAATTATAATTATAATTATGAATGTTAATATCAGTAAATGGCAAACAACCAATAATATTAGTTATATAAAAGAAGGGGGGTCAAAGGGAGCGGGGATGAACTTGAAGATGGAAATGAAGATTAAGATGGAGAAGGGAGTTTGTCGATATATGGTTTGTGATATTACAGGTTAAACAACAATCAAAAAATAAAATAAAAAATTAAAATCAAGGAGAGAAAAAAAAAATTATTTTTTTCATGTACTCGTTGTACCTGTGTATGTACATATAAAGATAAAAGATGAAGAAGATAAAATCGTTTTATTTTAACTTACTAGCGTGCCGAATCATTGAGTTGAAATTCATTGGCTCTTGAGACGCATGCTTGAACACCAGGATCTTCCCACAGAGCAACAATGGCTTCAACCAATTCATGGCCAAGATCATCAATTGGGGGCGGTGCTTCCATTACCAGTCGTCTGTGTGCCTCATTACCTTTGTTTTTGAATGGGATATCTAGAGTCTTCATTGCCTCGAGGGTGACTCGCATAGACTGCATTGTGTTGCTAAAGATCACCTCTTTAAAACTCTGTCGTTCTTCGGGTGTGTATCCACCATCGTGGATTAGCTTCATTTGTTTCAATATGGTTGATTTGCCAGATTCACCAGCACCTATTCAATATCCACATATATATATCTTCTTTTAGTTTGATTAAAAGGCATTTATCTATCTATCTATCTATTCATTTACCCAGCAGTAACATCTTGACTTCGTACTTCATATTGACTCGATCTCGTTTCAATTGAGCCTCAATTTCTTGGCTTCTTTGTTTCTCCTCTGCACGTTCTGAAGATTGGCAGCATCCCATTATGTGTACAAGAGTGTGTTTTTGATAGTTTTAATAAAGAATATAAAAGAATAAAGAATTTCCAGATCAGATGTATGTTTTTTAAGATTCTTGGTTTGAGTTCTTGAGGTTCTCTATTGCCGGTAATGATAAAGAAAGAGTAAAAGGAAAGATAAAGAAAGAAGTAAAGAGATGAAAATAATAGTAATAATAAAAATACAAGAAGGTTATAATAAAAATAAGATAAAATACTCTTTTTTTTTTTTATTTATTATTTTCTGTGTGTGAATAAATATGATTTCTTACCCCCAGATTCACCATTAGATTACAGATATAGAAATTCAGGGGTTAGATATAAAATCCAAGACAGACAGGCAGACATGCAGACCCATAGCACAGTCAAGTAAGTCATAAAAGTCATAAAAGTAGTACAGACAGATAGTCAAATACTCAAATACTCAAATAGTCACATAGTCACATAAAAAAAATCAACCTTGAACCTTGTCAAATATTACAGACACACACGCAAGCACAAGCACAAGCACAAGTACAAGTACAAATACAAATATAAGCACAAGCATGCACACGGCAAACTCAATCAATTAAGCCAGTCAATAAATGCCTCTTGCTTTCTTTTATCTCTTTTTCTCTTTCTCTCAATTTTACTCATAATTTTTTTTTGTATATATATATATATAACAATTCACTCACTCACTCACTCACTCACTTAGTTACTTACTTACTTAGTCAGTCTCTTGTTTTAATACTTCTTTGACTTTATCTTTACACATTTCCAAGATAGTCAAAGTATAATATATATATATATATATAATTATGTATTCTTGTATGTATTAATGTATGTATATATGTAATCAATATAGATATTCAAATAAAATCAGTTCACATTTCGCATTTCACATTTTCGGTGGTTCCTCCTTAGAGACACACTTGAGGTCGTTCATGGCCATCAGCAATACTTTGAGATTCACCTTTTCTCTCTCAAACTGCTGCCTTGCCAATCTACCCAAAGCTCGGCTTATATATCGTGGCTGAATGGTCTGGAAATGTGCCAGTTCATCTGATATACGCTGATGAGAATCTCCGATTTCACAAGATGTCTTTTCAACTGCCCCCAATGTCTATATATATATATATATATACATATATATATATAATTTATATTTATTTTCAAAAAATAAAGAAAAAATTGTCATATATTCATATATAATTGCTGTAGTAACATGGCATATTTTATTTACTTATTTACCTCTACCACCTTTGTCTTTTCATGGTTGAGCTGCTTGTTTTCTTGACTAAACAAAGTCCACGCCTTGTGGTGTTGGAGTGCATCCCTCTGTCTTTCCAAATGAGTTCTCAGCTCCGTTTGTTGATCTATTAGGCAAAGAGGATATTCCAGAGCAAGCTATTTAAATAATTCACACATACACACACACACATATATATATATATAAATTTAAAGGAATTTGAGATATACAAAATAATATCTAGTGACCTTACCAATACACCACTGGCAAGGCTGTGCATATTCTGGACTATTCCAATAAATTCCACCCAAGGAGAATACTATATATATAATAATAATAATAATAATAAAGTCAAAGCCAAAACCGAAAAAAAAGTGTATAGATTAGTTGCCATATAGTTGGACAAACCAGTTTAGGCGTGAAAATAAATTTATAAAGGGAGAGTATTCAATTAGAATACATAAATATGCACAACAGCAACAAAAATTCGTAGCAATCATAATCATAATCATAATAATTTACCGTTCCATTACAACACAGGGAAACAATGTTAAGCATTTCCCTTAACTCGGGTTGTCCTAAAGACATGGTTTTCAAATCGTTGGCAACAACCCGTCTGCTAACCTCAGTACCTTATCAACCATATATTAATCAAAATTAGCAATCACTGTAACCATAGTAATCACTGTAACCATAGCAATTTATTTACCTCGAATACATAGCTCAACTTGTCGACTTTGGTGAAGTACTTTACCCAGACTATCTCTGAGCGGTAGCAGCATTTGTCTAGCATACTTGAAGAAGTAATCCTCTCCCTTTTCTTGTACACTTGATTCTACATTTTGACTCCTCAATTGACGACGTACAAAAGCATGATGAGCAAAAACATCTCTCTAAAGAAAACAAAAATATAATAATAAAAATCCACTCATGATAATAATAATAATAATAATAACAATTTACAAGTATCTTCTTCTTCTTTCCTTTTTATTTATTTTTTCTTTATCCATCCCTTTCCACCTCATCCCTTTCTTTCACTTTACTTCTCCCCTTCTCTCTTTCTCTCCCCTCTCTTATATTCTACCCAACTAATCTTATATATACATCTATATATCTTCACTAACAACCATAATAATATTCATAAAAACAGTAGCCTAAATCATAATAATAGCCATAATACTCATAAGATATGAATATATGTATGTATCCACAAAATACCTTCAAGTCCGGTAGACGCACAAATGCATGGAGTATGTGCGTGTGTCGCAGTAAGGGATGAAAGAATAACCACGCGAGCATTCTATCCAGACATTGCACTGCATCTTCAAGTAGTCTAGGACTAAGGAGCAACAATGGCTCAATGAGGTGGTCAAGTGTGGGAACAACCGTATCTGGCCATTCATCCAATAGCTGCTGTCGAAGAAACACAAAATCATCCAATTGTCTTTGGACAGTTCTCATAGACTTTATATTTCCAGGCTGCATATACATACATAATATAATATAATGTAATATTTTATTTTATTTCATTTTATTTTATAATACTGTAATTTTTTTTTTAATTTTTTTACCTTTCCAGTTTGGATAGCAAAGAACAACTCTTGTTTGCCATTTACCACCTCCTTCCATGCATGGCTGACTGCGATAGCACCATAGTCTGGATGATTTCTTACAGGTCTGTTTTCTAAACAAAGTGCTATAGTAACGTCTGGTTGAGATCACTAACTCACCAAACCAAACCCTCTCAATTTCTCTCTTTCTAGCACAAATATATGTATATGTTTGTATGTAAAATAAGAATACAAAATTTAAATTTTATACGACTAGTAAAAAAAAATCTTACAAAAATATATGTATATATATATATATATATATTACCTTGTAAAAATGATCTGTCAGTGCCACGCCAGAGATTCAGTGGTCGATCTAAAAATCTATTGACTCTTGTCAGATCTGCCCCCTGTCTGACCAACTCAGTAATCCAGACTTGTGGCCGCAGATTCATTGTCTGTGCTGCAAGATGAACTGCCGTGTTCCCATCAGCCCAGTCAGCAAGATGCATCAGATGCCCAAGTTTTTTTACCAAGTCATGAATACACCGACTCAGCACGAACTTGCTGTTGGTGTTTGCCGGAATTGTCCAGCGTACCATGGACAACAAATGAAGTCCAGATCTTCCCTGACAATCGAGTCGGTCCGGATTTGCCACCGGCACAAACAATTCAACCAGGTCTGGTCTTCCCTTTGCTGCCCATACCAACAGCGGTGTTCTTTTCTGGCTGTCCAATGCATCCACACAACTTTGTATAAGAGTGTCATTAGTCGTAAGATCGGGTTTGCTGAGCACCGACAACAACTCTCGAACAATGTCTGAATCACGGCAGAGATGAAAGAAAGTCTCGCCTCGGTCGTTTGGTAGATCCAATCGAGGATTAAATTTCAGTAGGTATCTGATCACATCTGAACAATTGGCCAGGCAGGCCGCATACAAAGCCTTGGTGATATGTTCCTGACTCAGCAGCGATGACGAGGGCGAAAAAGAAGGCCCATTAGCCCCAAGATTGACAACATCAAGATCAGCGCCCACCAAAAGTTTGACAAAAACAGGATCCTGGATCCGGCTAGCCAGAATCAGACTAGTCTTTTGGGTGTCACTGACGTGGTCGATTGTGGCGACCACAAAGGGATCTTTCAGGAGCAATTTGACTGTCTTGATGGACTGGGCCTCAAGCGCCATCATCAAGGGGGTTTCTTTGGAATCATTGAGGTCTTGAGCATTGATGGGCTCACGCACGGACAAGACGTACTCGACAGTCTGGACATGCCCTCCACGGCAGGCCAGCATAAGTGCGTTGTTTCCCTTGTGATCTCGAGCGTCGTAGATTGTGTTGCTAAGTAGCAGACAAGATCTTGCGATCGAAAGATTTGAAGAAGATGTCCGGCGAGAAGCAGAAATAGAAGCCGAGGACGAAGAAGAAGGAAGATGAGGAGAGATAGATGATGACGATGACGATGATAATAGTTGCGGTTGTGGTTGTGGTTGTGTTGATCGTTCATCAGCTGTTACTTTTTTTACTCTGTCGAGATTACCTTGGTCAAGTGCAGTCCAGAACGCTTGGTTCTCGCGTGCAATTTCAGACAGTGGTCTATGTGCATCGATGATGTAGTCCAGAACGCTTTCGAGAGTGATGAGTGCGTAACCGTATTGACCGGTAACCGTGTTTCGTTCGAATGAGTAGTCTTTCATGTAGTTCAGATTGGCTCTTAGGTGAGGGGCACGGCTACGGATGATAGTCAGGAGCATCAAGGGAATTAATGAATCCGAGTCAAGTCCCTGTTGAGAATCTTTTTTGTTTGTTTGTTTGTTTGTTTGTTTGTATGTATGTATGTATAATTTTGTATTAATATTATTTATAGGCTATCAAGCTTGTAGATATTTATAGTAGAAATAGAATACAGATAAGAGAAGGGAGCTTACCAGACATTATACCGTCTGTCAGCCTTGATATTGTCGTGAGAAGAGAATCCAGTTTGTCGGCAGGGGTACGGTAAGATCCAATTCTTTCGAATTCTGCAATGGCCTGGGTTACACGCTTCTTTGCACCTAATATTGGAGGAAGGCCGACCTGAATAAAGTCTAATTGGAACATGCTGTCCACAGCTTCTGAAAGCGCCGTGTCTTCTGCTAGTTCTTGTTGAGTGATTTTGAAGAACAAGACATCGTAGATTTGTTCCATTACATAACTAATGATTTGTGATTTGTATACACAAATGAGATATGTAAGTGTGTGTATGTGTGTATAGTAAATGAGACTATTATTATTATTATTATTATTATTATTATTATTATTTTTAAAAGTAAATAAGATCTTGCCTTTCAAACATGCTGTAGACTTGCTCTTGGGTTAATTCAGGACAATATATGGTATCCAATAGCTAGTAAATAAAGTAAATACAATACAATAACATATATGTGTATATAAATGACCTGTGTGCGATGTCAGACCAAATGTACACACACACACACACATATATATATATATAAAAGAATATTACTTGTATTACCTTACCTGGTGTCCCTTTGCTAGTAATCCTGTCAATTGTCGTTTTTGATCTTCAAGCTCCTCATAGTCTGCGGTGTCACAGAAATGTCGAACAAGTCTATGAAGGGAGGGTCCAAGGGTATTGTACACCGTCGGAAGTGGATTAAAAAGACGGGTTCTTGAATAAAAATAAAAATAATAAGTACAATAGGTTTAAATTTACAAGAATATCAAATCATATCATATCAAATCATATCAAATACAGTCGAATCCAATCCAATCGAATTGAATAAATTAAAGCCATTCGTGAATTACGTGTGAATTCCACAGGTTATAAAAGAAGAAAAAAAAGGGAATCATTTCGGTTAATTGTTTCTTATTTTACCTTTGATCTCGTACAGACGGAGGCTTTTTTTTTAAAAAAATAAATAAATAAATTTAAACAAATTATCCAATTAAAATAATAATGATAATATTAATAATAATAATAAAATATATGTTGACTTGCCTCATTAAAAGACCAATTAATCAATGCTTGATCAAGTACCAACAGCAGATGGGTAACTTGGCCCGCTTGGTCATACAGTGGTTCATCGTACACCAGCTTGATTTGTGCTAGATTCGGATATCCGCCGTGTGTCCTGACTCTGCGGTCACAAATAATGACAGTCTTGTCGTTCAAGCTATTTAATACCTGGCCGACTGCCGTTGTTTGGTCGACGCTTTGGGATCGAGTTCTTATTGTCGGTTTGTGTTTAACAGGTTGAGTAAGAAGAGGCGATTTGATCCTTGCAAACACGGACGATGCTGAGAGTGAAGGGCGTGGATTGAGTGTTGTTGGATTGTTGTTTAGTGGGCAATAAAAGACATGGCTAACTTTAACAAACAGTGTTAGTAATGATAATCGAGAAGATTATGTTCTTATATAGCGTTAGTATTAAGATAGAAAGAACCTACAAATGAAGTCTTGTAATTGTTGTGGATTGAATGGTGGAAGGGATGGTGGTAATAGAATAATCGTAGGAAAAGGAAGATCAAGATCCTGAATTGCCTCGATTAATGGATGCTTGAAATGCATTAAAGTAAAGGACCTAAAAGAAGAATATAATTGAATGGAATATAGTATTATAGATAAGTGTAAGAATGTGTAAATGGTAGATAAACGAAAATGATATAATGTTTAAAAGACGTATGCAAAATGCGTATGTATATTTGGGTATAATATGTATATACATCCACCCATATTATATATATCCAAAGGCTGGGGATATTTCTCCGCTTTTATAGTCTATAATCTACTGAAATATGATCAGTAAAAATAGTGGTCGGTGGTCAGTGGTCAGTGGTCATTGATCGGTATTTTGTAGCCATTAGTCAATAATGAGCAATAATTGCCTGTAGTCTATGTTGTGGTCTTGTAGTCTGTGTACTTGAAATCTTATGTGGTATTAAGGTGTATTTAGTGTGTGTGATTTTTCTATTTCTATCTCTTTACTTTATTATTTTAAATAGATAGATGTGCCACAAATCCCATTGAGTTTGTACCTTCAATTTATTTATTTTCAGAGCCAAATTGATATAATATATTATATACAGACATACAATATATAATATAAAATAAAAAAAAAATAAAAAAAATAAAATAGGAGGGATTTATTTTTCATAATATAATCTCTGCTGTTTCTGGTACTTCTTTTTTCTTCTTCTTCTTCTTCTTCTTCTTCTTTAACTACTTGTTATCCTTCTTTTCTTCTCTACTATTATTTATAAAGATAGTACTTCTTGAATTCCATATCTTCTTTAGACACCACCCCCTTATGTCAATGCAAGGAAGAAGACATTGATCTAACAGAAAAATACCAATCTACTATATATACATATACATACACATGTATATACAATTTACACACCTCATTCAATAATAGTAAAATCTCAAAATCCTACATCAAACCACAATAGCCCTAACCACCATCTCCCTCTTTTTTTCTTCTTCTTTACTCGTCCCACAATCCACCTCTATTCCTCTTCTCTCCGTCTCCCCTTCAAATCTGACGACAAAAATCACACACAGACATTCACACTTACACACACGCACACCCAAACGCACGAACACATACATACATACATACGCACGTACATACACGCAAACGCATACGCACACGAACACGAGCACGCATACGTACAAGCACACGCACGAAAAAAAAAAAGAAGCGCATCTCCAATTCCAGTTTTTCATTTCCACATACCTGCATCATCCCGTTAATTCTTTCTTTTTTTTTTAAAAAAAGAAAAAAAAAACTTGCAATCCCCCCACCAATGGGAGCTCTTTGCTGTAAACAAGATCCTCTTGATTTGGGTGGAGAAGGTTAGTGATGACAAGAAATAATGATAATGATAATGATAATAATATTAATAATTATATAGTCGATCTATCTCATTTTGTATTGTTGCGCTCGGTCGGCAAGGGTGCATTTGGCAAAGTTCGGGTTGTCCAACACAAGGGCACTAAACAATTGTTTGCTCTCAAATACATCAACAAAACCAAATGCATAGGCATGCGTGCAGTTGACAATATCATAAGTGAACGCCGTTTGCTCGAGAAAATCAGTTATGGCCTGACAGTAAATATGCGTTATGCGTTTCAGGACGACGAAAATCTCTTTATGGTATTAGATCTCATGCTCGGTGGCGACCTTCGTTTTCACCTCGATCGGCTGGGTACGATACCTGAAGCATCTGTACAGTTTTATGCAGCACAGGTGGCACTCAGCTTGAATTACCTCCACAGCAAAAGGATCATTCATCGGTAAGTTAAAATATAAATATAAATATAAATATAAAATAAACCAAATAAAACTTTTTTCCCAAAAGCCATTCTATTTTATTTTAATTTGTTAGTGTTAGTATGTGTTTGTGTGTGTTTTTTGACTATAATTTATTCTATCTTTCTATCAGAAACATTATCATTATCACTATTACAATCATAATTTATTTTTTAAATTTTTAATTTATAATTTTTAATTGCTATTATTATTATTATTATTATTATTATTATTATTATTATTATTATAATTATTATTGTTATCTAGTGATCTCAAGCCAGACAATATCCTGTTAAACGAAAATGGACACGCACATATCACAGATTTCAATATCGCAGTTCGTTTCCAAGAATCTAAACCGCTGACATCAATTGCAGGCTCAATGGCCTATATGGCACCCGAAATACTTCAAAAAAGAGGTTATTTTGCTGCAGTAGACTGGTGGTCATTAGGAGTAGTCTGTTTTGAACTTTTATTTGGAAAGGCAAGTTATAAACTCAATTATAGATTTATTTAGTGTCATTAAGAAAGGAAAAGATGAGAAGAGGAGGAGAATGAGAAGAATGAGGAGGCGGTAGTAGTGATGTTGGGAAATTTGGGATTTAGGATTTAGGACTTGATATTTATTTTTATATTTATTTTAACATTATACAGCGCCCTTTTAGAGGCAAAACCAATGAAGCTCTCCAGAATGCTATTATGTATGACCCACTTCGCTTCCCAGAGAATCATTCTATATCATCACATGCCATCGAGTTTTTAAAGGCTCTCATGACACGCGATCCTAATAGCCGACTTGGATACAATGAACAAGGCTTTGCGCGTTTCAAAGCACATCCATGGATGCAGGGTATGCGGTGGGAGTTGCTTGAACACAAACAGGCTGTTCCGCCCTTTGTACCTGATGTAAGTTTAAATATCTCTTGTTTTCAGTTGGATTGGATTGGACTGGATTGGATTGGATTAGTTTCCTTTTATATATATATACTTTCATGTACATATATATAAATTTTATTTATAATGATTTTTTTTTCTTCTTTTATTTGTTTTCTATATATAGAGAAAAAGAGCTAATTTCGACCCTACCCATGAACTGGAAGAGATACTCCTTGAAGAAAACCCCCTCAAGGTTCGAAAACGATCTCCTAAAAGAAGTGGCTCCAATATCAATATGTCACTCAAGAGCCACACGAGTGATGCCAATTTGCCGGAGATGAGCCCAGAATGGCAGCGCATGGAAGAAAAATTCTTGCCTTTTGATTTTACCAAACCTGTCGAAACGTTACTCCAGGCCGAACAGAGATATCGTATTCAAGAACAACCATCTATTCGTGCTCAGAACGAAAAGCACGGGTCGTATGTGTCCAGTTACTCCCATCAAACAGCCGCCACCAACACCACCACCACCACCGCCACCAACACCAATCCCAATAATGTTACTCCTTATACTGCAAATACTGCTAATACTGGACACAACAACAACAATAACAACAGCAGCAACTACTACTACAACAGCAATAATAATAACCATAATAATAATCACATTAATCATAATAATAACCCAGAGGATCTCAGCCGAAAGGTATAAAAACAGACAGACATTAAAAACAAAAACAAAAACAAAAACCATAAACCATAAACCATAAACTCAAAAAAAAAAAAAACACCCAAAACCCAAAACCCAAGGAGAAGAAAATAAGATCAAGTACCTACTATATTTAAACATATAATATATACTTGTCTTTATTGCATTCTTTCTCACATTGCTACACACTACACTACACTACATTACATTACATTACATTATACTACATAGCAATACATTACATAGCAACACATTACATAGCAACATATCACATCACATCACAAATATAAGCACCTACATATATGTATACACATTCACATACACATACATACATATATATATATTATTTATTTCAAACAATAATAATAATAATAACATTTTATTTTTATTTTGTTTTTTACTATAATTATTTTAAAAAAAAATTGTAGGGAAATTGCTCTTATCGACTCGGATGCTCTACTCCGTCGTATACCAACTCAGCCAGAGACAGAGAAAGAGACCCGTTACCACCATTCGAAGACCCAAGAAGACCTCCTAGACAACGACGGCCCTCTTCAGGTGAGAGCATGGCACTCTCGACGCCTTCACGTGTTCACAGTGATAGACCACTCATGTCAACCACAGCATCCTCCTCAGCCATGTCGGACATGCGCACCGACGAATGGACACTCTATGATCAATCCACTACTACTACCGCTAATACAAATACAAACACACCTTCCAAAATCATCAATGATCCATTTGCTGCTACTGCTCCCTTTGCTCCTTCTCCTTCTCCTCCTCCTACTGCTGCTGCTACGGCAACCAAGAAACTAAACGATTATTATCCTCTAGTCGGTCGACCCCCAGCCATAAAGTATGCCAGTGTCTCTAGAGCACATGGCCCGCCACCATTGCCTCCCCCGACTGGTATGCCACCACCAATCCCAACTGAGATTCAACCTATACCCTACTATTCCTCTTACCCACACTCACTACCACCACCACTACGACACGAGTGAGAAAACAGAAAAAAAAAGAGTAGAAAACGCAGTGTGTATTTTGAATTTGATTTTGAATTTTGTAATATATATATATATTTGTGTGTGTGTGTATTTTAAAAAAAAATATAATAGAAGGAAGGATTTCTTCTTCGTGTATGAGAACTTCTATCTAACTCTATCTATATATATATATATATATATATATAAATATATATACTTTATCTTCTTCTTTTTTATCTTCTTGTTCTCCTTTAATTATTCTCTTTCTATTAACTCAAAATGTACGTACACAAATACACAAACGCACACACACACACACACACACAAATATATATATACAAAATTCAAAATAATGACAGCAACAAAAAAAAACCAAAAAACCAACAAAAAAAAAAAAAAAGACATGCTTACATACACATACACCCACACCTTACACGCACCCTCATGAATGGACCTACACACGCACATATTGAACTTTATCTCTCTGGGGGTTTTTTTTTCTTCTTTTCTTTATTGCATTTGATTACGGCTCAAATTTCTTTACTGTTATTTTTTTCTTCTTAATTGAGATTCTTTGCTATATACATTTCTTTTATATAAATATAAATATATATATAAAGAAAGAGAATAATAGACATATTTAATAGAAAATCAATCTCAATTGCCTTTTAATATATATTTTTAGACATGTATCTTTGTATTCTTTATTAGAGACAACGTATTTTTTTTTTTCTTTTTTTTTTCTGGGGGACGAGGTCATATTTTAGATATTTGTCAAATGGGGGTACTCAGCCAGATTGTTCGATCAAATTTTAAATTCAAAAAGCAATACTATTGGATTAAAATTGTAATAGCGACGATCAAAATTTGTACGTCTTTTTGAAAGATCAAATTTCGATCAAATTTTGACCGAAAAACTTACGGCTCTCTGATTGGCTGAATCGTTACTTTTTATATATATATATGCAATATGATAATGTTTTTTATCTTTCTCCTTAATAGATTATCAATAAATTAGTATAATACTTCTTTCTCTCCATCTTACATGCCAAAATATAGTACAAAGCAACAAACAATTATGCCTTGAAGAAATCGTGTAAAATCAGTGAATTTATCGTGAAGAAAAAAACACCGGTAGAGTCTTTATCAGCAAGTACAGACGAGCTTATTAAAGATATTTTAAAAGTAATCGAAGAGAAAGTTAATGTAAAGTTGGAGCAGATAATTGCCGTGAAGGAGCTTGAGCAAACATTTAAAGCCAATAAATACATAAACAAGGTTGACAATGTATTGCAAGATCTTGAGTCAAAGGAAAGAACACTTGGCTTCTTTGAGAGTCTAGGTTAATATAGGTTCAAAGAAGAAATCAGAAAGTGCAAAAGTTTATCCTATAAATGCTATAAAAATCTACGAATTTTATATGAGTTTTGTTCGAACAACCTGGCTGAGAACCCTGAATATTTAGCCTTTGCTTCTTATTCTTTTTTTTTTGTTTTGTTAAGGAACATATATTATTATTATTTTGTGTGTGTGCTATAAGGTAGAATACATTGTTTAGCAGTAGAATAAATAATAGTACGGGTAACATGAGAGACACTTAAGAAAGATGTAACTGTAGGCTTGTATCAAACAGTCCGAGTACTTTTTTTTAAATAACAAATAAAGAAAGAATAAATGCATGTTTAAATATCAAAGCCTTATTCTATTATATACCATATTATATTTCAGCTATTTTCTTTTTAGTATGGGCATCAACGCTCCGTTTTCATCGAGCTTTCGAAACAATGCCTCAAGAAACGGAATGCAATCATGTCCGAGACTTGGATTGTTCGTCTATAGGTTAACAGGATGTAAAAATTAAAGTAAACAATAATTCAATAAACAAAATTTTGATTTTGATTTTGATTTTGATTTTGATTTTCTTGTCAAATGTTGGGATATAATTATACTAATCGACTCGCAGCGGCCTTTTCTCTCCGCAATTTCTCATCTTTAACATCGTTTTCTAGCTGCTTAATATCTTCTGCTAATACTCTTTGCCTATTCCTCATGTACTCAATGATTTCCATTTGGACTTCATATCTAGTAGCTGGATAATCATTCTTACGCTTGCCCAGAGCAGTTTCGTGTTCTGGTAGCCGAAGCTTTTCTGATTCAATCCTTTGAGTGTACGTTTCTAGCAACCGAGTCTTGTCTGCTATGTCGCGCAGTTTAATTGGTAAGGTGGCATCCGTAACTGCCATCATATTAAATAAGGACCCATCTTCAGCACTAGAAAATACATAGATGTGATTTAGAATCAAGCTACTATTACTATTACACACACGATATACACATGTTATTATTTACCTTTGCATTCGTGTTACCAAATAGGGCTTTACAACTTCTGTCCAATTTCTGACATTGCATTGTTCTAGCAAAAAAAAACGCAAATCACATTAGGTTCAATCGTCATCAATATTTTGTTTCTCTTATATATATACGTGCGTTTATAGTACTAACCGAGTTTAATTGGTGCTTGGTTCAAGCCATCCAGCTCCCAGACATATCCATTCTTGTATATATAACTCACAAAGTGAAAGATATCTTCCATTTCTTCCTCGTTATATTCGTCTTTGTCTTTGCCTTTGTCTTTTTCTTCATCTTCCTCTTCGCCTTCATCTTCCTCTTCCTCTTCCTCTTCCTCTTCCTCTTCCTCTTCCTCTTCCTCTTCCTCTTCCTCTTCCTCTTCGCCTTCACCTTCACCTTCACCTTCACCTTCACCTTTTTCTGCGTCTGCGTCTTCATCTTCTTCCTTTTCATTTTCCTTTCCTTCTATAGCAGAGTCTCGGCGATATTTTCTAACTGCATCTTGAGCAATTTCTTGATCATCCTCACTAAAGAAAAAAAAATATACATGAAGATTTTCTGATAAAATGTTTTATATATATATATGTTTATATATTTACGTGGCAAAATAGTTGTGTGTCTCACGTAGCAGTTGATTATTTCCAATTGCCGAGCCAAGACTCTATTGCACGGTTATTACATACACACATACACACATACACACACACACACATATATATATATATATATATATACACTTACTATCGGATCAAAGCCTTTGACCAAGTCTTTAAAAACTGTTAGCTCTTCACCAAGGTCAACATAATTACGACAGTTAAGGAGAACACCCAAAAGAGCCAACGTAGCACAGGCATTCGTTATTACCTTTATTTATTATTATATATTTTATTAACAAAAAAAAACTTGCTTTGTTTTCTGATTATTTACAGTATAATACTATGCAAAATAAAGTAAAATTTATCTATCTATTTGTCTATATACATATACACTCACCTGGGATGGATAAAAGATTCCTTTTGCGTCAAGATCAAAAGCTGTGTCGTCCTTGGCCAATTCTGGTTCGGTGTATGAAAATCCAAAAATAAGACCATGTACATTTTGCCCTTCTAATAAGCTATCACAAAAAAAACAAAATGACGTTAATTAAAATATAGATATACACATATTACATAGGCACATTGTATATATTTAAATCAAATTAAATCAAATCAAATTATACTTGCCTCTTAGCATCAAAATACTTAGAATCCAGGTCAAAAATCTCTTGAATAATAATATTCTTGACGCCATATTTTTGTACCATTTCTGTAAAGATATCTATCATTTTTTTTTGTTGGGTTGTAAATAATAGTAATAGTAATAGTGTGTAAATTGATACAAGAAAAATCAATTATTATTTATTTAATCAATTAATTAATATATATATATATACATTTTACAATCTTTATTGATTACTTGATTACTTTCTTCCATGTTTTTCATCTTCTTATTATTATTTTACCTGGATCAGATTCAACCGTACACCATGGTGCGAAAAAGATGTCAGTTTCATTAGCCGGTTTGGATTGACTAATTTGTTGGGGATGCTCAGATGCGGTTTTAGCGGCCGAGGTACTTCGCGTTGACATTCGAGATGTAGTATTCTGAGCATCTGAATCTAATCAAGAAAACATTGATGGGAGAACGTCGTAATAAAAAAAAAAAGGTATTTGGTTAATCTTTGGAATGAAAAGAAATAATAAGGGGAAATTCTTCTTCTGCTGCTGCTTCAACTACAGCAAATATAGCAATAGCAATAGCGATAGCAGCAGGATCAGAAGTATCGGTACGAGTGCAAGTAGGACTAGAAGATCCTAAAGTATTAGCAGTAGTACCAGCAATAGCAGCAGCAGCAGTAGACAATGACACAGGGGTTCTCCCTGGATTTTCTCTATTAGCTGGTTTCCTTCCTCTTTTGCGAGGACCTAAGCATAAGTAGAATTAGAAGCTTCTAAAACATCAACAAGAATATCAGCAACAGTACCGGTAACAGCAGTAGTGGTGGTAGACACTGTCACGGGGATTTTCTCTGGATCTTGCCTATTAGCTGGTTTCCTTCCTCTTTTACGAGGACCTAAGTATAAGTAGAATTAGAAGTTTCAAAAAAATATTAACAGCAGTATCAGTAACAGTACCAGAAACAGCAGTAGTAGCAGTAGTAGCAACCGTAGGCAATGTCGCGGGGATTTTCTCTGGCTCTTCTCTATTAGCAGGCTTCCTTCCTCTTTTGCGAGGGCCTAAGTATAAGTAGAATTAGAAGCTTTAAAGGTATCAAGAACAGTATCAGCAACAGTACCAGAAACAGCAGTAGTAGCAACAGTAGACACTGTCACGGGGATTTGCTCTGGATTTTCTCTATTAGCTGGCTTCCTCCCTCTTTTGCGAGGGGCTAAGTATAAGTAGAATTAGAAGCTTTAAAGGTATCAAAAGCAGTATTAGAAGTAGTACCAGCGGTAGCAACAACAGGAGCAGACAATGACATAAGAATTTCCTCTTGAATTTCTGTTTCAGTCGCCGGATCTTCTTTCTTGAGACGTTTGCTATATCTTTGCCCACTTGAGTTTGGATCCATTTTTTGGGATAATATCGACTTCTTTTGTTTTGACAAAGGTGGAGAATAATTTTTTTTTTCCTTTTGATTTTTGATTTATTTATTTATTTTTACAGCCTTTATATATAATTTCAATATAAAAAAAAATTAATACGAAAAATAAGAAATCGTGTTTGAAAAGAAAGAAAGAAAAGGGAAAAAAAAAATTCACTATCTTAGTTTTTAGTTTTTGTTTTTGTTTTTTTTTTTTTTAAAAAAAAAATTAATTTTTATTCTTGAGAATATTTGTGTGAGAATATTAGCAGTTTTTATTTTTTTATTTTTTTTATTTTTATTTTTTATTTTTATTTTTGGCTTTGGGTTTGGGTTTAGGTTTGGGTTTGGTTTTCTTCTTTGAAAGAAATTCAAAATTTATGAAGCGCATATTTAGATTTACAGGATATCATAGTAATGTCAAGCAGTCTCTTCTTTTGGTAATAAAGTGCGTTATTGCAGAGTGGATATATATATATATATATATATATATATATGACAGTAAATATATCCATGTATGCTTTTAAGTCGCAGTTTGGTATGAACAGTAGCAGCAAAATATGTAGGTATGTAGGTAGGTAGATAAATAGTAGTAGTATTTGTAGTACATTGTTCTCTGGCCTATATTTGTTCCCCGTATTGGATATATAGATGTCATCTTTCGAAGAAAAAAAAAGGAAGAATAAAAAGGTTCAAATTCTAATTTTTTTTTTAAAAAAAAAAGACTGGGTATCATTCAGATCCCGAGATTCTATATTGATTGTCTCTTGATACACTTATTTATATATATATATTAATAGGCACTGGTACAATGAATAGCAAAGATTGAACTTCCTAATACATACACACATGTACGCACATACATACATACATACATACATACATATATCTACATTATTCTTATATGTTTATTGCATGGAGACTGTAAACCACGTTGGTAAATCTAATTAATTTATTTTCGATGAATTAAAATTTATTTATTTTTATTTGTATCAAACAAAATTCTATTAAATTGCCCAGAAACAGGTCTTAATTCCTATACAAGAAAGATAGGATTCCTGGGAACATGTTAGTAAACACATACAAATATGTGGGCTGCCTAGTAAAATAATAAATACAGAGAGTAGGGAAAACAATAAAGCAAATAAACAGAGGAAAGTAACACGAGCATAAAAGAGAGAGAGAGAGAGAGAGAGAAAAGGGAAGTTGAGCGTATATAATTTATAAAGAATTTTAGGGGAACTGGTGGGCTGGTAAAATACTATCATAATTATTATATTTGTAATACAAACGTTCAAATCTACCAAATAATAGGATATATTAAGCAAGGGCGTATTTGGCGGCCTAATTGGATTAAGCATAAAAGTGGTACACTGGAGGCTTGACAAAATCATAAAAAAATAGAAACAAACAAGAGAGAGATACACTCAGAAAACCATAAAGTGTGTTACAGGTGACAGTGAATAACGTCAAAGACCCGAAAAAAATTGTGAGAAAGGTTACATATGTAATACAGAATGACAAAGAAGGGCCGTAAGATATCGGTATTTGTGTCAGTAACGCAGAAGAACCTCTGAATGATGTTTGGATACGCTGGTCGGTGATATTGAATGTCATAAAAAAGGGGGACAATGAAGTGAAGGATCATATTAAAAGGTATCGGATACCACCAGTTCGTGAGATTGAGAGTTAGGAAGAAAAGTATTGCGTGGCATAGGGTGTCATATAACATTAGGAGGAAGAGGAAGAGATAAGCATATTGAAGGAGGTGTATCATAAGCAAATAAAAATAAAATGTAAAATATAGGGCAGAACTGGGTGGGCAAAGTGACTTTGCGACTTGTAAGATAAAGTAAAGTACAAGATACAATTATAAAATAAATAGAAAAACGGGCTCATAGCCAACGTATAAGAATCAAATGAATTGTTGGCGCAAGAAGAAGGAGAGGAAAAATGCATTGCGACCGGAGAGCATAGTGTTGTGTGGGCTGTATCAAAGAGGCCCAGTTTTCCAGTGGGTCGAGTAAGGCATAAGGTGGTATTTTTTTTTACCTTTTGAGACGCACGGTACATAGCAAGTATACCAATAATAGCCTGGAGGGCTTAAAGGGAACAACCGCGGGAACCAGACGGGATAGAGATTATGCCAAAGGGCGAGAAAGGATGGGGACCCTAACGATTGTTGCACAGATACAAGCAGAAATTTAACATTGAGAAGCTTGGTTCCGGATGGATAGTGTGAGCAAGTAGATAAGCTGAATAAATGGCCGGCGAAGAAGACGAACACTCATTCTAAGCTAAAATCCCAACCGACTAGAGAGCGGCCATCCATTCTGGAAGTGAGGTGCTAGACAAAGAAAGAGGGCATGATATTTGTGCATATTGACCTTGGCATTTGGTATCCAAGCAATGAGTACGGATATGTATGTTCAGCCGGTGTAAACCATAGGGAGCCTTGATATATTTGAGGAAAGTGTAAACATAAGAAATTACTTTGAGATAGATAGAGATATTAAAGAAGCCAACTGTTATAATTTGAATCGTCTTTTATAGTTTCCTAAACTAATACTACTCATTATTCGCAGTAGCTATTGAAACACAACACATTAACAAAATATGTTATCTTTTGTCTCTTATATATACATATATAGCATTATAAGTCTACTAGTACCGAAGAAAATAAGTTCAATTCCTCGGGACTTGTCTGTAAGCTATTGAAGAAGAACATGGGAATAAAAGAAGTAAAAAGATCTATTCAATTGATTGCTCCTCAAATATATACAAGAAAAGAGTAAGCTATTATTATAAAATACCTTATACTCTAAGCTTTTAAGCTTAAAATTTAATATACAGCAAATTTCCATCAATATACAAGAAAAAAAAAGGGTTACTATATATCATAGCTTACCCAAACCTGTGGGGCCAAAGCATAATTTGCATACAAGAAAAAAATTAGCATGGAGGAACACGGGTGATTTTCCTTCCTTCCTTTGAAGTCTTGGACTTTGTGACGAGCTATCCTCCCCAGCCACACCTGGTAGCCTTCTACCCCTTGTCAAGCTTCTTTTTTTACCGTTTGCGTACAACAATCGACACAATGTTTGGCATCTTACCCAGAGCACACACCATCACTACCGCTGCTGTTCGTCGCGCAACAGTCGGTAAGGACCACATTTACCTTTTCAAATTTTGCTTTTCTTGATCCTCCATTACTTTATTCCCCTCCTCCTTTTTTTCTTTTTCTGCTTTTCCTCATTCACACTTTCTCTAGCTGCCCCTCTTCAGCGCGCCTTTATTCACGCAAAATACGACGACGAAGAGCCTAAATTCGTTAGCCATGACGCCAGCCTTCATTCTCTCGGCGCTCGTCTTGGTCTCCAGGCTCTCGACAAAGATATTCTCCGCAAGGCTGTAACCCACAAGTCCCTGGAAGACCAGGACAACAATGCAGCTCTTGAGTTTATTGGTAAGATAACCATCTACCTTAAGCTTCGAAAATTATTGCACACACAAACAATAATTTTTATGATAAACGCAACTGGCAATTAAATTTAACTGTATTATTATAACTATAACTATAACTATAACTATAACTATTATTTATTCACTTATTTACTTCATTTAGGCAAGCGTGTTGTTGGTATCTGTGCCACTGAACACTTCCATTGCAAGTACCCTGAGATGCACCCCGACGCATTCGATGCTACACTGTTTTCTTATATCGGAAACCGTTCAATCGGCCGTGTCGGATCTAACGCTGGTCTCCAGCACTCTATCCGCTGGAAAGCACCCCAGTCTGACGACGAAAAGCTTGGACAATCGACTGTTATGGCCGATTGCATGAACGCACTTATTGGTGCCGTTTATCAGGAACAGGGTTTCGAGGCTGCCAAGAAGTTCATCCATGGCCATGTTTTGAGCCGTGACTTTGATGTCAAGACTGTCCTCAAGGTCGGTCAGCCCAAGCGCCACTTGACTGCTCTTCTCAAGAAGATCGGTAAGCCTAAGGCTATCTCACGCTTGGTTTCTGAGACCGGTCGTCTCTCTAGCGCACCTGTGTTTGTGGTCGGTGTGTTTTCGGGTGAAGAAAAGCTCGGTGAAGGTAAAAGGGGATTCTTTTTTTTTATTTGTTTATTTGGTTGGTTGATTGGATTCTAATCAATTATATCGGGTGGATATATACACACACATACAAAACAATGAATGGATAAATGGACGAACAAATCAATTAATGAATGAATGAATGAATGTCAATTTCTAGGTTTCGGAAGCTCTATCAAGATGGCTGAACACGCTGTAAGTGGGACTTTATTTTATCTTCGGGGGAGTTGTAGAATGAGATTGGATGAGCAATATAATATACTGAGAGTATCTTTATTTTTTTTTATTGATTTTTTGGTTTATTGGTTTATTGATATATCGGTATATTAGGCATTGCAAGATGCATTGTACCAACATTATGGCAAGGTAACAAAGGATTTTACTCTGCCCTCTGACGCTGGTAAAGTAGAGCAGTACACTCCTGCTTTCTTGGGAAACACACAGGCAATTATCTAGATTTTTAAACAAACACAAAAATGAATTGTGGCTGTGGTGCTATTGACACTCTTTTTTTCTCTATACACATGCACACATACACATACACATACACATACACATACACACACCTCTATACATATACATATACATATACATATATACATATATACATATATATATATCTATATCTATATCTATATATACGCACACAGACCCACTCACCCACAGAAAGACAGATACACACACAAACATTTATATATATATATATATATATAATTTTTTTTAAAAAAAGAAAAAAAAACAAGATGATGATAGTGAGGGTGAGGGAAATAGTAATAATAAGCCGGGCTTCTTAATCGTGGTGCTCAGTAATAGGAGCAGCAAAATAGACGCCCTCCTACAAGTAAAAAGAAAAGGAAAGGAAGGAAAGGTTAAATAAGAATTAAGTGTATGTGTTATTGAATGGTTGTTGAAACAAACTTATTCTATATTTTACCATGATGGCATCACTATTATTGTTATTATTGTTATTATCATTATTTACCTGGGCAATCCATTGAGTGTGCTTGGAAGATCCTTTTGTGCCAGACACTTCGAGCTGACCGGGAATAGGGTGCCCAAATTGGTGAGCACCATTGCAAGACAGATATGCCTGACTCTCGACGTGGACGAATTGTACTGGTTCTTCACGGAGCCAGAACTTGGATCCTGAAGCACACTCTACACGCCAATCATCGCCTGTGTCATTACCATCATAGCAACTAACTTCCTGCTGTGATGACAAAGGAGACTTGTGGTTGTGGCTGTGGAGGTATCCATTGGTATTTGTGTGACGCAGGCGAATGATAGATCCACATGGCACAGGATCACTAAGAAGAAGAAGAAGAAGAAGAAGGGAAATTATTTATAACGATTGGTTGATTAATATGAATTTAATACTGTTATGCATCTTACACAATTCATTTATTTGTTTTTTTTTGTATTTAAATTTAATTTAATTCGTTTTCTTTATTTCTTTACTTACCCTCTCTTGCATTGTTTTCCAAATGCAGCTCTCAATAACCAGAAACTGTTGGCATCATCTGAACTAGAGAATCCAGTAACTGATTGTTGCCCAGATCCACTTCCTAAAAGTTAAAAAGAAAAGACAGCATATCTCATTAAATTTAAATCCATTATCTCGTTTCTGTTTTCGTTTGGTTCGGTTCGGTTCGGTTTGGTCCTTATTGTTAGTGAGCTAACCATAAGATACGCCATGAGAATGCAAGCGGTGTTGATTAGCTTGATTGGAAAGTTTTATAGTACTTCCACAGGTGACATGCTGGAATCCTAGTTGATCGTTAGTAATTAAATTTTGTTCATTATTCATAGCAGAATGTACCTTCTTCAAGAGGGGGTACAGAAGATGCAGCAAAGGCTAAAGGAATAAATGCTAGCCAGATGAGCTTCATTACGCGAAAAAAAAGGAAAAGGCAACAGGCACAAGATAGAAAATATAAGCTTAAAATCTCATTTTTGTATATATATATATATTTTAAGCACAGCTCAATCTGATACAGTGTTTTTACTTGAGATTGAGACAAATTAGGAATTTCCTTTAGCTCAACAGAACAAAGGTCTATTTAGACCAATAGAAACATGACATAAAAACAATTTAATAAAAAAAAATGAATCTGATGTATATATAAATATATATATATATAAATATATACATATATGCTCTATAGGGTCTTTATGGGTAACAAAAGAGAAATATATATTCTGTAACTTCTGGAGCAAGCAGTAAAAGATCGATTATACTATGGTAAAAATACAAAAGAGGAGTTTTTTTTTGCAAGATTTTCCGGGGGTTAAGGGTCGTTTTAAGGTTGAACTTTCTTTTCTATGGTGTACCCAAGAAGAATCTCTAAATTTCTTCAAAAGGTTTCTTTACTTCTTTGACACAGCTTCATTTTGTATTTTAATGTGTTATAATATGGTATAAGATATTCTTTCAAAACCTTTGTATTTGCATATGTATCTGTATTGACATCGTATTGGACCTGGCAGCCTTTTGACTCCACCATACTAAACAGTCTGGTGCTTAGACTTTAGGCAACATGAAAAGAAGTTCAAGTAAAGACAGTCTTGATATTGTGGATCTCACTTAAATACAGCTTATTAACGGTATCTGCTGCATATTTTAATGACCTTTTGAATCTCATTAACCTTTGGGTTTGCTTCAATAAGCTTATATATCGGCTTGAAATTCTTAACAGTGACTCTTGCAAGTTTACCTTTTTCAGATTCAGTTCCAAGTCTTTGTTAACAAAGGTGTGACTATGATAACCTACTGTTTCATCTATAGCCTCTAAGAAGAAGAAATATATATCCTTTTGTTTTTCTTTTGAGAAAAGTAGTACTTTGTATAATATATGGGTAATTCTTACAAGATTAGTATATAAGAAAAGGCTTTATAAGCAGGAATTTCATTAAGCTATTAAGAACACGATTTCTTTTTTCGATCTAGTTACTTTTGTTTCGAGGCACTTTGTTGCTGATTGATGCCGAACCAAAAGGAACTCTTCATGAGTCCGGCAAATGGTTGAAAGCGAAAGTTTGAAAATGTTGTGTTCCACGGAAACTACGTAGCCAAAGAATAGTTTATATATATTAAGAATACAGACAAAAGTAACAAGAATAAAAGAAATAAATGAAAGGAGATAAAGCATGTACAGAGTTTCTCCTTTTCTTTATTTGTTGGGTTATTAAATTGCCGCCGATAAACCTAAAAATGAAAATTGGCGTGAAATCTTCAAAATGTATAACTGTATGAGTTCGTTAATCCTAAAGGGGGTCCACCTTTTCTGATGGGAGCCGACGGTTCGATTTTACCAGACCATCCAAATGTGACTTTTTATGCAAATTCCAATAATTATATCTGGTCCCTAATGATACATAAACTACTATTATTATTATTATTATAAAGTTACTTTAATATATAGATAGATAGGTAGTGTATGGACTTGTAGCAATTAATAATCATTTTCTTGGGTGTAGATTTTCTTTACATCAGTAAAAATATATTCACTCAGTAATATTGTTTTTCGAAATTTTAAAAGCATACGCAAAATCATGTTGAGCAACCCATATGGTAATGAACTGTGGTGTGAGCCAAGTTTACCAAGCAAAAAAAAATAAAAATAAAAATATATATCGAAAACCTATAAATAACCAGGTTCATTAGCCCTGTTCATTAACCCGCTTATAGCCCATGTCCCATAACTCTCTTTTAGCCCGAATCTATAATCTGCTTCTACCCCGGTCTATTACCCCAATGCATTAAAGCCAAAGCTCGATATAGTAGAGAGGTTGTGGACTTGTAACAATCTAGTCAGTAAAGTTTACGCAAGTGTTTACGTTTTGCAGCACAAAGTTTATATAGCCAAATTTGTTATAAACATTGCAAACACAATTAACGCAATCTTTGATTTAGAAAATATACTTTTAATATAGATGATTTATTGTTATATTGACATAAGAAGCAGCACAAGGTGTATACAATATTTGTAGAAACATAGACAAACAAGCAAAGCATCTAATAATGGTGACTTTGTTGGAGAATTTTGTCTTAAAATACACCATGCGTCTATGGACCAGACACTATTAAGTCAGGTTGTATTGAATTATATTTAATCGTATAAAAGCTAAGCTAAGATTAACTATTGTCATTCTTATCTCATATATCTAAAATATGCTTTTACTGACATTCTTAATACTAAACATAAATATTAATATCACACAGCCAAAATAGTAATGTAGAATATTTGGCTTTTAGACAATTGCTTTCAACACAATCAGGCATGATTATAAGGGTAAATATATCAAACTCAAAAGAAACAAAAGAACGAAAGGGTTATTATAAGTATTTTTTTCTTATCTTGTATATTACGAGGTAAGTATGCAATTTCTGTATGGGTTTAATGCTGGAAAAATTAAAAAACATTTGCACAAACAGAAACAAAACAACTCAGGAAAAACAATGATTAGGAGGCCTCCAGAATGTTGTCGGTACAAATAAGTGGAAACTCCCATCAAACTACAACAATCTAAGGGTAAGAATACAGCAACAAGATCGGCACATAGTAAAACATAGCAACGACCAGAAGGAGAAAAGACGTAATATTATCTAAGGACTATTACAGCTTATATATATTGTTTATCACGTTGAAGTCTATCCCTTATTCGGCGCGCCTTTCGAATCAAGCGATGGTCATCCCCAGAGGGATGATTACCCAGCTTCCACTCAACAGCTCGGTATGCAAACCAGGATGCCTCAAGGATCAAATAGCCCGCCACAATCTCCAATACACCTGCACCCCAGCCCACATAAAATGCTTTTATTCCACCTTCATCACGCCATGTTCGGTGAACACAGTCAAAAAATCCTCGATAAGTTGTGTTGATTTTGTGGACACCTGAATCCTGCAACATCAGCTTAAACATAACAGTGTCGATTGGATAGCTGATGGCCCGTGCTAAAATGCTGCTCGCTACCCCACATGCGATCTCAGGATAAAAAGTATTGAGCATAGCAACATCGTCACGTTTGGGTTTCGGACTAGAGCGATCTTCACGGCGACGGGATCTGGATGGTTTTGCAGGTGTCTTGACTCCGAGTGTAAAGACTCGATAAACGCGCTTATAAAGGTAAAGTAGCAGCTTCTCGGTAAGGGTGTTGACGATGCAGGAGGGCACAAAAGAGGACATGAGTGGGAGAGAGTTGCTAGATGAGTCATGTCGCCAAGGTATAAAGCGAACAAGATTCGATTTATATGCTGCCATAAAGTCTTTGTAGCCCAAGATACATCGGCGAGTCATTTCAGAGTTACTTTGGACTCTCATAACCAAAGCGGTCCGATGTAATGGATAAAGAGCGATGTTGATCGCGAATCCAGCACTACTTAAGGTAAGAAACCATCGTTTCCATTTATAAACTCAAAGCTCATTCTTCCAAACCTTCGTTCGACAGCCTGGATCAAGAAGCGCCAGGGTAATCCTAGATGAGCCGTTGCTGGTGCGATGGTTGTTTGGAAGAACTCACTCAACAGCAATTCGTATGCACCTGCCACCGCCTGACCCACTAACCCAAGCCCAAATCCAGGGTATAGTGCACGAATTCCATCTCGTCTAGCTGTAGATAATAGGAATTTTGCGCTTCCCCAAGGAGTGTCTTTTCCTGAGCTGTAATAGGCGGGGAATGCCTGGTATCGATGCCTTGCCACTACCACTGGAAAACACAAAGCATAATTGGCTACCATTGATCCACCCAAAAGGCATAATGTTGCGATTGATTCTCTTGTTTCTAGATTACATGCATTGAATTAGAAATTATAAGCAATTTAATTAGCATGTGATTTATACCTCTTCGTTCTGGAAATTCGCAATGTTTAATGACAGTATTGGTAAAACTCAATTCTGCATCTAAAATGGCCTGAGCTTGGAGTCTGGAGCGATTGACCTGTCGCTCAAGGCGATCGCTATCAATTCCTTGTTCGTTATCGATTGAACATCCTGGAGAGAGTAGCCCCAAGTAAGCAGTGAGCGTCATAAGTTAAGAGATTTTATTATTATAAATATTTATATATATATATAAAAGAAAGTTGAATATGCTAATGGATGAAAGGATGGAATGATGATCTACACAATCTAATCTGCCTGCTTGCCTGCCTGCCTAGTCTATCCAGCCTTGTCAGTCACACAGTGGCTACATATTGACATAAATGTCAGGCCAGAACACAAGTAAAAATATATATAATAGAAGAAAGGGATATGCTTATTAGGGATCTTAGACTGATCCTAGCAGAGTATGACAATAGGACATTTGCCTTGTCCGGAAATATGGTCTACAGAGAGTTGCATATGTGCCCTGCTTAGAGCCTATTAGCAATTCACGCGTTGTTAGTGGATAAAAGGAGACTAAATGATCTACTGCGCACCAAGCTCTTTTCTTTTGGAACCGCATACAGCTTCTAAAATAGACTCTTTTATATTGTTATTGTTAGAAACAGGAGTAAGGATATAATCGCCACCCTACAACATCCTGTATTTTCTCTTTTTTTCAAAATTAATGGATATGATTTTGCTAATCTACAACATGTCAGTATAAATATATAAATGTAAAAAGGGGTATATATATATATGTGTGTGTGTATGTGTGTATGTGTATGTGTGTGTGTTTGTATGTGAATTGTAAGTATTAAAGACAAAGAGCTAGAGAGGAGAGTAAAAGGGAGAATGGCTCTAAATGGGCTTTCAAAGGAGTTAAACAGCACGTCAGGGGGGGAGAGGGTTGAATATATATATGCTTTTTTTTTTGCTGCAAGAGAACTTTACCGATGAGTAAGTAAACCAAAGATATCTTGGTCAATCTTCCCCTTTTCTTTTCTTACCTTTGGAAAGATTCTCAACCATCTCCACTTCTTCTTCTTCTTTTACTTCTTCATATTCTCTGATTCACAAAGCCTCTTTCTTCTCCTCTCCTTTTTTTCCCTCAAGGCGTGGACTGGGCACTCTTCCTACTCATTTTTCCCCTGCCATTTGGTCTCTTTAAGGCACTACATTCTAAGAGATGCAGAGACAGCTGCTTACATTTCCATCGTTGCCTGGGATTCTTCCTGGTGCCCATGTAACAGATCTCACCGATATTGAAAACTTAACAGAAGAAGCTATTGTGACAACAGTCCGAGCACGTTTCTTGCAGGACAAAATCTACACTCGCATACGAAATTCGATTTTATTAGCTGTAAATCCTTACAAAGATATTCGATCGTCAATACAAGAGGCGAGCGCCAATTACCTGACTGAATACAAAGATACAGAGAACCGTGACAGGCTTGACCCCCATATATTTCAACATGTTAACCAAGCTTATTTTCATATGCGACGCACAGGACAAGACCAGTCTATTGTGTTTAGGTTCGTATTGATTTATCCCCTGTAAATCTTTTTTTTTCTTCTTCTTTCTTTCAGCAATCTCATCCTTCTTTCTTTTTATATATATATTTATAACATTTTTTATGCAGTGGATTATGTGGAAGTGGAAAATCAGAATTACATCAATGGGCACTCTATCACCTTGTAACTTTAAGCAGTGGTCACAAAAAGAAACAACAATCAAAAGTTCAAGAGCTTATTCAAATGGCCTATGGTGTCTTGGAAGCTTTTGGACATGCAAAAACTGTCGGTAATGGAAATGCCTCTCGTTTTGGAAAATATCTTGAGCTTCAGTTCAACGAACGGGGTAGAATGACTGGCGCCAAGTTTCTCGATTACATGCTTGAAAAATCTCGAGTGACCCATTTTCTTAGTGATGATGAACGTAATTTTCATGTGTTCTATTACCTCCTACACGGAACAAATGCAGAAGAGAAGACCCTGTTGCGCTTACAGGATGGCGGGGCGTCATACGGGACTTTGTACAGAAACAAGGAGGCTGCCAGAACTGCGGCCTGCGGCCTGGCTGAAGAGGATGCCGAAAAGTATGCTGAACTAAGAAGTCATCTAAAAGCACTGGGGATCAACAAAACCACCTGGCTGCATATTACACAGGTTCTTGCAGCCATCCTTCATCTTGCCAGCCTTCAATTTATGGATGATGCTTCAAATATGCAGGATTCTGCTATCGTTAAGAATACGGAAGAACTCGACATTGCAGCAGATCTGTTAGGTGTCGAGCCCAAAGCTCTCGAATCAGTCCTTACTTACAAAACAAAACTTATAAAACGGGATCTGACAACAATTTTTCTGAATGCTGAACAAGCTGCATCCCAGAGAGATCACTTAATCCAGGTCCTCTACTCACTCCTTTTTGGATGGATAGTCGAGGTTCTCAACAAGCGTCTTTGTAAGGCTAATTTCCAGAATTTCATCGGTATCGTAGATTTTCCAGGAGCGGAGGCTCCTACTATTGCCTCGTTCGATAAATTTTGTGTAAACTTTTCAAACGAGAAGCTTCAGCATTTTATGCTACAGCATATTACTGATCGGAACATGGAGGTCTATAGCGAGGCTGCAATCAGAAAAGAACCTATCGTGCTCCAGAGCAATGCCGAGTGCCTCCAATTAATCACCGACCCTTCACACGGACTATTGGCTAATATGGGCCGTCTTGTAAAGGCTGCGATTGGTGTAGACGAAAATGTGGAAAAGCAAAAGACTCGCCAGGCGATGGATGAGTTTTTATTCGAGAACTCAAAGAACTCCTGTCTATCTACAAAACGATCTGATGCCGGTACACAGTTGTTCACAATTCAACATTTTACGGGTCAGGTTACCTATTCAACTGTCAATTTTTTTGCAAGCGATAGTGAGGCCTTGAGCGCAGATTTCGTTTCTTTGTTTCGAAGTAATAATTCCCATCACCATAGTACACATGATGATGTTTACGGAGATCCGCTAGTGAATGAACTTGTGAGTCTTTTGTTTGCCCAAAAGACAATAGCAACAGAAATGCACCCCAAAAATAGCCGAGCCGTGGTATCCGTGCAGCAGTCATCCAAACCTCGCCGATCACCATCCACCCGAAAATCCAAGGATGAACCTACGCCAGCCACAGGCGCTACTATCAACAGCCGAGCCGAGCATCTGGGCGAAGCGCTGAACGATCTGACACTCACTCTAGAAGAGACCAAGATCTGGTGGGTGATCTGCCTTAGACCCAACGATCTTCTTTTGCCAAATTCGTGTGATGCAAAGAAGGTTACAGCCCAGATAAAATTATTCAGTCTGATAGATATTACTATGCGCTCAAAGCATGAGTATACTATGCGTATTGACATGGACGAATTTTGCGACCGGTACGTCGACCTTATCCAAGCAACAGTGGTTGAGCTAGATGCGGAACCGAAAGACAAATGTTCAGCTCTCAAAGATTCTTTACGCTGGACAGAGCGTATGATGATGATTGGGGAAGATAAGGTAAATGCCTGCGTGTACTTTATTTGATGTCATTCCCTTTATAACCTTCACAATGTAAATCAATTTAGGTCTATTTGAGTGAACATGCATGGGCTATGCTCGAAAATAAATTGCGTAGCATGGAAAAGCGTGAACAAAGAAGAGCACGATGTATTGCCAAAGGAATTCCATTTGTTGGTAAATAGAAAAATGACACACACACACTTACATATACATACATATACATACATACCCAATAGCTTGACAGTTTTCTGATGCTTATATCTTGGCTAATTAATATATACTGCTAATAGAAGAAGAAGAAATTGTACCCATGACACCATCACTCTCTCAAGATCCACCCTCTTGTTTTGGCCCTTCCATGACAGATGTCGGTTCGGTGTATTCTGAAGATTGTATTGACGAGCACCATCATCACCATCACCATCACATGCACTACGACGAAACTGAATCTGTGTGCTCTTCTCATATGTGCGACGGTAGCTCAAGCATGTCTCGAACACCTTGTGAAACAGAAGATGCTAGTTTTATGGAGCAAGAAGAAACCATCACTGCTGTCAAGCCGGTCGTCCTTTCAGCAGAAAAGCCTTCTGAGCACAACGAACGAAAAACAGCTACAGCCCGCCGAGGATGGGTCATCTTGACCTGGGTGTGTACTTGGTGGATCCCAAGTATCTTTATGAGTACATGCGGTGGCATGCGTCGATCTGATATTCGGATGGCATGGCGTGAAAAGGTTACTCTTTGTGTATTGATCTTTCTGCTTTGTGCGGCCATGGTATGGTTTATTGCTTTTTTCGGACAGCTTGTATGTCCACATCAGGACCTTTTTACACAATCTGAGCTCCAAGCTAAGAGTAATCGAGATAATGCATATATTGCCATCCGTGGGGAGGTATTTGACCTTACGTCTTTTGCTCCACGGCATTGGGCTTCCGAGGTCATTCCAGCAAACGCATTGTTTCAGTACAGCGGTCAGGACGCAAGTGATCTTTTTCCAGTCCAGGTGTCAGCCTTGTGTGACGGGCTAGACGGAATCGTACCCAAGGAAGTGACCCTTAACTCGCATATCAATATCACTGACTCTAATGCAGTTTACCACGACTTCCGGTACTTCCAAGAAGACTATCGCCCAGACTGGTACTTTGAACAGATGGTGTATCTTCGGAAGAATTATCGAATTGGGTTTATGGGTTATGATCCAGTTGATATTAAGAACCAGGCATCCGTACCTGTACAGATTGGTGGAATCAACACTCAACGCCAATGGGCTATACTACATAATAACATTTATGATCTAACGTCTTACATGATGGGTGGTCGAGGAGCTCGTGTTGCAGAAGGTCAGAGTCTGCCTGCCGACGTAAACATCGATTTTATTGACAATTCGATCACTGAGCTTTTTCGACAGCTTTCTGGAAGCGATGTTTCAGCCCATTTTGATTCATTACCACTAACGAAAGTTATGCGAGACCGCCAACTAGTATGCCTAAGAAACCTATTTCTGGTCGGAAAAGTTGATACACGTAATTCACTCCAATGTTTGATTTCTGAATACCTCTTGTTGTTGATCACCGGGTTCTTGTGCAGCGTAATTCTGTTTAAGTTTTTGGCTGCATTGCGCCTGACTTCAGAACCCGCATTAAACGAATATGACAAATTCATCATTTGCCAAGTTCCTTGCTATACCGAAGGCGAAGAATCTCTGATAAAGACCATAAACTCACTTACGGTCATGAAGTACGATGACAAACGTAAGCTTTTATTCCTGATCGCAGATGGCATGATTGTTGGTAGCGGCAATGACAGATCGACACCGCGCATTGTATTGGATATCCTGGGTGTCGATCCCAACACAGAGCCGGAGCCGATGTCTTTTCTATCCCTTGGAGATGGGCGAAAGCAACACAATATGGGAAAAGTCTATTCTGGCCTGTACGAATGTTCGGGTCATGTTGTGCCCTACATTGTTGTTGTAAAGGTTGGCACGCCAGAAGAACACCAGAAACCCGGTAATCGTGGAAAGCGTGATTCGCAAATGGTCTTGATGCGCTTCCTGAACAAGGTTCACTTTGATGCTCCAATGACCCCTCTTGAGCTCGAGATTCACCATCAGCTAAAAAACGTTATTGGTGTCAATCCTGGATTTTATGAATTTGTATTGATGGTCGATGCAGATACCGAGGTTCTGCCAGAATCCTTGACCCGCATGGTTTCTTGCTTTGTAAACGATAGCAAGATTGTCGGCCTTTGCGGCGAAACCATGCTGTCAAACGAAAAGGATACATGGGTTACCATGATCCAGGTCTATGAGTACTATATCTCCCATCATCTTGCCAAAGCTTTCGAATCTTTGTTTGGGTCAGTAACCTGCTTGCCAGGCTGTTTTTGCATGTACCGTATTCGATCTACTACCAGAAACCAGCCTCTGTTGGCCTCTAATCAAGTTATTTATGACTATGCTGAAAATGTTGTGGATACTCTTCACAAGAAAAACTTGCTGCATCTTGGCGAAGATCGGTACCTGACTACTCTTATTCTCAAGCACTTTCCAAACTACAAAACCAAGTTTACTCCAGATGCTGCATGCATGACTAATGCTCCTGATCGCTGGCCTGTATTACTATCTCAAAGAAGACGGTGGATTAACTCGACTGTTCACAACTTGGGGGAGCTTATGTTTCTGCCACAGCTGTGTGGTTTCTGTTGCTTTTCGATGCGGTTTGTAGTGATGCTAGATTTACTGAGTACGCTTGTTATGCCTGCTGTTGTATGTTATCTTGGCTACTTGGTGTATCAGCTGTGTACCAATACGAATCAAGTCCCACTCATGTCTATAATTACTCTTGCGGGTGTTTATGGTCTTCAAGCCATTATCTTTATTATGCGACGCAAGGTATGCTTGGGCTTTATTACATTATTTAGCTTGGTCAGATGTTAATTATTTGTTATTGTTTTAGTGGGAGCATGTTGGGTGGATGATTGTGTATGTCCTGGCTATCCCTGTCTTTTCTTTTTTGATTCCCATGTATGCATTCTGGCATTTTGATGATTTTTCGTGGGGAAACACTCGTATTGTTGTGAGCGAAAAGGGACTTCGAAAGGGGCTAGGCCCCGACGAAGGTGTATTCGAGCCTTCAAGTATTCCCACCAAGCGGTGGTCTGAACACGAAGAGGAAGAAGAAGAAGAGGGCAAAACCGAAGACCAGACCGACTGGGAGGAGCGATCGGCGTGTTCCAAGCACACAGTAGAAAGTGGCTGTAGTTGTGAAAAGCAACCATCCCATCCGATGACAAGTTCGACTAGGTCCACACTTTCTTGTGTCGAAGAAAGCGAATGCTCAATATACAGTGGAGACCAACACTCGGTTGGAATGTACGACCGACAATACTCACAGCAGTCAAGCTATTATTATGAAAGCAGTATTGCATATCATGACCCTCGTAATCCTCCTTCCATTGCTTCCCACCCACTTAGTCAGATGGAACCTTATACCAGCGGACCTAGCGAGGCGACCATTGTGCAAGAAATTGAACATATTCTGGATGATAATGATTTGATGCGACTCACAAAAAAGCAAGTGCGCGATACGTTATCTGAAGTGTTTGGGATGGACATGAGCTACAAGCGTGACTTTATCAACCAGTGCATTGAAACATTGCTTGCTGAACGGCTATAGTAGAGAGCACAAAAGTATACCCGATAGAGATGTTTCTTTGTTGAACACAGTCTTTCCTGTAATTATTCCTCTTATTTTATTTTTATTTATTTTCTATATTATATAACTTATCTCTTGAGTCCTCAGGGCTTACCTATTCCTTTTCTGTTGTCTCTATTTTTTATCTTCATTATAAAGAGTATTGTACTTGTCCATCACTACCAAATATTAAGTATAAAAAAAATAATTAATAATATACATATAGTAAAATATTTTTTGTTGTTGTTGAAAAATAGATAGGTAAAATGTGAGGCACTTTACGATTCACTTGTTTAATTAGAAATACGATATTCAAATGTATATCTAGATTTATAGATGCAACCCCCCTTCCCCCTTCAATTCCTCATTTCCTTACCCTGCATTCGGTACCAAGCCTATATCGATTTAGTCTTGGTTTATTCTGTACAGTATTGGTTGTAATTAACCAATTAACTATAATAGTAAAACAAAAACAAAGTACCATATAATAAAAATAAGAGAATATATAGCAAGTAAGCTTATCACAGTCTATTATTATTATGATTGTTTCTGCAAATTATTTTATAGACGCATCATACATCATAATGCTTGATACATTTGATATATTCAAATATTAACTTTTTAGGGTCTTCTTTTGTTTCTTTTATATGTATACCAATAAGCTGGACTTGCTTCTGTTATGAAGCTTTTAACAACAACAACAAGACCAGTGCAAATATTACTGTTCAATTTAAAAGAACTGGGAGCATAAATGCTTTAGAGTCCTTATCAAAGCATTGACTGCATGTGGCTCAAGCAAAAAAGAAAGCTTATTGATCCACTCAAGATATCCAACTCAATGCCATGTTGCTTAGAATATGAAAGTGAAGTAAAGAGATAGAAATGAAATGAGGAGAGAAATACACTTATTTATAAGTTTAATATTTTATTTTATTTTGTTTTATGTAGTAAACTGTTTGTGGCTAATATCCCTTTCATTCAGATTCTAATGTATGCTACCTTTCTATGGGTAAGACACATATACATAAGAAGAAGTAGGTTATAGTAAGTAGCTAATTTAAGACGAGTATAGTCCATTTCATTAGGTATATTTAAATGTAGCGCCAGGTTTGCATTCTATGTATGTATTTATGTATTTATGCGCTTCTATAGACCCAAAACCTTCTTGCATGGCGAAACTCTTACTTTTAAGACACAAAAACAAGCTCAATTCAGCCCAGATTATATAATTGTGGCTAAAAATGAATTTTAGTGTGAAATTGAATGTATATGGCCCATTAATTATAGTTCTTTTCAGAAAACTACACAACCAGAAACAAGAATAAGGTAAATGGTATTCTCTATATACCGACCACCATTCGAAAATCTATTCTTTACTTTATAGGCCTTTAATAACAAAGATGTGTATCAAACAATAAAGGGTTACTTGGTGAGGATAGATTTAGCTTATTTATGGTGGAAGTCTATAAAGATCTCCTGGATAAATTATAATCGTTCTTTATATCTTGAAACTCTTCTTTTCTCTCTTTTTCTATCTTCGTGGTAATATACACTATCCAAACAACATCTTTAGATGTATTTTTGCCTTTAGTATCACACACACATGTTTCTATTTTATTTTCTGTTTGACAGAGCCATGATTTATAAAGGAGCTGTTTTCTTTTAAGCATAATTATCCAAACAAGGGGATTCTTCTTTTTTTTTTACTACTTAGAAAGCATTGTACTTTAGCTCAAAGATGTAAAAGCTCAACAAAATAAAATAAAATACAAAAAACTTATTATATCGCAGATATCAACGTCTTTGATAAAAAAAATACAAGTTTTGTGTGTGTGTATGTTTATAGTCAAAACTTTGTGTGAGAAACGGGAACTGACAACCGGTGCGGATAGCTTAAAAGAACCCCCCCATGGAGAAGACAAACCTGCCACGGGTGAGAGCCCTCTTTTTCTCTCTCTCTCTATCTTGTATTCTCTGCGTCACAGTTTTTACTCGCCAGTCATTGATTGGCTCCTTTATCTATTTTACTCCTCACACGTACACCCTTTTTTTTTAAAAAAAAAGAAAAAATAAAAATAAACTATTATCCAGAATAAAAAAGAAAAAAAAAGTAACCTCTTTGTTCTTTCCAACAATGACATCCACAACTGAATCATCTACCAGTGTCGGGGATCCTGTTCAGCAACCCAGTCTGATCCCCGAAAACCAGGAACAACCCCCAAGTTCAGCCTCGCTGTATGTGGGAGAACTGGATCCGTCCGTCACTGAGGCCATGCTGTTTGAGATGTTCAACAGCCTCGGTCGAGTGGCGACGATCCGGGTCTGTCGAGATGCTGTTACCCGTCGCAGTTTAGGATATGCCTATGTTAATTTCCAGAACCTGGCCGATGGTAAGCGAGTCTTGTCCGAGGCTCCCTTTGATCAATCTTGTCTCTAGCCGAACATGCCATCGAGGCTCTCAACTACAGCCTCGTCAAGGGTCGTCCTTGTCGTATCATGTGGTCCCAGCGTGACCCTGCTCTCCGCAAGACGGGCAGTGGCAATATCTTTATCAAGAACCTCGACCCAACCATAGATAACAAGGCTCTTCACGATACATTCTCTGCCTTTGGCAACATTCTGTCTTGCAAAATCGCCACTGATGAGTCAGGAAACTCAAAGGGCTATGGCTTTGTACACTATGAAACCGAAGAGGCCGCTGACAATGCTATCAAGCATGTCAATGGTATGTTGTTGAACGACCAAAAAGTGTGAGTATGATAGGACTATAAAAATTGATTAATAAAAGAAGCATGAGGCGGAGGAAGCGGAGGCGGAGAAACAGAACAGAAACAAAAACAGAAGGAAGGAGAAGGACGAGAAAGATGAGGAAGATATATACAGAAGAGGTGGGGGGGACTAGTCGATGATTGATTGAATTTTTTCCATATAGATTCGTTGGGCGTCATATATCACGTAAGGAGCGTCAGTCAAAAATGGAGGAAATCCGGTCTCAGTTTACAAACATCTATGTCAAGAACCTCGCCAGCGATGTTACTGACGAAGAACTTAATGCGCTTTTTAATCAATTTGGCAATGTCACCTCGGCAATTGTCTCAAGAGACGATTCTGGACAATCGCGTAATTTTGGCTTTGTGAATTTTGAAAAACATGATGATGCTAGCACTGCTGTAGATACACTCAACGAGACCGAGTTCCATGGACAACAACTCTATGTCTCCAGAGCCCAAAAGAAGACCGAACGTGAAGAAGAGCTCAGGCGTCAATACGAGCAGGCTAAGCTCGAGAAGCTCGCAAAATACCAAGGGGTTAACTTGTATGTCAAGAATCTTGATGACGAAGTTGACGACAGTCGTCTTCAACAAGACTTTTCTACCTACGGTATGATTACCAGTGCCAAGGTTATGCGAGACGAAAAGACTGGCATCAGTCGTGGGTTTGGTTTCGTGTGCTTTTCATCGCCTGATGAAGCTACCAAGGCTGTTACCGAGATGAACGGTCGAATGATGGGCTCAAAGCCAATCTATGTTGCACTTGCCCAGCGTAAAGAAGTCAGAAGATCGCAACTGGAAGTAGAGATTGCACAGAGACAACAGATGCAGATGGTAAGTAGCTATTACACGTCAAGAGATAAGACAAAGAAAAAAAAAGAAATTGTCGACGGATAAGGAGGAAGAAGAGGGCGTATGTGTGTACGTGTGTGTGTTTATGCACAAGAAGCCATAGAAAGACAGAAAGAAAAATATTATGATTAACTGTATGTATTCATGTATGTGTGTGTGTGTGTGTGTATACGGAACAGATTAATGTGCCACAGGGTGGTCCAAACTACATGCCAGGAGCCCCAATGTTCTATGGTCCAGTCAATCCTTACATGCACCAAGTCCAGAGACCAGTTTTCCCACAAGGAGGACCGATGATGGGCCCTCGCCGCAGATGGGGTGAACAAGGAGGAAATCCTAACAATGGAGGACACCCTATGCCTCAAGGATATATGCCCTCTCATCCCAACGCACGTCCTTCGCGCCCTCCTCGCCCTCCTCGCGAGCCTCGTCAACATCAACACCAAGCACCCCACGAGAGCTACCAAAGAAATCAGGAAGTAACTTCTGAGAAGACTGCAACAAGTTCTCCTCCTCCTCCTGTTACTGGTTCTGGTTCCGGACCTGCTAATGCTCCTCCCAGTAGAGATAATCGTGTATTGACAGCCGAAGCATTGGCGGCCGTACCTCCTAATGTGCAGAAACAAATGTTGGGCGAACGCCTGTATCCTTTCATGTAAGGGGATCATGTTTCTTTCTTTTTATATATATATAAGACGCCGACTAAATATCTTTCTTTTTCTTTTTCTTTTTCTTTTCTTTTAGCCATCAACAGGAACCAGAGTACTCTGGTAAAATCACAGGAATGCTTTTGGAAATGAATAACGCCGAATTATTGGTTATGCTGCAAGACAAACAAGCCTTGACATCAAAGATCAATGAGGCTTTAGCAGTTCTCCGTCAACATTTTGCAGCCCAGGAAGCTCAATAATTGTAGAATGAACGATTGAGAAAAAAAGGCAAAAAAAAAAATAATAAAGTTTTTTTTGGAAAAAATGAAGCAAATTTAATATGCTTGTTTAAAATCACTCAAATGTATCCATTTTTTTTCATTGCTTATAATATATATGTGTGTGTGTATGCATATCTCTTTATGTATGTGTGAGTGCATATATATAAAGTAAACTTATTTCCAAGCTTGTTATATGAGAAGCTCACAAAGAATCACAATATGCAAGTCATTTAAACAACAACAACAACAACAGCAACAACAAAAATAGAGGGAAAAAAGAAATCTTGACATTTAATCAAAAGTGTACGTGTGCGTATATGTGAATTCCAAAGCTATACTTAATCTACTTGGCTGTTTATATCGACCAATTCTTTTGTATGGCTACTGCCACTTTCCAGAGCAGCAGCAGCTCTATCGATCTTTCCAAATTGCCACTTCCACGAAGCATTGTACAAAAACGGACGCAAATCAAATCTGTTGTCGTCTGGACTGTAGGCTTCAGCATGGTAAGATGGTGTCAGAGTAGTCATCTTGTGGCGATTAATTGAGTAATAAAAGAAAAATCGCTTTACTTTGGCTGCCACCTACAAACACCATATTTTTCTTTAGCTTGATTTGTTTATATTATTATATTTATTCTTATTACCTCAGTGGGACGCATCTTTTCTCCCCACTCGTGAACTAGCTTGTAAAACATGGAGAATGGACCGCATTGTTCTACCTTGCGCAGACGACCATATTGAGACAACTCCTTGTAAGTCATACCCATATCAACTTCATCAGACTGCGTGTAGTTCTCAGTAATTGGCTCTAATTCAGCAGTAGGTGTGGCATCCAAAAAGGAGCCAAGGATTGGCATATCGAATGCATCTCGAGCGTACCCAATAAAGCTTGTCAGATCTGTCTTTGATATGGCACCAATAGGGTTGACATCCGCACTACTACAATCGTACTTTGTCAGGTATCCACGCAAACTCTCGTCAACATTGGCACTACCCAGGACAAGCAGGGCACCTTGTTTGGAACGAACCCAGGGCATCATTTGAGCAAAAAGATAGGCTAGTAGCATACGCAAACGTGCCTGGATATTTTGCAGGGCTAGGTTCTCTGCCGGAGTGCCGCCGTGAACGCGGTAGCGAGGAGTCTTTCCTGTCACAAACGAGAACAAGCTGTGGATCGAAACGACCACAGAATCCATGTCCAGATCAGTGTGGTAGCTACCAATAACACTTGCCAAATCTTTGGCTCTCTGGCGAGTTTCCTTGCTAGAGTGCTCTGTACCCATGTAGCAAGTGTAGAAGATCCGGTTGGCGAACTCGCGAGGATCTGAAGGAACATAGGATTCGCATTCACCTGCCATCCGACGTGCGTCTTCAAGGACCTGTTTGTTGCCTGCTTGTGAGGCAGCGACCACAAGTCGGCACATGGAGGCTACGATTGTTGCTGTAGCGCAACTGTCGATACCTCCACTCAAAGGCAAGAAGTAACCAGCCGTCTTTGATCTGCGCAGGTAGTCCCACAGCCAACAGGCAGGACCAAGTGCGATTTCTTCTTCGGGTGTGTGATAGAATGGTTCTCTTTGGCGGCTAGGGCGGAGATGGATATCGCTGTCCATGTCTGGATGAGACAGGGAAATTTTGACTTGCTCACGACGATACGCTTCTGATCTCGATGCCTGCATACCGCGGCTGGTCATGCGGGAACGGTAGGAGCGCACATCTTCAAGATCAATTGTTGCCGTAACTACTTCGACGTCATTGAGAGAGAATTGAGTTCCTTGGGCCACGATCTTTCCGTTGACTAAGATCATGGCACATCCATCGTAATAGAGACGATCTCCATCACAGCCTTGTTGGTTGGCGTACAAATACACACCACCAACCTAGAAAATTATAGAAGATAAGAATCCAAACATATATATATATATGTATGTATGTGTGTGTATATATACCTTTTGTGTAGCAGCCTTCATCAGTTCAACACGAGTATGGAGCTTGCGAAGCTCATGATGACTTCCACTGCTATTGGTAAAGATTTCAACACCATCCAATCCCATATTGATGTGAGGACTATTTTTTTTAAAAAGAAAAAAATATATTAATAAGCCGAATTGAAACATATATATATATAAAAATAGACATTTAAGCTGTAAGTTATATACCTGTCAGGAGTAAATAGTTCTTCACAAGTTTCGCAACCAATACAAGTGTCTAGAGTGCTAATGACAGCATCACCAAAAGGTACCGTTGTCTAATGTTTATGTATATAATCTTATTATTATGCCTAGGATCTGACAGTGATTTATTTAGTTTTTACCTGGTTGGTGATCTTTTGGATCATTCGAGGGAGATAGTATTCTTCGACTTTCTTCGGCATCCATGGAGTAAATAATCGCAGTTCACGATAATTGCCGTCGTTGGCAAGGAACATCTTTGGTCTGATCAATACAATTCGGCCGTCTGAAATTATAACACGGCAGTTATATTTTACTGTCTTGTGCATCACAGGCCTAAAAGATATATATATATATATATAAGAGAGAGAGAAAAGGAAATGAGGTCATCCGGTATTGTTACAGAAAATATCAGAAGATATGTCAACGTACATGCCGATATCCAAGATCATGTCCTTGGCTTCTTCACTTTGTAAAATTGAAGCCAGTACTTCCCATGAATGTAAATATGTGTCACCTAGAAGCACGAACGAATACAATAGAATATGTTCATCATAAATAAATATTGAACTTAATACCAAAGCCAAACTCCAACTTAAAGTAAAAATAAAATAAAATAAAATAAAAGGGAAATTTTATTTGTGGTTTATGCGCATAGACACATTACCTTCGAGAAAATGATCATGACATCCGTAACCACTACAATGTTAAACCAAAGGTCAATCCACATGAAGCAAACGAAGAAGAGAAAATAAGGTTCTATAAACATACGTGATTTCCAATTCAGGGCCAACACGAAGCTTTGCACCCTTTTGTTTGGCGATTCGAATACTTTCAAGGATTCGTTCGAGATTTCCTTCAAAGTCCAAGGCCCATTGGTTGAGTGAACATGTGGCAACCGTAATGCTATAGATTCCAGCAACTCAGTATAATTCTTTTCCTGTAAGTAAGTTATTTAAATGAGGACTTACAGGTGTCCCATATCTGTAAGTAATAAAAGGTATACTTTAACACGTAAAGATAGAGTATATATATATATATATTTGATCGGACACAGACATTGAGTGTATTACAACAGTGAGTCTCTTAGCAGTCCCCTTTGATTAGTTACATAGTATTTTATATTGTTTTTTTTTTATATATATATATAAATATTTCTTGTCAAAGATAGGAATTTTTGCAAACTTTACAAAATACCAAGAGCATCTTCAGCAGTACACTTTGACTTTACTTTTATCTTAAATTTAAATACTTAGTTAGCATTGGTACCCTCAGCAGTTTGGCTTATTTTATTCTAAATAAAATAAATCAAAGAACAGAAATTTTAAAATTGAATTACTGGGACAAAGTTACCTTTTCTTTCTTTCATAAGGTAAAAGCGGCTATGTTTGGATTTGAATAAAAGTTAAACCACTTCTGAAGATGCTCTAAAGATATTGATCCAATTGATGTTTTAATGGCTTTGACGTGTACAGTTAAAGTATGTGATTCTACTCATATAGAATATCGGTGTAACTGACTGAGTATCTATCTGATTATATATGATTACTGAAATATAATTTAACAATCAACCAATCTATAATGAATCTATCGTTTCTCTTTCTTTCTTTCTTTTGCTCTTTTGCTCTTTTGCTCTTTCTCACGCCGCTTTCTTCAAGCCAAGGTCGATGTAAATTTATTCTTACTTACTTTGATTTGCTTGACATGAAACCTAAAGATGCTATTAGATATTACGCTTAACATGACCTATCTCCCTTCCGCCAAGGTGCAAAAGGCTATGGCCGCTATTATAAATGAGATAAGAGCATGCAAGTATTATAGCACTTTTCAATAATTTACACTAAAGTAGCTTCTCAAGATGATGTAGAAAATATTATACAGTGGGTTCACTCCACTATGGAAGCCAAGAAAAATGATCTTGTGAATAAACCCATAATAAAATCTATAAAAATGGAGCAATCCCTCTCTACGGTTCTTGGTGGTATGCTTTTCATAAAACCAAGTCTTTCTTTTCTTCTCTTTTGATTATTGATTTCTACACAATAAAGATGAGACCTTTTCATTAGCTCCGACGGGCATAACAGGGCTTGCGGCCTTTGGCGAGGCTAAAGAGCTAGTTGTTGACCGGAGCACTTGTTCCGTAGTGACCGAAAGACAATCCAAACGCAGAAGTATGTGTATAATTTACAACAATATATTGTATACTAATTTATGTTTCTTATAAGAATCAAGTGAATTATTAATAAAGCAAGAGGTTAGTTCTGTACTTTGGTATATATAAGAAATAATTACTTACTAGATAATAGACTGTTGCTGTCTCAAGTGCTTGTGATACCGACACCACTGAAAACACTGACCAGAGCAATCTCACAGACAACTCAGAAGAGGTAACATTTAATACATTGATCTATCTATCTATCAAACGATCAATCGATTTTAACGCAATATGTATTAGTAGATACATAGCTTTGTTAATGGAAAAAGAGAAAATCTAGTCCTAAACAGGCTCGAGAAAGGTAATTTTTATTGAACACTTATATATATATATATTACTAACATCATCATCATCATCATCATAATAATGATTAGATTTGAAAAAACTCTTGTCAATGGCTACATATGAAATTAGAGACATAGTGAAAAGAAGAATAGATGTTTTGGAATTCATGTCCACCGGTCTATTCATAGGCGTTAGCTCCAATTTATTTCAATTGAAGGATTACACCAACGAGTCCGATGAGTCACTTATCCTTGACATAAAGAAAACGACGAGAAAGTATACAGCGGTAAAATCTGTGCCAAGAATGGTACACGTTGCCAAGAACTTCTCTATGGTGGCATTTTACCGCATCATGAAGATCTACATGGAAAGACATAGTCTTCCATTGAGTTATGCATATCGAAAGATACACAACAGTAAGTGCTGTCAGTAATAATTACACATAAAAAAAAAAAAAAGGGGGGGGGGGCGTCAAGTAGAAAAGCTCTTAATCTTCTGCTGTAGTGGATCCCCACGACTTTAAGGGGATGAAGAATGTCTATACTATGTACAAGTGTGGTAAGAACTTGGCTTTTGCCACTCTGGTCTTCCAGTCAGACATTATTCTGCTCTTACCAGAACTCTTCAATTTGAAAATAGCAAATTCGGTAGGTAAATTTGGTGTTAATATGTATGTAGCTTATGTATATTCATATTCATATATATATATATATATATATATAGATGACAGAGTCCACCTGGATGAAGTGGGAGTCGATGTCGGAATTCCAACTCAACAAGAAGAAACTTGCTATTATATGGAGGGAAATTGAAGCAGATGTATTTAGACGTCATTAATAAAAAATAAAAAAAAGAGTATATATTCTATAAAAAAAAATTAGGTTTGATATTTGGTGTTTCAACCACAAGCAGCAATTACAGCCTTAATTCTATCAGGCATGGTAGCAGAAATATCAGCTCCAAACTTCAGGTCCATCTGTTCCAATTCCTTTGCAATACAGGCCTTGAGATCTTTAGTATTGTTAATAGATGTCTTTTTTTGCTTTGTAACTCGATCTTTTATGAATTTATATACATGTTTGATTGGGTTCAAATCATGGTTTTAGGATCCAGTAGTCAAATTGCTTAATCTGCCAACGATTGTTTCACCATGTTGTATATGAGCTATTATGGCATCTGGCGCCATTATCTGGGAAGATAAACATAGTGACGTTCCTCATTTAATATTTGATACCATGGATTAAAGTCATTGTATAGACAGTCTACATACACGTCTTGAATGACTGAGCCTTCAAGGGTCATGAGAGGTCCAGATCCTCTTGCTCAGAAACACCACCCATACCATTACTGAACCTTTTCCAAATTTCACCATAGAATATATATATATATATATATCATTGCTAGAAACGTTCTCCAGACTTACGAATTGAGAATGCGTTAAAATCATTGCCCAACGCAACTTATTTTTTCATCTGTTTAACTGTAAACTTTGGTATGGCAACTGGAGTGTAAGAACCAAAGTCGTTTGCGCAAAGATAGCCAATAACTGTCTCTAGACAAACGTTTACACCGGAATGTGCCAAACTACTTTAGTGATACGGATACCCCTCACATGGATTATATCTCACACTCAAACAAAGAGCAGCATTATCAGTGACACTTGTTTTATTCTTGGATTTTTTGATCTAGGCTTTGAATCAGTTGTTCCAGTTTCTTCCAATGGTTGAAAAAGGGAATATCAAGGACCTCTTTGATCTCTCCTGGGGAATTCTCGGCCTTATGAATAGTAATAATGTCTCAATGTAAAAATAAATAAAAAATATCCAACTTTGGACTTTTTGCGCCGACTTTTTTTTTTGTACACCTTCTAAACAATAGCATAAGAGCAATTAAATCAAAGAAGTGAATGACTGTACGTTAGAAATAAAGAAATTGAGAATAAATTCAAAGAAAGCAAGCGAAACTTTTATTTTTGTGCCGTAAAAATTGATCACTCACAAAAACCTCAAGTCAACATTTTATATTTATCTTTTTATTTGTATTTGTATTTGTATTGTAGTGACGGACATTTAATTTGTTTCGCAAAGTGATCATATATCTACTGTTATCAATGTAAGAGATAGAGAAGAAGAAAACAAAAGGGAAAAGAAAACGCCAGAAAAGTAGAGTCGTATGTTAGAATTGGTTAGTCGGTTAGTGGGAAGAAGTGAGAGAGTATAAGGAGTAGAGTGAAAGGGGAGCAGGGCAATAGATGAGTGTTAAGCTTTATGGAAGATCAATTCGGATTACGGTTTGCCTTTTTTGGGCGGTTGTTGATGTGGGTCAAAAGAGTAGGCTATTTTGGCTTTTGCTGGGACCTACAAGCACACACACATACAGAGAGAGAGATAGAAAGACGCACATACAATATATATATGTGTGTTTTCTATATATGTATATAAAAAAGAAAGATTAAAAACAATACACCCATACGTCTTATTTGCCCTTCTTCTTCTTCTTCTTATTATTATTATTCCTATTCTTCTAAAGCTATTATTACTTGTTCAAATATAATATTTGCTTAATACAAGTAACACATACACACAGACGTACATAATTTCTTTAAACACTTGTAAAATCAACCAATCAATCAATCGATCAACATGGGCTATTGTATTCGATGCGGTAATCTCTCTCACGGCGATAAATGTGGGAAATGTCGTGGAAAAATAGTTGGTAAGTTTGTTGGTTCCTGGCTGAAAGCAAACATAAAACCCAAACAACCGAGTTATTGACTCTTAGTAATCAACAGCATCCATTGCAACTGGTCTAACTACTGAAAAGAGGAGGGTGTCTAATGGGGACAAGTGGAAATCACAGTAAGTAGGAATACGCTGTATAGCTATCTTAACTAACCAAATAAACGGGATCCACTTCAAATGATAATATCAATAACAATAACAATAACAATAACAAAGATACGCCGAAAGTATCCTCAGTGAGCCATTTGGGAGCACAGCTAGTACCCTAAGATCCAAGCGCGATTCTACTTACCTTACAGCATCCGTTCTTGCGAGTAACAACCGACGTCCCTCACTTCCACTACACAAGACATGTGTGACATGTAAAAAACAACTCTCGTACGACAGTGCATTTCTAAACGGCAATGTTCAACACTGTGGTACATGTCGCCCGCCAGACGCATGGTAAAATTCACTTTAAGATTATAAGCACAGAAAGAATAATATAAAAAAAAATACATAAACTATATCTACGTAAATGTGGTAAAGGAAAGAAAGATATTTACATGTATTTACATATCTATATCTATAGTGTTTCCTGTACTGAAACTGTTTCTGAAGAAGAAGCATTCTACAGTCAGAACCAGCTCTGGCACCGAGGCTGTTTCCGCTGTCAAGGATGTCACAAACTACTTGAGGATTGTACCCAAGTAGATAGATACAAGCAGCCATTGTGTGAGAACTGTAGCAAAGAAGATGAGATGACTTCTCGACCTAGTTCAAGCGCCTCGACGCCTCTCATGTCTCCTCTAGAGAAATCATCATTACCTCAGCTCCAGACCTCTCCTACCTCGACCGTCAGTAGCCGGGATCAGTTTGATAGTATTCGGATAAGAACTCCGTCAGATGATTTATCCAGCTTTGGAACACTGTCGTCTCTGTCCTCAAGTGTACGTCCTACGAGAGCAATATCACCAGTTGGATTTACGGGTACTAGACCGCCCATTACATCACAGCTGTTTCAACAGTACCAAAAATCGCTACAGGAACAGCAGAAGAACCAGCAACCAATCTTTATTGCATCTTCTGAAGACCAGCCATTGTTAATATCAAGTCTATCACAGCCCCAACCACCGCCTACCCCACCCAAGCGATATCCTTCCACTCCAACCCGTCAGCAGCAGTCCATCACACCTTTGGCAACACGTTCTATAGTACCTACGAAAGATCCTTCTAAAAGACATTCATATGGAAATGATGGTAATTTTTCCGAGAAGCAGTATCAACAACAACAGCAGCAACAAGAGTCCCAAATAGAGCCAATCAGATCCAGTAGTACAAAGCAAGTGACTCAAAATAATAAACCATCTAAAAAGCCAGCCAAGGAAAAGCGAGTGTGTTTCAAGTGTCTCAAGACACTACGAGGACGGCGTATCAAAGCACCTACGGCAACAGGAGATGCATGGTATCATTATGATTGCCTGACATGTGCAGGATGTGACCTCCACTTTACAGACACTGAAATAGTTGTGGAAGGCACAGACATTTATCACCCTCAGGTAAAAAACAAAACAAAAGCATAATAGGGAATAGTCATTATTTATTTATTTATTTATTTGTAGTGTCGAGGAGTGACTATAAAGCCAAAGGAAGAACCTTTATTTACATGTCATGCATGTGAGCTACCTATCCAAGACAAACAATGCTTAAAAGACGGTACAAAATTATTCCATCATCAGGTACAAAACAGTAATAATAATGATAGTGATAGTGATAGTCATATTTACTGTGTAGAGTAGATTATTAATACAACATATAAATATTAGTGCTTTACATGTCATGACTGTCACAATGTATTACCTCCGGATCAACCGTTCTATGATATGAATGGCAGTCTTCACTGCGAAGCTTGTGCACGCAAACGAACGATATCATCGAGCGCATTGGCGGCCAGGGCACAGCAAAGACTCCAACAGAATAGTAACACTAACAACAATAGACGTTCTAGTCCTCGTGCATCGCTCTCGACACCTCTTGTACGGACCAACACAAGAGAGACTAGTTTTGATGAGGCAGAGGAAGAGGATAGTCCATCTGAAATATTCCGACAGCGTCAATCGCGTGCTTTCCCAAAGTTGGGTGGATCGAGGATGTGCCCAAGGTGTCGACAGAGTATTGCTATTATGGATGATAGTCCTGGACCTAGGGCTACTCGATGGCACAAGAAGTGTCTGAGGTGTGCTGGATGTAGAAAACAGATGGACTCTGGTGCTAAAGTGACCGAAGGACCTGATGGTGAATGGTTGGTTCACTGTCGAAACTGTATGGTAAGCTTATCAATTTTATCAACTTAACTATTCAATTATCTTATTTCTAATTGACTGTGATTAGGACAAGAATACTACCGAAGCCTATGTACGCTGATAATAGTCGGTTGGCTAGACTATATAATTATTAGATAAAAAGAAAAGAATTGCCGATAAGATATATTTATATACATTCTTTAACAAATACATACAATATTACCTTTACTTCCATATAGATAATTTACACCTCTTTAAGATTCACTTTTACATATTATCAGATTTATAAAGGAGTAAGCAATATATATATATATACGATATCTGAGTTTATTATTACGATATTTATTTATTTTAATTAAAAAATATCGCAATAAATTCCATTTTTATATAAAATCTTTTTTATAATACAAAAGACAATATGGTATATAAATTCAAAGTTTAATAAAGAGAGCGGGAGAGCGAGAGATATTAAAATAAAAATAAATAATAAAACCAGGTGTCTGGTAAAATACTAATATATTTTTTATTTTTATTTTTTAAGAAAAAAATAAATAAATTCATAGTCTGAATTGTGTGTGTGTGTGAAAAATAAAATAAAAAATAAAAAAAATAGGCAGAGATTCAAATAGCATCCATACACTTTTACTTTGAGTGAATGAATGACGCAAAGACAATTTATTATTATTTTCAACAAAAATAGCGCAGATGGTTTTAGCTGCCACCAAAAAAATACTAATAGTAATATTATAATACAATACAATACAATATAAAAAAAAACATTACGCGCTTAATGAAAAATTTCAAGTATTGTGATCCCCTTATTTTTTTATTTTTATTTTTGACAAAAGTTTTTTTTTTTTTTTTTTTTTTTTTTTTAATTTTTTTTTGAGCCTTTCTCTTATATTGCGTGTGTCTGTTGTGTGCTTATATTTTTTTCGACTTCTTTGAGTTACTACTTTACGCGCCTCTCCCCTTCCATCTCTCGCGCTTTTCCTCCCTTCACCTCTTTTCTTCGTTCCTATCCCTTTCCTTCTTCTTCTTTTCTCTCTCTCTCTCTCCTCCTTCTCTTCTCTCCCTCCTCTTCTCTTTTCTTCTTCTTTTTTCTTTGTATTTTTGTTTTTGTCTTCAAAACAAACAAATTTCTTTTGTAAAGTGTAAGTTATTCGAATCATCTTTATTTCTACATTATTAAATCTACACCAAATCAACAACACCAACATCTCTTATGTTGATTAAGAAGAAAAAAAAAGAAAGAAAAAAAGTCGAGATGCTCATCAATCTATAGATGTCTCAACCCTCCAACTCAAGCTCTGACCATTACGATGACCGTTTTATTCCTAATGCTAGCCAAGAAAACGATGGCGACCAGCAGTACGATTACGACGATGCTCAATTAACATTGCGTGCTCTTGTCTCGACCAAGGAAGCCGGTGTGATTATTGGCAAAGGTAAAATATATTCGTATTCATATATATTTAAAAAGTAGAGAGAGAGAGAGAGAGAGAGAGACTTTGTGCGAGTGTGGGTTTGTGTAAAGAGAGTAGAGTGAAAGTGAGTAAGGCTGGGATTTCTACTATTACCAATGGTATTGCTACTATGGTTATTATGGTTACTGTAGTCTTGCTATTGTTGTTGTTGTTTTTGTTGTTTTTGTTGTCTTGTGTGTGTATGTGTGTGTGTTGGGGGGAGGGGAAAAAATATGAGGACGCGCTTTGTTCCTCCGACGCGGACGAAATGATGTGGCGATTTGGGGGGATACGAAAAAATAACATCATCTACTTCTTTGGTGAACAAGAAGATAAAGAAGATAAAGACGAATATGAATACAACAATAAAAAAAAATAAGATATCAATAGTCTTACTAATGCTTGTCTTTGTTTTATTTTTCTGTAGCTGGAAAAAATGTGGCTGAGCTGAGAGACTCTACCGGTGTCAAGGCTGGCGTATCCAAGGTTGTCCAAGGTGTCCATGATCGTGTATTGACTGTTAGCGGTACTTTGGAAGGTGTTGCAAAGGTAAGCCCAATATATAAATATTTATATGCACATATGCACATTTGTGTATATATACGTAGCTTACGACATGTAGTGCTATTAGCAATAGCAATAGCAATAGCAATAGTAGGGATAATTAAATATATATATATACCATTGTCATTATTTTTGTATTTATTTATTTTTGCTATGTTTTGTATATAGGCCTATTCGTTGATCGCCCAGACTTTGTTGGACAACCCAATCTCGCCTGCTACCCCTCCTGCCACACCCACAGGCACCTCAATGGTTGACTTGGTGGCAACAATCCGCCTGTTGATCTCCCACAACTTGATGGGCACTGTCATTGGTCGCCAGGGTGCCAAGATTAAGCACATCCAGGATACCTCAGGTGTGCGTATGATTGCATCCAAGACCCTTCTTCCTCAGAGCACCGAGCGTGTTGTGGAGGTCAGAGGTACTGTTGATTCAGTCCGCCGTGCGGTTGTTGAGATTGGACAGTGTTTGATCGAAGACAAGGAGCGTGCCTATGGTACCATTCTCTACAACCCTACCAAGGGCAGCATGAGCATTGTTGGTGCTAACGGCGCTGGTGTCGGAAATGTATCGTCTTCGGTCCTTTCGTCTTCTGTTGCCAACTCTGCCACAAACTCTGCCAACGGTGGATCCAATGGTCCTGATCGTCGCAGCTCTATTACTCGCACTGGAAACGGCTCGGACTTTAGCTCTGCACCCACAGATTACCAAACCCAGCGTCGTCCCTCGGCCACCTCCCAGAACTTCCTCAATGATCCTTCTATTCGCACTCAACACATTTCTATTCCCAGTGACATGGTTGGCTGCATCATTGGTAAAAAAAATTATTTTATTTTTTATTTACTTCCTTACATATATATATATATATATTCTCTATTGGGATACTTACGGTTATTTTCTAATTTGTGTGCTTAGGTAAGGGAGGTTCAAAGATCTCTGAAATCCGTCGTTTGTCGGGTTCACGGATCTCGATTGCCAAGGTACCCCACGACGAAACCGGCGAGAGAATGTTCACAATCCAGGGTACTCCCGACTCGAATGAACGTGCCTTGTATTTATTGTATGGCCAGCTCGAGAATGAAAAAGAACGTCGTCTGAGAAGTGTTATGCACGAGGATATTCTCGAAGAAGACGAGGTCGTCATGTAGATAAAAAAAAAGCAACAAACCAAAAAACAAAAAACCTAGTTAAACAAAAAAAAATGAACAGCAAAATAACCTTACCTACAACCTTATTTTACCTCAAATTCCCCCTCTTCCCCTCGCCTTTCAAAAAAAAACCATTAAAAAAAACCCATAGGAGATTTTTGGAAGAACAAACCAAACAATATTTTAGTGCAAGTTTTAGCCCACCTTTCACCCTATTATCCAAATTATTTTCTTTGTCCATCTTCACCCTTTTTTTTCTTTCTTTCTTTCTCATTTTTACTACCAGCAAAAATTACCACCCATTTTTTAAATGGGCAAACCAAAACAAAAAAAAATATCAGTCAATTAAATAATGATATTTCTATATTTTCTATATCCTTCTTTTCATATACATTGTGTGTGTGTGTTGTATTATCCACCTTTGGATTTATTATTATTATTATTATTATTATCACACAATCCAAAAGAAAAAGGTAACAATGCAGTAAACCCAAAAAAAAAAACCAAAACCAAACAAAAAGAACAAGATACTTGAAATGTATATACATCATTAAGGAAATTAGAACATGTTATATACACTGGCCAGCCTTCGTTTTCTTGTATAAAAAAAAAGAAAGAAGAAGAAGACTTAGCCAGCCAATTGATGGTTAAGTAAGGAAGTGGAAGGAAAGGGGAGAGAAAGGTAAATGGAAGAAAAAGGAAATTGGAGGAAAGTGGAGGTAGTGGAAGAAGTGTAGGTAATAGAGAAGGAGGAGGAGGAAGAGGAGGGAAAATGAAAGGCTTCTTTCTTTTTTTTTCAGGTTTGGTAGGGGGAGGCTTTTTTGGGGTTTTCTAGAAACGATATAAAATAATAGTAATAGGAATAATAGTAATAGCCTTTCTAAAGATAAAATTGTTTCACGTCATTAATGCCAAAAGATTCACCACAGCTTGGGCATCGTCTTTGTCGAGTCTCGATACGGATATCAAGACAGTCTTTACAAAACGTGTGCATACAGCGCATCAGGACATGCGATTTGAGTCGAGTACGGCAAGAACTACAATTCAGCAATGACTACGTACATTAAGATAGAAGATATTGTGAGTAAACATGTCAGTATTGATAATATTACATATGCATATAAGAAATAACATAAAATCAACCAAGTTCAGTTATTAACTCACTCTGTATTCTTCTTTTTCTTTCCTCAGTTTCATCTCTACTGGCTTCTCAACCTTTGTCGTCGCTTCTACCTTACGCCTCAAGAGCTCGCAGCCTTCTTCGAGTCGCATTCGAGAATGTGCATCTTCTTCAATCATCTTGATTTTTTCCAAAACAGATTTTTCCAGCTACAAATCACAATTCGTTCAATTACACAAAAAGTCTGAATATCTATCTATTTAATTTATTTATCTATTTTACCTCTCCAATCTTTTCCTTTCCGAACAACATCTTTTCTTTGAGCTCTTCCAAAGAAGCCTTCATTTCCAAACTTTTTTGAAGGTAGATTTCTACAGCTCCACTACTAGCAACAGATTGTCGATCAAGGGTCGTCTATTGTTAATACAATATTAATTTATTATTATTATTATTATTATTATTTTGTTAATATACGATAATTCTCAAGATAATTAAATAATCTATTCACTTACAATCTGATTTCCAAGATTCTTTTCTCGTTCGTTCAATTGCTTGATGTACGCCAGCTGTTTTTCTACCTTTTTGCTTAATGCATTGGCCACCATTGCATGAGCATCTTTGGATTTATTAAGCGCTGTAAACGTCTGGCTATATTTGACTCTCTAAGAAGAATAAAAACATTAAATATTGCATCATTTATTATTATTATTATTATTATTATTTTGTCCTTTTACCTCTCCTTGTAGTACCGTAACCTCATCTTCCATTACTGCTAATTCATGGATCTTTGCTAGGTTACTTTCTTCAAGTTCACCAAAAGCCATTGTAACGCTCTGAATCTCACTTAGTAGTTGATGTTCAGTCTATTAAAATTAAAATTCATATTGGCATTTATAATTATTGTTATTACCATGATCAAATTACAATTACAGATAAGAAGAAGAAATTGTCAGCTTTTCTTTGCTTTGTGTATGTAGCTTACCGATTCTAAAGCTTCCATCTTTTGGCGTGCTTCTATAATTGAAGCTTGCTCTGATTTGACCTTGGCCTGCAAGATATCTAAAATAGCCTTTTCGTCCGTGTGTGTGGCCTCAAAGCCATACGTTTCTTTAAATACATCCAATTGTTCGCGCACATGCTTAATCTTTGTAATCAAAGTAAATTCATCATCCAAAATAGCCAAAGCTTCTGGATCCAAATAACGTGCTCTTGTGGCCTGAATCTTTGTATCTGCTTCCCTACACAATATCACAATATTCCAGTAAGTAATGATTTATAGTATAATTTAAAGATAAACATATATATATATGTATGTATATATAATTACTGAATCAAAATTTACCTTAATTCTTTCTCGAGGACTTCTCTTGTTCGCTTTTTTTCATCAATTGCCATCATGAATTTGTATAGATCGTGTGATCCAGACTTGGCAGCTCCTTTGAGTCGTAGTCTTGATAATTCTACACCCAAAGAAAACACTTGTTCCTAATATAAATAAAAAAATCAATCAATATAAAATAATAAGTATCAAACATTTGATTCTTGTCTTTCTTTTTTGAGCCATTTTTCTAATTACACAAATATACATATATATATATTACCTTGCGAACATCACCAATAACACGTAACTCTGATATAGAATCTCTGCCAAACTCTGTATTAGCCTTTCGTTCTTCGAGATTACTCTGTAGTGCGTCTCGATGACCACGAATGCGTGTCAGGTCTCCGTCGAGTTTTCGCAACTGTTCTTCGAGACCCTTGATATGCCCGGTTTGCTTTGTGTCAAGTTCTTCAAGAAACTGGCGCCGGGTGCTCTGCGAATCCTCGAGTTCCTTTTGGAGTTTTTGGCAGACGTTTGTGAGATGATCGTTTTTGTCGCGTTGGTAATCGTACGTCTGCAGGGCTTGGCGACACAGAGGGTCTTTGTAGATCCGTGTTTCTGGTAAGACTACATAATCCACCTCGAGTTGAAACAATTGCTGCTTCAACTCTATTCTCTGGTCCTTCATTTCCTCTATCTCTCTCAATTGTTTTTCCAATGTTTGTTGTGCACAAATCAATGGGTCTTGTTGGGTTTCAAGAATTTGCTATTATCAAATAAATATACATACATATATATATATATATATATATATGAGTCAATGCCGTTCAGTTCAATTCAATTCTTCTTAGGATGTAGTGATAAACAAAGTAAAATGGGGGGGGGGGGGTTTTAAAAAAAAAAGAACTTACGGGAGGGGTGGTTCCTTCAGAAGCGGTATCTTTGGCATCTGATGTATCCCTTGGTTGAGTAGGATTAGAAAAGTTGGCTGACGTTTCTTTTTCTGCTGCTAATTTGTCATTTGCTTTTGAGAGCTTGAGTCGAGTTTCTTGTAAAAGGCTTTCGGCAAGTTCGAGTCTGTTTGTTAAAAGTCGTAGTTCTTCCGTCAAAAGAATAAACTGGTGGTTATTGTGGTTAATAGACAGATAGATTATTCACACTTCTTTGTTAGTGTTATAATTGATGTATTAACCTTTGTATTGAATGAACGGTACTGATTAATGGAATCAAGAAGTGTGCTTTGGTTACTCGTGAATGAAGAAAGTGCATTTTTGTATTTGCTTCTTAATGCTGAATTTTCGCCTATAATTAATCAATTCGTTGATAGAACAGACATTTGGTGAATTGTTTGTTCGTTTGTTTTTTTTTAAAATGAAAATATAATATATATATATAGAGAGAGAGAGAGAGAGAGAAGTGTGTATTTTGTATTTTGTATTTTGTGTAGACAAAATATAAAATGAAGCTGAAAGCAACAACAACAAAAAATTTACAATCTATATTTTAATATTTAAGTTATTTGTGTATTTTTTTGTTTTAAAATTACCTGATGGTTCTAGTAATCCAAGAAAATGCATTCGTTTGGTAGAAAATGGCACAGAATAATTATACAGAGCACCCATCAAATCTTCTGTGAGTTCTCCTCGTCTCAATGCATTGGCCATGGTTGTGGTAATATTGACAGCCCAGTCATCTTGTAATAAAATGTCAAAAGAGAGTGAATCTAATTTGTTGATCATCAGCACCATCAAAGACAATATGTAAAGAATAGAGTTTATATGTTAATAACAAATTTTTATTATTCTTATTGTTGAATAACCTTTTATAAAACTTGGGTGATATTCAGGTGTATGGTCCAAGATACGTCCTTGCATATAAGCTTGCAACTGTTTTTGAACAAATGAATAAAAAAAAATTGATTCCAGCTGGTCCATTTATTGTTTCAAAAAAAAACATACTTGTTTGAATTGAGTATCCCACACTCGTAATTGCCTTTCGCAATCTTGACGTCTTTCTTCTGCTAAATCGGCGCGCTTCTTCCATTGTCTGTAGGATCGCTAATTAACAGAATTATATATTAATTCAAAGCTTAATTACGGCCATTCTTTGTTTATAATATATCTATTTTGTTCTTTGGTAACACACCCTATATTCTTTCAATTGTCTTATGATGGCATCGCGACGATAGACTTCTAATGGTTCCTATGCAAAGTCAAATACCAAAATTTTGTTGTTTTTAAAGAAAGGAATGTTAGTTGATAATATATATATATATATAAACTTTACTAAGTAAAAGAAAATGAAATGAATTGAAATGAATTGAAATGAAAACGTCTTTTGTTTTGCTTTGTTTTCTTTTTGTCCTGTGAAATATACAAAGGGTACGCGTATCTTATTGTGTTTCTTTTTTATCAAAGTTTGCGACTAGTCAAACTCCCCATTGTGTACAAATGCGTAATGATGTATATATTCCCAATCACACACATTTACACTCTTACTCACTCATATGTGTGTGTGTATGTATGTATGTATGTATATTAAAAAAAAGAAAGAAGGGGAAGGGAAAGGGTTTTTTGTGTCGGTGATTTTCTTTTTGATTAATCTCGATAGATTACCTTGAATGTATCTATCGTGTCTTCTTGGCTATTGTCATCCAATGTCAAGGGTGTACCATCACTTGAATGCGATGGCGATGCTGACCTTGAAGATAGGAATCGCTTTTTTGGTGGAGGACGAGTAGTAGCAGTATTGGTAGTATTGGTGTTGGTATTGGTAGTGTTTGTGGTGTTGGTTGTGGTGGTGGTTGTAGTCGAATCTTCGACCTCTGAAGGACGTTTCCTATTATTATCTTCGGTCGTAGCCATATTTTTATTTTTATTTTTTTATTTTTTTTTTTATTTATATATTTAATATTTTTTTTTTATTTCTTAATTTTTTATTTTACAGTAATAGTCTCTTTTTTTTATTAAAAAAAAAAAAGGGCACAAGGCTATGATGAACAAATATCCAATAAAAAAAAAAGAGATAGAAAGGCTGTGTTGCATCGATATGTCATATAAATTTGCCGACGTCACCGTTGTAAATGGTCGATCTTTTTATTTTATTTTATTTTTCTTGTGTTGAAGATTTCACACTGCCAAAAAGGATCAAAATTATTTTTGTGTATATTTTAATTGGGTATTTCAAAACAGAAATAAATAAGATTACTTTCTTGTACTTTTTGGAAAGAAACAAGTGTGTGGCTTACACCTTGGCTGACTTCCTATCGTCTTGTTTCTTTTCTTTTCTTTTTCTTTTTTTGGTAGAGAGATAGATAGACAATACGAAGCAAGAGCAAGAGGAATAAAACCCAGAACCTAGAACCCAGAAAGAAAACAAGAAAGAGAGAGAAAGAACAAAAGAAAGTTGGTCCTATTTTTTCCAGTTCTCAATTAATCTTCTCTCACAAACGAGGGGTATTACTCTTTTATATATATATATATGGCTATTGTACGTTACACAACAATCCCAAAAATCTAATGTAAACCCCGTTGTGGCACCCAGCCACAAACAGACACGCAGCATTATACGCACACCACATACATTACCCACAGACTCTACCTTTTTCTTTATATAAGAAGAAAAGATTAATACAGATTAATATACCCAGATGTCTAGGTGACAAATTAAGGCTGTTACTATGGCAGCAATCTAAAGCGGTTACTATGACAACAATTAAAAATAAAAATGACAAATATGTAGCATGGTCTGACCACGCAAATTACAGTGATTCTACTTGAGATTGAGACAAATTAAGAAATGTTTTAGACGAATAAAATTTTAATTGTAGACAGTATGCTTACCTTTTGAGGACGAAACGAGAATGAAATTTGGATAGAGAAATTAGTTTTCAGAAAAACATACTGATGTTTAGATATTTACCTGTAATTATCCAAATGCCTCAAAGTGACAAAATGTTTACATTACAGTAGTGGGATTGTTATTTCTATTGCTGTTGTTGACTGCCGCTTGTTTGCTTGCCTTTATCAGATCTTTGGAAAAGCGGTTAGTCGATGGGTTCCTCTCCAGGTTGACAAAACAATTGTCATAATATTTTTTTTTGCAGCATTAACATCTCGCTGCCACAATATATTTCGTTTTTTTTTACAGACCAGTACAATGTAGCCGTTAGTGTGATTTTCAGATTCTAAATTCTTCGCTTGAAAATTGCTGCACGTCTTTGAGATGCTTCATTCATCTATTGTAGCAGTTACAAGACCACCATTCCTCTCCCATTTCTTCAAAGCTTTCCACATAATTTTTTTTGTTCCATATTGGTTATTTTTTAGTCTCGCCAAGTCCTTCCTAAAAAGGCCCAGCCCATTTTTGTAGGGTTTGGTCCTATACAGCATTTGTAACCGAAGATCTATAGGTATCCAAGGATTACACAAGACTCGGTGGTATAATAGCGTTCTTTGTTACTTTTCTGCTGTTGATAAGTTGGCGCACCGAGTACCAAAATGTCTGCTATCAAATGGAGTTAGGTATTTAATAATGAGACGATGTCAAGCAGTAGCTGTTTATGAATAGCATTTCCCCGGATATGATAATACGGAGATCATTTGAAGTGATAATGATCTTATTTTTTTTAGTAGCCCTTTGTATTCATTATTGACAGCAGTATCCAACGGGAGTTTTCTCGTGAAAGCTTTGTAAGAAAATCTAAGATTGCTTGTAGACTTTTCGGTCTCTTAAGGTATATAATCAGGACATTTGTGAGATCGCGATGTACTGTGGCCCTCTTGTTGGCAGCGTCTGCAAAGAGCCAATAAAGAATATGTGTCCAATTTTCTTCTTCATTTAACTTTAGGTTTATCTTTTTTGATATTCGAACCAACAATAGTAGTAATGAAAAAGAAAAAGACCCATTAACATGAAAAATAGTTATATAGAAAAGACAAGTTTAAATGTGTACCATCATCAACTGAAGTTTCTTTATAAATGTGCATTTATAATACCTTTTATTTTCGTGTCATCTTTTTCCGCAATCATCGCACATTGTAGCTATAACAAAAGGTACATGGTTATAAATAATATGGTCTTGATTAAATCAGTTGCTATCTTTTACCTTTAAAAAGATCATCTACATTTTCTTCAGAATTTCTTTTGTTAGTAATTGATAATGTCTTTTCGAGAATAAAAATTTTGAACTTGTCAAAATAAAAGCAAAATGGAAAGAGATGCCAATGAATATCAAAACGTGGCTATCAAATTGTATTGTATTGTGATAGATTCAGTAAAAGCATCTGCGACGGTTAAATTTCGGACACCATTATATAAAGCATAGCATCATAAACTGACCTATATGTTTTGAATATATATATATATATATATATATATTCTTATATCCTTTTTTAAAATGAATAACGGCTTATAGAAATGAGCAGTAAAAAGAACCACAAATTGTTGGTTGTACCTTCAACAATTCTTGTCGACTTTGACTCAGACTCTAATGTGGTAAGTTCTCCTGATTTTGAGAAGAAGAAAAAAAATGAATTGGCTATCTGTGTGCTATCACATTTTTGGCTTCGTCTTCATCGACTGACACATTGACGAAAGCGTTCTCAAGATTTATTTAAAGAAAAAGATAAATTGAACTGGTGGGTGGGTTGGCTTTTCTTTTTTATGCAAAAGTGACAGTATTTGATTTTAGATAAAATAAAACCTATCTGGCTGCTGAAGATTCTCTTACTTATTTGCACTTTTACTAGTAAAATATTTGCAGCTTTTGGCAGTAGAGATTGTAACACTTTTTAGCAGCAAGAATTGTTACAGATTTCACCGTTTACTTGGGTTTTCTAACTCTGTAAACTTCGATAGAACACCAAGAAGGAAAAAGGGACTTGGAGGTGTATTCCGTCTATAATGTATACAAAGATTTACTGTTATTATTAATGCTATTATTACTTTGAGTTAAATCTAAAGAGCATTGACATTAGATGTAGGAAAAGATCATATATATATTTGTTTTGCACTGAGAAAACGGAAAAAAAATTAGTAAAATTGACCAGGTAATTTTCGGCTGGTTTTATTAAAGTCTAGCTTGCAAATTCATGCAATGTAACTTGACAAGGTTAATATTAAAAGATATATTCAAGACATAGCCAAGTTGTGATTGAGTCACTGTGCATGTCATTTTTTTTTTTGGTTTCTGACGTATTGGTTATTGTTACATATACATTATAACAATTGAAATCAGTGTATTCAAAACATTCAAGCTTTTGGTTTGCTTGTTTTTTTTTTAAAAAATAAAATAAAATAAAATGGAAAAGGAAAGGAAATATCTTGGAAATGTCCTATGTTATTTCTTTCTTTCATTGATTTATTAATTTTATAGTGCCCTAGCTTTATTTCTTAGTTATTTATTTATTTATCTATTTATTTTCTGTAGCCATAGTGAATTTTAGTGGCATATACCTATAGTAAATACTTGACATAAGAGAAGCAAGATAAAAAGAAAAAGGAATCTTCTAAATAATACAGATATGTACATATCTTTGTCAAAAAGCTAAACGTACTTCCAGGCAAATGTAACATTTGAAAGGTGAAAATTATGGAACAAAAACCCAACTGTAGCTACATTTATGTTGGATAGGGTACATTTGTCTTAATTTATTTTACCACAGGTTGTACACCTTACTTAAACTAATTCGTTTATTAATATTATTATTACTATATTGTACCTATAAAGCACTCTATATATATTTATATAATTAGATTTGTACCTCTTTCTTTGTTGGTGCCCAATAAAAACAAATAAATATAGGGATCTTCCTAGTACTTTACACAAATGTTTAAAGAGTTTTATTTTGTTTTAATTTCTTGACCAATTACATTATTAATATACGTAATATATAGTTATTCAATTGACCTTATGAGTATAAAAGATGCTTTGTGTATCTTAAACTCTGTGTTATATATAGTACAGTTCTGACAAAAGATCCCTTGTCCTTTGATTTGTCTATCTTTTTGTATGTGTGTATTAAACTAACTTGAAACAATATTAAAGAATTATAATTATTATTATCTTGCACCACAGAAATTAATTGTTCTTAATTATCTATCAAGACAATCAATCTGTTCAACTTTAACTATAACAAACAAAATAAATAATCAAAGTCAAGTCAAGCCAAGCTTATTTATTTTTCTTGAAACTAGACCGAATTTTATGTTGTCCAGGACCAAAGACCCAAAAAAAAATGAATTGAATTTCAATAAACATTTAAATGTTCAAGGACTCTTTGGGAACCCACATATCATGCTATACTATATTTTATATTGACCTCAACTTTCATACTTTGAGGTACAATTTGACAACCCAAAAAATGTGCCTAAGAAAATAAATAAATAAATAACCACGTACGTATATCACTTATCTTATTCATATAATCTCACATGCATAGTCTTCTTATCATTCTTGTGTGTCTTGTCCTGTTTCTTTGGTGTGTAGAATTCTACAGAATAAGTGACCAAAGAAGATAAAAGGATCAAACGTGGGTAAGGCACGCCAGGATTCTATACATGCTTTTTCTCTCTTTCTCTCTAAAAAAAAAGGTATAGACAAACAAATATCCTGTTTCTCATTTTTGGAATAAGCAAACTCGAGTTTCTAACTCTGTGAATTTTTTTTTAATAAAAAAAAAAGATAATAATACAACCAAACCCAAAACAAAAGTGTTTATGACATTGTGCTGCGTAAAATAAGGTAGAGCAGCATAGATGTCTATTTTGGCTCAAGGTTTTCATAAGATTTTTTTTTAAAAAAAAAGAATCCAAAACCGTCTGATATTCTTGATGTGGTCCAATACACGTGTAATGTAGAGTACAATCCAAAAATGGAGAGAGAATACAGGCATGTCTTGGACAAGTTGGACAAAGTCATAGCAATTATATAGCTATCTATATACATTAAAAGAATCCTGATCAATTTTCAATTCAAGGTGCACGGCTTGGTATAAACACACACGGACTTGATATTTCTTTCTTTTTTTTTATTACAGAAATGTATATTATAATTAATAATAGAGTTATTTTCACTTGGTATTGAAGTGCCATAAAGGAACCAAAGCAATAGAAAAAGAAAAATCGTTTGTTCATTTGTTCATTCGTTTACTCAACCCATCAAAATAATGGCCGTAAATAGGAGATTTACAGAAATATATATATATATGAAATGAGAATAAGACATCTGGGATACACCTTGCCATTGAATTACTTGTTTCACGATTACACACACACATATATATATATACATATACATGTACTCACTTGGGCTTGGATTACACTTACACACACAAAGAGTAACAAGACGTAAAGAGGAGTAAATGTATGGATCCTGGGCAATTTCCTGTAGTTTATAAAATTATAGCTAAAAAAAAAAGAAGTACTGTTATTGGAATTGGAATTGGAATTTGTATTGTTGTTGTTGTTGTTGTTGTTGATTCTGTTGTTATTTTGGCTTCAATCAAAATTTCTATTACAAGTCTCTATGAGATGAGATGTGTAACTGTAGATGGAAGTGTAAATTTGACTGTAAATGTAAATGTAACCATAACCATAACTGTAACCATAACTATAAATGTAATTATAATTGCAATTGCAATTGCAATTGAAGGTATAAATATAATTATAGGGCTAGGATTGGCTTGTGGATGTATAGGTATCTAAATACAAGTCCTAATCTACTTTGCCTTTTGGTTTTTTTAGGCTTTCTTTGTCTGATGAATATAACAAAAAAATATATAAAAATAAAATAAAAATGAAGCACAAATGCTGTGAATCCCGACAAATCTCTGAGAATCCAAGAAGGTATTTATGTGTGTGTGTGCGAGTACAGAGCTTAATATTAACAATTTTATATATAAATTATCGTTGTTTTTCAAGTGAACGTTCTTATTCGATGTAGTGCAAGATTATTGTAATTTATTTTATTTTTTTTTGCTTTACTTTGAAAATGTCTATGTGAATTGACAGTCTACAATACAATACAATAAAATACAATACAATACTTTAATTTAATTTATATATATAAAAAAAGTCTAAAATGTAACTCGACCCACAATTTGACAATCCTTTTAATGGCTGGCAATTTTTTTTGTTTTGTTTTGTTTTGTCCTTCAAAGAAACATCAACCCAAAATTTCACAATCATTTCAATCTTGGAATTCTTCAATGAGAGTTTCATGCTCTTTTTTTTTGTTTTTTTTTTACTGAGTTGACATGGGCGGGGTTGTCATTTCTCTTGCACTCAACACACAAAAAGAAACTTTACTCACTTATTGGTGTGCTCCGTGTAAACCCGAGCTAGTTTGATCAAATATGATAATCGTACATGTTTAACAAAAAAAAATATATAGAAGCAGTTTGGTTGAGTGATTTTTCTATATGTTCTATCTGTATATCTCGATGCTCAAGCCCTTGGTGGGTGATACATGATATTCACATTCCATCGTCTAGAGGAATTCTTTGCCTTTGTGCCTTGTACTCTCATATACACATATTCTTTACCACAAATCTGTCTAAATTTATTATGTATTTGTTAGACAGAATTGACAATCAAATACAATAGCAATAGCAATAGCAATAGTAATTATTATATTTCATTATTGTTACTCTTTGACAAATCAACACATTATTTCATGATATATTATATTATTTCTATTTAGGGTCTTATATTCTGTCATACAATGATAAAACAAAGTCTCTGCATCTCTTTTGTGGTGTTGGTGATAGTGGTGCTGTATTGGTGAGTCTAGACAAGATCGTAGATGATAATAAGTATATAATATACTATATTATATATATACAAATCTCCTCAGGGAACTTTGTGATATTTTTGTGTTGAGATTTACGCAGTAAAAATATATACACTCGAATACTCAACAATAAAACCAGCACCAAGTTGAAAGAGAACTCTTTATACAAGGGTTGCATTCAAATTACCGGATATAATAATTCCATGTATTTCCACCACTAGTAAAAAATGTTACACTCATTGTAATTCTACAAAAATATTATAATACACTTCTTCTTCTTTTTTACCTTGTTATACATATATTCTTTTTGAATTTCAGCAGGTAAAATTCACAAATAAATATTATTTTTTTTATGGGCTTTGGAAATGACCAGTTCAAGGTCTCCAAAAAAAACAGAAGAATGTATGGAGCACCCATACTTATGTGCTGATTTGTCAGTAGTACTTGTACACCTTTTAATATAAAAGGTAATAATAATAATAATAATAATATTGTGTGTGTGTGTATATATAAAAAAAAAACTCAACACCAACAAGAACAGTAAGAACAAGAAGTGTCGCCACATCAAAATTGATCTAGACTGTATGTAATATATGTATAAATGTATAAATTTGTATTATTAGTATCAATGGCTACACCAGCACACACACAAAGAGAGAGAGAGAGAGAGAGAGAAAAGGAAAAGAAGAATAAGCAATTGCTATTGGATTATTATCATTATTATTATTTTGTGTGTGTAAAATAGTCATAATAATAATCATGGTACGTGGTAAATAGGACTCCAGAGCCGAGGTTGAGTCATTATATATATATATACTAAGTCGCAGTATAAGTTGGGTCATAGGTTCTGACTTTGTGAGTATCTTTAGGATATATAGTATGTACAATTTATTGTTGCTGTTTCTGTTGCTGTTGCTGCTAGTCCTGTTAATGGTTTTTTTTTCTTGGGGGGAAACCAAAAAAAAAAAAAAAAAAAAGAAAGTCAGATATACTATGCGCACTGACATATCGCTATAAAAAAAGTTCGTCAGTGTGGGGAACGCGTTTAATGATTCACAAGAGTGATACCTGACAATCCCACAATTAGGAAGTGCCGTGGAATAACGAGTTCATTTCCACTACTAGAGTTACTATATTCATGTCTATATCCATGGATACTTATTATTTGTTTTAATTGCCATGTCTCTATATTCACTATAGATAGAAATTTTTCAATTGACGTTTTGTTCCTTGTATTCTAATCATTTTATATCTTTAAAAAGAAAAATCAGAGTTAATATCCGGTTAATTCCTAATGTTCATGGGAATTGGGTATGGGTAGGTGTGATCGAGTCTAATCATTTAACTATAGTATGGGAAATAGAACAAGGAGAATATGTAAGGATGATGATATGTATATATTTTTTCTTAAAAAAAAGAGGTTTTTTTTTGGGATAAATTTTGGTGGGTTTCGTGGGATTAAGATGACAAAGACTATATAGACACCTTCCTTTTACAAGCAAACCAACTGTAATGCGTGACCATAGAAATATGTATCCAGTCATTCGGGTTTTTTCTTTTTGCTTCTTTTGCTTCTTAAGCGCCACCTTTGATCTGTCAAACTATACATACTTCTTTAGCCAACTCTGACTTTAATAAAGGCATATAAACAATTATACAATAAAGAGGTACTCTATGAAATCAGTAGCTGCTGTCTAATGCTTTAAATCAAAGATAAAATTCCATTTTCTTCTTCTTCTTTTTTTTTTACAAAAGTACTTTGGAAGGAGACTTGGAACTCTTAATAATATATATAAAAAAATAAGGCTCTTCTTCTACATCTCTACTTCGGATATACGCTCCATAGTCATTTGGGCGCCGGCTAAAGATATTCTTGCTCTTCTTTCTTTCTTTCTTTCTTCTTAAACTAACAAGACATTTAAACGGCGGTTGGTAAACAAGATGTGTGGGGTAATATTCTTTACTTTACTTTATTTTGCTCTACTTCTTTACTAAAAAGAAGGAATTAATGCAGCATTCGTATCCGTGTTACAGACAATGCCCTATTTTATCTTGCTCAAAATCTCCTTTGCTTCGGTGCTTTTATATATATTCTAATTTGGCTTCAATCTGCAAAGAAATATATATTTATTTATTTTAGTAAATGAGTTGTAATTAACCTAGTACATTGACCTTGTAACTGTGGAAGCAAATTTTACCGAGAATTTTGCAATTAACCACAATTTTTTTTAAGAAAGATTATAGTCGAATGCCGGTGCGTTCGTTCGTTCGTTCATTCGTTTGTTAGCTCACACATCTCATCGGGGAATCTGTGTGGAGAAAGTTCAGTTGGTTACACGATTTCCAAATGTGCTTTTTAGGGTTGTTGCATTCTATATCAACTCTTCTTTTTTTTTCCCTGGCACAGTAACGTGATCACTAAAAAAGAAAAAGAAAATCTAGCTTTGAACTCCATTGATTCACTTTGAACGACACAAAAGCAAATTGAACTTTATTTTATTTTTTTAAAAAAAAATACATATATATATATATATATTGGATTAAAGACTTGAGAAAAAAAAATTATATCAATTCCATATTCAAAACAGCTTTTACACTCTTAAACACATCTCACTACCAAAAAAAAAAAATATTAAAATCTTAAAGCAATAAAATATGTCTCAATTCAATAGCACCAACAGCGAAATGAAGACTCACTCTGAGCACCACGAAGCCGTTCTTGTCAACATGTCTTCTGAGGAGAAGTTTGACCTCGAGCAAATCAGACAAGCCGAAGCACCTGCTCAGCCTGCCCATCCTCCCCACAAATACGGAAACCCCTCTGCAGTTGGTTTTGCCGCCTTTGCTGTCGGTTCCTTTATCCTTGGTGTGGTCAACACTGGGCTCTTGACCGATATTCCTCATGTTGCTGTTGGTGTTGCTCTTGGCTACAGTGCGGTTGGTCAGTTTGTGTGCGGAATCATGGACCTGATTATCGGCAACACATTCGGTGCCACCACCATGCTGACCTTCAGTGGATTCTTCCTTTCATACGGTATCATGCTCTTGCCTTCGACCGGAACCTTCCAGGCCTTGGCTGTCAAGGGTGCAGATGATCTCGAGAAGTGCATTGGTCTCTATATGCTTGCATTTGCCATTCCTTCCTTCTTCTACTTTGTCGGTTCTCTCCGCCAGCCTTACTTTGTCCGTGCCGTCCTTCTCCAGGTCTTCCTTACCTTTTTCCTCGGCTCTGTCTCAGCATTCACTGGCGTAGCAGTACTTGCCAAGATCGGTGGTTGGTTCTCCATCACCTTGTCCGCCACTGCTTGGTATATCACCTGTGCCATTCTGTTCCGGGAGCAGCCTACAATCATTTCCCTTCCTCTCTTCTAAAAAATTGATTTTTTGTTAATTATACCAAACACACACACGCACGCACAATTCTACTTTTTTAATATTACTATTACTATTACTACTACTACTACTTACCATTTTAATATGAATAATATCATACACCATTTATTATTTTTAAATGGATACTAAATCATCAACATCAAGAAATGGTATTATTACTCTTCTTCTTCTTCTTCTTCTTCTTTCTCTTTCGCGCTTAATAAACTATTCACGTCAATTCACACCAATTCATGACTTCTTTATTGAATGACTTTCAACTGCTGAGCACAAGACTAGTGCATATTTAATAGCCTTTGTGATTTATTTATACTATAAAAAGTGTGTTCGTTTTTATTTTATTTATTAATTAGTATGTAATACTTTAAGAAATAAAATAAAAAAGAAAAGTGTTTTCAATAACCAGCTATATAGTAATATAAGTATTTGAGCTATTGAGACTATTATCTCTATATGAATAAGTAGGTATGTACCTTGGTCTTGGTCTGTATATATATATAAAAATTATTGCAAAGTCTACACAGGAACATGTTTTTTTTTATGTCTGTGTGAGATGTTAACCAGGATATTGGATTAATTAAACCAGAGCTTATAATAACATATTCTTGGAAACACATTGAGAAGAATATCTTAATAATTCAAGCATGTGAATATCAAACCTCTTCTTTATCCTTAAATACCAAAAAAAAAGAACCCAATATGAAAGAATACAAGAAGACTAGATAGAATACATTGTAGGTAGAATGGGTACATAATTAAACAGAGATTATTGAACAAATGAATCAAGTTTTTATTTTGACCAAGACTTTATTGTTCAACGTAAATCTAAACCGTAGCACCAGGGTTTAAATAATTTGTGCGTGTTGTAAGAAAACAACAGCAACAATGCTATATAGATATATTATAACCAACAACCCAAGCAATAATATGTATTGAGGTTGCGCAGTAATAGAATTTTGAGCCATTTTTTTTTACTTCTCTAGCCAAGTTAATCTACCTGTTTCCCCTCTTTCTTTTTATTTTTACTTTATTACAAAACAAACTTGGCTGATAAAACACCAACCTCGCACTGAATTTCCACTGTATTTACCAAGAAATACTAATATGCACAAATACCTACAAGAAGTAGTGTGGCTGACATATATATATAAAAGGTTCTATTTAAAATTACTCTATTTTGGTTACAAGAAACAATGGGGTTTTGTGGATCCCAAGCCATTGGTGCCGAGAAGTCTAATGACAAACCAAGGAAATAGAAAAAAGAAATGTTTTTATTTAATAACCTCTCTTTACTTACAGTGATATACAAATAAAGAAACAGTAATAAGGTTATTTGGATAAGGAAATGCACGTAACAATATTAATAACAAGCTTTATATATGTTGCTTGTCTTTGTATACACTATAGATGTTTGTCTGATATACCAATAAAAATAAAAGCTCTTTTTCTTTTCTTCACTGATTCATTGAATGCCACTGCGGAGTTTGATTGTCACAGCTTGTATCGAATAGCACTGAGCAAGGCTTGGCAACCCGACAGAATAGGAAATTAGTGAGCTGCCAAGAGATTTAGATACAATACCTACTTTATTTTTTCCACCCCCTTCCCTCTTAACTTTATACCCCCCATTCTCTTTAATGTCTCAAAAACCGCCAAAAAAGAAAAAAAGGAATCAAGAGAGACCGAAATAATTATATTTAATATCAAAGACAGCAATTTGCCTTTCTCTTCTTCCTTTACTTCTTTACTTTTACTTCTTTAATAAATTTATATACACACACACACACGCTTTTACAAACATACAATGTCTCTTGTTGTTCTCAAGGTATCTCTTGGAGAACAAACCAGACGATTCTCTCTTGCCAAGGATGCAACCTGGCGCGATCTCTGCGACCTTTTAGAGAAAATTTTCAATACACCTTTCAGCACAAACAAATGTCTCTTTTACCAAGATAATGAAGGAGAGTGTATCTCTCTTTCGAGCGACCTAGAATTAAAACACATTCTTGACCAACAAGACGACAAATGCATACGGCTGTGCGCAAAGGCTTCAGATCTAATCAAATGCACAACCACTTCAGAAACCACCAAAAAGAATAAGAATACCAGCGCTACCAGTAATACTCTTGGTAGTACCATATCTCCCTCGTCTTCACATGACTGCCAAGAAGAGCCTCGGCCAACGACAGTTGACAAGAATGATTTGATAAACAAATCAACACCAATCAGTATATACACCATACCAATCATCAAAACACCCCAGACCAGTTTTGCTGCCCTATTTGAACATTTCGGACGACTGGCCGATCAATACAGATCAGTCATAGATGGCAACCCATATGTGACCCGCAACCTAGGAAGCATGGCTAGCGAGATGTTACAAGACATTCAAACCGCAGATATCAGCAAAGTCGAGTCATGGCTGATCAATTTTGATCCCAATAAAAAAGATGATACTAACAGCAATCTCAAAATAAAATCCAAAAAAGTAAATCAAAACTATCCGGATAGTCCATCCGTTGGTCAAAACGACCATAATACTCTTAAACCACGCAAGCAACGGCTAGACGAAGAAAATGATGATGATGAAGATGATGATGATGAAGAAGAGGAAGAGATTGAGTTACCGCGGACACCGCAAGAGTATGCAGCCGATCCGTTTTATGGACCTCTTGGCTCTTCTGTCAGCAGCCGAGGCAGTGCTGCTCGTCTCACATCACTTTATCCGTCTCACTATTCTGGCCAGCTGTCTATCGTGTCAGATGACGAGATCTACCAGACCCCAAATGAGGATTGGCTGTCTTTAGAACATCCAGAGCCACCCAATTACACTTTCAATGACCCGTTCTCAAAGCCAGAGGGCAACGATAAAGATAATAATGATGACGACAAAGATAAAGACAGGAAAAAACACAATTTGCCAAGCAGATATCCGCGTCAATCTCAATTCCAAAATGCAATTGATCATCCCCCTTCCCCTCCACCTCCGCCCTGTGCACCACTTCAGCATCTGGCGCCCCCACCAAATAGCAATCTTTACCATCATCATTTATATCCACAGCCACCGCATTGGCCATCGAGACATTCTCATACTTCCCCGGAATACACAGCAGTACCATCTGTTCCTTCCTACCATCACCCACATCCACATCCACACCATCATCCTCATCCTCATCCTCATCCTCATCATTCAGCATCACTATCACACCCTCCACCTCCTTCTCCTCCACCACCACCACCACCACCACCACATCCCCATTCACCACCGCAGTATAATCAACAATACAAAGATCATTATGGTGTAAACCATTTCTATCCACATCACAATCTTCACTCTCTTTCTCCTTCTCCACCGCAACAACAACAACAACAACAGCAACAACAGACGTTTTCCTATCTCTATTCTCTGCCACAAGCTCAGTTTGACAGGATATCACCGCTTCATAATCAAGCTCCGTCATTGTATCAAACCCTGCCTCCTTTCGATTACGGCGATGCCAAGCGTAGTCTGCGACGGGCGATGAAGGAAGAAAAGAAGGCGTTGAAAGATCAAGGCAAGTTGTTAAAGAAAGAGGTCCGGGATATTCGCCGTTCGATTCGACAAGAAAACAAACGTAATGAGCGTGGGAGCCAAGAGTCTGAATCATCCTATGAACACGAAGCCATTTTTTCACCAGAATCACCTAAACTCAGCACATGTTTTGGTGGCTATAACAATTGTAGTAGCAGTGGCAGTGGCAGTGGTATTGATGAAACAATTGGCATGAAAAAAGGAAAAGGATTAGCTTAATATATCATATTATGTATTTGTAACTTTCTCTTTTCTTTCTTTCATTACGATCCCCTCTATTGTATAATATAAAATATAAAATATAAAATATATATATAAATAAATTTCAATCACTTTTTAACGTTCCATAAAAGCAAAGAAAGGAGGGGGTTGGTTGGTTGGTTGGACATGTGAAAAATTTATATCGATGTACACAGTCATTTTTTTTTAAAAAAAAAAAAAGTAAGTAAGAAACGACTGATTTTGAGTTTGATGTCGTCACGGCTCTTTCGCACTTGTCTCAAGTTTGGTAAAAAAAAAAGAAAAAGATAGTGCGAAAGAGTTTGTCAATATATAACAGCCTTATCACACCCCATCCTCTCTCACTTTAGAAAAATACAAAACAAAAGCCATGACGCCCTCTTTGGATTCGCAGCAATAGAGGGCTCACAAATCCTCTTGAACACAAAGTCCTCCAACAAACAAAAATGAAAAATACATCTTGCCCGGATGATCTTTCAAATATTCAGGAATATTAATCTCTAGTCAAATTGTCAATGGCCACCAAATTTACTGTTGGCTATGTACGGAAATCAAATACCATTGAGCCTAATACAACAATAACAAAAGGACGCTAGTCGATCTCCAAATCTACATAAAGAAAAAGCTCTTGTGTAAAGATATATTTGTATCTAGCAACACTTTTACCAATGACCCAATTGTCGAACAGGCTGCAACAATTCCAACATGCACCTTTAAAGATTGCTCCGGTAATCAAGACTTAATCAACAAGATCACAAAAATCCACTCGACAAAGTTGCCTTTTCGACAAATCTTGATGATATAAGGCTATACGAGAAGTAGTAGTAGATATTAGTCATAAGGATGAAGTATATTCTCGTCATGACTTGCTCAAAAAAAAATATATATGTTTGCTTCCCCTACCATGTATATCTATTTACTCTCAACCTCAATACCATTTCATCTACAATTAAGACATTTTAGACTGGATTGAGCCTTATAACCTTTTCTTTATGGGAGGCATTTAAGGAAACATTTAGCAGAATGAGTTAGAAAGCCTTTGAGATCACTCAAACATAAACTGTTGCATGCTTCACTTATTTCGCTTAACTTTACTCTTTGCCAACTGACCAGAACTGCTCGATTGGGGATCAATTCAGGAATAAATATAACAAGATAAACATATTTGTATCCTCGAGATTTGATGTATTTACCTATTACCATTTGAGCTGCGGATAGGATCGTTATTCATAACAGAATACTCTTTCATTTCTGGATAACTTTTTTTTTGTTCCATTTCATCAAGCGTTACATTAAGAAAGAGATAATGTCCTGTAACTGTTCCTGTGTTATAACCATCAGTTCCGCTAAGCTTTCTCTCTCTCTCTCTCTCTTTATACACCTTGGAACTCTCAAACTAACATTAATCAAAGGCCGGTGGTAGGCAGGTGACGGGCCCTTAAAAATGGTGTTATGTTCGCTTTTCGTTGTAGGTACTGTAACTATTGCAAGAGTTCCTTTCTTTGACCAGCCCAATAGCCCCCCCCCCCCCGTTTCAAATTTATATGAAATGTGGATTCATCAAGAAAGACCCAATTTTATAAATTGTTGTGCTACGAGAAAAGTATTAAGATCCCCAAAGTTTGTGCGTTAAACTTTCTGCCACTTTAGTTACAACAGTAGAAGAATTCTTCATCAATGGAAATTCAAGAGAGTTTTGGTTATATTTTCTCCCCAAAGAATCCGACGCCGACCTGACTATCTTTAATTCTTCTGCTTGTTTGTCTCGCAGCAGCAGAAGCATTCAAGCATTTGCTGAAAAAATAATAATAAGCTGGTTTTGTCCTTCAATTGATTAAAACTGTATAGCGTCGTTTGCTGCATATAATTACATGTCAACATCATTTACTCCTTTCATCAGCAACCAGATGCGTTGTAGGATTAGAAGATTGTTTTTTGAAAGGCTTGTTTGATAGCAAATAGCAATATATATATATATATTCTTAGTCTATAGGCAGGATCCATAGGCTCAACTCTGCTCTTATCAATATGTCCTTGTTAAGCTTTGTAAAGAAATTGTATAATCATTCTAATGTGAATTGTAAAAAAAAAAAAAAAATCAAAGGTAGCTTGAGATACTCCTTTATATATATATATATAAATTAAATATAAAGATAAGCCAAGTATTTTATTGGATAACTACTAAGCCACAAGGGCAAATAACCAAAGTTCATGACATGTGAATACATTTTTATTATTTTATTATTTTTGGATCAACCGACATCATTGTTGAACAAGAGAAATTTTTTGCACGACATCAAACTCCAAAAATCAGCAATTTTTTTTTGTTACTTTCTGAAATGAACTGTATATATATATATATATATATAAATTAATAATAAAAAAAAGGTACAAAAATTTATAAAAATTCATTCTTGGTTCGAATGTTTCAATTTCTCTCTTTTCTTTTTTTTTTTTACTTCTCTGCCTGTCTTTATAAGCCCAAAAATAACAACAAAAGAAAGAAGAAGATGACATCTACAAAGTCACTACCTCATCATCAATGGCACCACCAGAACCAAACCTTGGATTTCTTGCTACCAAAATACTATGAGCACGATCTCACTCAAGAAGACCATGATATAAATGACTCGATACAATTACCACACATCAGCTCCTTTCGTTCGACCAATCGACCGGCCAGAGACCCTGAATTGGCAATGGGAGACTGCGATGCTATGTATGCTGCCACTCTGTTGAATTCAGAGTTTGTGGATTGGCTGCAAAAGGATAGCCTCGATAATAGCTGTAGTAGTGATAGTAGTAATCCAACTGCTCAATCTGCCAGCAGTTTGTTTTGTCTTCCTACTATCGATCGTCTTCGAATGCTGCTCGGACATATCTCTCCAGACAATCTTGATTCAGGACGGGCTTTGTTGGATAGCAAGGGGAAAAAGAAGGCATAGTTAAGCTAAGATAATAATAAGGCAAATGCTTGCTTGTGGTAATTTACAATTGCCATTAGAAATCACAAAATGGGAAATTAACGCCGTTTTAAAACCCTTGATTTTTTTTTGTCTCTCTCTCTTTTTCACACGCACACACACATATAATTCATACTAAAATATATACACATCATATACCTTGATTATTTCTATATTATATACCAATATTACCAATAAGATTGATAATCATCCTTAAAGGACATACTATATATATATATATATTTGTATTTAACAGAAAATAAGAAAAAGAAGCCCTTCCTTCCCTTTGGCATAACAAAGTATAGCAGACCTAGCCGCCATTGACGTAATTGTACTGGTAGTTAATTAGATAGACACTAAAAAAAGCTAGTACCAACACATAGACACACCAAGAAGAAATATAGAAAGAAGAAAATAGTGTGGTGACCATGTCACATGTTGAGCTATGCCTTTTTACTACACAACCTTATTTTAACAAAAAAAAATTAGAAATACATTTCTAACATGTTTCAAAAATCTTGGTCTTTTTTTTTTGTTTTTTGCTTCTCTTTTTGTGACTGGATGTCGGTTTTATGAATTCTTCTTGATAAAGCTGTAAAGGGTATATAGATGTAGAGCAAAGAAAAGTATAGAAAAGGAAATTGAGAGGTCGTGGGTTTGTGACGGTTGATGTTTCACTACGCGGAAGGCAACCGCACTGTAAAATAGAGGGGTGGACAAGTGGTAGTGCATCAGCCAAGCCAAGACAGGCAAGTGAAAGGAAAAATGAAAAAAAAGAACCTTTTATCTGGATTAATTTATAAATTGATATCTATACCTGTTCATTTTAGCTTGTTTTTTTTATAAAAAAAAAATTGAAAAAGAGGTATGACTGTAGTGCTTAAAGATATAGATATTTTAACCAATTGATTAATAGAACAAAGAAGAAGAAATGCAATGCAATTTTCTGTAGTATAGGCTGTTATATAGTCTATAATCTGCCAGTGTTTCTATTCAAAATACTTTACATTTATTAGCTTTTCTTTGGCAAGATGCCATTTGAATACACTCTTGTTTACATTTGACTGAATATTCTGTAGAGATCTTATTGGATAGCATCAAAAGTGTATTCAAATACTACTGAATATATTGATTTGAATAACTTCTTTTTTTTTTGGACTAAGAAAAAGATAGAGAGATTGGCTGCTTATTGGTAATATAGTTATCATAATCATAAAGGAGACATTGATCGGTTTCTATTGAACACCCATGAATAGCCAATGGATAAAATGGATAAAGAAAAGGATTACTATGTATACAAACAACTAGCTGGTGTATTTTATTTTATTCGCTTGGTTTGGTTTGGTTTGGTTTGTGTACAGATTTGGGGTGGTACTGCGCACGGACCTCCTCTTTAAAATTTATATTTATATATATTTTTGTGTGCGTTGAATAATAAATGACAAATAAAAATTCAGATCAATTTGCGATATCAGTTTATTTCCATTTCCATTCCCGACTCTATTCATTCATTAATTCACTCACTCGCACTTACAAATAGCATCCTCTTTATCTCACTGGTCTCTTGTCAAAATGATCAAAATGATCAAAATGATCAAAAAAAAAAAAAGTACAAGAAATTATTGCACAAGACACTGATAAACAAGTGTATTTCAACCCAACTAAACATACACACACCTATATATATATATATATATCATTAAAGTATTTCGTCATGTCTCTCTCTCTCTCTCACACACACGCATAAAATTAAATATAGCAAGAGAATCAATTGAAACAAAGTAACAAACTAAATTTTATAATAAATATAAGAAAAAAATTCAAGATTTTTTTTTATGGATACAAGTAATTTGAGCTGTTGACCAATCCAACCCAACCCAATTTTATCTCTTTCTTTCTTTTATTCTTTTCTTCTTATAGTATCTATTGAAATATTCTCGTCTTATTATGGATTCCTTTTGTTCTTTGAAAACTCTTGCCAAACAGTGTCTTTCTAAGGAACAGTCTTATTCCTTGACTGTCCGAGACAATGAACAGAAACAGGTCTGTAGCAGTCTATCAAGACATCAAAAGATAACCCAAAGCACCCTCACGACTACCCAAGGAAAAGACCCAAAGGACACGAATAAGACTTCACTCTCTCTTTTGGTTTCACTTTCCGAGTGCTCTGATCAACCATCCTTTCTATTGAACCAATTCTCCAAAGCAAATGTATCCAAAGAATCTTGCCAGTCCTGTCCACATAGTCCCCTCCCAAACGACTCATCTCCAACCGGAGTCTCCAGTGCCTCGGTTCATTCGGACTTTTCATGCCAAAACACACCACACAATCGATCGAACCCAAAAAACAAGAGCAAGAGAGAGACCAAGAATCATAAAAAGAAGACTAAAAACAACCACCGTACAAAAAAGGGTTCAGAAAACAAGTCTGATTATTGCCCTGAACAATCCGAATCTGCCAAACACATCATCATCATCAAGGACTCGAACACTAGTCTCGGAAACACTACCCAGCCTAGACCTCACAAACGATCTAGAAAAGGTAAAAAAGGTAAATACATAATGATAATGATAACGATGACGATGACGATGATGATGTTTAGACAATTTTGAATTCAAATGCTAGTATATGATATATAGACAAACCTACAAATATATCAGTCGAAAATATTAGCCAGAAACTAGAGATGCTATCTACACACCCCCCAATTACCCAATCAATCAAACCTGACGAGAAATCCCAGTGTAATCCCAAGACTGATGACAGAAATAATCCAAAGAGCCACAAGAGCCACAAGAGCCACAAGATTCACACATGTGGACATCCGCCAGAAAAGGATAAAAAAGAAACCGGCAAGCCAGACGTTGGTCTACAAAAGAAACAAAAATTGTACAAGACAGAGTTGTGTCGCAACTGGGAAGAAATTGGACAATGCAGGTGAGATAAAGCACATCTTTTGTGTGTGTGTATTATCTTTACCAAACTCTCTTCTTTTGTGTGTGTGTGTGTAGATATGAAGGAAAGTGCCAATATGCTCATGGTGTCAATGATCTTCATACTGTGGAGCGTCATCCAAAATACAAAACCCAGATCTGTCGTACGTTCCACACCACGGGCACATGTCCTTATGGTATCCGGTGTACCTTTCGACACCATGAAGCCAGCAAGCCAGATAAGAAGGCACCAGTTCTGTGTTTAGCACCAGTCGAGAAAGTCATCCAACAGGGTTTGGACGATAGACTGTCGGTAGATCTTGGGTCCAGAAGTGTATCTGGCAGTCTCGATCAGCTCCTAGTCGATGATTGGAGCACGGATGACAATCTAAAAGATAAAATTCGCAGGGATGTGAATGTTTCTGATGCTGAGGAGGATATATACACACCCACCCTATCACTCTCACACCCTTGCAATCCAAACCTTATTCCAAATTCTAATCTCGAGACCGAACTCGAGTTTGAATTCAAGGACTGTAGTCTTGACTTTGGTATTGACTTTGGCTATGATTGTGTACGACGTATGACTGTTCCAGAGATTACATGTGGTGACGGGTGTTTTCTACCACGCGATGCTGAGAGTCTCTTGCCTCATGAGTTGGTGACTGATCTTTCTTACCCGTGAAAAAGAAGGATAATTTAGTACCAATATCTTTATATAATATTTCTTTTCTTTGTCTCTTTTCCCTCTCTATCTATGTGTGTTAATTTAATGAACTATATAGATTTGCTCTTATATTCTCCCCAAAAAAGGAAAAAGATATTTTATTTTAAAAAAATAAAAAATTGTAGAATATTTGTATAAGCTGGATAAATATTCTTCCAATATATATATATTATTATTATGTAAATGTGCGAATAAGAGTAATTGTTGCTTGTACATTGAACTTGCACGATTCTCCTTTTAACTATTTACTCATTTAACTGTAAAAAATAAAATAAAATTACAATTAACAAATTATGATTATGATTATGATTATAGTTATAGTTATAATTATAGTTATAACTATAATATAAATAAATAATAAAGAATTATAATTATATAATTTATAAAATAGGTTGCACCCGACGATTCCGATTTTATATTTATATATATATATATTTAAATAATTAAAAAAAAAAAAAAAGAAAGTGATTGTATTAATCTCATCTCAGCCAGAAATCATCAAGCCATCTTGATATCCAGCAAAGTAAAGAAGAACAATTTATAAATATATATATATATATAATTATATAAGAGTGATCTTGTGACGGTGATCAGAGATCGACATTACTTGTATAAATTAATAATAATAATAAAAAAAATCAAGACCAGAAATCTTTATATTTTATTCAAGATTATGCATTCTTTTCTTTGTTTGTTTTTTCAAAGGAAGATAGATAGATAGTTAAGGTAGTTAAGAGAGGTAGGGCAAAAATAAAATAAAAGGGCTTGTGATTGTGTGTATGTAGAGGTGTTGTAAATAGTTAAGAAGATGTGAATAAAGAATGATAAGATGCCTTGTGTAGTTAAGAATGATAATAATCTCAAGATCTTCGAGACTGAGCAAGATTGCCTTGTCTTCGAGTCTAAAATGTAGGTATATATTATATATTTGTTTTTTTGTTTTTTTTTTTTTTTAAATACAAAATGAGCTATCAAATAATACACAATGATTGGGTATACATACATACATACATATATATATATGAAAATTATCTTTTTACCTTCATGCTCATAAATTCACTTGCCAGTTCCTCTTCCTCTTTTGAAGTAGGAGTAGCGTGTATATTGTGAGGTGTACTTATCCGATCTACAGAAAAAAAAATTTAATAAGCAAATTTGTATCAATTGTATTAATACTACTATCTCTGTTTTTTTTCTTTTCTTTTCTTACTCTGCCTTCGTCTTGACTCGTGGCGTGAGGGTGACATGTTGTTCTGACGATCGAATGGTGTACGGCGCCTTAAACTACGCTTGTGGCTGATGCGGGCATATGCGTCCTTGAAGATGTCTTGGGTTTTTGAATCCTCAGAATCTTCCTTGTCTTCCTTGATTTGTTTCCGCCGGTCTTCGATGGTTGCCATCAAAGTATCATGAAGTGTATTTTGCTCTTTCTAATAATAAAAATTAATATCTATCTATCTGTGTATAACATAATTATATATATATCGTTTACCTCATATTCTCCATCTACTGCTGCCATGTCCTTGTCATACTGTTTTTTGGCAAACAAGAGTTGATAGGTCGAAAAGTAGGTGGCGTCCTGTATCGTTTTCTCCCGCTTGTGTTCAAGGTCCGAGACGACTTCTTTAAATGCCGAGTGGGTTCCTACAAACAACACAGAAAATAAATAAATAGATTTTAAAATAAAGCGTTGTTTACCTTCTTGAATACTCTGTAGTTCTTCTTGTAAAGACTTTAACTTTTCTTGGTAGATTCTATTATGATAATTCCAATAAGAATAATGCTGATAATATTAGTATTCAATTCATTCTTAATTCAATTGCTCTTGCTAATATATATATATATATATTTGTAATATACATCAAGACATTTACTTTTCGCTCTGCTCCCAGAATTCACGGTCCATCCATGTGATAAGATCATTGAATTCATGTAACCTTCTAAGAACCTTGTCTTGATTTACGTCTGTAGATTCATCTATAGTAACAACAACAATGATGATGATGATTATTATTTGTAAGATGATATTTAAATAAAAAATTATATTATATTATATTATATTATATTATATTATATTATATTATATTATAATACAATATAATTATAATTATCACTTTATTTTTATTATTTTTATTTTACCTTGTCCCCATCGGGTCGCGTATTGAGAGTGGTACGGGTCATCATAATCAATGTATGATTCCTGCATGGGCGGATCAATATAGGGTTGAGGAGTGTGCCAAATAGAGGACGTGGGACGATAGATATCACCAGTTATTCTTGGTTCTTGCCATGGACTAGGTAAAGGTGGTAAGGGTTGAAGAGGGCGGAAACCTTGCGGGTCGGAAGAAGACCGGTCAAAAGGATAATAACTGGATTTATTATTATTATTATTATTATTATTATTATTATTATTAGTGCTGGTGCTGGTGCTATTGTTGTTGTTGTTGCTTTTATTACTGTTGATATTACTGTTAATATTGTTGTTATTATTATTGTTATTGTTATTGCTGCTGTTGTTATAATAATCGTCTGTTGCCGTACTAGCTATTGTTGTAGCTGTGGGAGTGGTTGGAATTGTTTGCTGTGTATGGGATGACGGTGGTGGTGGGTGTGTTGGTTGTGGTGGGTGTGGCGCGTACATAAAAGGCATTGGTGGTGGTAACTGCTGTTGTTGTTGTTGTTGTTGTTGTTGTTGTTGTTGTTGTGTGCCAAGGTTAGTTGTTCCGTGTGGGGAAGGGTGGCGCGTGTAGTATGGTAAGTAGTATGGCGGATCTTCTGGAACAGGTTGGGGGGCTATTCTTTGAGGTTCCTTTGGTGAGCGTGGATGATGTGGGAATGCTAATGAGGAAGGCCGTTGTGATGCGTTATTGTTCAACGGCGGTGGCATAGTTGGTGGTGGTCCACGCGAATCAGCGCCTGCTTGAGCGACAATAAAACCAATCTGTGGTAGCATAATATTGATAGATATAGATATAGATATAGATATATGTATATATGTATATATGTATATATGTGTGTGTATGAAATTTGTGTGTGTGCGTATGTCTGTGTCTGTGTGTGTGTGTGTGTGTGTATGTCTGTGTCTGTGTCTGTGTCTGTGTGTATGTGTGTATGTATGTATGTATGTATATATGTATGTATATATGTATGTGTGCGTGTGTGCGTCTATAAACAAGTGTTTATAAAAAAAGTACAAATAGAAGAGGTAAAAAAATAATTAGAGTATGATAGAGAGTGAAAGTGTTGTGTGGGTGAGAGAAAGAAGAAGAAGAAGAAGAAGAAGAAGAAGAAAGAAAAGGAGCGAAAGGAAGATTTGGGGGGGTTGATTATTGTGATTATTGTTATGATTATTATTCTCTCTCGTTTTCTTTTCTTGGTCGCTTGGTCGGTTGCTTGGTTGCTTTTTTTGTTCTTGTTTGTTATTCTTTGTTTTTTTTTTTTAGTTTTTTTTTTTGACTTTTTGGCTTTGTGATTATTTTGTTTGATTCTCAAGTATTGTATATATTTATATATGTATCAATGTATGTATATGTGTATGAGTGTATATTAAAGTAAAGTAAAGTATTTTTTTTTGTCTATCGATTTGTATGTATATGTGTGTGTAATTTTTTTTTTATCTTTTAATCGATTGCCTTTATGTGTTTCCTTTTATAATTATATATATATATATATATAATTATATTTTTGATTTAATGAATTGTCAGAAAATCAGAAAAAAAAGAAGAAGAAAAAAAAAGAAGAAGAAGTGGAAGAAGTGGAAGAAGAGCAAAAAATTAAAATAAAAAAGAAACCTCCCAGGTATTGATTGGGGCTCTTCATTATAAACGGAGATTTAACATAATGAAAGCTGGGCTTAACCAAAAGGCATGGACACCAGAAAGGGAAATGCTCCAAAGGAGTTCAATTAAGACACACACTCTCTATATATATATTGTACATACACAGACATAATGATTTATAGTACAAATATATATATATATATATATAAAGGTTATATTCTACCAGATAGAATATAATTTATCCAAAAAAAAATGTATATTATTATTATTTAGTAGTTTTGTTACTATGGATACCAATAAACTCTATTGTTTCCATGGCAATAAATAATATAGTTCTCGGCAGAATATTAAAAAAGAAAATAAGATATAAAATAAAGGAAGGAAGGAAGAAAGAAAGAAAAAAGGGGGACAGAATCAAAGAATTTCAAGAGCGAATATATATAGATAGATAGATAGATGGATGGATATAGATGGATAGTTGGGGGGGGGGGGGGGGGGGGGGGGGTGTGCGTGTGAATGTCCGGCTCAAGAACGGAAATCTTGACAAAAGGATTTATCTTCATCCAAGATGGTAAGGGAGAGGAAGGGGAAATTATTGTTCAAGGATAGCAGTCCTGAGAACCAAACTGATTATTCGGTGTATTGCATGTATTGCATGTATGTATGTGCGTATGTGGGTATGTGTGCGTATGTGTGTATTTCTTTCTTTATTTCCTTTATATATCTATATATTTATTTATTTTTCTGGGGGGTGGTAATATAACTCTTTTAACTTATTCTTAATTCGGTACCAAAAGGCAGTCAATCGTATCTTTCGGCAAAGAATCGTCATAGACTTTGGAAATTAAAAGCAGCTCCGAGATTTATGAAACCGGGCTCATGGATCTTCTTTAAGAATTTCCCTTCCTCCGTCCAATACAAAGAAGTAAGAAAGAATTGATATATAAATTGTGAGTGACCCAGTTTATCATCCTATACACTTGTTTTTTTTTCTTCTTAAGGTGACACTATATCATTTTTTTTGGTAGTTTATATATATATATATATAAATAAACTAATAAAATACTTGCACATATGCACATTCACTCATAAACTTATACACTATATTATATATACGTTCCCGCCTTAAGATCAACCAACTGAAGTCTGGGTCAGAAAACAAGTAGTATTCTATTCTCTACAGACTATAGCATAAAAGAGATATATTTATCTACCTCTTTATTTTTTGGTACTTTTTTTTATGCTGCTTACCAAAAAAATAAATAAATAAAAATAGTCGTTCTAGATCTGAATTTAATGCTTGTAATTATTCAAAGGAAGGAGGGAGGGGGGAGTTAAATGGGTAGCCTTACTGACAAAAGTAGATGTCACTTTTTTTTTTAAAAAAAAAAAGTGTTGTCGTACAAGTCTTTATATTTTGGATTGTTACATATAACACATATACATTTATTTATTTATTTATTTATTTATTTATTTATCTATATCTATATTATTATTGGCCTACACTTCAGGGCCAATCTACATTGGGGGGATTTTTTTTCATAGCAACGTGTGAATCTACAGGGACTTTCTTTTTCTTGATTTGATTTTAATTGGTTGCTTATTCCTTATTTCTCCACATCTCCTGATTCATTCACTGGTTCATTTAATTTATCGCCATGTGTTTCTAGTCACCATGGCAACGATACCAAGAGTAGTGATTCATATGGACAGTGCCAGTAAGTCAAAAGTAGTTTTGAAGGTATATAATATAAAGAAAAATAGACAGACAATTTATAACAATTAATTGCTTATTATTACATTAGCGCATCATTTTTTTTAAAAAAAAATCATTCTTTTTGAACACTCTGTGTGTGAGTAATAAAAGAAAAAAGAAAAAAGAATCATCTAGAATACTCGAGTAGAGTCGAATGTATGAAAATGCAGTTGAATTGATTAAAATAATAATGACAATATTAATGCCTTTGCTGACTAATGATACGTGTGGATTGTTGAATGAACATCTTTTGGTATCATGTTTATATTCCAACAGACCCTGACTCTATTTCTTTCTTTCATTTAAATTAAACCTCTTGTAGATTTTTTTTTTTTTAAAAAAAAAAAAAAGCAAACAATACTCGCCATAGTAGTGGTTCATCATTAAGACCAAAAGCATTAAAAGCTCATCAGTCATTTGTGTAAAGAAAATCACCAGTTTTAAATATATATATATATATATTTTGGGTTGGGCAAATCAGTGAGGAGTAATCTCATCCCCTACTTTTTTTTTTCCCGAGACAGAGGACAGGACACCAGAAATGCTCTGGTAGTGCCGGGTTTTATGTATGTGTATATATTGCATTATATTACGTGCGTGTGTGTGAGGGAGTGTGTGACTTGAGAGATAAATGTCTAGTCCTGTTACACCTCTTTGTATGTTGCACAGAACAGCACCAGCAATGTTTTTACTTGGCGAATGACAATGCACTAAAGTAAAAGAAGTACTTGTGACATTGGTTGACTTTTTTTTAAAAACAAAAAACAAAAAAAGCTATTGGACCAGTATACATGCATATATAAATTATAGACAATTAAAATAATTTAGTTTAAAAGTGTGAATACAAATGTGTGGTCTTGACAAAAATATATATATTATTTTGTCTGGGATTATTGGTCTATCTGTCTCGGTATTCTTGATTAAGCATCTAGCTAACAACTGAATACACACACATATTTTGTAATGCACTTTAAAAAAAAAAGGGATTTGAAGGAGTCTTTAAAGAGCTGTCGAGCAAAATTTGCAAAATGAGCATTGTTTCTGACAAACCTAACCTAACAAAGGTTTCTATATCTCTCTGTGTGTGTATAGTATACCAAGGTAATCTGCTTTTACTCTGTTGTCAAAATTGTCAAGGAATTCTGCAACTTCTTTTGATCCCCCCCCCCCCCCCCTGCATCTAAAATAAGACAAAACGAAAATTGTGTACTGTATTTCTGCGTGTGTTTGTTACTTATTGCACCATTGATTATTATTATTATTTTTGCGATCCAAGTTGTATTGTGCCAATTATACATAGATCAGATGTTATTTTGCTTGTGAATTACAATTAAGAATAGTCAAACAAGCTGCTGTTGCACCACAATCCTATCTTGTCTTGTTTTATATAAATAAATAATTTTTTATTGTATATATTTTCTGGCTCAAAGAAAAGATCGATCTGTGGCTTTCCTTTTCTCTATATTTCTTTGATTTCATTTTATTTTGTACCGCATATGTGACACTATACACATTAGATATAGTGACACAAGAATGTGGGTATGACTGCTAAAGAATTGCATTTGACACCACTATACTTATATTATATTATATTATATTATATTATATTATTCTAATTCATCTATATATATATATATATATATATATTTAACAATCATAATAAGAAATAACTTTATATAGCCAGGCCCAAGATAAGTGTGTATCTGCATATACTCATGTCTATAACTATGCTTATGTACATGTATGCGCCCGTCTTTTTGTTCCCTAATTTTCTTTACAAAAAGAAAAATATATACATACATACAATTCTTTATAGATTAAAGAAGATGAGGATAAAGAAGTATAAAGAGATGATTAATTTATTCAGTCGAAAGACACATCTTGATCAGTGTTAATATTGTTATTATTGATAGTATGTTTTTTTTTAAAAAAAAAATTCAAGAAGAAGAAATTAAGACTCCTGAATAATATAAGCTTTCTCTTTTCTTCTTCTTCTTCTTATTATTATTATTATTATTCTTTCTTTTTTGGTAAAAGTATGAAGTATATAAATGAATGGTCTTTATGTATATGTATATGTATGTGTGTTCAGGAGAAAAGGGCACCATTTCCTGATTCGTGTCCTAGAGGAGGTGGTGGTGGAGGAGCGTTTGCGTCTCGGAGACGGGTAGCTGATGCATTGCGCTTCGAGTGAGTCGAAAGCGAGGACGATTTGATGTAATCTGGGGTGGTCAGATAGACGACACTTTCGTTGGCGAGCATTGGCATCCGTGGCCGGTCAGGGAAATAGCCGCCGTCATAAGACGAAGCCGAGGTGTCCTCGTCGTCTCGGTCGGCCATGGCATACCGACCAAACTCTTCATTGTCGCCAAAGAACTTGGCAATCTTTTCGTGTTCGAGATTGGATTGGTAGCGGTGCAAGACCCAGAGAGCACCCAAGATCAGCAGCACAAAGATCGTCACGGCTGCACCCAGAACACCCCAGAGCCAGGGCTGGATCGTGTGGAAGACGTCCGGACCATTGACGCAAGTACCGTCGTTGCTGCATGTTCCCGAGATACATTCGCGGTCCTGGTTGCATGCCAGTCCGTTAACTTTTGATGGAATGCAGGTATATGAAGTCTGATCTTCACAGAACGAGCCAATCGTACAATTATCTCTGATGATAGTCTGTTGGACAGCAAATCCCTCGGCATCATAAGATACATAATTTGTTCTTTTTTTTGGTTATTGGGGTTAGTAAAAAAAAAAGAGAGAGAAAGAAAGAAGGGGAAGTAAGGAGTAAGAAGGAGTGAGAAGAAGAAGAAGAAGAAGAAGTTGAATGTTAGATAGAAAAGAAAAAAGGTCTACTTACGTGTCAGATCCACAATTTCCTCCCATTGGAGCTCCCTTTATAAAGCATGTTGAATTGAGGCAGATGGAAGTTTGACCCGAGCACTCATCATCGCGTTGCTATTTATACAAAAGATTATGTTATAATTCCAAAAAAAAAAAAAAAATTAATAAAGAAACAAAGAAATTGATCCTTTTTTGTTTTGTTTACCATTTCACAGTGAGAACCGATAGACAAGAGTGGAACACAGTTTGAATTGTTGTCTGGACAATAGGTACCATTTCCACATCTGTCGGGCATCTTTCGTACAGTTAAATCCCATCTATAGATCAAATTAATAAGTTAAGAAATTGAGGAGGTAAACCAGGAGGAATTTGTATTTTTTTTTTGTTACCCTTTAAGATAATCAGCATTTGTACATCCTTTTGTATTACAAGTGTTTGTTGCTGGGTCGCAGAAAAGGTATATGTTATCACACGAATCACCAAACTGATAACTTGATCTATATGGTTATTCAAACGAAAAGGGCATCAGACTAGTTGTTTGATTTTGATTATACAGTAGATAGACATACGTATAGAATGGACTTGAAGAGCATTGGTCACCTAGCTCCATTGAGTTGACTCTTGCCAGTAAAAAGGTCAATACAAGTATGGGTATGATCAACATTGATCTTTGGGTTGCTATGGTATTATTTCAAAAAGAACAAAAGAGGTATTCTTGAAAGCGATGATGCCAAGTTGTGTAGTGGTGTATGGTGTATGGTGAGAATACTGGACGTGTATTTGGGATTTGTGTGCTTAAAAGTGAAAGAGAAAGAGAAAGAGAAAATGAAGATTGTCATGATTCTTACAGGCTTAATAATAATATTAATAGTAATAGTAATAAAAGGGGTTGAAAAGGAGAAGAGAGTTTCCGAGTCAGTAGTGGGATTTGATTTGATGTGATTAAAACAATATGTCTATCTATAGAGCAAGAATAGTAATGATTTCCTTCTTACCACGTGTACTAATCCCTTTGACCAGACAGGACAAAAGATCAATTTTGATGTAAATGTTACAAGGAGCATATTCACAGGCATGTAAACTTTTTTCTTTCTTTAGATATATAAAAAAAAAAACAATGAATATATATGGTATATGATTATAAAGAAAAATACAAATCTATAAATAACTGTCTATATATAAATAAAAATAAAAATAAAAATAAAAATAGAGTGAATGTCAAAGGATTTCTTTTATTAATATTATAATAATCGTTTCTCTTCTCTTTGACTATCTATCAAAATATAACATAGTCTATAATAATTTTTTAAAGTATCAAATAAATAAATAAATAACTAAACCTAAAGGTACACACAGGTTGATCCGTCTTCAACTACATCCAAGACCTTGTAGAAACTCTCCTTTACACCATGCTGCTTAAATACTTCCTGGGCGGCCTTTGCGATCTCATCAAAGTTCTTTGTAGCCAAGGCCAGAATGGTAGGTCCAGCACCCGACAGGCAGATACCAAGCAAACCATCATACTTTTCGGGTGTAATGGTAGAAAGGATTTCAGGAAGGCCAGGAATCTAAAATAAATTAGAATTGGAATTAGAAATTTATACTTGTATTTATATTTATACTTGTATTTACCAAAGTCTTGCGGTAGGGTTGATGGATCTTGTCCTGCATGGCATTGAAAATCAAACCAGGGCTAGGGGGAGATTGGCCAAGAGCAGTGGTCAAGACAGCCAGACGTTGAAAGTTAAAAATCTACAAACAAAGTTAGGATTTAGAAATTAGGATCAAAATCAGAATCAGAATCATACTTGGGATTGGGATTTATATTCTGACTCTCTCTCTCTCTCTCTCTTTATATGTGTATTTTATTTATGCACATGTCTGCAACACATTAGATCTCTCTCTCTTTCTTTTTTTTACAATCCAACTAACTAAAGACTCAAGATAAACTTGTTACTCACAACATCATGACGGCTGTACTGGTCTGGAAGAACCGATCTGGCCTTTGCGGTGGCCAGCTTGAACTGGGGCACGATTGCAACGGCCTTGATTTCCTTGGCCCATCCAAGACGAACATAGTGACCGATTCCATGTGGGGGCTGGGGCAAGTTTGGTGAGGGTACGCTTTCCAGCAGAGACTCAGAGGTCGGGACACCCTTGAGGACCTCTGGGCTCAATTCTGACAGGTACGAGGCCACAAATCCGCCAACCAGAGCAGCCGCAACGTTGTCCGGATGGCGTTCGATCATCAGACAGTAGTCCAGCAAGCGTTCCTGAGACAGCTTGAGTTCACCGAGCGCGTTTCCGAGCAGGACACCGGACACGACGGCTGCTCCGGATGAACCGAGGCCTCTTCCGAGTGGGATAGGGTTGTGGACGTGAATCTTGAGGAATGGAGGGAGATTGGAGATGCCATTCGCCGAAAGCACATAAAGAGCGGCCTTGGTGATCAAGTTTTGCTCTGGAGTAAGTGGAACATCCTTGGCGCCTTCGCCCGAATAAGTCATCTCGAATGTCTTTCCTGCTGTCATGACCTCGACGTCCAACACAAGGTAAAGCGAGAGAGAGATACCCAAGACATCAAAGCCTGGGCCGATATTAGCAGTCGAACATGGCGATTTGATACGGAATCTTTTTGGAGTAGTAGGAGCCTTCATAATTCTATACCTATCTATCTATCTATCTATTTTATTTTATTTTATTTTATATAAAGAAGAAGAAGAAGAAGAAGAAATAAAATAATTTATTCATTAATTAATTAATTAATTAATTAATTATATACATTTTTTTTTAAAAAAGTAAATAAATAAAATAAGATTTAAACTTCAGAGATAATAGTAATATAGTATGCAATATACAGATAGCTAGATGGGGTTTAACAAAAGATTACTTGATAGATGCCCTTTTTATTTTATTTTATTTTATTTTATTTTATTTACGTTTCCCTTGTACATATACACACACACGCAGTTGTAATAATGTATATGTGACTTGCACCAAATGAGTCCATGTTTGTCATTTGAACTTTTTTTTTTTTTTTTTTTTTGGTTTTTGAAGACAAGATCTGATTATCTTATTGGGTGGCTTGATCTATAGATTAAGGACAATCTTTGTGTATTAAATATATATATATTATTTATTTTATATATAAAAATGTATAGGTTCTTATAAGAGAAATAATAATAATAATAATTTAGTTTTATCATGGTCTGCATTACTTGCTGCATATTAAAGAAAGAGAGAGAGAGAGAGAAAAATGATAACAGATATATTATTATTTTTCTTTAGATTAAAAAACGCACTGAGGAATACAGCAAATTGGTTTGGTTTGGTTTGGTTTGGTTTGGTTTTTAATTGGAATTCTGGAATTATTAGTAGTATAATTATAATTATAATTATTGTTTTAGAATTATGAAACTCTAGAAATTTCGAGAAATGTACGATTTATCACACTTTTTATTATTATTATTATTGTCATTTAATTGTTGTCGCAACTTTTATTTATTTATATATTTTAATCTTAATAAATATATAATATAAAAAAAATATAGTGGCCTGATTTTCACTCTCTCCAAGTCTTTTTCTTTTTCTTTTAAAAAAGAAAAAAATTGTCTGTGTGTGCTTGTGTATGTATACAAGTAATTTACTGTATTATAAAAATAATAATAATAATAATAATTTATAATATATATATATATATTGTATATATAATTTGTCCCATGATTTATGAATTAATAAATAGTATATATATTATTTTCTCTATAGACAAAACATATATAGATAGAACTAATAAAAACCAAGTCACAGACAGAAATGGCTGATTTCATTTCCGTTTTGGTTTTGTCGCGCTGTGATCATCGGAAAAGGAAGGAGAGAAGGAAGAAAGAAAGAAAGAAAGGGTTAGGTGGGACGATGGAGTGTCCAATCAGAATGAAAGAAAAGGAAGAGGAAGGAGAGAGAGAGAGGGGATGGGATTGGGGGGGAAAAATTATTATAATAGTAATAATTATTAGTAGGACATCGCATAAACTTGCGCTTATTCAACTATAAAAATATAATTATACACAATCTAAAAAGCATTTCACCTTTCTTTCCAACTTTCATTTCCATTTTCATTTTCATTTTCATTTTCATATTTCTTGCCAATAAACCATAATGAGTCCAGCCCGTGTATCTCCAGTTTACAAGCACTCTGAAGCACCTTCAGGTAAAATATTAATATTAATATTAATATTCATTTTTCTATAATTTACTAATCAACTCTAATTATAGTCGAAAGACGCTTGGAGCACTTCAAGGCCCAGCATGAGTTGGCCCGTAACTTTTATGATGACCTTGAGTTTTGCCCGGTCCAATGTCCAGATGAGGTACACAAGCAGAAAAAGAAGCACATAGATTTTTAAAAGACATATACATATATACATATTAATCAAATCAAATCAAATAGCTTTATGAACATCGCGAACGTATTCAACAACGGATATCTCCGCAGTCATCTCCTCACACATCACCACCAATGGCTTACTTGTCTCCTCGTAAATCAAATCCTTCCAAACGAGCCATTCCAATCATCGATCCCGCAAACATGGTCCAGGTCTCGGTCCCTGCCAGACAACCCTCTCCCTTGTCCAACCCTCTCCATTGGTCATCCCAATCTTCCCAATCCTCTTTATCGTCTTCCGTTTCTTCTGTCTCGGTTTCTCTACCAACCAACTCTAGAATTCAACAGCAACAGCAACATAATCATCATCATCATCATCATCATCAATCAATGTATACTGGTATCTCTCAAAACGATCATCATCAACAACAGCAACAACAATATCAACAACAGCAACAGGCTGTGCGTCAACTGCACTACAGTCAACAACAGCATCATCATCAACACCACCACCATCAGTCACAAAATACCTTTACCCCAAACTTTTATGATGTCCTCGTGCAGTAAAAAAAAAAAAAAAAAAAAAAAAAAAAGACCAAAAAGCCCTTTTTTTTTTTTTTTTATATTATAATTTTCTCTTATTCTTATTGGGTTTAATATCCCCCCCCTCCCTCCCTCTACTTTTCTATATTGTTCTTGTCTCTCTCTCTTTATTTTGTTTGCTTTCATGTTAATCATTTCTTATTCTATTCTTCTCCTTCACTCATTCTCTTCACCCCTTCCTTCATCTTCTTTCTGTCTTATTTTAAAGAAGTAAAAAGAAGAAGAAGAAGAAGACAAAATTGTAGATTTATTTTTATATATAATAATCTCCCACAATATCATTTTTTTTTATCTTTATCTTTATTTTGTGTTTATAGTAAATAACTTGAATTTTTATTTTTTTATATATATAAAACAATGTTTTCTTGATCGATGCATTAAATTAACTCTTACAATCCCAAAGTCTAAAGTGAAAAAGTATACCTTTTTGTATGTAATTATAGTGTGGGTGCCTAGTTCCTTAATTCTTGGTTCTTGGTTCTTAGTGTGTGTGCTTGTGTACCTCTTTATAGTTATAGTTATAGTTCATTAGTGTATATAATATATATATATTTTTTATTAGGAGTTTTTATTCCAAGACAAATGATGGATATTTTATACTACAATATATACTGGCACACAGACTACACACACACATTTATTTTATATGATTTGATTTATATACAATAGCACTAGTAATATAACATAACACACCAATAAAACAACTCCGTCTTCATTAAGCTAAAAATTAAAAAATTAAAAAAAAAAAAAAAAAGAGATGAAGAGGTGTATACATAGTAGATATAATCAAGGTATAATATAAATAATAAGAATAAAGAATACTTTGAACCAATACACAAAAAGTCTACGGGCTACTTCCTAAATTGGCTCTACACAATGTACCAAACAAGGTAAAAAAGCAATTCACTCAACCACACGTGAATCCAGGGTTTTACACACTAAGCCGTCAAATCAACTGAAAGCAAAATAATAACAATACAACAACAACAAGAGACAAGAAACATCAATTGTAATTGTAATTGCAATCTCAATTCTTTTTCTTCCTCTTTAAATAAGTAAATTAACTAAAAAAGAACATATTTTTAAAAGTAGTTGTAGCTGTAGCTGTAGTTGATTTTGTTGAATATGCTAAACGTATTCGAATTTTTTTCTTTCTTTTTTTTTTCCTTTTTGTTTATTTGTGTCCTTGTGGGTCACTTACAGTAAACATGTTTCCAAAAGGCAATGCACTCCTGATCACGGACAGCAGACTTGCAAGACTAGACACAATAAGAATACTATATAAATATAAATAAATACACATATACAAGTGCTGTACATATATTTCCCTTTTTTTTCTTCTTCTTCAAACAAAAAATAATCAAAGCTCTAAACAGGCATTGCATCATATCACCCTTTTGCTTTTTTATATATTATAAATATAAAAACTGACGGAGTAGATATTTTGTCGGCATTTATTTTATATCAACCGGAGATTAACATAAAAGGATATTATTGGATAATAAGAGTAGTAATTGCGTTAATTGTCCAAACACATGGTGTGAACAGACTTTTAAATGAACAAGTACCATCTCTTTCTATCTAAAGAAAAACAATCTTTTTTTTTTTTTTTAGTTTGTCCACTCCAACAAAATTATACTTGTGCATAACTCTAAAAATATAGTCCAATAACAAGCTGACAAATATTATTAAAAACCCGAATAAATAGGAGACTTTAAAATATACATTATAATTGACGTAATAGTTTTCTTTCTTTCTCTCTTTCTTAATTTTTTTTTTTTTTTAATTTTTTAATTTTTAGTTTTTAATTTTTTAATTTTTTAATTTTTTAATTTTTTAATTTTTTAATTTTTTAATTTTTTAATTTGGAAAAAAAAAAAAATTGATCGCCCAAGTACAAGAAAAAAAAAAAGAAAAACCCGGTTAAATAAAATAATTAAATCGAATAAAAAAGATTCAAGTATCATAAAACCGTCTTTAAACCTTTACCCGTGCCCCTGTAAGATTATATTATTGTCCTTATTCTTTCCTATTTTTCTTATTTTTCTTAATTCACTCTCTCTCACACACACACACACACACACACACTATCTCTCTCTCTCTCTCTCTTTCTTTCTTTATCACTTTCTTTATTTCAAAACAAAAATTAAAAGATACAAAGAATAAAATTAAACCAAAAGCAAAAGCAAAAGCAAAATAATAATAAAAAAATTACAAAAAAAAAATTTAGATGACGGCTATGGAATATCGTTATCTCGGAAACTCTGGTCTAAAAGTCAGCATTTTGTCATTGGGATCATGGATTACTTTTGGTATTTTTTTTTCTTTTTTTTTCTATTTAAATAATAATAAATTCACATGTACAAGTCTCATTTAGCATTAGAATTGGTATTGAAATTAGTATTGGCAATTAGATAAATATATGCATGCTTAAAACATTAATGAATAAAAAAAAAATTATGATTCTTGTAATGACAAATTTACAATTAATTCCGTGACATTTTCTATATATACATATATATATATATATATATATTGTGTGTGTGTGTGTGTGTGTGTTAATCAAAATCAAAATGTTGGAAAAAAAATATATGTATATATCATTCAGGAGGCCAAATCACACCTGGTACGCATCCCATTTTTCACAACACTAAAACACATACGTAAACATATATACACGTAAATACATACAAATATGTACATGTATAGAGATTTACGCACAGACAAATACGTGACATAATAAAATATACAGCTGGTATCTCTTTCTATATATTCCATTAATTTGATCTATTATTTTATTATAGAACAGACGACCGAGATCGTAAAGACTGCTTTAGAAATGGGCATTAATCATTTTGACGTGGCCGAGAGCCATGCAGGTAAAGTCTAAAAAGTAAGAAGAAAAATTTCTTTCTTTAACATATTTATATATATATATATTTGATCCATTAACGATGATTATTATAAATACAAAAGGTGGCCAGGGTGAGATTGATCTAGGACTTGCGCTACGTAACCAGGCTGGCCTTCGTAGATCCGATTTTGTCATTTCAACAAAGGTTTTCTGGGGTGGAAAAGGCCCCAATGATCGCGGACTTTCTCGAAAACATGTATTTGAGGGAACAGTTGCTTGCTTACAACGACTACAGCTGGACTATGTCGATATTTTGTATGCACAGCGACCTGGTAAGAATATATATATTTATATATATATATATATAATGTAAACGCAAATTATTAATCTATATCTTTAATAACAACAACAAAAGATCCTGATACTCCAATGGAAGAAATTGTACGTGCCTTTAATTGGTGCATTGACAAGGGAATGGCACTATACTGGGGAACAAGTGAATGGCCGGTACATATGATCATAGAAGCCATGGGTGTAGCCAACCGTCTTCAGCTCATAGCACCTATTACAGAAGTAAGAAGCATTATTAAGAATAACCAAAAAAAATTATATGTATATCTAATTTCTTGTCTTGTTCTGTAGTCTCCACAGTACAATATCATGAATCGTGATCGAATCGAAAAAGAATATGTTCCTTTGTTTAATCAATTTAGACTTGGAATGTGTACCTGGTCTCCACTTGCCTCAGGTTTGTCTATTTAATAACCCCTTCTTTGTATGTTTGTCTGTCTGTCTGTCTCACTTACTTTTATATATACATATATTTGGATTTCTTTTTTCTTTTCTTTTCTTTTCTTTGTTAGGTCTATTGACTGGTAAATATAATGAAGGAGTCATCCCACCTTATACACGTCTTGCAATCCAAGACCACCCGGTCATAAACAGACTCCGGTCCGGATTCTTTAGTGAAGAAGGAAAAAGAAAGCTAGAAAAGATCAAGATGGCCTGTGTAAGAAAGACACGCACACACGCACACACACACATATATATATATATATATATATAGTTAATTAATTAATTAATTAATTGATATTTATTTAGGCTATTGCAAAAAGAATTGGATGTACACCAGCCCAGTTGGCTGTGGCATGGTGTCTTAAGAATCCAAATGTTACTTCAGTAATCATCGGAGCGTCTACGCCAGCACAAGCATGCGAGAATATCCAGGCTCTCAAGATTCGTGAATTATTGACAGATGAAGTTATGCTTGATCTTGATAGGGTAAAATGAAGAATATGATTTATTTATTTTGGTATTAATTATTGATATTGATATTCCATTTGCATTTATTTGAATTATAGTTGTTTTCCAATAAGCCAGAGCCGGTATTTGACTTTAGAAAGTCATGACAGCAACAACATCAATTCCTCCTTTCTTCTTCCTTCTCCCTCTTATCCTCTTGCTCTCTCAGCCCTTATGATCTTTCTTTATCTCCTTTGATACTTTCTTTGGTTTCTCTTATATCACAAAGACGGTGTGATATAAATAGAGTACATTCAAGACAAATGGAGAAGAAAAATAAATAAATGAATACAATGGAAAAAGAGGGTAGTTTTGTCTTTCTTTTATCAGATGCAGGACTCATTCGATAATAAAATAAATTAAAATAAAATATAAATCTCTATCCAAAAATATAAAACACAAAACTTATGTTTGTTCATACATTTCAGTTATAAGCTTATATAAATTAATTAATTACTTGGATACACATATTTATATTTATTTTGATTTATGTATATATATATATATTTCTAGTTAAAAGGAAATTGACCAAAAGCTTATTAGTCATTGTAATTATCAATGCATGTACACATGTCCACATTTCGTTTTCTTTCTTTCTTTCTTTCTTTTACACTTTCGACTCAGTCTATCTTTTGTGTCTCTTTGTACGATACTGGATATCAAAAAGAATCGATAATCATCGCGCCACCGTATTAAAAGAAAGAAAGAAAGAAAGAAAGAAAGAATATCCCATATTTGATCCATAAAGAAAACAAATAAAATAAACGATCGAGTTTCTTATAAAAAAATAAATTATGCGCACAGGCTTGACCATCAGATATCACAATTAGAAACAAAGAAAATTGATTTCATTACTGTCAAAAAAAAAAAGACAAAAAAAATGATACAAGAGAATTTGATCAATTATATATATATTATCTGATTTATTTATTAAATAAAAATATATTATTGTTAATGTACATATATGTATATTATCTTTTGAGCACGTTTGCCAAATTAGAACAAATAATTGTGCTTAGCAACGTCACTGACTGTATTCTACTGTACTTTATTTTGCTATGGTAACGGTGTGTTCCCAAGAATTTGGTCCATCCATTTTTTGTGCTTTTTTTTTTTAAAAAAAATAAAATAAAATAAATAAACTAAACTAAACTAAAATACATTTACAAAAGTTTTACATAAATGCACTCTAACGAAAATTCTAACATTTCCTGTATTCGTGGAACTTGCAACCATTGAGACTCCACAAGACAAAGAAGACAAAAAGTAAATTTCATGTTTGAGAATAGAATCAAATAGGATATAAGAATAAGAGCACAAGAAGGACAAGGAGAATAAAGCTTATATATCAAATCAAAATGTTACTAAAATTATAATGTCAGCAAAACAAGAAACACTTGTAGCTTCCTTTCTTTTGAAATCAAGTTTTGATATTTTATAGCTCTTGTTCATGTTGGCAATATGATTTTTTGGTATCATAATTTGACATTCTATATATATATATATATATATATATATATATACCTGCGTATGTGCGTGTATGTGTGTATTCTTTTTCTTTCTTTTTACAATTCTGGATAACTTACACGAGTACTTAAAGATGCTACTACAACACTACTATAATATATCATATGCACACACGCACATTCATACAAAAATACACATCAAAATAACCCGAGATCCACAGGTTATTATTACTATTTTTGTGATATCTAAAAGAACCATTCTGTGAAACGTTCAAAAGCTTTAAATAAACATATAGATGTATGTTATGTATTATATTGCAAGATTTTATAAAATCTTTGTTTAAAATAAAATAAAATAAAATAAACTATGCTATACACTACACTACACTACACTACACTAAACATATACAAACTAATATACATGCAATCTCTCAGTTCACTAAATATATAAAGAAGTATAATATACTAGAGTTGAATTTTAATATGATATAATGGAAAAATAAATAAATAAATAAATAAATAAATAAATAATATATATATATATAATTGAAACAAGGAAAATAAAATAATAAACATAAACATAAAATAATAATAATAATATAATATAATATAATATAATATAATATAATATAATATAATATAATATAATCAAAGACGGACAAAGAAAAAAAATGTGTACAATTTGTGTATGAATGTATGTATGAATGTATGTATGTATATGTATATATATACCAGCATGAAATTTAGCTTAGTAAAAGAATAACAGAAAGAAGAAATAAAGAGAAAAGAAAAGATGAATTTGGGTGTGTGTGTGTATGTATGTATGTATGTGTGCTCGTGTGAGTGGGTGGGTAGTGTGTAGATGTATTTGTAGTATACGTGCGTGTTTATAACTGTGAGTGAGTGAGTGAGTGTGTGTGTGTGCGTAATGTATATATGTATATATGTATATATGTACATTAAAAGAAAGTGTTGTAGTGAATTGCGTGCTGTTGATCGATGCCTTGTGAATTTGGACTCTGAAATGAGATGTGAGTTGGATGTGGTGCTTCATACAATGGGCGTAATTGTTGAGTTTTCTTTTCATCCATATAACAACCATCATAATTTTGGTTATGGTTATGGTTATGACCATGGTCATGGCTGTTGCTGTTGCTATGGCCGTGATCGTAAATGTGTGTGTCTTGTTTGTAGCCATAAAGGTTCGACTCATGTTGCATAGGTATCATGGACGGTACAGGTGGTACAGACGGAAGCTCAGCGAGGGGTACAGGTGTCGAAGAATGGATATTGAGAGAGTGATGGTGGTGGTGATGGCTATGCTGATAATCTAATTTATTTATTTATTTTTTTTAAAAAAAAAAGAAAGTTAAATACAGACCAAAGCTACTTCTTTAACATATATATTTTATGCTTACTGTTGTAATGTGTATGAGAATACATGTCTTGAGAAATATAGTCGTTTGATGATTCAGACGCAAGATAATAGTTTGGTACTGGAGGCAAGGGCAGAGAATTGCGAAAGAAATAGAGTCCAGGATCATCAACGAAAAGCGGGTGTAGTTCATGAGCAATGTTGTGTTGTTCGGCCAAAAACTTTGCGCGTGAAAATGTCACCCTGTATTATTACAGATATTAATATAAAATACAATACAATACAATACAATACAATAAAAGAAAATAAAAGAAAATAAAGAATCTTACCATACTCCTTTGAGATGCATTGCACCAACTTTTACTACGACACGACTCTTTTCATTCTTGAGAATTCCGTCGCGTTTACCTCTCGACATTCCAGTAACATTGAGTAACTTTGTACCATTAACCATGTCATTATCTAATTCGGAAAAGAAGAACAGAAAGAAAAAAGTTTAATTATTAGCCCAATCGATCGATTCAAATATATATATTTATATATATATATATATATAAATTTACCTTGTCTTCGGGCTACACAAATTCCTCGGGCATCTACTTGATAACAGAGTGTTGCTTCATCTTCCCATAGAGATGTTGCCAATTTATTTCTGTGATTTGGTACATTTGGAGCAATAGGCACAATAGAGTCTTGAGAGAGTGCATGATCCAGATGTGCGGGGTCATTTATTAGAGTACTAATGGCAGTAGAATGATTATTATTGTTATTGTTGTTGTTGTTGTTGGTGGTGTTATTATTATTACTGCTTTTGTTGATGGTGGGAGAATAGACCGAGACTGAGTTTGAGATTGTTGCATTTGCGATTGTGGTCTCGGATTCAGAATCGGTTTTGATGGTGTTTGTGTTTGTGGTGGTGATTGTTGGTGTTGGCGTTGGCGGGAAATTGGATGGTATGACTGTGCGTGAGGTCTGGCTCCATGATAGCGAGGGAGAGGATACTTGATCCATGTCAAATATATAAGGATTTTCTTGGTGAATGTGCGGGTTGTGAATGCCATGAGAGTTGTGCTGAATATTATGGTTTGCATTATGAGAATAAGAGTGAGAATGAGGGTGTGGCTGAGGGTGAATGAGTGAATGAGTGAGAGAATGAGTGTGAGAGAGAGTAAGTGTGTGTGTGAGCGAATGAGTGTGTGAGAGTGTGAGGTGCGGATGGTGTAGTGTGTTCTGAACTTGGTTGACTTGGTTGACTTGGTTGTAGGTATAGTAGTTATTCTGCCTGCTCAAGTTGTCGTAGGACTCTCTTTGTTTTTCTGTGGCCATGGTAGGTATATAAGGTGTGCCTTGAGTGTTAAACATTGAGGTTGGAACAAAAGGCTTTGTATAGTAATAATAGTGTGTATATGTGAGTATTAAAATATGTATTTATAGATATTTAGAGAATTGAAGAATTATAATGAAGTAGTTTGGTAATGTAGATGAATGAAAATTTTAAAAAATAAAAAAATAAAAAATGAAAAGTAAATAAAATAAAATGTTCCTTGACTTGTTTTTTATATATATATATCTATATAAATATTTATATATAAATATATACATAAATATATATATATATATATTGTTGGACTAAAATTATAGATGTAGAATAAAGCTTTTGTCCTGTTACTATTGTTAATATTAATATTCTTATTATTATTTGACTTGAAGTATTATATAAATAATTGAAACAAAAATGTCAAAAAATAAAATAAAATTAATAATTAAATATGTTTAAAATAATTATAATAAAAGAGAAGAAAGAGAAGAAAGAGAAAGAAAGAACTGTCAATGAAGAAATCTACTTAAAGAATTCAAAAATGGCAAGTTGCTAAATCAAAATACATATATTATATATATGTATAATATAATATAATACAAAAGAAAGAGGGGGGGGGGGAGTGAAGGAGAAAGAGAGGAGGGAAAAGTTGAGATAGAATACTCAACAAAATAAAAAAAATTATAATGATTATAATAAATAAAAAAAAATTATTTTACTCTTTTTCATGTTCTACAATTTATCATTTATTATTTTTATATATCAATATCTTTATATTAATTTTCTCAAGGTCTCTATATGTATTTGACATATATAGACAATAGAAGTATAGCTATATCTTATATAGAGCTGTATTATCAAAGTAGAATTTGTTATGACTTATTTTGAATGGAAATCTCAAAATTTTAAGATCTAAAAATTTCAAAATAAATACAAGTGTTTATAAAACGGCAAATGAAAAACAATCATGTGTTGATGTTGTATATATATATATTGATACTATTGCTGCTGATTTTTTTTTAAAAAAAAAGGTACAATTTAGACAATGGAGATGATTTATGTGTATATACAAGTTATTGTATTATAAACCCCTTTCTTCTTTCCCCTCTTTTCTTTCTTTCTTTCTTTACCTCCCTAGTTTGGAAGTTAAGCTATGAATAAGCTATTGGCGCCATAATAAAAACATTATATTGCAATCTGTTGCTATGGTTACAGTCATGATTGTAGTGATAATGTTGATTTGATGTATATAATAATGAAATGAATAATTAATGAATGAATCAATGAATTAATCAATGAATTAATTATTAAAAAACATATATATACACACATATCATTAGCCACAGTGTTCATATAATTTTTCTATTATAAAATAAAATAAAAATAGAATATGTGTATGTTTTACATGAATGTACAAATGGATGTAATCTTGGTATCAGAAACCTCTATAAAAAAAAAGGTTAGATAGGCTCTTTAAAAAGAAAACATTTTTTCAATAAATCAGTCAGTCAGTCAATCAATCAATCAATCAATCAATCAAGCAATCAGTCAATCAATTCATATGGTGGTATAATTTATATTGCATTTTATTATATATATATACATATATTTCGTTTTAAAAATCAGTCAAAAATCACTTGTTTATTTTAATTTTATTTTTTATTTTAATTATAACCTTTATATATAAAAATTAAAAAGGCAAAACTTCTGTGACTGTGTAGTACAACGACCTATCAAATCCTCTTTTTTTTCTTCTCTACCTCTCTCTATCTGTTGTTACTCACTATCTATATATCCTTTTCACTACAGTATCTTTACTTGGCTTTCAGACATTTTTCCTACTTAATTTAATAAACTCTTTTTACAGCGAAAACAGTGCCAAAGGGCGGTTTTTGAAACTAATGATCTGGAGATAAAATAACAAACGGGCGGATTTTTTTTTATATTTGTCTTCCTATCTTCGTATAACTTACAAAGAGTGAAACGAGGGCCTTCTTTTCGAACGAGGACAGACAAGGAAAAACGTATGGCGAGAATAGAAATATTGCGATGGATTTAGAAGAGGAAGTTAATAATCTATTCTAATCTGGAAGCATTAACCAACATTAGAAATTACTGCGAATCTCAGGGACCAGAACGAGAATCAAAACTTAAAGACCCAGATACTAGAATAGAAGACGTAGCAAATCTTTTAAAAAGAATAGCACATAACGTATAATAAATGTACTAGTTAGCGGAAGCCTCTATTTGTGTATTATAACCGAGTAAAGCTTTACAGTGCTGCAAAGTTTGGAAGTCTAGTTGGTGGAAGCGCGGAACGAACAGCCCAAAAGTGGGCAAAGAGGTTTAAAGAAGATAAAAATTGGAATATTCTTGAAAAGAAAACGAGAAAAGTAATTAAGAGGTCAAGTCAACTTTATGAGGAACACAAGGTCTATCCGATCAACTTTTACGATGAGTATTCTCACGCTCAAGTGAGTGATGCAGTTGCAACTCTTACTGAAAAGTCCGGAAACTTCACTTTGTAGATTTCCAGTGTTCAAACTTTATTAAAGAATGAATACAATCTCTCATTCAAAAGAATAAATCACCATCCTGTAGCAAGAAATGATGAATATAAACTCGCAAATCGAAACTAGTGGGTTGAAGAATGGGGCAAAATAGACATGAACTTTCTTGAAAGATCTACTTTTATAGACGAATCAGGCTTTGACATAAACGCCAGACCACCTAGTGGTTGGTCAGTGAAGGGCATTTACAGGATATTCTTTGTAGTGTATCTATAAAATGCTGAATGAAATGGACTTATACAAAGAGAAAAGATATTATTTGGCCATGGATAGTGCTCCAATTCATACAGTCGATGAAATAAGTGTGTCTATCTTTCTCATCAACCCAATTGGAATTTTTTGATCGGTGGCAGGTTAAGAACAAGGTCAAACGAAGCATATTCGACGAGAATGGCGGTTTAATCGCCAGAAAAACGGAAGCCTACAACTCTGTTCCTCCTAAGCATCTCAGAGCATTTGTCTAACACTGCAGACACTTTTAAAAAGTTCTTGAGGAATAAGCATATTTAACTACTTTAGTTATCCAAAAATAACCGCAGTTTGAAAATAAGATAACCGCCCATTGGAAATAAAACTTCCGTCTATTTTGTAGAATCCGCCATTTGGCACTGTTTTCACTGTAAAAAGAGCTTGTCTAAATTAAGCAAGAGAAATGTCTGAGAATAAAAATAACTGTATCCAATAAAAAACCGAAATCTTCTGAATTTCCTTTTGAAAACGTCTGTATTTTTTTATTTTTATTTTTTAAAAAAAAAAAAAGGTCCGAGAACCAAGTAAAAATGCTGTACAAAGCATCTAAAAATATTATTACTATTTGATAGCTGGAAAATAATAAAATAAGATCTATTCCTTTTTTATGCTTTAATTTCTATTATTTTTTAATTCAATATGCTAATAAACAAGTCACGAATTACTTTAATTTATTAAAGATGCCCAAAAGATTTCTTCTTTTACTCTTTACAGATTATGAACTCTAGCGTACATAATAGCACCATATAGTTGGGCCCCTCCTTTCAAGAGAAAGGAAAAAATAAGATATTAATATGTGATAAAAAAAGTTAAAATAAAAAGTACAAATTAATAATTATTATTATTTTCTTGAAAGACAAATATAGTATAATATAATATTTATTCATTTAGTGTTGCGAACACAAAAAGTACAAAAAAAAAGAAACGATTGTTGGGCTCGGTCATTGTCGGTATCACTTTTAATCTTCATCTGCATCTTCTATTTTTTCTTTTTTTTTCTTTTTATTTCTCATTACTATTATTACTATATATATCTATATTGATTAATAACTCCATCGTTCAGGGTTGTCATCGATCACTTTATACTATTTTATTGTTAAACCAAAAGCAAAAGCAAAAGCAAAAGCAAAAGAACATAAAAGCGTGCTGCAATTGAGAGAGAAAGATGGAGGGGCTTTGGCCATGTGTCATTTTATTTTATTATATGTTCTACTAATTCATTCATTCATTCAAAAATATAGTCTTTTGTAAATATAATACACTCCACAGACCAGTAATACGATATATTATTTTTCTCTCTAATAAATTATTGTATAGATGTATTTAATACCACAATTCATAAAAAAATACGATAATAATAATAATAATGATTTTAGGTGATTTTATTTTATTTTTTGTAATGTGTGCTAAAATTCCATCTATTCTTCCAAAATAAGATTGAGAAGCGAGAGTATCTGAAACTCAATCGAACAAAAAAGAAAGAAAGAGAGAAAGAAACTCACTATAGCTATTAATATCTGTATCTATATATAACAATAAAACACATCTTACAATATGGCAAAAATAACCATCTATCCAATAATAAGAGTTCATGTTGTGCTCCAAGTAGTTTCTTTATCTTTTTATTTTTGCTGTTGTTGTATAATATACTTTTTTGCCAAGTTCTACTCAGAAATATATGTATATAATTAATACAATTTGATGTATTTGTTTCATTAGATCTATCAATCGGTTTTTTTAAATGATTCTTCTTTCTAATTTATATTATATTCCTGGGCAAAAACCCCTTATGGTTGCTATGGTTACTTACCACATCTGTATAAATTCTATAATTTCAAAGCAAAGAAAAACAAAGAAACATTCAATACTTGATGATGATACGTATAATAATGATAAACATATGCTTACTCTACATTTTGTATTTCCTGATTAGGTACCTCGGGTGAAAATATTCCTTTATATAAATACATATCAATATAGATATAAAAATAGAAAGAAGAAAATGAAATCATTTGCTTTTTTTTTTGGGTAGCAAACTATGCTGTGTTGTTTCAAACATATCTATCTTTTGACATTTGAAATATGATGGATCCTTTAAGCCTTTTGATTCTTTACCAAACAAGAAGCATATTAATAAAAGTATTATTAATTGATATTGAACTAATGAAAGAACAAAAAAAATGATGTTAATTACAAAATATATAAATGGCTATAGCATATTTCACATAATTTTTTTAAATAAAAGAACGGTCATTATGTATAGCAATAATTTATATACATAGATAGATAGTTATTCATATAGCTATTCGTAATAAGTATCTTAATAAGAGTAATATGTATTAGCTCACTTTGATTTGAAAATTCTTATCACAATAAATAAATACCGATTTTACAAAGTACCCGTGGAGATCACAAAATGGTTACAAAATCTGACGTTCTAATTTATATATTATTATTAAAATGAAATAAAGAATAGCTTTGAATATATTTAGTGGGATGATTTATATATACATAAACAAAAGTAGGCTGAGATTGTGTAATTGTGTCTATCAAAGATAGACTGTAAATATATAATAATAATTAATGACAGTAAATTAAAAAATAATATTTGTATGTATGTATGTATGTATATATAATTTATAATTAATATTATTCTCTTTTTCTTTCTTTTCAATCCAAGATAATATTCATGCCACTAGCCACCTTTCAAATCTGATTATGATTTTCTTCTTTTTTTTTTAAAAAAAAAAGGATCTTGGTCCCGGTGTCTTATAATCGTGGGAGAAATCTATCCAGAGCACAACTGTCCCAGTTATCTTTTTGCTCAGCTCTTTCCCAGACGTTCACACAACTGATACCGATACTGATGATGATGATTATGAGGATAATGATCTAATGTGCGCGTGTGTTTTAATTGGCTACACTCCAACCGACACCTTTGTATGTTCTTTTTATTACTCTTACCTATCAAAGAAACAGTACTACTCAAAGGATCAGTAATATAGCATAGTACAGAATAGTGACGCTTTTTATTTTTATTTTGGAGGACTTGAACAAAGTGTCATTTGGCTTCAATTATGCGTACCCCTCCCCTCACACACACGCACATATATATATATAATATAATATACTATTAAGAAGAAGAAGGAAGCTCTTTTTTTTGTGTTTGTGTTTGTGTACGGATTTCTGAATATGAATCTGTGGAACTTTATTGATCATTTTTCCATTGGAATCAAAGAATTTTGCTTTTCTGTTTTTTTTTGGCTACATAAAATAAAGAAAGAAAGAAAGAACGGTTTAACCGGATAATATTTCAATGAACTTAGAATAGCCTTTTTGTAATTTATTTAAATGTATAAAGTTCAACCAAAATTCTAGATATAATTTTGCTTTGAAAAATAAGGGAAATTAGTCTATTTTGAACAAAGACAAATTAATCTCAAGTTAAATATATGTAAGAGATATATATGGGCAGTTTTCGATCATTATAACTTAACAAAGGAAATATAGTTTTTTGATAAGTTTCCTTGCTTACTGCTTACCACTAATAATTAATTAATTCAAAGATGAGCGACCCACATTTCTGGTGCTGATGTTTAAACTTTCTATGTCTACAGTTCTCAAGGTACCACTCTTTTTTTTGTGACACACACGAGGTTGTTTCAAAAAGACCAGATCAAGGTTCGACATCAAAGCCCAGGCTTATCAAATAATAAACTTGTTCTCACTAATTCACTCTCTATCTCTTTATCTTTATTATTTAATCCAAATAAATACATAAAATATTAAAAGCTTGTATATTATATTACAATATAATATAATACAATACAGAGTTGTGGGGAAATGTCAATAATATTTAGTGAAAAATATCTGTCCTCCATTACCATTAGTAATATGAATATATATATGAAATATTGCTGGACCGTGCAAAAAAAATGCTAATCATATAAAATTTTACCCTGAAGTTTTTTCTTTTTCTTAAAATAATTCCAAGTCCGGAATATCAAAAGGAAAAATAAAAAATAGATAGTCGAAGAAAAGGTAGACTTTTTCTTCTTCTTTTTCATATCAAAGAAACTTAAGGTCTTAATACCAGTAATAAAATAAGCCCATTAAATACTGGGGACTCTCTTCTTCTTCTTCTTTAAAAATACTAGAATTAATGATACTAATAATAGCGATTTATTACTGATAAAGTTCTAATTATAAGACTCTGGTATTGAATAAATAAACAAAAATAAGAATGCTCCACAAAACCCGACCATTTTATTGTTATTATTATCATTATCACTATCAATATCATTTCCAGTATCACTATCACTATCATTATTACTATTCTGAATAGATAATACTAATTGGAAGGTTTATTAAGAATGTTTATCCCGAATTTTCGGTCAAATTTCTTTTTCACTTCTTTTGACTTTCTAAACTGTGATCCTTTCTTATTTATTTACTTATTTATTTGTTTATTATATAGCCCAAATTTCGCTTAATATATTTAAGCAAGATCAATCGTGTAATAAAGTCCCAGTTAAAAGGTACTCCTTGGAGACGTACAATAATTACAGTAATTCATATGGCTGCCATAGTTGGCATCATATTACTAAGACAGAATAGTTCTAATAGTAAAGATTATTGAATAATAATTCCCCGAAGCACTCAGTCTCTATTTCACTATCTCTTTTTATTTTATTTTTTCATCTTTTCTCACTCTTTGTGTGTATAGGCGTGTGTGTGAGAGATTTCAAGTGTGTCTTCTTTTTTCTTTTTTTTTCTTGCTCGACTTGATTCTATAAACCTGACCTGTGTTCAGTTCCATAACAACTCTCCGCCTTTTGTGAGTATGGCATGATGAATCACAATCCTCCACTTATCTTTCCTTTTTCAATTTTTCAAAAAATTCCCACCCCGGTCAAAACACTTGGTCTATGCCGATGGCACTTTAGTGTTCTTGAATGGATAGGAGCAACATACGTTTTTATGTATCTATATATTTATACATATTTTACTTATATTCTGACTTGATTTGGCTGAGTAAGTATAGTATATGATATTGTAGCATTTTGTAGAATACTATTGTATAGTACAGCATAATAGGTTGTATTGTATTGTATTGTATAGGGCTTAGCGTTCTTTAATTATTTCGGTTTCTCTTTATCTATTTATTTATTTTTATGTCAGCATTTTATCCAAAGATTGACATTACCAAAAAAAAAAAAAAGAACTGAAGTATGGCTTGATTCACCTGCCTAGGATTTTATATTTTCTTTATTTTTCGCACACACAAACATACACACATATTTATATGTACATATACATGGGATGAGAATATTCTAAGCCTAAATATATAAAGTATATCTGAAATTTTGTAAGACTAGTTGGGTTGCGACAAAGTATTGAGGCACGTATTTTTCCTCCCGGACATTTCTTGGATAAGGTATAACTCGCGTGTCGCGATATTACCATGTATCACATATTTTACCGCCAATAACATTAAGTCAACTATAGTTACGTAAAAAAAACACCCGCCCGTATACATCGGGAATCATAAGGTATACTGTTACAGCAGTGATTTTTTTTTTTTAAAAAAAACAAGGGTTTATCCTGTCATCTCATGTAGAACAGCCTTAATAATAAAAAAGAAGAAGAATGTATATGGTCTGGTGCTCAATGTACAATATTCCCCGCTACCTTCTTTTATTATAGCGGTAATAACCAAATATATATGCATATGTGTATGCACGTATGTAGAAGTATACTCTATTTTATAGTTTGGTCCTGTATTCTGGACCATCCAGTGTTATTATCTGGGAATCTGTCTGCCAACTTTCCCTTGTAAATATCTACTCATTCTCCCCAGTATTATTTAATCAGTATCAAAGCAATTGTTTCATATTCTCAATAAATTAAGGAACCAAAAAGGAAAGAAGGAATTAAGTAACAAGAAACTAGTTTACACTTAAGATATTATGCGGTTTTGTCTTCTTTAACTTCAGTTTGTATATTTTGAAGCATAATTACATAGATACTGTAGTAAAATACAAAACAACAGTAACTGAAGAGCGTATTCAAATATTATACATCATTTACCTCCACGTTTAATTATCTCGATGACTTTTAGAATATTTTCTTTCTCTCTCTTTCTTTCTTTTTATACCAAAAATAAATACGCACCTCCCACTTTGAAATTAAATCATAAATTCTCATTTATATTAAGCTTACACATGATCTACTTTTACCCGTCAATAGTTTCAAAAAAATATTCTATTTCATCTTACTTTATGTTTTGATGAAATTTTATTTTTAATTTAAATATAAGATATACAAAATTTTTCTCTGAGATCTTACCATGTATTTCCAGACTATCTATTTATTTTCTCACACGTAATTTGACTATTGCCACTTGGCATTTCATATATAAAATCCTTGTAGTTGCTGGAATTTTCTTTGTCTTTTTTTTTTAAAAAAAATACCCTAGATTAATTTATACTACATAACAATGTGATATATATAAATGTATATCCATACTTATAGTTAAAGTAGACAATCAAATATTTTGTACTTTAAAAGATCGACTCCGTAATGAATGAAAATACACTCGATTTTAGTATCTGTAGAATTCTTTATTTTGAATATTTTGATTATGAATTAATTATTACAAGAATTTTACAATTCTTAAATAAAGTAAAAAAAAACCGAACTTTTGACTTGGTGGGAGTGAATGACCTCATGTACTAAAACTAAACAAAAGAAAAAGCAAAAGCAAAAAGAAATTCAATGTTTTAGAAAGTTGGTATTTATTTATTTATTTATTTTTTTAAAAATAATAATAATAATGAAATAATGGGCAACAATGCAAAAAGCAAGAATATTGATCAGATAACTGGGTATATTAAAAAAAAAGAGAAAGAAAGAAAGAAAGAAAGAAAGAAAGAAATAAAATGTTAAAGTCGTAGATTAATTAATAAGCTATGCAGTAACGTTCACCAATAACAATTTTATCACAAGGAGGAGGATTGGTAACGCCGATCTTCTTCAAAACAGCAGTGTTGTCATCTGAAGCAGACTGGCTCTTCTCCTTGCTTAATTGGGTAATCTGAACCTCAACGATATTGTGTTCCTTAGCAATAGACTTGCATGTGTCCCCAGCCTTGACAACGTGATATTTCTTGCACTTGGTAATAGTACGAGCAGCAAGGTGGGAAGCATCACTGGTAGTAATATTAGTAGTAGAAGGCGGAGCCGACTCCTCAGACTTTGCAGCAATCTTAATATTGCTGCTGTCTTTGTTAGGAGCCTGAGAATTTTGGATATTTTTAGACTTCTTAGGTACGGCTGCCTTGGGCACGGTTTCCTTGGGTACAGTTGCCTTGGGTACTGTTTCCTTGGGTACGGTTTCCTTGGGTACGGTTGCCTTGGGTACAGTTGCCTTGGGCACGGTTGCCTTGGGCACGGTTGCCTTGGGTACGGTTGCCTTGGGCACGGTTGCCTTGGGTACGGTTGCCTTGGGTACGGTTGCCTTGGGTACGGTTGCCTTGGGTACAGTTGCCTTGGGTACGGTTGCCTTGGGTACAGTTGTCTTGGGTACAGTTGCCTTGGGCACGGTTGCCTTGGGCACGGTTGCCTTGGGTACAGTTGCCTTGGGTACGGTTGCCTTGGGTACGGTTGTCTTGGGTACGGTTGTCTTGGGTACAGTTGCCTTGGGTACAGTTGCCTTGGGTACAGTTGCCTTGGGTACAGTTGCCTTGGGCACAGTTGCCTTGGGGACGGTTGCCTTTGTGCAGTAAGACTTTCCAGAAACAAGATTCACACATTTTGTTTCGTTGTTACCGAGACCAGAGTTCAATTTCTGGAGTTGATTGACAGTAATTTGGTACTTAGAAGAAAATGTGGAGCATGTCTGACCATTTGTAGCTTAAATAATAAGAATAATAGTAATTGGGAAAATTTGGTTTTATTAAGTGTAATTTATTAAAATTAACTACATGTAAAACTTACCAACATGAGACTCAGCACAGCCATTCACAGGGGCGGCAGAGACCATTGATGCCAAGGCAAAGAGAACAAGGATAAAGACAGTGAGCTTCATTTTTGGTGCTGGATCGGATTGAATAAGTGGAAAGAGATGATTAATTAAATGAAATTGGCCATAGACACTTGCTATTATATACCCTTTCACAGTATTTATTTTACTCGTGAACTGGCACAATTTGTATTGTCATTGAACTAGTTAATATACTTTATACATTTAATAAAACCCCCTTACAGGGTGCACCTGTTCGACACGTCTTTGACAATTATCTTTTTTTAGAACCTCCACAACGCACTAACCGTTTAAACACAATGAATAACGACATGGTTAAATATCAGGTTTATTTAACTGCCTACCGATACTGGCAAGATCATTAAGCCAAACAGTTGATAGAAAGCCGAGAGTTTTATTATTGCTGGTATTGCTGGTATTGCTTATAGGAATAAGCTAACTTAATATGTATGTACGAGCCTTTTAAAAAAGTCACGGTAAATATCAAAGCTATCTCACATCGGATACGCTAAATATCATAACCAGTAGTTTTCATTTTTTCATTCATCTGTTCTTCTATTCTTTCTTTTATTCGTTATTTATGAGTGAGATAGGCTGAGCATCAACTATGAATATTAGTATCTCCTATTCATAATAAAATATGTAAGTTTAAGCCTTTCCAGGGACCAGTTATAATATACCAAATATATTTATAGTATAGATTTTCCAACCTCCAAAAATAATATGCTTAAAAAAATGACAAACAAACAAATTATTATTATTAATTTGAGGAAATCTTTTATTATTAGTATTATAATTATTATATTTCTTTCTTTCTTTTCTATGGTTCTAACCGGCTACTGTTATTTTTTGAAAGATTTAAAGCTACTATGGGATATATACCTTGATCCCGGTATTGTAGACAAGAATTTTTTTAATAATAAAGCTATCGAATAGTAGCTTAGTGTATGATTTTTCTTAAAAGAATGCACTCTGCGTAAAAACTGTCCCCCCTCTTTCTCTCTTTTTTTTTTTACATATTAAAGTCAGTCAATTTGAAAGTTTAAAAGATTTAGTCGGCCACACACGATTATTGATTTTCGTTTTGATTCCCAACCACACCGTACGAACACATAGCTTTACACAGAGTAGACTTTCTACACCCGGATCTGGATCTGACATTTGTAAGTGCATATTTTCATGTTAAGTAAAATGATACTAATAATAATAATAATAATAATTGACAGACTAATATTTTGCCAAGATGGGTAATGATCTAAGCTGAAAATGATAGGCCATGTATAGCCGAGGTAGATCAAGTGCCACTATTTTGGCTCAGAGTAGCAATTTTCTTTATTGGGGAGGAAGGGGGGTTGTACAGAACGGTTCTTTATTACCGTGCAACCAAAAAAAAAAATTAAGTTTCTGGTTTTGGTTTTAGTTTTGGAGAATAAACTTAAAATTGATGACAGTGCCATGGATAGAGCACCAGCCATATCTGAAGTTTAAATCTGGTGTGAATTGATTTAAATGTTACCCAGACTTAAACTTCATTGGGGTTCAATTATATTTCCTTCAATTCATGACATTTACATATTCGTTTTGTTATCTTGAATGGTAGTCAAAGTTAGCTTGATTATATGTACTGTGTCATTTATTGCAATCAAAAGATACAGTTTATATTTGAGCTGTAAATTTGAACATACATCTGTCCCTTAGACAGTATTAAAGAACCTTCCAAAAGCTGGAATACAATGTAACCATATCAAATTAGTCAGAGCAGACTTTTCAGTAAGCAAATTCATTAATGTTGAATATGCTATTAATATATATATACATAATAAATAACAGATATTACAACCCCTTTCTGTAAGACTGTGTTAAAGGTGGGTGTTGTTCTATAAATACATGTATCGTATATCTCCTCGAAAAGATGTACCTCGGGTCCCATTATTCTCACCCACCCACACACACACACATACACACAAGTATCGAATGCCGATATATATAAATATATTGCTCTAAAGTATCCATTAGAGATATCAATTTTTAAGAGGAATTTTAAGCAAAGAAAAAGGAATATAAGTAATAAATTATACTGTAAATGCATTATATATAATACTAAGGTTGGAATCATATTATAGATAATAAAAGTATAGTTATTTTATACAAACAATCAACTGCTTGTCAGCTAGTTATCTATCCATTCATTTTTTTAAAGAAAAAAATCTAAAGAGCACAGAGACATTAACAAAGTGTTAAAGAGAGAAATTAGTTAGAGTACCATATACTGAATTACAACGGTATGATACTGGTGTAGTATTCAAAGATTCGGCTTATATTAAAACCGTTTTTAAATGCGTTTTTATTCTTTGAGCTGTTAAATGTTTTACTAGTAATAAATGCATGTAAAGTGCTGCTTGGTAAAACAAGTAAACCAACTGAGAACCCATGATAGCATTTGTAGATGACTACTTAGAGCTGTATATCTACAATATTACCCGGATTTTTTTTTTCAAAGTACTGGAGCTAATATATACTGCTGGATTCTCAAGCTTTTACATATTCGTTTTCTTAAAACCTCTCTACCTCCAAAATAAAAACAGAAATATATCAATATTTCTATCACAACAGACGCTAATACATGACAATGCTAATATAAGTAATTCTAAACCAACTTTTTATGATACGGTTATGGTGTTTATACAGACGTCTTTTACATTTACTAGTAATTTAACACAATATTCATGTGAGGATATTAAAACCTTTATATGTATCAAATTTAATCCAACTTTTATCGATATTTGTGAGTTAAGATGAATATCTAACTTATGTAACAAAGATAGTATTATATTTTAGAGACGCTTTCCAGCAAGTATTGTATTATCTATTTTTGAAAGTAAAGGCTGTATATTAGAGTGTTGCTATTCACAAAATGAAGCCTTGAAAAATGAAAATCAACATATTTACCGTGTAGCTTTTAATACAGCAGGTACTTGCACCGCGCTCTTGTTACAAAAATCTTCACATCTATCAAATAATAAGTGATGGTTGGTTGATTGAGAAATAAAAAAAAATAGAACCCTCGGGTTGTCATCAACCATTCTAATTCAGCACTCTTGGCACCTGTAATCGACAAATATAAAAAAAATACCTATTTTTTATCACACACACACATATATATATATATATTTACTTTGAGCGCCGAACAGTACGTTGCATAGAGTTGACAAGCACTTTTAATACATAAATGTATCAGATCATATATTGTTTTAGGATGTACGAGTCAAGATGGTCTATTAATTGATAATTTAAAAAGATCAAGAAACGTGTACATCAAAAAAGGAAAGGAAAAGAAACTATAAAAAGTGGCTTTAGTTGTCTGATTCCTTTTATTCACACATCTCTTTCGTTCATTTAACTTTAACAATGAAGTTCTCTCTCTTTGCTCTTGCTACCCTTGCCTTGTCCGCTGTTGTTTCTGCTGGTGCTGATGTCTCTTGTGCTGAAAAACATGCTGGTATGTCATTATTATTTAGTGCTATAGCAATATTATACTTTCAATTGAATTCTTTGCTGTTGTTAATTTCTTCTTTTTCTCTTTCTTCTTTTTCTTCAGCTTCCAAGGGCCAATCATGCGCTGTATTTTCGTCTAAGTATCACATCACCGTCAAGCAGCTCCAGACATTGAACTCTGGTCTCGGTAGCAACGGAAAGGACTGCAAGAATCTTATTCCTGGAAAGTCTTACTGCACCAAGGCCACTTCTCCCAAGGTTGATTCCCCCAACAAGTCTACTCCAAAGAAATCTGACGGTGACAAAAAGTCTAATGATGACAAGAACAAGGAGACCATTTCAAAGTCTTCTGAGAACGAGGCTAAGCAGTCGACTGTAAACACCAACGGTGCCTCCCACATTGCCGCTCGTGCTATTGCCGAGTGCAAGAAGTATCACGTTGTCAAGGCTGGTGACACCTGCGAGACCATTGCTAAGCAGTACAGCATTCCTGAGGCTCAGTTTACCGAGTTGAACAAAAAGGACAGCAAGGATAGCGCTATCCCTTGCACCAAACTCGTTTCTGGAAAGCGTTACTGCGTTGCCCATTAAGAGTGGATTCTATAATTAACGTGTATATTAAAATACTATCTTGTGGATTAATAAATACTACTTGTTATAAGCTTAAAGAAGAATAAAAAGATGTTTTACTTAAGAAACCCAAGTCCAAGTTTCAGCAGATAATATATCCGTGTGTGTGTCTGTACTAGCTGTATATATATTATTTTAAAATTAAGCCTTGAATGTTTATATAGCCACGTTTTTAGTACTCTTTATCAATACAAAGCTAATACATAAGGCACATAAAGCATCCCTGTAAATAATACTCTTACTTTTCAAGTGAAATTCTATTAAACAGAGTAACTACCGACAACCAGGATACTTTAGTGTACAGCTAAATATATAAAGTCCAATACAGCTTTTACATAATAGAGTATATATGGAAGCCTTACTACCGTGCATCTAGTACACTCTTTCAAAAGTTAGTTTACTTTGCTATTGAAAATTTTGAATTATTATTAGTGCATTTAACAAAAGTAATTAAAGTATTTTTTTTAATCCAGATAAAGAATAAATAGAATAAAAATAATATAGCGCTATTCTTAACAGACTCTTAATCAAGTACTCTTATCCTTAGCTCATAAAGTTATTAAATTGAACAACAATTTGAAAATAAATATTATATATACTATAAATGATGTCTGTCTTATTTCAATTCTTGTCCAAAAGTTTATTTAGATGGCGAATAATACCAGGTTTAACTATATAGCCAGCAGAAAATTAGCTGTTTAAATATAATATACATATTGCAATATATATATGATCTTATGGATAGAGCAAGGAAATTTGGTTTCTATTATGAGTGATGCTGATTATATAACGTTACTGTTTAAGAGCTGTGTGTGTGTCTGAAAGGCTACAATTTTATTTTCATAAAAAAATCAGAAAGTATACGGATATACAGAAAAAGAAATCTTGACTGTAAATACAGCCCAAAACTAATCATCGAAAACTAATAAGCTAGTAAGAGATACAATAACTCTGCCCGACAACAAGCTTCTGGCATTCACTATCGATGGCCTGAGAGAGCCCCGAGTTAAACTGCTTGAACTGGGCCATGGTAATTTTGTTCTCCTTGGCAATTGTTTTACAGGTTTCTCCAGACTTCACAACATGGTACTTCTTACAGTCAGAAACAGCGCGGGTAGCATGATGAGCACCTTTAGGTGTAGCAGCATGATCCTTCTTAGTTGACTTTGATGGCTTATAGGTGGTCTTGACGGGTTTCTTAGTGGTCTTCTTTTGTTTCTTGGCCATCTCTTCTTTCTTAGGACTATTCTCACCGCGCTTTTCTTGGGGATGCTCGACATTAGGTTCTTGAGTAGGCTTGATAGGCTTTGGGACAACCTTGGATGGTTTGTGGATAGGCTTCTTGTGCTCAGCCTCTTTCTCGCCGCGCTTGTCTTGGGGATGCTCGACATTAGGTTCTTGAGTAGGCTTGATAGGCTTTGGGACAACCTTGGATGGTTTGTGGATAGGCTTCTTGTGCTCAGGCTCTTTCTCGCTGCGCTTGTTTTTGGAGACAGTGGACAAAGGCTTGACACAATAGGAAGATCCTACTACAAGACTCTTGCAGTTATTGATTTCGCTTCCATGTCCAAGGTTAAAACCTTGGAATTCTTTGACGGTAATGTCAAATTTGGCTGCAACGGACACACACGTTTCACCCTGAGCAGCTAGAAAAATCAGAGAATTTAGAATATAGCTTTATTGAAATCAAGAGAAAGCTACAAAACATACCAATATGTTTTTCAGCGCAACCAACTGCAGGAGCAGCGGAAACCATACCGGCCAATGCAAGAGCGGAAATAGTAAAAAGAGAAAGCTTCATTGTTTGAGATGATAGGTAAAAGAGGTGGATGATGGAGCAAAATGAAAAAAAAAATCAATGTGTCTTTTATATTTTTTTAAAGAAGAATAAATATGTTCTACTATTTTTATATATCGTATAGATTATATTACTCGGCCTGGTACATCAAGCCTTTTAATATTATGTCCCTGAAAAGTCTAATTTCTATATCTTAGCTGTCAAAAATAAACACCACACACTTTCGCCGCTCGAAAGACAAGCCTGTGATATTCATTTTTGTCTTTAGCTTCTTAAAGAAGTTGCCAAGAAAGCGTAAATAGATCTTTGAGCCAAATTATGATCCATATTCTCTTCACCTATAGATCAGTATTGCTTCTTTTATCTATACATTTATGGCAATCCAACCCCCAAAAAATGAGGCAATATTTGTATAACTAATGAACCTCGGGCTGGGCTTATTATTTTATTAAGATATCATTATATGTTTTTCAGGTATGTAAAAGAGTATAGTTGATTACAAGATTTTACTATCGATGCGTCTATTTTTTCCCTTTAAACCATTCAGGCTATATAAAGTTTTAAGCGTTTGTATTATAATTACTGAATGGCCAATTTCTTAGGGATATGTTATCAAAAATTCTGGGTACATGAAAAATATTACTGCGAATTACATACTAATGTTTTTATTTTATTATATGTTGTTATTAAAAGCAGTACAAAAATTATTACAGTTTTGTGTTAAACACATAATTCATTATATAATTAACATTGTTTGAATCAACTATTTTTGTTACTACTGGTGGAATGTACTGTCGGATGTATAAGGTTATTCTTCTATTTTAATCTTAAAGTGAATACATGAAAATACCCAGACTTAGTTCAACTGGTTTCTTAAGATAAACTAAACCAAGCTCAATTGAGCCGAGGATCTAGAGTTGTCATTTCATACAAGCAACCACGGAGCTATCTTTGTGAGAGAGCATGCATAACACTACACGGAATTATTGCCGCCGTATTTAACTCAGCAAATCAACTTTTAATGGAAATAAGTATTTGCAAGAATATATAGCATATTTTGACAATAATTAATAAGAAAGTTATACTAAACTCTTAACTGATGCCATTAGTTTTTCTAGCAGAGTTTTACTCAGGCTGGTCAATTGAATACATGATGTTAATATAAGCGATACAGTAAAAATTACATTGGTAGTAACTTTTATAGGATATAGTTAAGTGACCGTAATTGTGTTTATAAAAACTAAATATTTCTAGTAGAGAGCATTTTAACTTCGTTAACATTGAAAAGCACTCATACTATGCAATGGAAGTGGCATCTTTGGGTTTGACCAATAATGTAATTGAAATCAATGCACAGGCGATTTTGATTTCCGGCGTGGCTGATGTTTATCTGGTGTATTACCAATTTACTTGAATATATGTAAACCTTATATCTGTACGTACAGTACAGCATATGAATTTATTATACTTAAAAAGGCATATTTAATCTGGAGAAGTATAATTTAAAGGCTCAACCTCGGGAACCAAAGCCAGTGCTTTACCCTCCGCCTTGACATCTTGGCAAAATTGAACTCAGTACCATTTTTAACAAAAAAGAAACATTGATGGCCAGCTTAATGTCAAGAACTAAGGAGAGAACACTCAAAAAAATTATATAAGAAAATATGCTACTTATTGTAATATAAATATTATAAGCTGTAAGTCCTTTTTGTCTTACTAAGTGAGCATAGCCAGAATTCTTCATCATATAGTTCTATAAACAAATGTAACTATAAGACATATGTGACATTTTTCAGTCATAATTCAAACTATTATACCAAACTATTATGGAGCTCATTGAGACGTTTAAAGTGTTAACAATTAGGTAGTAAACTAATAATACCAGCTGCAAAAAGACTACTATTATTGAGATCAAGTAATAAATGATATCTAAATGTTTTTTAAGCATAGATTCAAATAGTAGGTAATAAGCCCAGCCCGAGGTTCATTAGTTATACAAATATTGCCTCATTTTTTGGGGGTTGGATTGCCATAAATGTATAGATAAAAGAAGCAATACTGATCTATAGGTGAAGAGAATATGGATCATAATTTGGCTCAAAGATCTATTTACGCTTTCTTGGCAACTTCTTTAAGAAGCTAAAGACAAAAATGAATATCACAGGCTTGTCTTTCGAGCGGCGAAAGTGTGTGGTGTTTATTTTTGACAGCTAAGATATAGAAATTAGACTTTTCAGGGACATAATATTAAAAGGCTTGATGTACCAGGCCGAGTAATATAATCTATACGATATATAAAAATAGTAGAACATATTTATTCTTCTTTAAAAAAATATAAAAGACACATTGATTTTTTTTTTCATTTTGCTCCATCATCCACCTCTTTTACCTATCATCTCAAACAATGAAGCTTTCTCTTTTTACTATTTCCGCTCTTGCATTGGCCGGTATGGTTTCCGCTGCTCCTGCAGTTGGTTGCGCTGAAAAACATATTGGTATGTTTTGTAGCTTTCTCTTGATTTCAATAAAGCTATATTCTAAATTCTCTGATTTTTCTAGCTGCTCAGGGTGAAACGTGTGTGTCCGTTGCAGCCAAATTTGACATTACCGTCAAAGAATTCCAAGGTTTTAACCTTGGACATGGAAGCGAAATCAATAACTGCAAGAGTCTTGTAGTAGGATCTTCCTATTGTGTCAAGCCTTTGTCCACTGTCTCCAAAAACAAGCGCAGCGAGAAAGAGCCTGAGCACAAGAAGCCTATCCACAAACCATCCAAGGTTGTCCCAAAGCCTATCAAGCCTACTCAAGAACCTAATGTCGAGCATCCCCAAGACAAGCGCGGCGAGAAAGAGGCTGAGCACAAGAAGCCTATCCACAAACCATCCAAGGTTGTCCCAAAGCCTATCAAGCCTACTCAAGAACCTAATGTCGAGCATCCCCAAGAAAAGCGCGGTGAGAATAGTCCTAAGAAAGAAGAGATGGCCAAGAAACAAAAGAAGACCACTAAGAAACCCGTCAAGACCACCTATAAGCCATCAAAGTCAACTAAGAAGGATCATGCTGCTACACCTAAAGGTGCTCATCATGCTACCCGCGCTGTTTCTGACTGTAAGAAGTACCATGTTGTGAAGTCTGGAGAAACCTGTAAAACAATTGCCAAGGAGAACAAAATTACCATGGCCCAGTTCAAGCAGTTTAACTCGGGGCTCTCTCAGGCCATCGATAGTGAATGCCAGAAGCTTGTTGTCGGGCAGAGTTATTGTATCTCTTACTAGCTTATTAGTTTTCGATGATTAGTTTTGGGCTGTATTTACAGTCAAGATTTCTTTTTCTGTATATCCGTATACTTTCTGATTTTTTTATGAAAATAAAATTGTAGCCTTTCAGACACACACACAGCTCTTAAACAGTAACGTTATATAATCAGCATCACTCATAATAGAAACCAAATTTCCTTGCTCTATCCATAAGATCATATATATATTGCAATATGTATATTATATTTAAACAGCTAATTTTCTGCTGGCTATATAGTTAAACCTGGTATTATTCGCCATCTAAATAAACTTTTGGACAAGAATTGAAATAAGACAGACATCATTTATAGTATATATAATATTTATTTTCAAATTGTTGTTCAATTTAATAACTTTATGAGCTAAGGATAAGAGTACTTGATTAAGAGTCTGTTAAGAATAGCGCTATATTATTTTTATTCTATTTATTCTTTATCTGGATTAAAAAAAATACTTTAATTACTTTTGTTAAATGCACTAATAATAATTCAAAATTTTCAATAGCAAAGTAAACTAACTTTTGAAAGAGTGTACTAGATGCACGGTAGTAAGGCTTCCATATATACTCTATTATGTAAAAGCTGTATTGGACTTTATATATTTAGCTGTACACTAAAGTATCCTGGTTGTCGGTAGTTACTCTGTTTAATAGAATTTCACTTGAAAAGTAAGAGTATTATTTACAGGGATGCTTTATGTGCCTTATGTATTAGCTTTGTATTGATAAAGAGTACTAAAAACGTGGCTATATAAACATTCAAGGCTTAATTTTAAAATAATATATATACAGCTAGTACAGACACACACACGGATATATTATCTGCTGAAACTTGGACTTGGGTTTCTTAAGTAAAACATCTTTTTATTCTTCTTTAAGCTTATAACAAGTAGTATTTATTAATCCACAAGATAGTATTTTAATATACACGTTAATTATAGAATCCACTCTTAATGGGCAACGCAGTAACGCTTTCCAGAAACGAGTTTGGTGCAAGGGATAGCGCTATCCTTGCTGTCCTTTTTGTTCAACTCGGTAAACTGAGCCTCAGGAATGCTGTACTGCTTAGCAATGGTCTCGCAGGTGTCACCAGCCTTGACAACGTGATACTTCTTGCACTCGGCAATAGCACGAGCGGCAATGTGGGAGGCACCGTTGGTGTTTACAGTCGACTGCTTAGCCTCGTTCTCAGAAGACTTTGAAATGGTCTCCTTGTTCTTGTCATCATTAGACTTTTTGTCACCGTCAGATTTCTTTGGAGTAGACTTGTTGGGGGAATCAACCTTGGGAGAAGTGGCCTTGGTGCAGTAAGACTTTCCAGGAATAAGATTCTTGCAGTCCTTTCCGTTGCTACCGAGACCAGAGTTCAATGTCTGGAGCTGCTTGACGGTGATGTGATACTTAGACGAAAATACAGCGCATGATTGGCCCTTGGAAGCTGAAGAAAAAGAAGAAAGAGAAAAAGAAGAAATTAACAACAGCAAAGAATTCAATTGAAAGTATAATATTGCTATAGCACTAAATAATAATGACATACCAGCATGTTTTTCAGCACAAGAGACATCAGCACCAGCAGAAACAACAGCGGACAAGGCAAGGGTAGCAAGAGCAAAGAGAGAGAACTTCATTGTTAAAGTTAAATGAACGAAAGAGATGTGTGAATAAAAGGAATCAGACAACTAAAGCCACTTTTTATAGTTTCTTTTCCTTTCCTTTTTTGATGTACACGTTTCTTGATCTTTTTAAATTATCAATTAATAGACCATCTTGACTCGTACATCCTAAAACAATATATGATCTGATACATTTATGTATTAAAAGTGCTTGTCAACTCTATGCAACGTACTGTTCGGCGCTCAAAGTAAATATATATATATATATGTGTGTGTGTGATAAAAAATAGGTATTTTTTTTATATTTGTCGATTACAGGTGCCAAGAGTGCTGAATTAGAATGGTTGATGACAACCCGAGGGTTCTATTTTTTTTTATTTCTCAATCAACCAACCATCACTTATTATTTGATAGATGTGAAGATTTTTGTAACAAGAGCGCGGTGCAAGTACCTGCTGTATTAAAAGCTACACGGTAAATATGTTGATTTTCATTTTTCAAGGCTTCATTTTGTGAATAGCAACACTCTAATATACAGCCTTTACTTTCAAAAATAGATAATACAATACTTGCTGGAAAGCGTCTCTAAAATATAATACTATCTTTGTTACATAAGTTAGATATTCATCTTAACTCACAAATATCGATAAAAGTTGGATTAAATTTGATACATATAAAGGTTTTAATATCCTCACATGAATATTGTGTTAAATTACTAGTAAATGTAAAAGACGTCTGTATAAACACCATAACCGTATCATAAAAAGTTGGTTTAGAATTACTTATATTAGCATTGTCATGTATTAGCGTCTGTTGTGATAGAAATATTGATATATTTCTGTTTTTATTTTGGAGGTAGAGAGGTTTTAAGAAAACGAATATGTAAAAGCTTGAGAATCCAGCAGTATATATTAGCTCCAGTACTTTGAAAAAAAAAATCCGGGTAATATTGTAGATATACAGCTCTAAGTAGTCATCTACAAATGCTATCATGGGTTCTCAGTTGGTTTACTTGTTTTACCAAGCAGCACTTTACATGCATTTATTACTAGTAAAACATTTAACAGCTCAAAGAATAAAAACGCATTTAAAAACGGTTTTAATATAAGCCGAATCTTTGAATACTACACCAGTATCATACCGTTGTAATTCAGTATATGGTACTCTAACTAATTTCTCTCTTTAACACTTTGTTAATGTCTCTGTGCTCTTTAGATTTTTTTCTTTAAAAAAATGAATGGATAGATAACTAGCTGACAAGCAGTTGATTGTTTGTATAAAATAACTATACTTTTATTATCTATAATATGATTCCAACCTTAGTATTATATATAATGCATTTACAGTATAATTTATTACTTATATTCCTTTTTCTTTGCTTAAAATTCCTCTTAAAAATTGATATCTCTAATGGATACTTTAGAGCAATATATTTATATATATCGGCATTCGATACTTGTGTGTATGTGTGTGTGGGTGGGTGGGTGAGAATAATGGGACCCGAGGTACATCTTTTCGAGGAGATATACGATACATGTATTTATAGAACAACACCCACCTTTAACACAGTCTTACAGAAAGGGGTTGTAATATCTGTTATTTATTATGTATATATATATTAATAGCATATTCAACATTAATGAATTTGCTTACTGAAAAGTCTGCTCTGACTAATTTGATATGGTTACATTGTATTCCAGCTTTTGGAAGGTTCTTTGATACTGTCTAAGGGACAGATGTATGTTCAAATTTACAGCTCAAATATAAACTGTATCTTTTGATTGCAATAAATGACACAGTACATATAAGCAAGCTAACTTTGACTACCATTCAATATAACAAAACGAATATGTAAATGTCATGAATTGAAGGAAATATAATTGAACCCCAATGAAGTTTAAGTCTGGGTAACATTTAAATCAATTCACACCAGATTTAAACTTCAGATATGGCTGGTGCTCTATCCATGGCACTGTCATCAATTTTAAGTTTATTCTCCAAAACTAAAACCAAAACCAGAAACTTAATTTTTTTTTTTGGTTGCACGGTAATAAAGAACCGTTCTGTACAACCCCCCTTCCTCCCCAATAAAGAAAATTGCTACTCTGAGCCAAAATAGTGGCACTTGATCTACCTCGGCTATACATGGCCTATCATTTTCAGCTTAGATCATTACCCATCTTGGCAAAATATTAGTCTGTCAATTATTATTATTATTATTATTATTAGTATCATTTTACTTAACATGAAAATATACACTTACAAATGTCAGATCCAGATCCGGGTGTAGAAAGTCTACTCTGTGTAAAGCTATGTGTTCGTACGGTGTGGTTGGGAATCAAAACGAAAATCAATAATCGTGTGTGGCCGACTAAATCTTTTAAACTTTCAAATTGACTGACTTTAATATGTAAAAAAAAAAAGAGAGAAAGAGGGGGGACAGTTTTTACGCAGAGTGCATTCTTTTAAGAAAAATCATACACTAAGCTACTATTCGATAGCTTTATTATTAAAAAAATTCTTGTCTACAATACCGGGATCAAGGTATATATCCCATAGTAGCTGGTTTGAACCATGGGGAATAAATAATAATAATAATAATAATTAGCTTGTTTGTTCTTTTGTTTTTTATGCACAAATGTTAATATTGGAATATGAAGGCTTTTTATTATAAGTTTATTCGGTATACTATGGCTAATACTTAGACAGGTCTATACTTACATATTATACTATAAATAGTATATACTAGTATCCAAATTTGATGTTTAATCCACTCCACTCACAAATTAACACAAAAAACCACTGGTTGGAGTATTTAGCTTATCTGCTGGAATACAGCCTTAGGATCTACCGCGGATATTGCTTAAAAGGTATATATACATATATGTTAGAGTGGCATTTTACTAGTAGCAGTAGCAACAAAAGATCCCTCGGCTTGTCATTGACTGTACTACTTTGATGTTCTTGGCTGCATCTGCAGGCGGTTAAAGAAACCTAATATTTACTTAAATATATATCTATTGTATTTAAACTGCGTACGAATTATGCAAGTTTTTTTTTTATTCTAAAAGAAAAAGACGATTATCAAAAACATGTCAAACAGGTGTAAGATGTAAGTAAGCTTTATTAGATGTATGAAGTATATGAGCTAGATTGCTGATAACACAAAGGGTGTTAGGACACGAGTAAAAGGCATGTCACGAAAAGGTATATAAGAGAAAGTTCCTATGTCCAATTTTATTTAATCAATCATCTCTTCCCACTCATTCAATTCAACTACAACAATGAAGTTCACTCTCTTTACTCTCTCAACCCTTGCCTTAACCTCCATGGTCTCTGCTGCTCCTGCCAATACCTGTGTTGAGTCTCATGTTGGTAAGTCTTATATATAGCTGACCTTGATAGATTATACTAAATAAAAGCAAAGCAAAAAACAAATTATTCATATTCTCATCCCTATTACATGTTATTTTTTAAGCCTCCAAGGGTCAGACATGCTCTACCTTTTCTTCCAAGTACCACATTACGGTCAAGCAACTCCAGACATTGAACTCGGGACTTGGCAACAACGGAAAGAACTGCACGAAGCTTGTTCCTGGAAAGACTTACTGCACCAAGGCAACTGTTCCTAAGAAATCTGGCAGTAACCAGGAGTCTGGCGATAATCAAAAATCCCAGGGTTCCAGCAAAGACGGCAACAACAACTCCCGCAGTTCTAGTAGCAATGATCAGACTGTTGCAAAGTCTGGTGAGACTACTCAGTCTTCCACTGCTACCACCAACGATGCCTCTCACCTTGCTGCCCGTGCTATTATCGAGTGCAAGAAGTTCCATGTTGTTAAGACTGGCGACACATGCAAGTCTATTGCTAAGGACAACCACATTCCTGAGGTTCAGCTCACCCAATTGAGCAAGGAAAAGAGTCAGTTTACTCCCAAGGACCATGACACTACCCCCAAAAACATCACAACTGTCACCCCTCCTCCCTGCAACAAACTCGTTGTCGGCAAGCGTTACTGCATCGCTTATTAAGCTACAGCCTTTATGTTTTCCCAATATACTTGGTTACATGATCAATCTTCCTCTTGTTTATTAAATATTATTTCTTATAGTTTTTCTTTAAAAAATAAATAAATAAATAAACAACGATGAAGCTTTTAAACCATCAAGTTTCCCTTCTCTTCTTTCTTTTTAAATTTTTTGCTAGTGTCCAATCATTGTAAAATGCTTTTAATATTTTATTCAGAATCAAAAGGTATTAGTATTAATCCACAGATTCTTTTTTAAAGAGAAATGAGGTATGTCCCCATATAACCTTGAGATAAATTATTCAAATATAATGCTTGACTGCCTACTCTGACCAAATTCGCATATATATATGTAAAGAAAATTTGTATTAAAAAGTGTGTGAAATAAATTAGGTTCACTACTCAAAACTATTAGTTTCATGAAAAATGGTATTTAACCCAATAACGATTTAAATGGCAGGGTTTTATTTTTTATTTTATATCCCGCTTGGTTTATATAAAACAAATTAAATACGCGTTTTTCTAGGAGAAAATCATTATTACTTTTCTTTAAAATATCAAACAGAAGAACAGAGAGACAGAGAGACAAATTATGTACGAGTACAAGACTTTAATACATGCGCAAGCAATAAAAGTGCAGCTTTAACAATAATAGACGTTTGTTACAACTTTTTCTTCATCAATAAAAACGTTTAGACGGTTGGGGTTAAAGTCTCTAGTCATGATGCTTCCGGGAGCGAGCAGTCTGTAAGGCTTCGGGAGTTCTAATTCATTAAAGGTCTAGAGTAGATGAAAGAAAAAATATATAGTTGTATTATTTAATTAAATATACATTGTCACCATCTTGGTTTTACCTCACTGCTTGAGAGGGTTGTTTCTTCGTCCTCGCCAAGGATAGTTTTTCCGATCAAGCGCTCCTTCCATTCATCGGCATTGTTTGGCTGCATATTTGTGAAGAGTGTAAAGAAAAAAAAATGAAAGAAGACGTAGCGAATAAAGCACAAGTCAAGCTTTTTTTTTTCTTTATTTCTATTTATTTCTTTTATAATAATTCTGAAGGCAACACAAACACCGTGAATGTCGGAAATCTTTCAAGATCCGGTCATCAACGAATGTTAAGAATCTTAGTCATACCATGGAACCGTTGAGACTCTAAACCCCTTTGTTTACTCAAATCCATGCCCACAAGATGTTTATTTATTTATTTCTTTATGAACATTATATACAGATCACACACCACAGTTACAGCTGCAGTTAAAGTCACAGTTACAGTTGAAACAGCATTAGAGTAATAAAAAAAAACATTCACATATAAAGTGCTGATATAAAACAATAAGATTTGATTATCAATCCCTGTTTGAGCAGAGTACCTTGCTGTATCCTCCAATTATATCTATGAAACAAACACTACCCAATATCAAGTATTGACAGTAGATAATCATGCTTTAATCAAGAGTTTGTAATATAAAACCAGATCCCTCAGTAGAATCATTATGCCTTTGAATATGCTACTTAATTTATAATATTCTTTTGTTGCTTTATGTTACGTACATGTTTAAAAGTGTGTCTATTAAACATATTATGAACTATTTGTGGACATACTTAAACACAAGACTAGTCCTTAATTTACCAATGTTATGTGTGTATTGAAAGTAACTTTTACAATTCATAATTCAAAAAGGAATCCTGACATTCACTCAAGACAACAATAAAATGTCTTTTGAAAATACATCGTCTTGCTACTAAATAAAGTAATAAAGCGCAGTAAAAAGAATCTAGAGGTATACGCCAAGGAAGCTCTAGTTTATTTTTGAAATATATATATGTGTATAACAAAGTTAAACAAACCCCCAATCCTTCATTAGAAACATACCACCTTTTAGAGCGGTGCATATAGACGTCAAACCAAGTCACATCCACTTTGCCTAAACAGAGAACCACGCGGGTGAGCCCTAATCTACGATTCTTATACATTCCTCATTCTGCTCTCCTCCATGAAAGCGACTACGTGGAACGAGTATGTGTTCCAGAGGAACATAATTACCATAGGTGTCATTGTTGCGGCAAATTGGCTGTTGTCTTCTGTGAACATTCCTTTAATCCAATCTATCTTGCAATCGAAATTCGTTTGCTTTGCTGGTATGATTCATCGCGTTCAATATACAACAAGTCAACCTCTTGATCTAATGCCTTATACCTAGAGGGACTCTTACTACTAATTTCCGGCTACAATGTTTGGCGCAGCACTCGTCACATAGGAAACCCTTATTTGACAAATGCTAAAATTCCAGTTCAAAGTGACAACAAGTCGGGTATGATAGAAAAGAAGAAAGCAAAAAAAAGAAACATTTATTATCAAATATATCTGCTTTAAAAAACAAACAAACAGACAAACAAACGACAAAAATATAAGCTTATAACGTCCTTCATTGACATGTTAATCTCTTGTGACAGGTGCTGGGCCCTTGACTAATTCTATCATTCACTTCATGCATTCCGTTATTTCAAAATTTATTTTCTTCACCACTGGACAAAACATTGGCAACGAACCTTTGGTTCAAGTGTTCGCTCGATTCTGCTACAATATCGCAAGCTTCTTCAGACCTTCTATGAAAGTTCGACGTGATGAGTTCAAAGCAGCTCAACCACAAAAGAAACCGATTATTATCCCAGTATTTTCAGGTAGGCATATACAGATAAATTCGCCTTTAAATATGGAGAATCTGGATATCAAATGAAAAGAGGGAAAAAAAAGGCAGTGGTAGGCTTAATTCCGGTACCTGTTTCCGTAGGTGATTCCATGAGCTTGTCTTCTACTACTCCTGCAGAAAATACCAAAACCAGCCAATCATCATTCCCTACACCATATAGTCAGGAGAAAACAGAACCAAAGCGTCTAGTCTTAAACAACTCTATCTCTGAGTTCCTCAAAGAAACTGAAGAACTGTGCAAAGTTCCATGGTCACCCAACCCTAAAAAAATTATTGATTATGTACCTTGTTTACCTCCCCCTCCAAAGCCCGTTGTTCGTCAGGACAGAGCTTTGTGGCAGTTTAACCCTACACCAAATGTAATCGAGCGTTTCCGTGAGGCACAGGTATGATTTTGTAGTATAATTCATATTGACAAGTACTAACTTGCACATATTGGTAGTACGAGGACTTTCAAAACAACTGGAATCGATTCAATGATCATTATGCTAGACGCTACTATGAGAGACTTTTTACTGTAAGTTAGGAATGGGGTTTTTAAAAGAATAACATTCATACACATACATACATATTCTTACTCTGTGTACGGAAAATTATATAGTGGCTGAGCACAAAGATCATAGTTCCATTGAATAATTCTATAAAGAAAGTTAATGCACACCTTGCCGAAATTAATACTGATTTATCTAAATGCACTCCTCAATTGATGGCAATTTTAATGCTACACCCCTCTGTAGCCTCGGTAACTAAATATTTAAACATACACATACATACAGATATATATATATAACATATAATAATGGGGTGAGTTTGGCATTTAACTAATGCCTTGTCTTTAGGATCATGAATCCCTTCCTTTGGGACTAGTTCAGTCTATGATTAACCTCCCAGGATTTCAAACAGATGAAGGAAGAAAACACGTTATTGACCGCGTAATAGGTAAATGATTCGGCTTGTCAATCAAAACACTTATAATTTTGATTTAGACCTCGCAAACAGCAAGCGCATGGCTGCATTCCGTTACTTTGACAAGGGTCCTATGCCCACAGACTCTGAAGTAAGAAAATAAATCTTGTGCCTTATTAAACAAAACATAATAACAATGTGTTTTCTTCTGGAAACAAGATTCTGTATCATGTATTCAAGCAATACCTCGACTATGCAATGCCACAAGTGATTCCTCCATTAATCGATGTAATTTATAATAATCAAATGTCTATTATCATATTTTTTAATTAATGAATACTTAAACTTATATAGTTCCCTATCAATGATGATGTGGTCAAGTTCCTTTTGGTATTCTTTTATGTAACTCCAGAGTAAGTATATATATATATATATATTATGAATTTTTATCGTATTAAAAAACTTGGTCGACTAATTACATTTATTAGGCTTAAACGTGATATCTTTCATTTGTAAATAAATAAATAAATAAAACTATCCTCGCTTTTGTCGAAAGGATCAGAATAAGGATTTGCACGACTCTTTTCTTTTTTTTAAAAAAATGTATATATATCAGCCGTGACGGCGACAAGATAGCAATAGTAAAGAGGTTGGGATGTTGGGCTGGTTGCCAAAATTTTGAGAATAAAATAAAATAAAATACTTGTTGATTTTTACAAGCTTAAATTTGCAGTATGGATCCTAATCTTAATGTACCTAAGCCCAATGAGATCGTGGAGGAAAATACGCTAAAGCGTAATCGAGATGTCTCGCAAGATTCTACTGAAAATGAGTGTAATAATAACGAACAAGTACCTAAGAAGAGAAACAAAAAGGAAAAGGAAAAGAAAGCCTCAAATACGATTCCAATTCTACGTGGACGATTCAAGCAGCGATGGCTGACCAAGCATTCAAGTCTCATCAAACGATCTGATTCTGCAAGCGGACTAATGGTCTCTTGTGGTGTGAATGCTGAGACACGTGCACTTGTAAGGCGTGGACGAGACCTGAGAATATTCTGTCTCTAAAAAAAAGTATATATAAAAATACATATATGTATACTGATGAATCGAGATAGGGACAAGTTCAAACCTGTCTAGACAAATACGTCTATGAATTGTTCCCGGATCACGCGTTGACCTGGGAGCGGTTTGATGGAAACCTGGATATTGAAGATAGCGGAGAGTCAGAAGATGAACGGCGTGCGGCAGTAGAGAAACAACACAAGGAAAAACGGTTCCAGGCTGTTGACGCTGCATGTGGTGGATTAGTATTTTATCGATTCCGTATCAATGTAAAGCCCACTGTGTTCCTAACCAAACTGATCGGTGAGATTAGAACCTTATTTATTATTACTATTATTATTATTGCTTGGATACCGACCAATTTGTTGCTAAGTAACCCTTTCCCTTTTTTTTTTGTTGGTCGTTGAAAAGATCATCTGACCCACTTACCTAAGGAAGAACAAAAACAGGCACAGACCAGTTTGCGGCATTGTGCAGTAAGTTTTTCTTTGGGTAAATAATGTTTCAATGGTTTTGAATTAAGCTGTTTGTAGCGATGGATTCCATTAGACTTCATCTGTGTAGCCACTACAGAGCGAATGAGCAAGTGCTTTGAGCGTGTGGTAAAGGCTCACTTTGCGGATGGATTGGATCCCAACACTTCTGTTGCCATTGTAACCGAAATCCGGAACAATATATCGCTCAAAAAGGAAGATGTTATTCAGTTAATCGCACCCATGCTTCCTCCCCAACTAAAGTATGTATTTTTATATTTGACCTGATTTAATTTGATTTGATTTGATTTGATTTGATTTGATATGATATGATATGGATATAGTTGAATACAATATAATTGATTGCGTTTTTTTGTGCTTATTTAGGATTGACCTCAAAAACCCTACCTTGGTTGTATTTGTTACAGTGTTCAAGAGTGTTTGTGGTATGAGTGTCCTGGAAAACTACTATCAAAAAAAGAAGTTCAATTTGGTAACGTTATTGGACCAATAACTGGATATTAAAAATAAAAAAAATTAGAATATTAAAATTGATCTGCCATTTTTACAATAAACCTCCCCCTTTAAAGTGGAGTAAGGTGGAGTGGAGTTGGTGAAATAAATTAAAAAAAACGTAATTCCATCGTCAACCAGGACGGGATGAAAGGGGTGTGTTGAATATCGTTTAATCGCCGCTTGCCATGCAAAGTAGACCGATGTCATTTGCATGTCAATCAGGTGACTGTCCTGTAAGCGTAGATTGCAAAAAGGGCCTACTGGCAACTTTCACTTTTTTGTTTTTCTTCCACACTCATCTCTTAACAATGTCAGATTCCAAAGATACCAAAAAGCAGCGCTTGCTCGTCGTCTCTAACCGCTTGCCTATTACTGTCAAGAAGGATCCCGCAACAGGAGACTATGACTTTAAGATGTCCTCCGGTGGTCTTGTGGCTGCCTTGAGCGGCCTGAAGAAAGAAATGCACTTTACATGGATTGGCTGGCCAGGTAGGATTCTCTTCTCTTTATATATGATATATTGAATTCATAGAGCTAATCCTTGTTACTGTTGTTTTTTTTTCTACCTGTAAAAACAAAAACAAATAGGTCTGGATGTGCCTACAGACGAGCGCAAGGGCCTTGAGAAGCGATTATTAGAAGAGACTTCAACAATGCCAGTATTTGTAAGCAATGAACTGGCAGATCTGCATTACAACGGGTTTTCCAACAGGTAAGCTATTCAAATTAAGTTTTGGTAAATATTGAGCAAATCTATCAGTATCCTGTGGCCCCTGTTTCATTATCATCCTGGAGAGATTTCGTTCAATGAGGAGTGGTGGGAAGGATACCAGCGCGTCAATCAGCTGTTTGCCGATGCCATCGATAAGATCTTGGAAGATGGAGACCTCGTTTGGATTCAAGATTACCATCTGATGCTTTTACCTGCTATGCTGCGAAAGAAGACTACCAAGGATATTAAGATTGGATGGTTCCTGCATACACCTTTCCCTAGCAGTGAAATATATAGGTAAATAACAATTAGCAATCCCAAATCCCAAATCCCAAATCCTTACTGAATCTTTGATCCAGAATTCTCCCAGTGAGAAAAGAAATTCTGTTGGGAGTATTGGAGTGCGACCTTCTTGGGTTCCACACGTATGACTATGCCCGCCATTTCCTGTCGTCATGTACTCGCATCCTCGGACTTTCAACCATGCCAAACGGAGTAGAGTTTGAGGGCAGGTACATCCAAGTGGGTACCTTCCCTATTGGTATTGACCCTGAGAAATATACCGATGGTCTGAAGGACCCAAAAATCGTTGCTCGAATTGCTCAGCTCAAGAGCCGCTTTGGTGACTGCAAGGTTATTGTCGGTGTGGATCGTCTCGATTATATTAAGGGTGTACCCCAGAAAATGCATGCAATGGAAGTTTTCTTGAGCCAACACCCCGAGTGGGTTGGCAAAGTCGTGTTGGTCCAACTAGCTGTTCCATCACGTGAAGATGTGGAGGAGTATCAGCAGCTCAGAAGCACAATCAACGAACTGGTTGGCCGTATAAACGGTCAATATGGCACGGTTGAATTTGTACCAATTCATTTTATGCACAGATCAATTCCCTTTGATGAACTTGTTGCCTTGTACGCTGCCGCAGATGTCTGCCTTGTATCTTCTACTCGTGATGGAATGAATCTGGTTTCCTATGAATACATCTCAGCCCAACAAAACAACCATGGTGTCCTCATCCTTTCCGAATTTGCAGGTGCCGCACAGTCCCTTAATGGATCCATCATCGTCAACCCATGGAACACAGAGGAACTTGCTAATGCTATTCATGAGGCAGTCACAATGCCTGAAGATATCCGCAAGGCCAATCATCAAAAGCTATATCGCTACGTGACAAAGTACACAGCTGCTTACTGGGGTCTCAGCTTTGTCAACGAGTTACGCGTAAGTGTAGTATAGGTCATTCCGTTTTATTGCTCGGGTACTTACACTTTAAATACATAGCGTGTTTGTGAGGAATTTGGTCAGCGCATGTCTATTCCTGAGTTAGATTACACAGATGTCCTCTCCCAGGCCGCAAAGTCAACAAAAAAGAAGCTTGTTCTCCTTGACTATGATGGCACACTCACCACAACCCATAAGCTACCCGAGTTTGCTAAGCCCTCCCAAACTGTTCTCGATCATCTCAAGACACTTGCTTCCCAGCCAGACACATATGTTTACATTCTCTCCGGACGTGGGCGTCATCATCTTGACGAGTGGTTTGCTTCCACTGGTGTTGGTCTCTCTGCTGAGCACGGCTGCTTCTACAAACATCCAGCAAATATTCGTGATGAAATTAACCCTACTGAAAATAATGATGGAAAGCTCATTAAAGAAGAAGACAACAAATGGTACTGTCTGGTTGAGCAGGTAGACCCTAGCTGGAAAGAAACAATCCGACCACTGTTTCAACATTACACTGAGCGTACCCCCGGATCTTTCATCGAAGAAAAGGAAATCAACTTAACATGGCACTACCGCAATGCTGACCCTGAGTTCGGAAGTTGGCAGGCAACTGAGCTCCAGGTAAATCTTGAAAAGTTGCTCAGTCATATGGCCCTTTCTATTGTTCTCGGTAACAAGACTCTCGAGCTCCGCCCCTCCTCTATTGACAAGTCTACCGCCGTCCGCAGCATTCTCAAGGACCTTCAATTGCCTAGCCTGGACTTCATTCTTTGTATTGGAGATGGAAAGACAGATGAAGTCGTATTCTCTCTTTTGAATGAAATCCCCCATGCCATCACCAGTACTGTCGGTAAGAAGCAAACTGAGGCGCAGTATTATATCCCAACTGTCGACAAGGTGAACAAGCTGGTTGAGGATCTTGGAAAATTGTAAAGAAATGAAAATCACAAAAACTCGACAAAAAAAGCAGCGAAAACTAAATACATCAAAAAATATGAATCCCAAGCAATTAAATACATACAACATATATAATATATCATTCACATGTGCGGTTTAAAGAATTATTTTTATGAGTAGCTTCCATTAGTAGCTTTATATTATCATTATTTTTGGACTTTGATGTAAAAGTAAATATGTCAGTGAAGGTCAAATTAGAAGTTATTAAGAAAAAGTTCATTTTTACTTGCACCAAGAAAAGATAATAAGAGAGGTATAGGGAATATTGAAGTACATTCTACAACAATATTCCATTGTCGAAATCGTTTAACCTTTACTATGAAAATTCAAAAGTATATACTTACAAATACAGTAAATACATAAACTTTATTCAAAACAACTTGTATTTATTTATTTATTGGCGAGGTATATAGAAATTTATATATGTAATTGAACCAACACTACGAGAGAGAAATACGTGTCTAGGGGTATTTTCTTAATTTGCTCAGGGTTGTGTGTAGAGGTGCCTTTTGTTGAAAATCAAACCCTCCCTTCCCCCTTTAAAACGATATTTGTTTATCTAATTAGAGTTGCACTAAAAAATTACAAAGTCTTAAAGACTTTAATTTTTATGTTGATATTCACATTATCGCCCAATAAGGGTTGGTATTCTTGGTGGTTTGTTCAGAAATATAAAAACAAAAAGTTCATGATACTAGTGAGTTCCCCTTAATAAATTCCTCCCCAAAGTAATTGAGGGAGATTGTAAAATAGAAAACATAGTACTTAATCAAAATTCAACTTGAAAACAATCTTGAAAAATTTGAAAAAAAAAACTTGCAAAAAAAATCTACTGAATTCACTTTCTTTTTTACCAGTGTTAATAGATATTCAATTTATAGAATAAAGAGCATAGACTTTGAATAATAATAAATACGGATTGTTTATTTATATAAAAAAACGAATTTGGATATATTCTTCTCTGTTATTACAATAGAATAAACAGTGGCATAGGCTAAGAGTATTACATGTAATAGACATTCATATGTGTTGGGTAAAATAAATAAATAAATAATGATTCATAATATAAGAAACTAGATTGCAAAATAGGTAATATCTGAAAAAGCACCCTACAGCGATGATGATAAAAGAAAATAATCAAAAACAAAAGAATTCATACAAGTAAATAATAAAAATAAAAATAATAAGAAATAATAGGAAATATGAATAACAGGAATAATAATAATAATACTAAGGATAGGAATAAATGCACAAAGATAATTGCATTCGACAGGGAATTTCTTTTTCTTTAAGCCCATTCACCGATAAGGGACATAAGACCGGCTCCGGCATACATAGACAAGAAACACGCTGTCTTACGAGCCAAACTCTGCTCATGAAATTTGGTATTGTGGCTAATCTCGAGACTCATCAATGATACATAAGCATTGTATAGCAAGATTCCTGCTGAGAGTAAGTCTAATATAGCCTGAGAAAGGACATTGGAGTACGAGTTTGGATTGAACGAGGCATGAATTCCAACACCAATAGAAATACCAATTGGGGTCATTAATATGTAGAGACATCCCATAATGATAGGCTTTGCAAGGCTCTTGTATTTCAATTCATTAATTCGAGTACCCAAAGCAAGTCCCTCAAAGAACTATTGAAAATTGAGTAAGAGGACAATTTTCTCATTCTAATTATTATTAAGATTATAAATTACCTGATGGAATACCAATGCAATCAAAAGGGTGACAAATTCATCACGATCGGCTGTTGCGAGAGTGATACCAATAATAACTGAATGCATTATAATACCAAGTTCCAAAATAAAGGTACCAATATGGCTATATGAATCATCTTGTTCCAAGAAACCAGCAGAGTGTACATGGCCACCTCCGTTTTGAAATACCCCATCGTGAGTTCCACTAATCATTGAACCATCAGACTCTAGGTTCTTGGGTGAAATCTCATCAAAATGCGCCGCAGAATTTTCTCGAGCAGTCAAGACCTTTCTTTTGTTGATGGTGTTTAGATGCGAAATTGCACAAAGCTCAAGTAATTGGAGACCAAATGATGCAAGCATACAAAATATTCCGGCAAAAGCACCATACGAAAGCCACCCACTACTCAGACAATCGCTTCCAAAATTCTCAAAGGCATCGGGCAACATATGTACAAATGCAGTCGCTAGAATGACTCCTGTACCGACTAATATTATGTTATTAAAATCAAACAAACATATGAAAATGAGATTCTGTAGCTAAATATATTGAGCAGTAAGACTTACAAAATTTTCCAATAGTTAAAATCCAATCGCGAGCAGAACTCTCGCTATTAGGGTTGATTCGGTGCAAAGCAATTGGACCAAAAACACCTATTAGTAAATAAATAAAAATGCAAAAATAAGTCGACGTTTTAATATATACATATAACACGCCTTTCAATTACACACCAAGAGCACTGGTTCCCAGAATAATGAATATAGACCCAATTCGTAGTGGAAGATTGTAATTTTCAAGCTCGCCAGAAGCACAAGCATCAGCATCAGCATCGGCACTGGCGTCAACTGCAACTTAATTGAAAATAAGAATTGTTTTTCTGTTGTAAACATCCGTATTATAATTTTACCATCTTGTGCATATGCCAAGCTTGCCATTGCAGCAAAAGAGAAAAGGTAATATACGGGTTTTGACATGCAAATCATTAGTAAAAATTATTATTGTAGAGGAACTGAGGAAGTGTATAATTTAAAGCAATTATGTCAATTTTTCTGTATTTATACTGTGCCTTGATCTTGTTTTCAAAGTGTGCCTCGCAAAGCAAACCCTTTGGGTTACCACCCATTCAATTATTGGCCCAATCAAAACTATAAATTTCAAATTCTACAGTCACCCTAAAAAACCATCAAGGTACACCAAAGCTAGATTTATAGCCTCCAAAAGAAGAGAAAATTTCTAATGACCATCTTTGGTTCATTTATCTTGAAATAGATGTCACTTCAAACTCCAGATATTTCCGCATCAGTTTGTTACAAAGAATAATGGGTCCATTTATACTATTGTTATTATTTAATGGGTCAATAGCTACTTTGTTCAAAGAAAACTCAATGAATTAGTTATAAATATACACATGTATATGTATATAAAATATTCGTATTAAACAACTATCCATATGTTTTGATCTAGCAAGCTCTACATTCAGGACCACATTAAAAACGTGTTACTATACTTGGCGTATTTACCAAGTCGATTTGAGTGTACCAGAAATATAATCTTCTGCAGGGATCTAATACCTTTAGTTATATTATCTATTATCTATTTTATGACAGATCTCTGATTCGGAGAATGGCGCTTATGATCAGTTAAATTATCAGTGCTTCACTTATAGGCCTCACATAGCTTATCTCCAGAATCTAATGATCCGGATAATATGAAAGATCAGATCTACGAACAACATTTAGTTTCTTCAGTATAAATTTCAACTCTGCTATAATATAGCGTAATCTTGAAGCTCACAAACTAAAACTCCTCTCATATTTTATTTTATTTGATTGCTTGTATTTGACATTGTCGACTTGACACAAAGTCCTAGTACAAAAAATGTATCTCTAGGTAAAATATTACTATTTATCATCTTTTTTTTTGGATGCGAATTTGGTTTTCTTTGTAGAGTAATTTTGATCACTCTTGATGTTGATTTCACTTTCAAAATCTGTCCCTAAAGCCAGTTTGTCTAATACTCGGCTGGATTTTCCGAGTTCACTTTTTGTAATAGCTTGTAAGTCTCATTAATAACATAGGTTTATGTATGCATAATATTATATATTTAGTTAACGAGGGAATCTTACATATTCAATTGAACTCACATCAGAACTTTGTTGTAGCTAATTTCTGATTCAATAAGTACTCCTATTTTAAATATTCTTATGTGGTAAGTAAAGCCAATTTCTTATCGCTAATGCTTATAATACGTGAACTTTATTTCAGAATCTCATACTACTAAGCAAATCTTTTGTGTGTTTTTAAAAAAAACGTATTTGAACATAACATCTTCCAGCATGGTAATGCTAGGAACTTTGATAATTTTTCCTGATAAATTTCGCAGGAAATGTGGGTGGGACAAAGTTGGGTAGGAGACTAGTTGAATTCTCCTTAAAAACTTTCCGCTACCCACCTTTTCAGTATCACTCAAATAACTAGTCAAATAAAATACGCGAACTATTCTATATTTTTATTTCATATCCTAATTAACCTTGACTATAGTGTATTATACATTTATCTATTTGAACTAAAGCAAAATATTCTGAAACTGAGTATATAAAGCCGTGATTTTACTAAATGAACATATAAATGAGTAGAATGTCGAATGCTGGCTTTGTCTCATGTCTCTTCATTTTACATGGTGAATGTCTTTGGGTTCTTTCAATTACATTCATCTTCAATGAACGAAAAAATTGTATTTAATTTGTCTTGTTGTTTTGTTCTTCATGGTAATTTAATAGTATTGATTCAATGCGCTTTTTCTTTTCTCTATATCATAATTACATGATAAATACAAGTTTAATATTGTAAACCAAGATGTGTTTCTCATATTCATTTATTATTATCACCATTATTATAAAGCAATTCTGAAAATAGAATCTAGATAGCAAACTAATTTAACTCAAGCTAACTCCAATTTCATAATACAACAATCTTTACACATCTTTCTATTTTGTTGCGTTCAATATCGATTTGATTATCGATGATTTCTGTCTAGCGGCTCCATTTTTTATATATCGATTCTTAATTTCTTTAGTCTTCTCTCTAACACACTCAACTACATATATATATATATATATATATAATTGTTATTCAAATCATTTCACCAATTCAGATTTTTGTTTGTAATTTCCATTTGATCAATATTAGATGTCCAAACTTGATATTTTCCACTCTTTCTCTTTCGTTTTTCTTTTCTCTCTCTCATTTCATTTTCGCTAGACAGTATCTGAGTTGTTTAGAATAAGAAATAATTCGCTCTTTTTTTTCTTTGCTTTTACTCTTCCATGTCAAACATATCATCGTCACCATCGTTGTTAAGGACAGCAAATGGGTTATCTAATAGTTGATAGCATACATATATAAGTATATCATATATATATACACATATATACATATATATGCGTTTGTTGATCTTACAAGTCTTCTTCTTCTCTTCCTCGACCTTCTTCTGCTCGGTGGTCTTGCGAGTACCATGAGCAGTGGGAATCTCGGCATGGCTGGAGCGAGTCACACCTGCGACGTAGGCCATGCCGGTGGGAGGTGTCTGGGCAAGCTGGCTGCTGGATAGAGCGAGGAGGGTAGTGCGATCATAGATCACACGAGTACCTAATCAGTCGACTCTTTCAGTCAGTCCACCCAGACCAAGCACTCCAATCCCAATCTTCGCTCGTCCAAAAAATAAAGAACCAGAATTTGCTCTCTCTCTCTCTCTCTCTCTTTTTATCTTTCTCTTTTTATCTTTCTCTTTATCTTTCTCTTTCTCTTTCTTTTTGGGTGTATGTGTATGTGCGTGTATATACACGCAAATATATGTGATGTGTGTTCTCAGGAGTGAAGGAAGTATCTTACCTCCTGGAGTGGAGCTGTAGATTGTTCCATGAGGAGTTGTAGAGTAGTCCGAATGCAAAGGAGCATTGAGGCTGTTGGAGCGGATGTTGACAGGGATGGCAGTCGACATGATGCAAGAGAAAGAGCAAACAAAACTTCTCCCACACCCGCCAGCATAAATTACAGCGAATGAAATCAATTATTTTTTTAAAAAAATAAAATACAATACACCCTAGACTCAATTGGCCAATCATAGTTGGTTGGGCTAACAGTCACTTGCTCCGCTTGATAGATATATATATATATATAAATGTATGTATGTAAGTAAAAGGTGCAAAGGAGACAAAAGTGAATTTATTGTAGTGAATTTATAGAAAAAAAATATGAGTGAGTTTGTGTATGAGAAACAGCCAAGCAATATAGCCTGTTGATCTGTGTGCGTGTAAGTGTGTGAGTGCGAGTGTGCGTTTGTGTAGTTTGATGAATGCGTTTGCTTTAAAAGATTGCATGAGCGGCCTCTGATCCAAGAGTGGCACCAAATCCCCAAGTAGCAGCAGTAGCTACATGGCCACCAAACTTCTTGGCCATATTGGAAACCTTGTTTTCTTCCTCAGGAGCTTGGGGTTGCTGCTGCTGCTGCTGCTGTTGCACAGTTCCAGGAACAGGATATGCACTAGTGATCATAGTTGTGGCTGGCGGTGGGTTGTGATAAATGTTTGTGGCTGGTGGTGGGTTGTGGTAGATGGCTGTTGGTGGCGGTGGATAGCTGTAAGGAACATTAGATGTAGATTGCGATGGTGGGAGTGTGGCTGCCTTTACAGCGGGTGGAGGAACGGCTCGCTTGGCTTTTGCGAGCGTAGCGGGTGGATTACTAGAGTGGGATGTCAGGACAAGAAGTCAAACTCAGCACGATATATATATACATTTATTTTATTAGCACGTTTTACTTACGGTCTTTTCTTGACATGATTTTGAGGGAAGATACCCGATTTTCCATTAAGTGTGCCTCGCCACCAATCATCATTAACTATAAACAAAGTAAATATAACTTTCGTATATTAAACTCTGTACTCATCATACCATATTCTGTGACTTGGATAGTTTGGCCTTGTCGGAAGGACAGGTCCGTGCTAGGATCATCACCGCTGTAATCGTACAATGCTTCTGCAGTAGCAAGAACTCCAGGATCACTTGTATAAGCAGGCGGGGGTGTTTCTACAACTGGGGGAGTCACAAAGCTCTGGACAGCCCTACCAAGTGCTTGATGGGGAAGAGCTGCTGAGGCTGGTGGAGTGTAGGTTGTTGTTGGTGGGGGAAGAACAGCAACAGCAGCAACTGGTGGTGCAGGTGCAGGTGCAGGTGTTGGGAGAGGACTATGATGAGGTTGTGGGGATGGCTGTCGATCTTCGCCTGAACGACGTACTGGTAACTTGGGGAAGAGTTGCTCACGGGAAGGAGCTACTGGCTCGCGGGAGTTAAGAGTAGTAGTGGACTTTCGGGTAGGAAGAGGAGGTTTGACAAAAGCCGGAGTAGAGGAAGGAGAAGATTGCTTAGCGTCTACATGCTGTGGAAGCTGGGCAACTACAGAGTCGTAGGTTTGTGCAGACACATAATGTTGGTCTCTGAGGAATGTGAGGTCTTTGTGAATCGACTGTAGTATGTAGTTTGCTAGTCCAACGTCTCGTTCGGCCATGATAAAGTAAAAGAGAATGAAAGAAGATGGTGTCCTTTCCTCGTGAAAGAGCTATTTTGGGCTTATTTGATCTCTAATCCCCGCTTGGGGTGACGTTGCCATGTGCACCGCATTGTGTAGACTATAAAATCATTTTGTCTCTATAAAAAGCATCACAGACTACAATCAATTTATCTTTTATCAGCTGTATTGATAGTATTGAATCCATACCTTGTAGTGCCCTTGGTATTATGGTATTGAGGGCTTACCTGCTTGATACATACATAATATAAATATCAGCGTAATTGGTATACATATGTATACATGTATTATGTCGCTGTAACATATATATATATATGTGTGTGTGTGTGTGTCTTGCTTGGCTGTGAGACATTTTTGTGATTGTAAAAATGATCAGCAATCGAAAGACGACTTTTGCTATTTTTAATTAGGTCGGCAAACGCTTTAAAATGAACCTTACAAATTACTCCCTTTATGATATTGTTATTTGTTTATTATTTTAAAGAAAAAAAAACACTCCAGAGGCGTCTTTAAAATAGATTTATGTAAATGCGCAGGCAAGGGTTTGATCTAAAAATGGGCCTATTTAACATAGTGATACCATTTTTGTACACCCACAGGACAGCATGGTACCTTTGCTATGTAGAGAGAGAGTGTGTGTGTGTGTTTCGTCTTTTATCAAATGATTATTACATTTAATAACAGCTCTAGCTCTTTTCTATAAAATGACCTAGGCTCTTTTATACGTCAAAATCTATTGAAAAAAAAGGCAACTGACGCTTTAGACTGCGATTAGTGAATTAATAACAAATGTAGCTTTGATCCTTAATATCTATAAGATTATAAATAGAAGAATTAAATTTTGACGCAGATAAAAGGCTCAATAATCAGGTCATCAAAAGCAATAATATCAGAGTATTTCTATTGTCTTGTCACTTTACTATTTGATCTTTCTGAACAAGTGTTTTATATCCAGAAATACAGGTCCATAAAAAAAGCGATTTAGCTTTTTAATATCCGACACAAAGGATGCAGAAAATTAGATCTTTGTGGCCATAGCGATAAATGTAAAACAGAATTCTTCAAGACATTATCAATTAATGGGAAGCATTTTCCATGTTATTTTGTCTTGGAATATTGCACTAAATAATTGACAATATAGCGTACCAGTAAATATAGACTTTGAGGTCTACCAGATAATGTGTGTTTATTCTTATGCAAAAGATTATACTAATTTTTGGACCAACCGTTTTTCTGTTGTACTTATTTAATTTGCTTTCCACTTCTGACATCCACTAATGACCATATTATCATTATTCTCAATAGTATATATTGTTTTTTTAAAGAAGAACGTTTCGTCAAAATGATAAATAAGATGCGAAAATGAGAGCCTTTGTAATATAAAGGTGTTTTATTCTTCTTCTTTCTCTTAACACTGTCAATAGCCAACAAGCACTCAAATTTGTAAAAAAAAAAAGCTTTTTTCTCTCTCAGATAGATATTAATGTCATAAAAGCCAATTTTGCAGTAAAGGTTTATGGCTTATTACTCAAATCCACAATAAGGTTAATAAGAAATTAAATCAAACTTTTGAGAATATATATATAGTATGCGAATATAATATTGCTTTTATACAAGAGACTTGATTGAAAGCTTTGTAGACGCTTCCCATCCTTATCGCTTCAAGGTCGATGTTTATTTTGGCTTGAGACATGACTACCAAGGCACATGATAAAGTAGGTATGACCAATTCTGAGCTGTCAAGGTTGTATACTCCAGCAGGTAAAATGAAATTTTTAAATAAAAAATCAAGTAAGACCTGGATATATATATGAGCACAGAGCAGGAGACCTGATTACGGTATCGTCCCTCCAGAGATTGGGTACGCAGATCATCGCAAATCTACATTTAGTCATGGTCTCCAGGCGTACAGAAATAGCTTAGTACACTTAATATTATAAGAGACGTTTAGCTGGATTCATTTTTGTCTATGTAACGGTATCAACTATACCGGCAGAATAAATGCTTGACAAACATATATGAAGTATGTCGAGACATTTATTATATTAACCCAATTTAAGAATACAAACAGACGTATAGTGAGCTTTGGACATAATACTTTTGGAATCCATTGTGAATAAGCAGTAAAATGGCATCTCTTCCGGAATATGTTCGTAGTAAATGATCTTGAATTTTTGACAGTTTATTCCTTTGGTACGCAAGCTAAACATATATATGAGTCTGTTCAATCAATTCTCAATAAATCATTAGTATTCAAGTTAATAGCCACAAACCGTCTAGGTAATTCATTATCGACATATTAAATTTGAAAAGTTATTATGTTACATTACTGGCCCCCTATTTCTTCATTATTATTCTTTCCGGAAATTCAATCGGTGTTGGTCTGTTAGGCGCCAAGAGCCGATTATATATATATATACTACCTTTTAGACCAGTGCTCCCCAAGACTTCATGGTCAGTTGTACCGACACAGCCGATGCCTAGAGTCTCACAAATATTGCTTGTGTCCATTTTATTTATATAAATAAAACCATGTAGATGTATGCATTTAAATTTAAATTTTAAAGCAAGAGTGTTGTATTCTTTGTCTCATTGTGAATGGGAACACACTACACATTACACAATTTGTGTTTCATATGGGTATACAAGAGACCGGTAGTAAGGGACCAAGTGGAGGTACATCTGAGAACGCTTCCCTCAGTAGTTGATAAGGCGAGTTTGTCAGCAAATCTCAATATCGATGTCAAGGAAAACTTTGTACTCTATTGAGAAGTCTGTGCATTTTAAAATCAACCCCTTTAATGTCTTGTGTTTCATTTTGCTTTGATTTTTTTTTGATAAGCTCTGCTGTATATTTATCTTTTGCTTCCTTTATTGGCACAATTATATGATTAAGTGCTCTAGACAAATATTCCTTGTATAGCTTATAATAATTATGATGATAAAAAGGGATCCCCAAATAGCTTCCCTCCAACTTAGTCAAATGTATCTATAATTATATAAGAAATGGTTGCGAATAATAGAATATTTTCTTCAAAATTTACAGGCTTTTACTAGGAAAGATGAAGTTGCATCTATAAACGCAAAATATATATTATTATTATCAGCATAAACATTATTTTTTTTTAAAAAAAAAATATGGTGTAAATATTTGTACGAAACAGTAGGGTTAACTAACTTAATACTGTCTGTTTTTTTAGCTATAAGGTTTTGTTGTTGTTGTGTCGGGTATCAATAACTGAGACCGTTTTTGATTAAATATTTAACCGCGCTGGGCAGTCCAGGCAGAGGGGTTGGTGCGGTTGTTGATCAGAGCGGCGCGGTCAAAGGAGTTTCTGTTCTTGTTGGCAACAATCTGGAAGCAAGTGGCACTGCCCTGGCGAGAGATGATAGTAGACCAAGAAAGGAAGAGTTCCCAGACACGGCAGCTATTAAAAGAAAGAAATTTGTTATTAGCAATAATATTCAAACTTCTTCATTGTTCTTTTCATAAGAAAAGACTTACATCTTGTCACCGTATTTGCCACGAAGAGCGTCCTTGTTCTGTTCCCAGTTAAGGTACCATTTCTCAAGGGTAGAAGAGTAGTGAACACCAACGGTATCAACGCTCTGGATCTCAAATCCGGCCATTTCCAACTGACGGATGTACCAGTACAAAGGAGTGGAAGCATCGGCTCCAGGGAAGATATATTTAGCCATGAAAAGACCCCTAATACGCGAAGGGAAAGAGTGTAAGCCAATGCGTTGTGTACACATACGGACAATAAAACTATAATCCAAAATACTAACCAGATAAAGTCCTCGTATTGCCAGGTAGCTCTCAAACCAGCGACCTGCATGTAAAACAAACCATCATCATTGAGCAACTCACGGACCTCGTGGAGGAACTGAGGGAAGCGACGGAGACCAACGTGCTCGGCCATCTCAACACAGGTAATCTTGTTGTAAGTATCATCGGCGGGAATATCACGGTAATCCATGCAGAGAAGACGAGCCTTATCCTTGACACCCCAGTCTTCAATACGCTTGTTACCAAACTCAACCTGGTTGCGGGCCAAAGTGACACCAGTAGACTGACTGCCATAATGCTTGGAGGCAAAGGCAGTCAAAGTTCCCCAGCCACATCCAATATCGAGATGCTTCTCGCCTTCCTTCAAGTGGACCTTGTTGCAAATCAAGTGCATCTTGTTCTCCTGCATCTTTTCGAGAGTCTCGCGCTGAGTGGGGTCAGAGATGATGCCGGAAGTATAAACCATCAAAGGACCGAGGAAGCCCTCGTAGAAGTCATTGCCACGGTCGTAGTGCTCGCGGACCTGAGTCTCATCCTGATCACGGGAGTGCCAGAATGTCTCGGGAAGCCACTGAAGAAGGAAGAACTTGAACTGACCAAGGGTGAACTGGAAGGCAGCCCAATCGTGACGGAGTTCCATAATCTCGAGAGCATCACCGTTGAAGTCAATCTTGCCTTCAAAGAAAGCCTCGAAGAAAGTCTCCATGGGGATCTTGTTGCGGCCAAAGTACTGAGCCTTCAATTCAGGGTCGTGGATAGTAATATAGGTTTCGATGGGCTTTCCGGGGAGAGCAATACGGTTACGGTAACGGGGGGCAAAACGAGAGAAAAGATAGATGGTAGAGGCGAGGATAGGGAGAGCCAAGATGATGGCAAGGAAAAGGAAGCCAAAGATAGAGAATCCAAGTACATAGCTTAAAAGTGCTGGAATACCGACCCATGCACCAAACAAGACACGGTTGTCAAAGGTCTGGTTACCTGCACCTTCTGCGGGAAGAGTGGCATTATTAATGGCAGCCCACGTAGTAGGCTTGTAGCCTTGTGTCTCAGCGATCCCCATCTAAAAATTTTGGATTGCCTGTCAGTATATCTTTCTGCACGCGTTGTTTGAACAATAAGACGCGTGTAATAAAATAAAGATGGTAGTCTGTACTGTGGATTTTATATTTTTATATTTGTTATTTTACAGCAACGTACCTTTGCTAGGTCTTCTTCTTTTAAGAAACGAAAAAGAGAAAGAGAGAAGTAAGCAAAAAGAGAGGCTGACGAGAATATATTATTCTCTTTATAGTGTTTTGTCGTAGTTTGTGTTCGTGTAACACTTTTAGCGAGTCAAAAACTCTAGCCCGTTATAACCCAGATGTTCTTTTTCTATTTTGATACACGGCTGGGCTATGGTGTCACGGGTGACTTTTACATTTTTCAAGTGTCTGATATGAAAGGCAGAAATTCTACAAGACAATTGGACCATTGGACAAGTGGGCCATTGGTCTATACAACTAACCTGATCTTCCAGCCTTGTATATCTACAAGAAATATATATTGAAAGCCGATAATATTCAATGTCTTGTATAGTTCAGTGTAATGGCTTTCTTTTTTTCTGTTTACCTATAATTTTATTTTTTTTATTCAGCTTGTCAATCTTGGATACTGACCGGTAGTGTCCTAAATATATCAAACAAGCTAACAAGAGCAGCTATTTATATACAGTCAGCATATATACACCACATGATAGTACTCAATGCGACCGAAGACTATGAAGAGATAAATGAAGGATATCAAAGAAGAATAGCAAAAAAAGCCTCTATCTGCATAGGCTTAAGCGATAATCAGCCTACATTGCAAAGATAGTGCCAATAGAGTGTAACTCTCATTGGAATATATTATACCACCTTTAATTAAACCAGGTATATCATACTTTTATATGTATGTATATGTATATAATTGATATGAGCGGGGCAGATCATGGCGTATTTGACTATCACAGTCTTATTCTATACTTGCTTGGTATTGAAGTCTTTAATAATAACCTTGAAGACTCCGCACTTGAGAAGGCGACAGTCGAATGAACAGAATCATCGAATTGATAAATTAGAGAGCTTGCTATCTAATTCGTTAAACCATCGGCGTAGGCGTAGGCTAAGTGAATTCCCAAATTTGTGAGAGCCTTTTAACTCCGATGTTTCATTTCTCTTTAAAGCTATCAGTTGAAGATTTAACGACCATCTAAGCCTCTAAAGCTGAACCTTATCCTCTGGATTCTTGAAGACATATCTACCTGATATTTTTCAAATGCTATGGCATAAACTATGTAAGAAGGCTCTTGACTAACATGTATCACAATGTTAATCATAAATATAAATTAGTTATTTGCAAAACTCATTATATGGGACATGATATCCATTATTAACATAGCACATCAAAGAGTTCGGTATAAATAAGAGCATTTGTCTTTTGCATTCTCGTTAAAATTCTTCTATCTCACATACTGCATTTTTATATACAAGCAGGATATTAAGCACTCAAAAACACTCTCAAAATTAGTAAAAGAAAGTTAATCTTCAAAAGTTACACTTCTCCATATGAAAAAGACAAGTAATTAACTACGAAAAGGTTGCATGGCATAACATTAAAGCTAAAGAAATAATATAAAGAGTAAACTACCAAAAATAAGCTTGCTCTAATACAAGAGTATCCGGACCTTTACACAACTGTTTGTCCAGAGTATCTGTCCTAAAGGGTTGAGATACGATTATCAAAAGGGTAACCTCGTGTGTTAAACTATGTCTGCTATTTGGCTACATAATTTAAGATGCTCTCTATACCTCTGCAAACTCTTACTTATGATGAATCTTAAGTATATGTTTTCTTAAGCGCATTATTGAAGTGGTAGACATATTAGGCTATTCTTTGGATATGCTTGTTTTAATAAAACAAGCTCAATTACAAGTAAATATAACATACATCTTCTTTTATGACAGTAAAATCTTGGAAACAAAACATAATATATATACATATTGTATTGGCCAATTATTCGTAAAAATGTATGTTAACAAGGTCATTATGGTTGTTTTCTCTCTCTCATCACACCCATGGTCTCCCTATTCTAAGCCGATGAATACTTTAAACACAGATAGTAGAAGATTGCTAATTTTGGTATAACATACTTAAAGTCAGATAGAAAGCTCTCTAATCTTAAACGATTGACTACGTCTAATGGGTGCATTGAGTTATTGCTGGCCAATGGTTGGGCATCAACAACCAATGCCGCAAGTTGACTGTCTGCTATTTCTATCGGAGAACTAGGAATGTTGCTGCTGTCAAGTTCAGGCATTCCCATTTTACATATGTAGCTGCAGGGAGCGTCATCAACCTCAGGCACGACATATGAAGACCCGGACAAGATACTGGTGGGATCCTATATTCAGAACAATAAATACATTAGTAAGTACATTTGATCGCTTAACAATATTATCTTTTGTTGCACACATCGCTATCGTCGCTGATTATATCAGAATTGATATAACCATCATGGCTAATGTGATTGCGTTGTCTTTTATTAGGTTCACAGATTTCAGCGAAAACTTGAATGTCTTCCAACTGAAGTTTTTATTTGTAGTAATTAGAACAGGATACGGCTAATTTAGATCGAACTCACGGGCAACTTATTTGATCAAGAAACATTTGTTATTCTACATGAATTAATTAGCTCACACATAAACCTTTCATGCTGTATTTTATCTTACGGAGCCAATAACAATAGTTTGTGCTCCAGAATTGGCGATGGCATTAACGGTAGACATATCGTCTTGATCGCTTTGGATTGCCGCCATTATTTCTCTCAATTCTTTTTTGTTTGTAGGGAGCTTTATGCTCAAGAGGGTTGGTGAGCCTCTATTGCTGCCAAGCAAAAGAGGGCGTTACGGCTTTTTTTTTTGGATTTTATTTGTTATATGATGTTTCTTGAGAGATGGGAAGAGCTCAAGAAAGCCCATCCCGTAGCCACGTCTTCGCAAAGAGATAGGACATATTTGAAGGCTTCTTGGCTCTACCAGGGGGGAAAGTGACCTAAAGTCAAACAGGAAACAATGGGGAGACAGATGGGAGAACATGCTGGAGTGCGGGGAAAACTAGAAGAGATAGCGTAGAGATTGATCGAGATGGATGGAGAAGTTCTGAGCTAGACCGGAGGAAAGGATTCAAACCCATTGTCATGCACCTCGCAAAGACAGTGAGTGTAGATGGGAGAAAAAGTGTTATCACATTCTCATTACCATGGCCCGCACCATGACAATGAGAGAGAGAGCTTTCGTGTAGGAAATTACAGAGAGGGTGGGTTTAAATAGTAACGTCCTCTCAATTTCTTCGCCCTTTTGTAAAGTTAGAAAGCTTACTAGAACATGCCGGCTTTCTTAAGGAAAATTGTCTGATAGAATTGCTGAGGCATGTAATGCCAAATCTGCACATTCGATTTAACTTATTGTGACAAAATTTCTAGGCATAAAAGGGACAAGATTTACCGTTCTCAGTGTATATAGAATTGTAGTATGAAAACCGGCTGTCACGAAAAATAAAAACTCATAGTCGTCCCACGCTGGTTATACAGACTCTTTTTTTTATTCTTTATTCCTTTCTTTTTCGAACCACAACTGTGCGCTATATAAACGTTGTCCTCGAACAGACCAAGTCGGAAAATAACGATATTCTGTAACACACCACCATGTCCCACGGTAATAAACTCCAACACAATTACAGGTAGGAAATATTCTCATTAGGGAAAGTGAGGCTTAGTTTATATGTATCTCGATGCGAGAAGACCTGGATTTCGATACTACATTTGAGTCTATCGAGTAAAATCCTAATAGTCATCTAAATATTTTATTTTATTATATTTTAATAAGCTGGGAAACTCTGTGGCGTATTATTTGCGTATCAAAATTGAAATACTTTCATTAATGTAGCTCTCGATAAGGTTTTACTTTAAAAAAACATAATTTTGGTTTTCTGGGCTTAGTATAAGGTCAAATATGGATCTATCAAGCCTTTATCCATATTTGTGGAATAGACTGTAGTCATCAGAAAAGCCAAAGTTTTTAGTGGTAAAATTACTATGTGGATTTGAGTGACACATAAATACGTTGTATTTAAACCTTATTCTTTTGTACGTGTTTAAATAACTCAGATTTACATTCATATTGATAACCTCTTAGTAAACCCCCTATAGATCAAGACACGTATACCAGTAAAACTAGCCAGTAACATTCAAAATAACTATACTTTGTTTGTGTGTGTGTATTTGTGTGTTTACTGACATATCATGATATATAAAGAATGAGAGGTATCAAAATTCTAACCTTGCAAAACAGGTTGCCGAGTTACACATCTTACGAACGCTTTATAATCCAATAAGAATATAAAGTTTTTGGCTTTTAGGGTCACATTTGTTTCTAGCAAATTAGAAGTGCAGAAATCCAGAATTTTAAACCTCATTAAACCAATCACCTATTTTACATGTAATTGATGTTTATACTTTTTGTTTGCTAAGTGGTAACCCTTGTATCGAGGTATTCTCAAGGAATCCGGTTAATATCCGGGTCAAACAAAATTTGGTTAAATACATTAGATTATTGTATATTTTAGTATTCAGATTTGAATAATGTATATATATATATGTGTGTGTGTGTGTACGATCACCTTTGGTATTCAACCGAAGAAACCTCTTTTCATGTTTGACATAAATATTAACTTTAATCCCTGACAAACACTTCATTCAGAATAAATCAAACATATTCTCATCTCTCAAACAAAGGTATGATTTATAGTAAGCATGAAATTTACAGACACCTTACTTTAGCTTCGCCTTATGAAATTATGGATTGGTTTAGACATTTTATGATAAAAGAGGATCTTTGGACACACAAAGTTATATTTAAAGCGCATTCTTTTTTGGGAGAATCAATCATTATAACAGAATAGCTGTAAATCTTGGGATACGTTTCTTTGATCAGCTCGGGAGCTTTGTTTTATTTATTTATTTATTTATTTATATGTCTTATGTTTTCAAGCAAAGTATCATATATGACATATCGCCCAACCTTTACAGGTGATTCAAGCATCAAAAGGAAGCCAAAGTACGCCACAAAAATGATCATGGTACAATCTATATGTCGCCAGCGATACGTGACTAGTTAGCGAGAGATCGCCATTAAAAATAAGTTTAAAGCGATTTTTAATAAAGACAGCTTTTTTTTCTTATAAAACCTATATTTATTTATTTATTTGATGGATAACTGACTATAAGCATAGTCCACCAAGAGTTGGCTCTAAAAACACTTTCTAGAATTTTGCTTGATATTATATAGTATAACGTATAGGAAAGTCTGTTTAACCGATAACACATGTATACAATGACTCAAATGTCAAAAGATATATATATATATAAAAGTCTTGGATTTAAAATCATGTTTAAATATGCCTGTAGGTAATGCACTGATACCTTTGATACCGAGCTCGAGTTTGCTCTTAATGCCAGCACTCTACATGTTGTTCAAGACCAGATTGTATCATCATTACCAGATGTCAACAATTGGGAATTACAGGGTAACAATACTTCAAAGAAATTTCGCAAATATCGGCAATCATGCTTAGAAACGTCAAAACATTCTAGCTTCACCATCAATTATCATTTTAATAGAATATTAGTTATGTCTGGTATACTTGTTTTTATTTAAAAAAAAAACGACACAACTGCCAGAACCTCTATGTATTTTTCTTCCCACCCCACCCTTTGCGTTCAATGTATGCGAATGTAATTGGAAAATACCATTCTTCTACTTTTGGCTCTCTATCTCTATGTAGAATATTATAGCAATCATTCAGAAGTGCCCTGAGGATATATTTGATGAAGAGGACGTCAAAATAGAACTTCTTCAGTGTGCTCGTACTTATAAAAGAAATCGAAAGGAAGCAATTAATGCAATTGTTGCGTTAACCACATACTTATACGATTGGACTATCAGCACACCATCTGAAGCATACTTGACAACGAGTCATATTCACCCGTTCGTCCATAATCTATTGTCGTTTACTCGCCAGGGAACCGGCACAATTACACTAACTCGTATGGTGAAATTAAGCCATAGTCTAATATGCTGCCAATACTTATTATAAACAGATTTTACCCGTCTGGAATATCCACAAAGGGATGCCAGTGACAAATCGAATCTTAAATATACGCTCGCACTCCAAGCCGTTGGTAACAGCATTACGCTTTTCGCCATGTCGCTGCCATATCGTCGGTTATACACGTTCACTGAATTGGCTCGATTCCAAATACCTAAAAAGAAATCCGATTTTTTAAATATGGTTGGACATTTAAACATTGTCAAATCTAAATTATTATAAAACAAAACAAAAAAAAACTTTGAAAGAAAAAAAAAAGATTCTTCAGGCTATCAGACTAGCTGACAGCAAAATAATGATTTACATAAGGGGGTTTCAAATTTAAATATGTGAAGAATTTAAGATTCAAATATTCGCCTTTTATATCACAGAGTAGCCATGAAGGAGTGGGTAAATATGAGAAAGTTCTTAGTATTTTTTTTCTTAAGAAAAAAAAACTAAACTGAAAAGCTTCAAGACTTAGATATTTAAAAATAATCTTTGAGATATGCTTTTTTTTTGTATCTGAAGAAGAAGTACATGAACATTAAATTCTTCAAGATCTAAATTTGAAACCCCATGACAGTGTGATTCTGACGAATAGTATGAAAAGGATATAATACACAGAGTGAATAAGCGCACATAATGTGATGCAAAGTACAGTGCTATTAGAAACATAGATCAGAAAACTACACATACAATTCTGTATATATACAATCACAAGATTATCTCCATCTATGTATGTAAGAGCATCTCCAGCAGTATCTAAACCCAAATACTAAATATCCAAATTAGGAAACTGGTGTTTAGATTTTCCAAAAAAACGTCTCCAGCAGTTTCTAAACAAAAATCTAAATATCCAAATCCGGAATTTAGATCTAAACTTTTTGAATCAAAATCTAAACTTCTGTAGGTTTTCTCAGAATTTGTTTAGATTCTATCATTTACTAAATTTCCATTTTTTATATTGTGACTTTGAATTTTCGATTTTAAATCTCAGCCTTTAGGAAAAACCTCACCAAAATCATCAGCTCTTTAGAATCTGTGTTAAGAAACTGCTGGAGTGACCTTGATATTCTTCATACTAAATTGCTTTATTTGTACTAGCGCGGGAAATCCTAATTTGGATATTTAGTATTTGGGTTTAGATACTGTTGGAGATGCTCTAACAGATGGAAAATACGATAATTATTATATAAATATATTTTAATTATTAAGATTTATTTATTGGGTAAAGAAAGGGTAGATTCTAGTTCTATTTACACACACACACTCAATTTATGCTTTTCCGGCAGCAACACGAGCCTTTCTAGCTCCAGCAACTACCAAAATCCAGACAGCCCAGTCAAAGAGAATTTCCTTGGCCATGAACAAGAAAGCAGCGGTGAGAACACTCTGGACAATCTTGGAGCTGATACCCTTGTAGAGACCTTTGACACCCTCGGTAGCAATGATCTTTTTGAAGCCTTCCCAAATGGAAGGGTATTTCTCATCATCGCCTTGAGCGGACTGCATGCGGGATTTGATGACACTGAAATTAAGTGGAGAAGAATAAATGAGTACAAAGGATACTATGTAGCACACACGCAAGCCTTACAGATAGGGGTAAGTGATACCGGTGGCACACAGCTTGCTGATGGCACCCAAAAGGAAGAAATCGAAGTTGCTCAAAGCTCTGGACTTAGAAACCTTGTTCTTGAGCTGCTCGAATACAGTGTATTGAATAATCGGGTTGATCACCAGGATCAAGGCAGCCTTTACACCGGCATAGAGACCAGCTACGCCCTCCTTCTCGACAATACTGCGGCCGACTGTGAACATATTGAGCTTAGCCTCACCATCGATGCCTTTGCGTACGGTAAGACGAGTCTATTAAGATCCTGTATGTTAATTACTGACATTTAAGAAGAGGAAAACCCAAAGGCTTACGTTGATTGTCCAAATAGGGTTGGTAGCCAAGACAACAGCACATCCGGCAAGAGCACCTGCCAACATAGACTCTCCTGTGCTCATGGGTTTGCCTTGCGCCTTTGCTTTCTCAAAGACAGCCTTTACAGCCTCATAGCAGTAATAGTAGATACCTAAATCGAAAAATGATGAGTACAAGTTTATATACATATATATCAAATATTAAATGCGTGCATGTGTACGATAAACATACCGTTTGTGATGGCAATGCCAAAGACACCAGAGCTCAAACCACTGTAAAAGAGCATAATTAAATAGGATTAGACATTTATTTATTCGGTTCCTGATCTTCTTTCCCTTTGGACATTCACTTACGCATAAAGACCTTTAGGACCTTCCTTGGCAAGGATCTTGAAGAACGCGTCGGCAGTGTTCTGGACAAGACAGGTTTGTTATGTTACTTGAGTTTATGGATATTTTAGGCACACTTTATATTAGTACCTTGTAAGCGTCCTTGCTGTCGTCGTTCTTCTGGACCTGAAGTCTAGAACTGATCGAAACCAAGGGGTAGGTCAAGGCCATAGAGACGATACCACCACCGGCACCTATAGAGTGGTGTGTTATTTTGAGTTTAATTCTAGATCGTGCGAGCTTATAATACTCACCAGAAAGGGCATGAGCAACGTTATCAGACATATTTTATTTTCTTGAAAAAGTAGAGAGAAAGAAGAGAGGAGAAGAGAGAAGAGAGAAGAAAAACGCTTACTGTTATTATTATTTTTGGCTTGTATTGCATGTAATATATAAGCTCCATCTCTACTCCATTGCTGTGACTTTTTTGGTGCGACCATTTGAGACAGAATCAATGGAGCATCAGCATGTGAATGATCCGAATTGGCCAATAAGAAGAGTGTGGGGAAAGAGATTGGAGTTGGAGTATTGATTACTGCTGACAATTTCTATTCACATGGATAAACTGAGTATTTTCCGCCGGTTTCCGAATCAGTCGACTGCTGATTTATGAAAGAGATCGAAGAATCTGGTGTAAGTATACAAGTATATAATGGAATAAATCTTTACTGTCCTCTAGGTCTGACCAAAGATATCATTTCTCGGTTCAAGGGTCTATTTTTTTTTATTTCCCCGGGTTCTTAAAGAAGTGTGTTGTGATTGGAGGCTCCTGTTCTTTCAAATACACTATCGGATTGGCAAGCGGATTAGTCGCCTCTTCAACAACGTGCTGACTTGAAGGCATGTGAATATTAATTGAATAAGCAGTAAAAGCGGTGTTATAGTGTCATTTTTTTTATTGTGTGTGTGTGTGGTGACTGGATCTATTTCTATCAAAGCCGGTAGTTTGCACCCCTTTCTTCTCTTCTTCCTAACCCCCTACTCTAAAATGTCTACCGAAAACTCTGCTGATAAATACGACCTTGTTCGCAAGGATATCATCAAGGTCTTCCCCGAGGAGGAATACGACGATGGATCCTTTGCTCCCGTTGTGTAAGAAATGAACAATCTAGGATGATCAATAACTCACGACCCTTGTCATCGTTTTCATAACAATACAGTCTTCGTCTCGCATGGCACGCAAGTGGAACTTACGACCACAAGCACAAGGATGGAGGTAGCGATGGTGCCACTATGCGCCACAACACTGAAGCCTCTGACCCTGCCAATGCTGGACTTGATGTCGCTAGAAACGTCCTCGAACCCATCAAGCAGAAGCATCCCTGGATTTCTTATGCTGATTTATGGACGTACGTATAAGTACCAATGTTTTTCTGTTTTTCTTGAAAAAAAAATACAAATACTAGAAAAAGAGGTTTATAGCTATGTATTTATCATAAATTATCTGTAGTCTTGGTGGCTGTGTTGCTATCGAGCACATGGGCGGTCCTCATATTGAGTGGACCGGTGGCCGTCGCGATAAGCACAGCGATGCCGATTGCCCTCCCGTCGGACGTCTTCCCGATGCTGCTCTTGGTAAAGATCATGTCCTCGCTGTCTTTGTCAACCGTATGGGCTTTACCGTCCAAGAGACTGTCGCCCTGATCGGTGCCCACACAGTTGGCCGTTGCCATAGAGATAGATCTGGTTTCGATGGTCCCTGGACTGTTACCCCCACCCGTTTCTCCAACCAATTGTAAGTTTCATATCACTCCGCCAAAGAACATTTTCTGTTTTATAACACTCGTTTTCATTATTTATTTATTTTTATTTTTTTCTTAAAAAAATTACTCTTATCACAGTTTCAAGCAATTGCTTGCCCAGACCTGGGTTGAGAGAAAGTGGGATGGACCCAGACAGTTCGAAGATGTTGAGACTCAAGAGCTCATGATGCTCCCCACCGATATAGCCCTCTTGGATGAGCCCTTCCGCAAATACGTTGATATTTATGCCCAGGATAAGCAGAAATTCTTTGATGACTTTTCATCTGCTTTCCTCAAATTGATCGAGTTGGGTGTCGCCAAGAGAGGAAAGTTGTAATTTGTCCATTATTCCCCCCCTCATTTTTATCCTTCTTTTTCCTCTTTTGCTGGCAGGCAAGAGGTAACTTACATTAAAATAATTCAAATATACACAGTGATAATAAAAATTTCAACTTTTACACTATACAAACCACAGCATTCTATTCTTATTGTTTTATTATTCATGATTATTTTATTCGTTTTTATTCAATTATGATACAAATATATATAATTTATCCCTTTTTTTCATTATTATCCCTTTTTTCATATGAAGTCCTTCTTTATTACTTTTTGTTGTTGTTCTTAATCCATCATCATGTCAATGTCACCGAGCAGTTCGTCTCTTGCTTCAGAGTGAACGATTTCTCGACGAACATCAGGAGAAATAAGAGGATGGTATTTGTGACGAATGACACCCATCAAAAGATCCTTTTGTTCAGGAACCATATCCTGCTTATATCTTTTTTTTAAAAAGAAAGAAAAGAAAATTGTATGTTAATTCAAGGCCTCCAATTATCTTATTTTATTTTTTTTAAAAAAAAAGCCCCCATTATATTACCTTTGTGCAAAGACCAACATGGACTGATGCCAGAGTACAGGCATCTCACGAGGGTCATTTTGGAAACGGACAAAATGATCCACGATAGCATCAACAACTTTGTAGGGCAATGCGTATTTCTTGTCGAGAAGAATACGGATAAAAAGACTGTTAGGGCCAGTGTAATCCATATCTGCAAGTCGCAACAATGCTGCGGATGAATGAAGAACGGGAATAGAAACTCTGGAAAGGGCACTGCCAATAATAGCTGCTTCCTTAAGTGTGCATGAGCCTGACTCACACAGAGGGAATAGAACGCCCTTGAAGAATGCAGAGGGTTTGTAGAGGGCCTTCTTTAATGCGAGATAGAGATGGTAGTGGAGTTTTTTGTTTTCCTGGATATCTTCTCTTACACGATCCAGAAGGACAAGTGAGAAAAATCTTTATGAAACAAACATATGTCAGTTATATATTTAATAAGCATATGCAAACCAAGTTTGATCTTACCTTTGAGCTTGGTGGACCTTCAAGTTGGATACAAACATACGTGTGGCCTCGTAAGTAGCATGGGGGGTCCATTCATCAGGGTTTGTAAGATATAAGATCTCCTCCCAGTTGGTTAACGAAGGAATGATCTTGAATGCCTTTGGCAATTTTCCAGACTTGTAGCGACTCAACAAATGGCCAACCCTGAAATAAAACAAAATAATAATAGAAAAATTTGTTGGTCAATCAACCCATTCAAATCCAAATAGAAATCATATTCTCGATGAGTACAGGAATCCCCAGCTTACTTTGTGTAGACTTCCACAATCTTGGGGTTTTGTGCAGGAGACAACTCTTGATCGTCCTCTTTAAATTCCAGATATATACATGTCAGATTTACTCAATCAACCTCAGTATTTTTCAAATTAATACCTTCACCGTCGACACCTCTTCCCTCGATTGCATTCTTCTCATTAATCTTATCCATAATGATATCAGCCAAAGTTCTTCGTGCCACGGGTGCACTTGGCATAAACTTTTCCAAAACGTTCACATCTTCTTCGTCAATTTCTAATTCTTCGTACTCTCCATACTTGTCTACATCATCTAATTCATCGTCACTGGGATCAAATCCAAGAGGGTACTTTTGTGCTGCATTACGAGCAGGAATACTGTAGATATATAGATATATAAGTATCGAGTTTTACTTTATATATATTATATATATATAATATATAAAGTAACTTACTTCTCCTCTTCGTCTTCCTCGTTCTTGTCAATCTGTTCCTGTTGTTCCTTGGCGATTTTCAGAATTTTCTTGGAAAGTTTAGGGTCAAGGTATTCCTAATGACATCACCCGCAAAAAATAAAATAATGTATTGAGTAAGCTTGAAAAATCCAGCTTTTCCTTTGAAAGGAAAAATAAAATAAAGAAAAAGAAAGGCAAAGTCATGTCTAGTAGTTTCTTCTTCCTTACCTCAACTTCATCCTCTCTGTTATTACGATCGATGAACTTTTTACGAGGGGCTTTTCTAGTTCTATTTTGGTCAGGGTTATCAGCAAGCTGAGAATGAAGAGGATCGTGGCGTGGTGCGTGAGCTCCCTTGACTCTAACGTTGTCTTTGCCCATGGTAAGGTTGTGCTGGTGTTGTCTGACAAGAAGAAAAAATAGAGTGTCAAGAGAATAATAAAAGTGGAGTTTTTTTGTCGGTCACACTGTGGCGGCTTTTGACCGTCACATTCAGTACATGCATTGGGAGCTGCTTTTTTTTATTATTTTTTTTATTTTTTTGGTTATCTTGTTTCAATACCATTTTGAATTTCCATTCCTTTGCTTAAATTAAGCACACAATTATGCATTAATTAAGTAGAGACATAATAATAAAGTAATTAGCAGTACATTCTATTAAATGAAGTATTGAAAACAATAACAAATACAAGAGAACCAGTGACCTAAGCATAATCAAAATTGACTATTAAGAGAGTTATCATTTTGCCTCACAGACTCTTATGTTTTGTAACTCAATGAAGAAATTACTATTTTTGTATTCCTTACTTTGAAACAAATCTGAATTTTTTTTTATTTTATTTTTTGTAATTTCTAACTTTATTTTAAAGTACACTGAATAATTTCTACAGAAAATATATCATGTTTTATTCTAAGCAATATAAAGCCCATAAACTCTACATGTAATTTTTTTTTCCTGTTGTACTAAACGCACACTTCTTTTTTTTTTAAAAAAAATATACATTATAAAACATTCAACAATAGTATTTTAGAAAGCACCACAAAAAAATATGTTATTAAGGTACAACAACAGCCAAGAATGCTTTGACCTTGAGACTTAAAACAAAAACAAAAAACAAAAAAACCTGCATTTTGTTTTCAGAACAAGCAATTCTTCAATTAAAGTTATTCACAGTTTAGTGTTTAGTAATATCATGAAGTGTTTTCCTTTGGTTCAAGGGAATGATAAAAAAAAGCAAGAGATAATAACGAATCGTCATGTCCTAGGGAAACTCTATGCTTGAAAGAATAATCGTATTCAATTATTCATTGGTTTCATGGCCATAGGAAATGGTATTCTGATTGAATAAGTGGCGTGAGTTTTTGTTTATGCTTGAGTAAAATACACATATCCAGAAAATGTTATTTAATAAGTTTTATTCCCTTATACAGAAAGGTAAGCTTGAGAATTACAAGTGCAAATATTTATTTGCTATGAATATGTATTAAAAAGATACACACAGTATTTTCAAGTTAATCTATATATTCTTCTTCTGATGAGATTATATATATCAATGCCGGACATGTATCAAATCTTAGTGACAAATAAAGTATGATAAACCTCTGAATAATCTTTAACTGCTTCATATCAGTGACTGATGTGATAATTAAAAGTACCATTTATTAATCGCTTGGTTTTTATTTTGTAATGTATAATAAAAGGCGATTTTCTTGTGACAAAAAGGGTTTATGTTCCTTTATTTTTCTCATAGTAAGTAGGGGCCAAAAGTAGACAAAAAAAGCTCGAGAAAACAAGAAAACAATCCTTCGCGATAAAAGTGCTCCAGGATAAAGAAAGTCTATTTCTCACGTCTAATTTGAATAAATGTCAAGCTCAAACAATACGCAGAAAAAATGGGCGTCCTAGTGGCATCTGAGTTTGAGAACTAAAGGTTAAACACAAGAGTATAAATGGTACAAAGTCAAAATTGTGTTACGTGACGTTTATTTGCACCAAGGTGTAAATCGGGACGTGCTATTTTCTCGAGAAAAAAACCATCTCTGAATTGTTGGTACTTGGTCATCAAGTCACATCTGAAGGGTCCAATAAAATGAATTATCTTATTACGCTAGAAAACGTCAACTCCCTAGGATCAATGCTTTGTTGTGTGCGGTTAGCAATATCGGTCGTTTTATTAGATATCACATATTCAGACTCACGTTTCCTTAAATACGTATCTTTTCAAAGTCATATACATAAACCTATAAAGTTATGGACATTAATATATAATATATGTTTCTCACAAAAAACTATTAAGATATCAAGTTATAAATCGTATTAATGTAGTAGACGGCGACATCAAAAGCATATGCTGTAGATCTTTTGCAATGCACCAAAAAACCGGTTTTTGTATCATAGATAATTGGCAAGTCAGTTCAATAATATACATATATATAGTCAAGATAAACTATACTTTTTATAGCACTGGCTAAATACAGAAAATAGCGTAGCAACATGATTGGAATGAGGTAACGCATAGAGTTGTTAAGCTACAAATCATCTGAAACATTAAAATTACCATCACTCTATTGACTGGATCATCTATAAATTAAATACAAAGTAAACCATGTGTAGTTCAGACATTATAAAATTACTGTATTTCTTTCTCAGAGTGGCTTTTGTTAAGTTATATCATTACTTAGATATGGTCATTATAGTGAATCGTCACAGCCTATAGTTAATGCATTTTTTGAACCCTTTCTGGGCTAATACACCTTTATCTATTTATATAAAGCACAATACTTTATTCAAAGCAGTTTGCTAAATTTTCCATCTAAAAAGTTACTCTTTTCTTCTTCTTCTTCCAAAATATATTTTGATTACATTTATGAAGCTCGTATCGCTAAGTTTCTCTCTCTCTGCTTTGTTTGTGAGTCTGGCTTATGCAGACAATTACACCACCAGACAGATTGGTGCACCACACTCAAAGAACTATAAGATATACATCGGTGAGCTTCCTCAAAATTGTATCCAGCTATAATGCAATTTAAGTTGACTTTTTCGATTAAAGAAAAGGATGGCATACCGATCTCTCCATTTCATGACATACCTCTCTTTGCTGACACCACCAGTTCAACTATGAACATGGTAGTCGAGATTCCTCGCTGGACAAATGCAAAATATGAAGTAAACATTTGAAAATCTGTGAAGCATTCCAGGAAATCTGATTATATCTTACGGTTTAGATTAACAAAGAAACCCCGTTAAATCCCATCATTCAAGATATAAGGGATGGTGAGCCTCGATTCAACTATAACATCTTTCCATACAAGGGGTACATGTGGAATTACGGGGCACTTCCACAGGTAATCAAAAAAAATAATAGTAACATATATATAAATCTCAACAGTTCTATTTAGACATGGGAAGACCCAAATTTTATCACAGAAGAATCCGGTACTATCGGTGATAATGACCCGATAGATGTAATAGAGATTGGAGAGAAAATCGGCTATACTGGTGAGGTTAAGCCTGTCAAAATATTGGGAGTAATTGGATTGCTTGATCAAAATGAGACAGACTGGAAATTGGTGGCCATTGATGTAAATGATCCAAATGCATCAGATATGAACGGTACAAACCAAAAAAAGAAAAGAAAAGAAAACAATCGTATTCAATTTGTGGTACTTTATTAAGCTAATTTCTTTTTAGATATAAGTGATGTTGAGAAGAAGTACCCAGGCCTTTTGAATGATACAATAGACTATTTTAGAAAATACAAGATCCCTGTTGGAGATGGTCCTAATGAATTTATGTTTAGTGGAAAGGCTCAAGACAAAGTACGTTTTTATTATATGGTTCTTTATATATTATAACTAAGTCATCCACTCAAAAAAAATTAGGAATATGCAATTGGTCAAATAATGACCACTCATAATCATTGGAAGAAGCTTGTTTCTGGAGACATCAAAGAAAATAATATTGAGAAGTAAGTTTTTGTGGCTTTGAATTGAAATTCAGTATTTATATATATATAAAATATATGACTTGAAATAACCTTTAGAACAAACCTACTTGTTGAGGGATCTCCATACAAAGTATCTCCAAACAGTAAGATCATCCTCAACATCCCTCCTGTAAGTTGCTTCGTACATAACTTTATTTTGTACCTGAAATAATTATTCTTTTTCATACCTCAGGTAAATCTTCTACCAGCTGTTCCCATCGATCCAAAGTATGAAAGATGGTATTACGTTTAATTTTCCAAAGAGAAAAAAGAAACGAAAGAGCAAGAAAATATACTTTAAAGCAAATTATGGAATGCGTTTTAGCTCTTAGCCATTCATAGACGATATTATTATTAGAGTAAAACCTTATTTATGTATTCATAGTATCCGTGCAGAATTGTAAATAATAGACAAGAGAGAGAGAAAAATAAACCCTTTTTTGATAACAAGCCCACCTGTAGTAATAATCTAGGCAGCAAAAATTATTTTAATCAGTCTTTGTCACTATTACTATAAGTTTGTATCATGAGCCTTGTATGTCAAAATCTTCATTTAACTACAAGCCTTTAGATTGAAAAAGTATTAAAAGCTACGGATATAGAATATTTTATATTTTTATAAATATACAATTATTGCAAAGGTAGCAAAACGGTAGATATCCTTCTAAAATACTGAATAGATCTTATTAGATATGAACATATTCATTAGTGCCGGATTAAATTCCAACAACAAGAAGTTTAGTATCCATATAAACAGCTTCTAAATATTTAATTCATGTGAATTTTGATTAAATGGCTAGTATCACAGGAAGAAAGATCTATTGGATTTATTTGTCAAGGCAGTTATTGTCATAAGATATATGTATATATGTATGTATGAATTTTTTCTCTACAAAGGCTATTCTAATTTTCATAATGATAGCAGTAGTATACATTTCAATTGGACTTTAAGAAAAAAAAAATCATACAACTGAATGAGTTGGTGGCTTGAAAGAGTTGAGGTTCATCAAGCATGTACCTTCATATCAAATAAATAAATAAAAAGGTTATACACTATCTTTCTTATCTCTTTATTAACTTGTTTGTTCATCAAGTTGCTAATATAAAAAATACAGGAAAAAGCTTTTAAAGAGTAATAAAATTGAATCTCTCTTGTACATTTAATCCCATGTCACGTCAGAAAAACCAGAATAAATCCGATGCCCACATCCCTGAACCTAGGGAATCCATCAGTAATCAAGCCTCACAAGCAAAACTGAATCTTATCCGGGAAAAGACATTAGAGCTCGAAAAGATCAAAGAGATGAATGCAATGAGCAATGGTCTTGTTTTATTGTTTGGAGATGTTGCAGACTCAATGAAAGATTTGTCTAAAGGAGCTGAAGGTAAAGAGCAGTATATATCCATTATATTATATTATACCATATTATATTTTATACTATTATATTTACATTTATATATAAATATAATTTTATATTTAAATATTGCTTCATTCAGGAGTGTCGAAAATCATGGAGAATTGGGATTATGTATTTAGAATTATGAGTATGGTTAATCCTGAAGCAAACCCTTCCACACCAAACCCCACAGTTGTCAAGATTCCCTCTCATCCCGTTTCTTCTTAATCCCATAATATTTAATCCCCGCGATAAAACATTTTCAAAACACGTCTAAACGACTTCTTTTGCCTGTCGGGATTCTTCCAAATAATTTCAAATGAGTGAACGCAGTCGAAGCAGAAGTAGAAGCAAGAGCCCTAAACGTGAACCGTTGTCTCCCACGGCCACAAAACATGTAAATTCAGCTCGTGGTGAAGACGACGAAGACGAGCGGGACCGTCGTCATCGCACGCCATCCCCGCGCCGTGGGCATCATCGCAGCTATTCGCGATCGCCCTCGAGATCGCCCCATCATCGTCGCTCTTCTAGTCGACGTCGTCATAGTTCGCGCCGTAGATATGCTTCACGCTCGCCTCATCGATCTTCGAGACGTTATTCTCGATCACCACCTCCACGCAAGGCTCGTACAGGTCCTTCCCAGCCAAAGGAATGCCGTGTGTACGTAGGAAATCTTTCGTATGACACCAAATGGCATCACCTCAAAGATTTCATGAGAGAGGGTTAGTTCTGTTGCTGTAGCTGCTGTTATTTTTGCTTTTTGCTTTTTTGTTTTTGCTTGTTTTATAGCAAAATTAGGTATTGGATTTAGAATGTCAAAACTAAGAGAGATACATATGTATTGTTTGGCTGTTTAGCTGGAACTGTCATGCATGCCGATATTTTAACCTTGGCAAATGGAAGATCCAAGGGGTGTGGGTAAGAACATTGAAGCAACATATCTACCAGAAGTATGTATGTGAAAAAAGTCTAAATTTCTTTATAGTGTTGTAGAGTATAAGCATCCAGAAGATGCGCAGAATGCAATTCGTTTGCTGCACAAGACGGAGTTCATGGGTAGACCAGTGTTTGTGCGCGAGGTAAAAATAAATAAATAAAAAATAAAAACAAAACAAAACAAAACAAAAAATACGATTGCATCATCAAATGGAAAGAAGACAGTGTTAATGATAGAAACGATAGGATCTCAAGTCAGAAACACCCGGGTCGACAAAGGAGGCCCCCGAGGAATGTCAATTGTTTGTTGGCAATGTATGTTGAGTGATGAACAGGGGATTGCCGATTACTAACGTATCTCTGGTACGTGTAATTATGTAGCTTCCATATTTTGCGAGCTGGCAGGACTTGAAGGATCTGTTTAGAAAAGCAGGCAGAGTGAGACACACAGACATTGTCACAGATCCGGAAACCCGTCGGTCTTCTGGAAGAGGTTTGGTGATCTTTGATGACCCACAAGATGCTCGCTCGGCTATTGGTATGATTCAATTGATTGGCATTGAAAGAAAAAGGGGATCTAATGTCTTTATACTTTAGAAATGTACAATGGTTATGAATGGCAAGGAAGGCGGTTGGAAGTGTGCGAGGTAAACTTTCTAAACAAAAGCTCAATAGATTCGATTGTGTGGTTCTGATTTAGTATTTACTTAAAGGAACGTAATCGTCCTCCACCAAGAGTAAGTGGCGGTAACGAATCGAGAGGTAGCGGACAAGCTTTACACCGAGATTCTGGTCGAGAGCGGTCGATAGAAAACTACCGTTCATGTAAGTATATCATTTTCAAAATAATATTCATTGGGCAATAATTTCTTAAATAACATAATATGCTTTGATAGCGAAAGACGTGTCAGCTCATGTTTCTCATCCTCCTCCGCCTCCACCCATATCACATTATGGAGGAGATAATTATGACAACTCATATCGCTACCAGGATGGAGGTGCACCACACGCTGTACTTCCTATGGCACAAATGCCTCATCAAATGAATGTCGTGGGTGGACCTGGAGCCTCTTTACCTAGCATTGGGGCTAACCAGATCTATGTTAAAAATGTAAGTTTTGTAAACTTGTACTAATTATCCCTAAATCTAATCGATGCGCCGATTAGCTGCCATACTCTACTACCTGGCAAGACCTTATTGACCTTTTCCGCCATGTTGGACCCGTTGTAAGAGCAGAGATTTTACTTTCGGGTGCTCACCCCAAGGGATCCGGATTAGTTAGATTTGAGGACTTCCAGACCTGTGAGCGTGCAATCGGTAAGTTGTTTGAGAGATCTATTCTGACCCATACTAATGATGTATTCATGAACCTTGGTCTGTTTATTTATTTTGCTCTTTTTCATTTATATATATATATATAATGGTGACAATAGACAAATTCAATGGGTATCTTTATGGTGGTCGTCACCTTGACATTCGCTTGGACAGACAATCCACTTGTGCTTAAAACAAAAAACAAAACAAACAAAAAAAAAACAAGAAACTCATTTTTATTCGCATTTTTACTTTCTCTTATTTCTCTCTCTTCTACTTACTTTCGTTTCTATCTTTTCGTTCTGTTCTCTGTGTCGCTTTTATGTAGAAAGCCAAGTGCTGTTTTCCCACCCCCCTCTTCCCTCCCTTTTCCTGTCTCGGTTCTTAAATAGGGCTTTATTGGCCAATAAAACAGAAATGAAATGAATATTATTCAATAATGAGATCTAGACTTTGTTGGCAACGCAGTGTTTGACTGGGTCGTGTACTTCGGCAGAGTTCCATTGAGAAAGTGTCATAAAAGACACAAACACCATACTATGCATATGTATATGTATATGTTTATATAAATAAATAAATTAGTTATATAGCTTTTTATTACCCTATTTACAAGCTTACCATCCGATCCCTAAACAGATCAATAAATAGTCGGCCATCCGGCGCAAGAATGATAACTCGAATGCTTTGAGATGAAAGAGTGGTGGAAAAACAAAGCAAAGAGGTAGACAAAATAAAGCACCGATCAACGACACAAATTTGTCTAGCTTGTCCTTGGATCCCACAATCGCAATCCAGGCACATAAAAAGACCACAAGAACTCGAAAGACATTCTTTTGCCATTTAACCATTGCATTGTTTTTGCCCGATCTTGTAACAAACAGGCCATTTTCCATAATTCTGATTGCCGGGAATAGTTGAAGTGGAATAGAAAGGCAAATTGCAAGTGAATAGAGGCCTTGAATGGTAGCAACAACAGGATCATGGCTTGGTAAATTCAATAATATAATTGTTTGAACACGGTTGCCAAATGCCATGTACGACAATGAGCCCATTGATATGAACAAAAGAGTGATGAGTGCCAGGGCCCGGGTAAGTACGCGAGGGAACTTTTCTGGTTCCTTCATAGACTCAATAATAGGGATAACTTTTTGATTATTTAGCAATGTCACTCACTATTCGGACCAATAAACAATAACAATACTTGCCTAGACCGACACCTTCAAAAGTAAAAACAGCTGTGCCAATAAAAAGGGGGAAGTGCATCGGATTCCATACCCACTGAACATCCTCCACACCAGTGAATATGAGCGCCTTAAAGTCATAGAAAAAGAGGTAAGCGAGGCCAATGACGATAAATACATCGCCTGTGAGTGCAAATACAGACAGACGTTGGATACGCCGGATCATGGCAAGGGGTATAAAAGCAAAGCTCTGGGCAAGGATCAAGAGATGCATTGGAAGTACAAGGCGACAATCAGAATAAGTCAAGACAAGCGCTTGAATATTCTCGGCAACAAACACCATGTACGCACACACAAACCCGATCTGCGACAGAGTAATGGCCAGCAACACGGCTGTCCGCATCTTGTGCCCAAACAGTACACCTCCCATGTCTCCAAAACTGGCTGGTACTACCTGTCGTGTCTGAACCAGCAAAAGAAATGACCAAAGTGATACCAAGGCAAGTGTGATTACACCCATTATTGAGAACAAAAGGCCACCGTTGCTGAATCTAATAACATAATATTAGCTAGCTTCAAGTACAAGGCAGGGGTACTTACGCCTTAGGCAAAAACATTATGCCTTTGATTGAAATTATATAAGAGATAGCCATTCTGGTTAACAAAACTCAAAAGATATCTGCAAGCTCGGTGATAGCTTACCAGTGGTAACAAATGACTTTAGTAGTAAGAACATGGCCTTTCCGGGTGTAGCCTTGCCCTGGATTGAGGTTGTTGGTCGTACTTTCGGTAGGAGAGGTGTTCTTTCCCGGGATCGGAGATGATGAGGGTAGCGGGGTGTAGGTGTGTGAGAAGATGGATATGTAGCAGCTGGAATAGTGTACGATTGACGCCTTTCTGTCGAATTTGGTACATGCTCTTTTTTCCAAGGGTGAGCACTGCTTAAATGCTTGGTTACAAGAGGTTGGGAGGTTGAAGCTATTGAGGGTAATGCTTGACGATCAACCAAAGGGCGTATACGTCGAGACATTAAAAGCCTTTGGTCTATAGAGCCTTCTGAAGAACCACCAACCCATTCTCCCTCTTCCTCTTCCTCTTGACCTTCATCTTCACCCTCTTCTTCGTCACTTTCTTGGTCTTCATCAGAGGTTGTTTCGTCTGAGTTCTCGCTGCTGTCCGATAGATCTTCTCCTCCAAAGTGACCAAACAAACAAAGAAATTCAACAAAGTTACTTGTCAAGAATTTTGGAATATCTCTACCCTGCTGGGCTGCTTTGGTCATAACAAATGCTCGTCTAAATCCGCCTGGTTCTCTTAGAGCTGTTAGCAAAGGGTCGATAGAAGGTTCATGGATAGCCGGGAGAGAGATTGACTGGGCTCTTGTGCGTCGGTGTTGATGAGCTCGTTCGACTTTGGCTACCCAAGTATATATGGAATCCGAAATAGATCCGCCAGGTAATTGGTAATGATGTTTGGTTGTGATGAAATGTCGTTTGACGACCTCTGCAGCCTGCTCAACTGGCAGGTCTATGGTCTGCATAGTTTCAAATAAACAACCTAATCTTGAGATAAGAGAAACAGTAAAGAAAGCAAAAAAAAAGAGGAATCGACTTGAACTAGTCAAGTAAAAAAAACACTGCCCAATAAAAAAAAACGGAAAGAAACACTCTAAAAGAGAGGGCTTTTGGACAATCAATAAGAACGTCACATTAAGCTTTTGAAAAGGACTTCTGTCCCTTCCTTATTTGTGTTTGTGTATGTGTTTGTGGGAAACTCATCGGAATCTTAATCAAATTCATGCAGGGCCAATAAAAGAGACTTTAAAAACACAATCAAAGGATGAAGAAAATGATATTTTTTAAAGTGTTTGGAAATATCAAGAAGTGTAAGAATAGAAAATTAAGTGAGGGAGTAAATGAGAGTTGAACATAAAGATATTTAGAGCAAGAATGAGAGGAAGAGATTTAGATTTCCATGAAATCAAACTTGTATTTAATTCGCTTCTCACAAAGGTACTGGAGCATGAATCTATACATAAATGTATTGTATATTTCAACAAGAGATAGGGTTGGAAATCCAATATAGCTCGAGGATAATCTTTGTAACTTTATAGCTATCCTTGCTAAGTTACACCCTCACACATACGCACAACTTACCACTTGAGCAATAGCAAACCAGCTCTCCAAGGCTACCAGTCGAGCATCTTTCTCATCGGGTGCCCTGTCTTTCTTCCACAAAACAAAGCTTTCCAGAGAGTTACCAACCTTGGAAAATTTGCGCGATTGTTTTTCAGAATCTTCATCTTCGTCTTCATCATCGTATATTGGGTGATCCATTGACTCTTCTTGAGCCCACAAATGCGCTTAAATATAATATAAGCCATCAACATTAGCTGTATATAGCCGAGCGTATACCTTTGATTGTTTCATTCAAAGGAATTTCATGTCCATAAAGTCTTCTCCCGTGAATTACTGTAGTGTAAGTGCGGATTTTTTCGTTGGTTGCCTTGATCAGTGGATCAACAACAGGATCAAGGGACAGGTAATGATTTGCATTCACTGATCCTTCTACACCAACACCAAATGGCAGTAAATGAGCTTTTGGTGTCTGCAAAAGAGATTCTTCACTAGTCATTATAATCTAAAGTTTCTTTTGCTCCCTCAATTGACCAATTATAGCGCAAAATGCCAATTTTTTTTAAATATATATATATAAAAAAAGATAGAAACAAAACAGGTTGCCCTATTTAATTGAATGACGAGCGGTGGCGTGACTTGTTTCACCGATTACCATAAAAATGCAGCTGGGAGGCGGTGGGTAACTGTCCAGGCACTTTATCACCAAAAAGGGTTTCTCCAAAAAATATTTTTCTTAGCCTTCTTAGCCATTTAAGATGAATGACCAAGAAGATGACCAGGGTATACATCCTTCAAAATTCTTTATTTTACAGCCAAACCACAATCGCCCTTCTCACATTCAATTTATGCAATGCTTGTTTATAGAAGTTTGTAGAGTATGTAGGTGCGAGGCTACAGAGGAAGAGCCTCTGTTTTACCCTTGTAAATGTTCAGGAAGCATTCGATATGTACATCAAAATTGGTAGGTATACCAATAGCATATAAGTACATAAGAGTAAACTGGCTTTTATCTATAAACAAAGAATAATATTAAGTAGAAAGATCATTATTATTATTTTTATCCAAAACTCATCCATATTCGATCATATATATTTATTGAATTCTTAAGCCTACACGAATGGCTAGCTCACAGTAAAAGAGAGTATGTAAATAAATCAATCTGATTACACATACATACATACATATGTATGGGTGAAGACTAATAGTCATAATAGACACTGTGAGTTATGCGGGCATTCTTATGCATTTACACCAGGTAATATCGTTAGCAGAAAACCCTGTTTATTTTAATCCACAGCCCCAAGATCTTATACAATTCGAATACAGTGTATCAGCCAGATATGCCGGCCACAATCCCATTCAAAATACTTTTACGGCAGGTCCTAAAAAAAGCCTTCATCCACCTTTGTTTCTCTGCAAGATTCTTGTTTGTCTCGATTATCTGGTTCATTGTATTGCCTTATTGCACTGTCTGGGCGACTCGATTCTGCTTGTGGACAGGCCCTAAATATTCTGCTGTCTTGGAACAATTAATAGGCGAAGGAGTATCCCCAGAAACACAACAAACCGTAAATACAATTGCTCAGTCTATAGCATCCGCTACTTCATCAACCTTACAAACACTACAAACCCAAACCCCAGATCTACCTTCAAATACCACAGCGCCTATTAATGATATAAGCACAAATCTACCAACCTATCCATGGTTGAAGATCATATTTTTTGTGGTTAGCTGGTTTGATAATAGACCATACGTTAGGTAAGGACTTTTTATAAATATCAAGAATTGGATAATTTAATTATATATATATTTCTCAGAAAGTTTTTTATGGACTGCTCCGAGGGTCAGTCACTTGTATTTTACCTATCCACAGTGACATTTATTGGATTCATGGCACGAAACTGGGTTTTAGAAAACATGCCTGTTGATATAGATCAAATCCCAGAAAATTTAGAAGATGAAGAATTGGAACAAAACGAAGACGCACAAGTTAGGAACTGGATACTTCGTATGGGGGCACAGGTCGAAATACCAGAAGTTAGACAGCCAGAGCTTCTACAACAAGACCAAGAGCCTATAATAGCTGTTGCACAGAATCTACAGCATCAATTCCCATTACAAGATCAAGTACGAAATATCGATAACATTCCACAGGACATCAATCAAGCTGATCCTGTTATACAACAACGACCAATAGAAGAGCCTGAGCGTTTAGAAAATGTCAGAAATCGAAACGAAGGTGTATTCAACGAAGAAAACGCTATTGGAGAACTATTTGGGATCTTAGATATCAACGGACCATTGGCCAACTTCTTGAAGAACGTAACTATTCTACTCGTATCAATCTTAGTTATACTTGTGGTATCAGTTTGGGTACCTTACTTGGTTGGGATCACATTCATTCTGGTAAGACATTTTGGGCCACGGACCTGTCAAGAGTCCAGTGAATACTACTGGCAGCTTGTGTATAAAAGGAATTAACAAACAAAAATATACAAAAAAGTCTAATCCTATAGATATGGTACATCATGCTTTTAAAGAAATGCGATTCCTATATGACATTATAAGGCACGGAGTCTACGTTGGATGGAATACATATTTTGACCCAGCCGTTAAGCATTTATATCAACCTTACTTTGAAGCTCAATCTGGAAATAGTCCTTCTTTGAGCGTTGGCCCATTGATTGAGGAGACTCTTGGAGAATTTTGGCGTCATCTGCCTATATTCAATCAGATACCTACAAGCACAATCATATCGAATATTCCAACTCCCGTGGCAAAGCTCCTTCAAGAGAATGCCAGTTTGACTGACACTTTACACCACATGAGCCACCAGTTCTCTAGATTGCAAATTCATTTTCACAACGCAGCTTTTGGAAGCTCCCAGTATGATCAATTGCTTTGTATTGCAATCGGTCATTTTGTTTTTCTTTTGGGCGCCCTTATTTATCTCTCCCAAAAGAGCAATGTGATTGGAAGAATCGGTCACGGAATCAAAATATTCTTGCGACAACAGGTGGTTGTTTTTAAGTTGATTATTTTCCTCTTTCTAGAAATGGTCGCCTTTCCTTGTGTGTGTGGCATTGCACTCAATATGTCGATGGCACCATATATTTCTTCACCCCCCTTAGGACTGCGATGGATGTTGATAAAATCCCACCCTGTACAATACTTTGAGATTCATTGGTTTGCAGGATTTTCGATCATTCTCGGCTTGACACGAATAGTTCTGTGGTTTCAAAAGGTCATCCGGCCAGGTGCTGCCTGGTTTATCGAAAGCTTTGCAAACCGAGAACTAAATCTTTTTCGAGAAATTCCTGAAAGATCTATTATAGCCCAATTGTGTAAAAGTATCGCAGAACTTTTTTTCAGTTCCATATTGATCTTCTCCAGCATTGGCGGTACATTGTGGTGTATTCGTAATACAACAAACATATTGCCTTTGAGATGGAGACTAAAGTAAGTAGTTTGAAATATATATATATATTCACTGTTATTATAACTAATTTCATACAATCATTGTCTTTTGGATATCTCTTTTTAAGTGATAATTTGCCTAATTCCGAAAGTTGCCTTATTCTCCTGATGTACACTACTATCCCACATATTCTGACATACTATCAAACAAAGAAGACTCTTCAAACGGGCTGCAAGAAAGCTTTGGAATTAGTCTGTAATCGTCTCAGATTGACATCATATATGCTCGGAAATCGTATACCTGAAGAAGAAGGTACACCATTCTACACCAGCTGGCTTGGATGGGTTAGTGGAAATATCGAGATGCTTGATAAGGATGGTCAGCTTGCTTTGGTTCCAAAGCGCAACACCGTAAAATGGGTTCAAGGTCGCCGTATGCTTGTACCTGTCGATCCGGATACATTACAACCTTTAGACCCTGAAGAACGCCGACTAGGTCATCCAGCTGAATCCGGCCCAGGTGGACGTGAAGTCAACACAACTATTGTCTACCTTCCGCCTGATTTTAAAACCAGAATCGCGATGTTTTTGTTTGCTCTCTGGATATCTATAGTTGTGGCTGCTTTTTCGTTTACATTAGGGCCTATAGCTCTCGGATACTTTGTGCTTATAAAATGCTTAAGGCTCAGTCATGATGACCGTAATGATGTGTACTCTTATTGCACCGGAGCTGTTGTTATCCTGGTACTCGGTGTCCTAGTAAGAAAGGCTATCTGTATCATCCATTCGCTGAGAAACCGGGAAAACCAGTCCAGTATCTTGGAGCTAATAAATTTAGCGATTTATGATACAGCTCGATGGGTAATTATCACAAATTCTGTTGCTTTATACCCTTATATATTTATTATGGTCTCTGACGGGCTTTTTGAATTTACAGGTTGTTAAGGTGTCTTTTCTTGGTTTAAATTGCTGCGTCATTTTCCCTATTCTGATAGGAATTATCCTCGAGCTTTATACTCATATTTATTGGACACCTATTGGGTCTATGGAATATAGAGTACCCCTTTTGACGTTAATGGAACGCGGTCTTGGATTGTTGGTTGTTGTAAAGCATATACACACTAAAGCGCCATACGAACCTTGGCAAAGAAACTGGAGTGCGGTAATATGACAAAAAATTTGGTTATTAAAGCCAAGGCCTTGTGTTAACAAATAAACTAAATGGTACATTTTAGATGCTTCCTACCGATGATGTCCGACACCTTGATATTTCATACGCTTTGAAACGAGTGTTTGGTCCATTGATCCTTATATGTGTTGCACTTATAGCAGTACCATTTTTTGCTGATGATTTGGCATCACGTTTGTTCGGTAAGTAATCGATAAAGCGAGATGCACCATTCTGTATCTTTGACTTCGTTAGATCTCCTATTTTTCCAACACAAAAATGCATGGCCCTTTTATTTATTTATTCCTATTGGCTTTTGATATTTAGGCTACACAAGGCAAGATAGCACAACTCAGTGGTCATATTCAATTTCTTTGATCTGCATTATCATGTTTTTTATCCTCCGGAAGATGGCTCAAGGTGTAATGGTCTGGATACGTTCTACAAGAGAAGATGTCTTTATGCTTAGAAGAGACTTGAACAACTTTGATGGAAATCAACAGGGGATTGGACACTAGTTAGCTCTATGCATTTTTGCATACATCTACTTTACTTACTTACCTTGCAATTTTACCCCTCGTTTAGATATCTGTGTATTGACTTATTGCATGCTTTGCACAGACTTATTTCAGAGGGCTTCCTCTTGTTGCTTTTGCTGTTTATTCTTTATTTTTATGTTTTATTTCTATTGCTGCCGCTGCCGCTGTCGCTGCCGCTGTTACTATTATTATTGATTTTTTTTGTTTCTGCTTTTGTGCTTACCATAGTATGCCTATACACTGCTAATAGATCACTTTGAGAGTCTTTTTTTTTAAATCTTTTTTATATTATTGTGAGTTTGAGAAGGTTGTATTATTAAGGATCGAGATCCGTCTTTTAAGATTAAGTATGGTATACAATATGGGCCTTGGACTTGTATATAAAAAGGTAAAAATATGGATTGAAGACTAGGTAGTAATTTATAAAGCTGGTATTTTCTAGTATAAAATACTATATAAAGAAACGTAGATTAATTAACTGTTATTTGAGAAAGGTAGATATAATCAATCGCATGCATTGACTAATCTACGTCATGTAGCATATAGTTTTAAGGAGCCAGCTCTGAGTCAATGCCGTTGTAATAGAGTTCTCGATGGTCTGTTTAGATCTGGTTATCTTTAAAAGACTGATCTTTGGCATAACACCCATCCGAGTCCCTTGGGTTCTCCTGCAGATTATTTGTCTTGGGTTTTAGATAGTTGTTTTGCGATTCTTCTCCGGAAAGAGTGTTTTCGGAATCGACAAAACAGTGATGTCTTGGGGATGAGAGTGTGAAAAAGCGCACTGTGAATAGACTGATGATATACTCGGGGGGTGACCAAGTGTGCATAAAGCAGAGGATAAATCGCATGTTGTAATCGAACAAGAGCATTGTCGAGAACATTTCATTGTCATTGCAAGCAAAAAACCAGACGTAGAGAATTCCATAAAATATATACCATGATCCTTGTATAGACATGTACCAAGTCTACGGAAATTACAAAATCTATTAGCTAGTGTACATATTAACATTACTTTTAATAACTCACGCCAACAGCTGTTGTTCTCGAATGACTCTCGGTAACTCGATTCTCTTTCCAATATAATAGAGGTGTAAATGTGTAGACAAAGGTCGAGAAGCTGCTAATTATTGAAAGCGTGAGACAGACCATGAACACGGGTCTGAGAGGGAATGATTCATTTCTAGCAAAAAGGACTGCAATTTGGCAAATTATACCCATAGTTGCAGTGAAAAGAGTAATATTTCCAACTGTCATCAGTGGACTCCACCAGTTAAAGCCATGAATATGAGTATGTCGACCAATATCAGCAACCATCCAGCAGTGCATTGTGAGCATCAACATTGTCGAGAATAGGTAAACGAATGAATTCCACTGATCCGTCGTTACTTTCAAATACGCCAGCGTATTGACTATGCTTCCAGGAATCGTAAATATACTGAAGATCGCGATGAAGACACGTATTTTTTTTGGATGTCGTATAACCTGATACGCTATTAGGCATGCTGCCACTAAGCAAAATACATTGCTAATCGCCAATCCAATAATTAGTTGGCTCATGATAAAGGCAAATAAAGAAAGCAGTTTTTGGTTTGAAGAAGTTTAAATAGAATCGATGTTGCCGTTGTTTAGGAACATGGGCAGCAGGGGGAATATGTATATATTAGGGCTGATCGCATATCCATATAATTTAGGATGCCAGAAATATCGAGATCATTTTAATTAATTGATGAATATTCTTAATATCAATAGGAAGAGATTGCTAGATGATCGAATACTACCAATTATTTTATAGTTAGTTCCAACCATAGACAATCTTGGTATATTGACAATAAAAAGAACTCTTCCGTATTTTTTATGGAAAATCAAACATTAATTCAACCAGGTCGAAACCCCTCTTAACTATCCAGCAATAATTATTTATGGCAAAAGGAAGGAAAGATACCAGAATATATATATATATATTGGGGTTTTTATATATATTCATGTCATTTTACAAAAAAAAAAGATCAATTCCTATTGACACTATTCTTGAAGAGGTACATGATACTCTTTTGAGTATATTGTGCTTAGGACTAAATACCTTGCCATTATTGAACTGATTGCTAGTATATCTCTATCTTGCTTACTTTACTTTCTATTTTATAAGACCCTAATGTTAGTAACTTGTATTATATATATATACGCATCCTGTACATATCCTGTATATACTTTGGATTATTAAGGAGTAGTTACAACATAGTACGAAACAAAGAATAGAATTTTTTGTACCTAGAATAACATGGTCATACAAGTAAATCTGTGGCGCTTTTACTATAATACAATAAAGAGAATTATTAACATATAGCCAAAAGTATACGATTATTAAAAACATAAGTGCATATAGGATACTATATACATTAAGCTAATTCATTATACTTTTTATTGTTCTTACGGCACATGCCTTTCGTTTATCTCCTTATAATAATGATTAGTCTAATTCAACTTATTTTATATATAATATTATTAGCCGTTAATTTTTAAAGGAAGGTAAAAGAAGATAAATAACCTGTATTTAACAAATGAAAAAAAGTTGGATTTCTTTTACAGCTTGTTGTGGATAAACAAGTATTATATTATTAAATAGTTCAACAGGTTTTGTCTTCTGTAGGCTGCTCTTTCTACTAATTTTTATAAATTTTAAAATAGGAGAAAATGTATTTTTTCCTTGTTGAGCTTTGGATGTTGTGAATAAAGTCTAGGGAATTTCATTCCTAATCTTTTTTTTTAGTTCTTCAAAAAATTATCCTCTACTTCAGAAGTTTGTACAATATAAAGATAAAGCTTTCATTTGGGATAGATAAAGAGATCTGATATTATATTTCACGCAATTTTCTTTAGGAGAGTAATAATATAGGTTACAAATATTCAATTTTCTCATTTGATACAATTGGTGCAGACAGACTAAAAGTTCAAAAAAAAGGTAAAAAAAAGCATACGTTTAAGTCATATTATTGGACGAATGTTTTAATTAATTTTGCCCTTTTTTTTGGGCATTCAAAAAAACAGGGCAAAGGGCAAAATTTTTAATCGACTCTAATTGGTTAGTCTTCTTCCATTGCCACTACGATTGAGAAGAAAAACATTTTTCTTTATGGAGACGATGTGCGATAGGATGAGAGATCTAGGAAACCTTGTAATAAAAAGGCTTCACTTAGTGTCAGAGACGGCATTATAAGCACAATCTTATCCAATATGTACTTACATTAATTTTGAACTGTTTTTTTTTTTTAAAAAGGTGTGGACAGTCATAAATTAGTCTGTCTACACCAATGGTGTATTTGTGACTAATCATTTTTTATGGCCAAGTCTAAATTTAGGGTGCAAACGACTGTTTTGGTACGAATATATTGTGTTTTTCAGGACACGCTATTTTACCCTGAGGGAATAGAGAAAGACACTAGGCCCTGGGCAGGTACTGGATGTAAATACATATAAAAAAAACTCTATTTACGGTGTTTCAAAGTTACCAATAAATACGTGAAAATAAACAGAACGGTGTTGACGACCTAAATTAATAGGATGCGACTTTGTTAACCTCACAGCCATGACACCATTTTACAAAGAGCTTAAACGCCTATTAGAGCCTTTAGAAAAAGGTTCTCTGCTTGAGATTCATGACATACCAACAATCCCAATTCCATGCAAAAAATTGACTGTGAATTCCAAAGGAGATTTCAAACAGACGCGACGATTGATCTTAATCACTACTCAATCTTTAGGCTGTCCTAAAGCCATCGTTTGTGGAATGGAAACGATTGAATACAGAGAATACCATCCAGAAGGCCGTATCGAGTCATCCATTTATATCAGCAAAGTAGACACTACTGGTTATCCTTCAATCAAAAATATCACAGCAATTATGATTCAAGCATATCTTATCAGTCTAGGACCTTGCAAAGTGTATGTCTTTGCTTGTGCTCAACCACAGTACTTGTTTAGGGACTCGGCCAATTATTGTGAGAAAAAAACAAAAACTTTGGGCGATAGAGCTCTAATTGGCTGGTGGCGTAATATATTGAGTCACCCTACTCTGTGGAATATCAACACACAAAACATATCCGAGAATGACTCAACTCTGAGCTCAATAAAGAAGACAAAGGGATGGTGGAGTATTCCCGGAGTAGACGACGAACGACAGGCTGTTCACGCAACAGGAAATCGATTGAAAAACATTCCTGGAGTTGTGTGGAAGTACGGCTACCCATACGATCCAAAAGCAAACATCAAAGATGTTATTCCGCTATTTGAAGATGATACCAAAGCGCGACTCTCAGCGGCGTTGTGCGAATCCAAAGGGGGCCGCGACAGTGAAGATACCATAAATGTCGAAGGATTTTGGGAGATTCTAGGTCATACAGAAGAATGTGGAGCTGGAAGGTTAACTGCATTCCTTGTACTGGATTTAACCAATAGAACAAAGCCTAAAGACAATACAACTGAAAAAATGATCATGCGAAAAAGTTTCACGCGTATTTGGAACACGATGATGGACCTCTTTTTTGATACAAAAGAAAATATCGAGAAGTCTACTAAGAAACTTGAGGCTACTATACTTGAATACAGACCTGCTGTTGAGCCTTACAAGATTCACACTTTAGGAGATCCGGTTGACAAAAGAGCTTCAAGTAGTGTAGATAAAAATAATACGGAAGTGAGAACATTGTCTTCCAATCTCATCAAGAAAAAAGCTGGAAGTACATCACCTGCGAATGGTTTGGAAAGTAGCTCGATCAAGACAAGTTCAGCTGAAAATACTCCTGTGGTAAATGTTTTGGGAAATAGCTTGATTAAACGAAAAACACCAGTAAGCGTTCCCGCGGTGAATGTCTTGAGATCTAGTCTCATCAAACGAAAGACGACCGAAAACACTCCTAAGGTGAATACACTGGAAGCTAATTCTATCAAGCGAAAGACAACAGGGGATATTCCTATGAGTACTGTTCTGGAGAACAACTTGCAGAAGCGCCTTAAAACCGAAGAATGAATCTCAAATACTTGTAACCACAAAAGCACTGATAATATACTTTATATTAAGTAGCTAGTGTATCCCTTTTTATACATTTACATTAATATTGATAGATAAAGCTTTGACTATTTAAAATGTATACTATATTTACCTGTACAAATAAAGACACACAATTCAATTTTGTAAATATTCAGTAAGATATTGGATGAGCAAGATCGAAAGAAGCAATTTTACAGAAAATGATCCTCTGATCTTTAAATCTTTAAAATGTCTATTTATAAAAGGCGTGCAAAAAAAATCGTTTAGTTGAAATGTCGGAATCTTAATATTTGACATTTTCTACAGTGTATATTTCAAATAAAAAAAAAACTATTGGGATAGTAAATTGAGTAAAGCATCATGAAAGACATCAACGTACAAACGCCACCAACAGCCCCTCGCAATAAAGCTACCCCACCTCAACAATCAGCATGTCATTTGTTATTTGATTATAAGCCAAGTTCAGATGGAATTGATCTCAACCTTTTGATTCTCCTTCATGGTTTAGGTGTGTACCATGACCTTTATCGCGATATTTTTTTATTTATTTATTTACGAATACGTATATATAGGCGACACCAAGACTCCATTTTCTGCTCTCGGACCTAAACTTAATTTAGCTCAAACAGCTACAATAGCTGTCCAGGCACCTCAGCCTGTACCTTACATGGAAGATAGCTATCAATGGTTTCCTAGCTTTGATTTTTTGACAGGCAATCGTATGTGTAGAAAATATTCCTTTTTTTAAAAAGAAAAGAAATGCTCACACATGTAGCCTATAGTTTTGCCGCCCTCAAATCCTGAAAGGATGAAGGGTATGTTACGGACACGCAAATGGATGGCAGAGCTTCTCCAACACATGGTTTCTGTGTGTGGGTTTGCTCCCTCGAACATCTTTTTCTTTGGATTTTCACAGGGTGGGAGTGTTGCATTGGACACTGTATTGTTTGGAGATATACCTAATCTTGGTGGAGTGGTTAGTATTAGCGGGTACCTTTTGGAAGAACAGGAGAAAGAGAAGAAAGTTGGGACTGGGTATGGTGGTTACATATTAGTGACCCAGGGCGAAAAGGATGGTTTGGTTGGAAGCAAAGCATCTGCTGAGAAAAAGGTACAGTTTATAAAGAATAGTAAGAAAAAGTCCTTTAAAGGTGTACTATTAACATACACACATCTGTTTTCAGTTCAAAGCTATTCAGCGATTCTGCTCCCCTTCAGCAGAGACATCACAGATTTTTATTACAAACAAGGACCACACCATGGCTCATTCAGAGGGTGAATGGCGTGTAATTCATACATTCTTTTCCAAGTACTTGGCTCGACGCAACATTCAATTGGAAAATATGTCCGATGTTTACCTCGTTAATCCTTAAAAGCTTATTCTGGCATCAAATATATATATATGGAAAATGATCTCGATCGCATTGGTTTGGTATCTGGATAAGGTACAAATCTATGAAAACTGTTTCTACATTTATAAAACTAGATATACGTAGTTCTTACTATCTAAAGTTCCGCATGAAAGTTTAAACGACAAAAAGAAGAGAACCCCTTTCCCAATTTATATGCTGACTATACTTGTCTCTTGTCCCAATTTGTAATTGTTCGGTTGGATATCTCTCTCAGTCCAACTATGCTATAGAGTACCGTATTGCTTATAGATTATCGTAAATTACTTAAAATATTATTTTATTACAATAATGTCTATTATTGTCTGTTTTCTGGTTTCATAGAGAATTCAGCTATTCTCTCTAGTGAGATAAGAATTAGGGAGGTTATTCATAAATGAAACGAGAACAAAAAAAATCGAAAAGAATGGTGGAAAGGTTCAAGCAAAGCTCTCTTACCCTCAAACTCCGCATATTTTGACCAACAAATCCAGTCACATCCATTCAATGGAAAACAATGTGAAGTGACAGGGCAGTGTTTTTTACTTCTCGAAACAAGCACTCATGTTCAGCCGCGCACAGCATCAACTGGGACGCTTTGGTAATTGTAGAAAACAACCTCTTCCCTTTCTAGTAGGAGAGAAAGCGTTTGGAGGCTGTCGAGACTGACGGCCTTATTTATTCATGTCAGCACCCCGTACGCTTGTATTGAAGCAGGATTTCCACGTCTCGGCTGTTGCCTGTGCTAAGAGACATCCCAAGCAGATCAAAAAAGAGAATTTGGCGAAACGTGCTGCCAAAGTTGCCGAGTTCGAACGCACCAAGCCATCTCACATCATTTCTCAATCAGCACCATTCTTCAACAAGCTCCATACACCCGCCAGTGCTTACGGTTCGAACACAGACTATCAGCATTTTTTGACAAATGAAGATCGTACCCATCTCTTTGAAACTGCACCAAAGGAGGCTGTTGAAGAAAGTCATTTGGCTGCTGTAGAGGGCATGGATGAGGCAATGAAGCACGAACAAATTAAAGTAGAAACTCTCCAGAAGATTATTGGTCTGCAGAACGGCAATGCTAAGGCTGTCCAGCTCTGGAACATTCAGCAAGCTGTTGACTGGTTCAAGAGAAAGGAAGGGGATACCGGTAGCCCCGAAGTTCAGGGTAGGACGAAGAATGAGATAAAAATTAATGAGAAAAAGACTAATAAAAATATATGTATATGTATATTTATTTATTTATTTTTAGCTGCTGTCTTGACTGTGCGTATCCACAACCTCAATTCTCATCTCCAACAACATCGTAAAGATGTGCACAACTACAAAGAATTGCGTACTATGGTTCACCAAAGAGCAAAAATCCTTAAGTATCTTAAAAACAAGGATCAGAATAGATACAACACATGCTTACTCGAGCTTGGCCTGGAGCGCAGAGCTGTTGAGGGTGAAATTACACTGTAAGAATGAAATAAAATCATACAAAAAATAAAAAAAAGAATGGAACGTATTTTCACTATGGTTATAAATCCAATTAAAAGTTTTGTTTGGATTCCAATTCAAAATTGTTTACTAATAAGTGAGATTTAACCATGAAAAGAAAAGGGTATTGTGTATGTATTGGGAAGTCGAGTTACCCAGACTAAGCTTTTTGACTCTGTACACTAATTCGTATTTTAGTATAAATTTAAAGTGCATTTAGAATGTACACACACATGAATGTCATCGCAGACATACATCCCCTCATTTAGCCATCGTCTATCATATTACTACAATAGCAAATATAACTCGCGCCACTTCATGTAAATGTCGGATGACAATATATAGATTTAATATCAACTGGTCTGGATTGCATTTGGCATGAGTTATAAATGTGACAAAGTGGTGAAGAGATAATTGGTTTTAAATAAAGGTAAAACTAATAAATCCAGGTATATTCGATAGCTTTCTTGGCATATATTAATAGTCCTGATTGATGTTCAAAATCCATCCTATATATCACTAGTTTATTCTAACTATGTATATATATATATATATATATATATTATGATATGTTTGGCGGGGAGTGTTTACCTGGTTTTGGGGTCAAATGTTAAATACTTGTGAGACGACACAATATCTAATATCAGGTTGTCAAGTCAAAAGAAAAATAAGTGTCATTTAAGGCACAGTCATGTATGAGTATTATGATCATTATTTTATTTATAGCCGTATTACAAGAAAAGCTCAAAAGTTGTAGCAAAATACAGTTTAGTTCAAGGCATAATCCTAAAAGAAAAAAGTATGTTTTGATCATCAAATTAGAAATATTTTGGAAATTTCCAATGTACGTAAAAGTATCGCTAAAACGGTAGTAAGAGAAAGAGAGAAAAACTTGTTGTTGTTATATAACTATCATAAACGTCCAATTATAAAACTAAAGTTATTTACTTAAGCTTTATATATTTGCCTTGAATTAGTTAATGTGGATAAATAAGTCTTATCATGAATACTCTATTTAAAATAGGGAAATGATACGTTTCATGTAACAGAAGGGCTTGGAATTGACCATGCATCGCCTCAATACTGCATTTTTGCTCTCCGCCTACTGCGTCATGTCACCCATCCCCTCGTGTACAACCTTTCATCTCTTGTTTCTTCTTCATCTGACTCCAATCCAGAACACAATACATAAAGAAGGATCATGGATACCCAACTAATCCGGACAGGTAAGCCTCCCATTTACTCATCGTTAACAAGAAGTACCTGGCAAAAATAGACCTAACCAAGAAAAAAATATGCTCTATTTCTTTCTTTAGTGAATAAACTTCAGGATGCCTTTTCTACTGTGGGCGTACACAATCCAGTCGACCTACCCCAGATTGCAGTCATTGGCTCCCAATCAAGCGGCAAGAGTTCAGTTCTCGAGAACATTGTCGGTAGAGATTTCCTTCCACGAGGAACTGGTATCGTCACTCGCCGACCTTTGGTAATTATTACCATTTCCCCCCTTTGTTTCTTCTCTCGCTTACTTAAGATATTATACATACATATATATATATTCGTAGATCCTCCAACTTATTAACCGCTCAAGCACCCACAAACCTTCTGCTGCCGAAAGTGCAAAAGATGGAGAAAAAGAAGAAGAGAGTCCAAAAGGAAATGACTATGAAAATCCTGACGAGTGGGGAGAGTTCCTTCATCTTCCAGGCCAGAAATTCTACAATTTTGATAAAATTAGAGAAGAAATTGTAAAGGATACAGAGCTGAAGACTGGCAAGAATCTTGGTAAGCTTAAATATTTCTTTATTAAGTTTAATAAAAAATATATGCTGGCTCATCCAAATAATTATTTAGGTATCTCACCACAGCCCATCAACCTTCGTATCTTTTCTCCAAATGTTCTTACTCTGACTCTCATCGATCTTCCTGGCCTGACAAAGGTAAACATTTTATATATAAATATATAAAATCAAATTGCATCGCATCGCACTCGGTCTAACAAAACATACTAGGTTCCTGTAGGAGATCAGCCCAAAGATATCGAGAAGCAGATTCGTGATATGCTTCTCAAATACATTACTAAACCCAATGCAATTATCCTAGCAGTAACTGCTGCTAATCAAGATCTCGCAAACTCTGATGGGTTGAAAATTGCTAGAGAAGTTGATCCCGAAGGATTGCGCACAATCGGTGTCTTGACTAAGGTTGATTTGATGGATCAGGGAACAGACGTAATTGATATATTGGCAGGAAGAGTGATTCCATTGAGATTAGGTAAAGAAAAATATAAGGCGGAGTAATGCAGTAGATGTTTTTTCTTCTTCTTGTGCTTATATATCAGGTTATTCATGTGTGTATTTGTGTGTATAGGTTATGTCCCTGTTGTTAATCGTGGTCAGAGAGATATTGAATCCAAGAAGGCGATCACAAAAGCATTGGACTCTGAAAGAGATTTCTTTGAAAATCATTCATCTTATCGAAGCAAGGCCCAGTACTGCGGTACACCTTTCCTTGCTCGCAAACTTAACATGGTTGGTCTTAGTATTACCCGTTCTCGCCGTGGATTTATTAATTTAATATTAATTAACATAATATAGATCCTTATGCACCACATTCGCAATACCCTCCCAGAGATTAAGGCCAAGATTCAATCTGCCTTGTCTAAATACCAGCAAGAACTTCTTCAATTGGGCGATCCTTTGGGTGATGGCACATCTAACCAAGCCAACCTTGTCCTTAATATAATTACCGAGTTCTGTACCGAGTTCCGAACTATTATTGATGGTAACTCCAACGATTTATCGAGCTTTGAGCTTTCAGGTGGTGCACGTATTAGTTTTGTATTTCATGAACTCTACGCAAACGGGGTCAAGAGTATTGATCCTCTTGAGCAGACAAAGGATGTGGATATTCGCACCATATTGTACAACTCATCGGTAAGTAATAAAGAAAGAAAAAACGTACATCAAAAATAACAGTCTTCTGGGTGGAATATTTACATGATATTGCGTTGCGCAGGGTTCATCACCTGCTTTATTTGTTGCCACCACAGCATTTGAAGTCATTATTAAGCAACAAATCAAACGTCTTGAAGAGCCAAGTGTAAAGTGTATCAACATGGTATATGATGAGCTTGTGAGGATATTGGGACAGCTCTTAAACAAGCAGGTTAGTGTTAATTGATGTTTGACATAAAAAAAGAAAGAAAAACAGATGTGTGTCTAGCACAAATGTCTTGTTACTTACCTTACTATACTATCCAGTTCTTTAAGAGATTCCCTACTTTGAAAGAAAAATTTTACCAGGTTGTACTAGCGTTCTTCAAAAAGGCAGTTGCACCTACAACAAAACTTGTGTCTGACCTTGTTGCGTATGTATTTATCTATCAGAAACTTTCATAAGAATGTCATGCCACAACAATTTATCTATTTCTCTGTTTATTTATTTATATCTATCTATTATTGTTATTATTATTTTAGAATGGAAGCATGCTACATTAACACAGCTCACCCTGAGTTCTTAAATGGTCACCAGGCCATCACGATTGTTAACGAACAACTTCGCCCCAAGCCGCAACAAGGACAATTGCAAAACGGTCCCGAATATCAAACCAAAGGCATGAAGAATCAGTCACTACTACAGCAGCAGCAACAGCAGCAGCAACAGCAGCAACAACAACAACAACAACAATTATCAGCACTCCAGACTAACAATGTCGGAACACCTGGATCAGAAAGTGAGAATGGGTCTTTCTTTGGAAGCTTCTTTTCTGGACCAAAAAAGACAAAGAAGGCTGGGCCTATGATGGAAGCTGTAAGTAATTAAAGCTGAATCGTTCAAGATACAATAAAATATAATTAATTCAGTGTATTATATATACTTATACTAATTTGCCCTTTATTTACAAACAGCCTCCTGCCACACTAAAGGCAACAGGTGCATTATCAGAACGCGAGTATATGGAGACTGAAGTTATTAGTAAGTTAATAGAATTTACATTATTTCTCATAACATTACTCACCAAATCTTTGAATAGAGCTATTGATCCAGTCTTACTACAACATTGTCAAGTGTAGCATGGTTGACATGGTTCCAAAGGCTATTATGCTTAATCTTGTCAGTCACTCAAAGGAAGAACTCCAAAGAGAACTCCTTTCTGAGCTTTACAAGGCCGATGTATTGGACGATCTTTTGCAGGAATCCGAGTTCACACAGCAGAGACGGAAAGAATGCAAGAAGATGATTGAGGTAAAATATATAAAAGTATCAAATCCTATTTTTTTTTTGAGAAAATCATTAAACTTTAGTTTTTTTTCTTGCAGGCACTGCAAAAGGCAGACGAGATCGTTGGATCTGTTTAAAGCGATATTTACTTGTTTTTTTTATATATATTTATTAAAAGAAAAAAGCGTCTTATTTTTATTCCCCACATTTCTATTAGCCAGAAAAGAACACAGAAATTAAAGTATAGGGAAGTCTAGAGCATAATAAATGTATCGCCAACTTCTATTACTTCTCTATATATTTCTATCTCTTGATACCAATATATGTATGCATTACTATTGAAGTATTTTATCACGATTTGGTACCAAAAAGTCAATATCTCGAATGTAAAATATGAAAACGCTATTATAATCCTTTTCTTTTCAGGATTGGTTATATTAGAGAAGGGGACAACGTAGGGAACTTTCATGACTGCTAAAAATGGAAAAAATTAAAACCAGCATTGGAATGCACGTCTCTGGTTAAAATAAGGGACGCCTTTGAGGACGTTATAGAAATCAAATTTATACTTCTTTCCTCTTCATTTATCTCATTTAACAGAAAAACGCCAAGTTTACTATCACTCCTGCTTTATACGGCTATTATTTGGGTCCTAAAAGCACTCGTATACCACTCCTAAGAATAGAGATACCTATAAGTACCTTCAGCTGACAGCTTTTTTTTTATAATACATGCAAGGAAGAGTTCCGGTTTACTCTTTCTGAGGTTGCTATTTTATTAAGCCATTGATTGATTCATTAGAAAAAAAGCATATAACAGATAGACTTTTAACTTTATATAAGCTAGATTATGTCGACTAATATTATTCTGTTGGAGTGGTAAAGTATAGAGCTTGAAAAGATCAGTTTTTTATTTTAGAGCCTTGATTTTTTAATGGATCAAGACTCCATTGATATATGATTAGTTTATAGCGTGTATATGCTACTAACTTCAATAGTTAAGTGATTACTTGAGAAAAATATATATTATCCTATTTGTCGGATCACTTTCAGGCTCCAGAGACATTGTTTTTGTGCTAGGGATATTCTGGCTGAATTTTCCCTAATTTACGGTCATTTCTGCCAGAATATCCCTAGAAGTGTCCCGGGGCAAAAGTAAAAATGGTAAAAGTCTGGGTAATGTAAACCCAGTAAAGTCCATCACCACGGCAGATTTTTTCGTGTAACAATTTTGTAATTCAGCCCGTGAGTTTATTTTACCATTTTGGGAATAGCTTTTTCATTGAAGTTTCAGGTCCGAAAGAATCGCAAAATTGATAAATGGGATCGCAAAAAAAAATTGGCTGGTAAAATACGATTTTATTTATTTTTATGGGTTGAAAATATTGGGGGTAGATAATTTTAGGCTTCCCATACCTACCCTGCAGTAGCTGCTACTGTAGGGTAGGTATGCTTGCACTAGCAGCTAGAAATATTTAATAGCTATTCTGAAAATGTTTCCAGAAACAAAAGCAAGTAGAATTTTGAAAAACCCAATTGCATGTTTGAAAGCAAAAACCATATTAATGCTTTTAAAATAAAAGCAAAGAAGCTATTGGAAGGACAAGTTTCAAATCCGAGCAAAAATGTCAAACCTGCAAAAAAAACAAAGGTCATTAGTACATGGACTTTTGATGAAGATTACTATGTTTTAGATGACTTACCACATATTAATTGAATCTAAAACAAAAACAAAAACAAAAAAAAACAAAGCAAAAAAGAAGAAGACATATGTTTATGTTAGTATGGATAAAATCAGTATACGAGCAAGATTCTTTACATACCTCTTTATGTCAAGAATTCACATGCCCTATTATACTTCAGTTAGATTTTATTAATCAGAACTCGTAATAGAATCACATCATTAGCAATACCTTTTAAGATCTTAATCATGTGAGAGGATCAGAGTTGATCTGTAGTATAATTAGCTAATGAGTAGCAAGAACATGTGCCATTTGTTGCCTGATCTTTAGAAAAATGAAAAAAATTATATGAAACAAAAAAAGGCACTCAATGTTTATTTTTTGTGTCAAGCTAAACTGTAACAAATTAATGAATTTCATTGGTTTTTGAAGACCATTATACGCTTATTACTGGTTACATGAATAACACTTTTCATTGGTTCCTGAAAGAAATCGACTTGTTGTTTCAAGATGCAGAAATAAATAAATATATGGTGGTCGTCTATACTCCTTTATCACGTTAGACAATACGTTGCATCACGAAAGCTCTGTGATGCAGCGTATTATTAATTACCCAAAAAATTCTAGGGTGGTAGTTTCTGCTCCCAAAGGACCAGGTCAACACAATTTTGCCTTTGACGATATTGGAAAGACCTGCTCACTTTGTGGAAAAGATTTCGATCGCGTATGGAATCTACGACGCCACCTTACCAAATATCATAAGTTAGCAACTCATATTGCTAACGATATTAGCCCTCAATATGCCAATAGAAACCTAGCGTCACAAAGACAGACCACAAACACTGCCGAGCTGACCACCCCTGATCACAATGACGATTCCGTTAATGAAGACCTACATGTTGAATCTGATTTGGAGGATGACGATAGCAGCGATGTTGATGACATGAACAGCAATGACAATGATAATGTTAGCAAGATTGAACTCGATGCCAGTGAAAGTATTATCGAGATGGATGAGGACACCAGCCCCTTTGAAAGTCCAAGTCCAGGCAACCACCTATACATGCATATAAGAAATAGTATGTTGTCTTCTGCATCCAATACCAGCTCATTGTTGAATGCAGATCTCGATTTACTGAGAGAAGCAACTGGATCGCATATGACATGGAACCAGTATACATCAGACACCCACCCGTTCCTGGATCTCCAGTCTATGGTACTGCTTGCCTTTGTTGATGGCAATAATGACATGGTATCTCGCAGGATCTTTTTTAAGATCCTGTTTACCATAAGTCTTGTCCTTAAGCTTTATGAGGAAGCTATCCGAAAGAAGTCCCCATTCAAGTTACCTCGTTTGGATGCCCTCTTGAACTATCAGACCAGGAAAAAGTCTAAGATTCCTGTATTTCCATTCACAAAAGTCGATATCCAGTTGCCAGAAAACAATACCACGTCTGCTTATATCAACTTGCCTTCAGACCACGTCCGGTTTCTTGCTGCCAACCCCAAGAAAGCAAGAAACATGTTTTCTCTCCCTGACCGCACTCCTAACCAGTCCATTTGTCTACAACAAGGCGAAAAGTGAAGAACACATTGGTACTATCAACAGCCTATGTTCACCCACAATGGCATAGATTTTTGGTCTGGTGATATTGTTAACTTTATGAATGGTTCTACTCCAGCCCGTTTCCTAGTAGAATCATTCCATACCATGGATAACTCAGCCGTTTTTGTTCAAGGCTACATGGTTTATATTCTGGAAGGCGGTCAGTTCATTGGCATCAAAGTTGAATCTACTAGCATAAAGCTTGAAACTCTTCTCAGTATTGACTCAACCCCTGTTGATGTTGCCCTATGCTACAGCATCTCACCTGGGAAAGTCTTTCATTTGATTCCCAGACACAAGTCCTTGCTGGAAGAGCCTCATTTCTTAAAACGGCACATACTAGACGAAACCGGAAAGCTGATCGATCCAAAGTTGTTTTACAAGGTGAGGATATCGCCCATTATACTCTTCACCGATGACACCTCTGGAAACCGATCAAAGCAATATAACCCGTACGAAAGCTGGTCAATGAAGTTTGCTGCTCTCTCCTACAAAGAGAGGTCTTCAATTGAAAACATTCACTTTCTCTCTGCTATTCCCAAGAAAAAGGGGGCAAGTGGGATGTCCTTGTTGCCTAAAATCGTTGAAGATTTCAAAAGGCTCAAAAACGGACTGGTGATGTTCTCTGCCAAAGACAACGAAAACGTCTTAGTAGCATTACCACTCCTTTGGATCAAGACAGACACTCCATGCCATTCTGAACTATGTGGTTTGCGCGCACCAACAAGTCTGTACCCATACCACAAATGTTATGTCCGTTTACAAAGATCCATGCCCAACCTCCAAAGCTCTTCGTATTATACTGGTAGACACACAGCAAGAACAAAGGCACACTATCTTGCTGCTGTGTCTACCTCGGGATGTGGATCGACTATTCCAGATGCTCCTTTGACTGGAAATGCTCTGACAGCAAGTGATCTATGCTTTGCAAATAGGGCAACAGATGCATTGTTGGAACTACAGTCATTCGATCCATCGACAGATACTCCAGTTGAAGTTCTGCATAACATACTTCTTGGAGTTTCTAAGTATCTAGTCAATGATTTGGTAAATGTTGTACTAAGAAAAAATCCTAACCAAATGGCTAGATTGTCCAAAGCCCTCAAGGATTATGAAAACTCTCAAGGAATGTCAAGAAAGTTCACTCGAGAGTTACGACACTGTGGCTCATGCCTTGGGAGGGATTACAAAGTTCTTCTGCAAATTCTACCTGCTATCTTAGTTACAGAATTTGCAAATGATAGTATACTCTCTCTCATAACTCCATCTTTTGTCCGTCTTGGCCGTCTTTGCTCCTTGGTGTTTGTTAGAGCAGTAAGGTATGATTATAATATGTACATCGACGAAGTTGAAAAGGCAGTTACAAGCCTTATCCAAGAACTGCATCATTATGTCATTACCTGTGAAATCGAAGGACATAATCCATATTCCTCGAAGCCCAAGGTTCACCTGCTCACACATCTGCCTGACAATCTACGAAGATTTGGAACTGCTCTACACTACGAGACCAAAAAAGGTGAGCAGTTTAACAAACACATCCGTGAACACCTAATGCATATCAATAGGTTAAACACCTCAAGAGATGTATGTCTCAAGTTCGCCAAGCAATCTGCAATGAGACGCATTATTGATGGTGGTTCATGGGTGAGCAAAGACAAAATGAGAGAGAAGTATGGTAATTCCACGGCAGAATTTCTTAAAGAAAACTTTAACAACAATGTTAAGAATATCATGTTTGGTGGATCAAGAGACTTTGCTGATAATAATGACACTGATGACATTACAGCAAAAGCACTCTGTGACAATACCTTTGCGGTTTTCATGCTCAAGGAGAGTAGAGACCAACATGCCCATCCATTTATTGGAAAGGTCTCCTCTTTGAGAGTAGAACACTATCGAGTTGAGAGTAGTCCCCACGCTCAAGTTAACAACTACCTCCTCGTGCAAAGAGTTTCCAATGATGCATCTACTCCACTCGATCAGCTGAAGATTGTATGTAAGCTTGATATGCACACAGAATTTAACAACAAGCTTGTCATCAATCTCAGTAAATTTGGCTCCTACTGGTTCTTTGTTTCCTTGTTTTTGAATCGACAGTATTGATTTTTTTTTTATCTTTATTAATAAAAAAAAATTATTCAATAAAAAAAAATTGTGATTTTCACCAAGTCATTTTTTGGTTTTGCCAAAATATTGAGAGGGTCCATTTATGGATACTTGCCCTTTTAAAATTGCCTTATGTAGTTGACAAGTCTCATAAAATGGGTCAAATTCGATATCCCAATTAATCTGGGTTATATAGACCAATCAAAATGTATGTGAGTAACACTACGGGAAAAAAAGTGGGGATTCCGCTGGGGATTCAGCTGGAGATTCAGCTTGGGATTGAGCTGGCAATTCTCGCAAATCGCAGTGGAATCTCTAGTTCCCTTTTAAGTAATATATATTAATCGCTGTTAGTTTATTGATGTTAGCTTTTATTCATATCCCGCTATATTTACCCATCTGCTATACCCTTATTTTAATTGGTAGTAAAAGAATAGAAAAAGGTTTCTATTGGTGTGAATGAAAGAAAAAAGTTTTTTAATTGGTAATAAAATATTATTTTGGTTTTTATAATTATTTTAATTGGATAAAATATATTCTATCATAGTATATGCTTAAATTGTATTGGTCATTTCAACAAAAACATTCTCTTAAATGGCTCTCATTTATATATATTCGGATTTGTTCACAGTTTTAATTGGGCAAAAAAGTTTTATTTCATAGAGGATTTTTATTTAAAAATGTTTTTATTGGTTGTTATAAAAAGAACAATTCTTTATTAATTAATTGTATTGGCTAAATATCATTTGAATAATTTCATATTTTCATATTTAGTATACAGTTTATTATACCTACCTGATATGAACTTACCAGAGAGGTGTTGCTTTCTACGACTTCTCCATAACTGACTAACCTTTGTGATTGATGCCCAGTTTTTATGACATCTGGTGAAATCAATTCCATAATTCTTGAGCGCGTGTGAATGACTGACACACATTCTGGTCCGGTCCTCTTGAGGGATAGATGTCCAGCTTGGATTGGGCCTGAGAATCTGAACAGACGAAAGAGCAGCAAGCTGATCACAAATATGCTTGGTGCGAGTGTTGATAGCCCCCTTGACTTCTGCGGTTGGACTTATTCCTAGGTCTTGCTCAATCATCTGTAATACATAATTGGAATTTATATTACAGATGTTTGATACTGGTCTTGGGATAGAGTCAGTAGATATCTATTGTAGCTGATATTAATTGACAAGGCTTTAATTATTATAGTATTTACTTACATTGACAGAAGCTACAATAGTATTATCTGGAGTTCTCGATCTTTCAATTCATTGTGAAGACTTGTTATTTCGAGTTGCATTGCATCTTGTTTTTTCTCCAATGCTTCTTGACCATTCTTTAGAGAAATAAGCGCGTCTTGAATGCCTTGAAGCAACTAAATCACTGAATTATCTATATTATTCATAATAGTAAAAAAAAAGTAATGAGTTTGTTATAGAAAAAGAAAGAAAGAGGAACAATTTTCCCTAAAACTATTATTAGTTTCAAATCGTTAGCTCCAAATTATTAGTTTCAAATTACTTGTCCAAATCTATTGGCTACTCTTGAAGAATTATTGATCTAGTAATTTTAGAATGATGGCATAGAGTTACCCCTTTAAGATTACGAGCGTATATTCGAATTATTCATGTCATTATTACATTGATATAATTAAGTATAAACATATTCATTCAGAAAGCAATTACTTCTACAATCACTTATATAACAAAAGTTCTTTTTACTTTTTTTACTTACTTCAAAATATGGTTTGAATCACAAAGATCTCCCCTCACGAATGCAGTCCCTGTCATTTGCCTTACAATAGCTCTTCAAATGCTACCAAATGTCGAAATAGATGTCTTAAAAAGCTGGTAGATGCAGCTATCAATGGATCTTTCATCCAAGACGTTTCTCTCCCTGTTGAAATCCAGTCTATGCCAGCACCAGCCCCAAGCTTGATAGTTGAGTAAGCTTATTAAAAACTAAAATACAAAAAGATAGATAATATATTGATTATCTGGATACTTTGGTAAACAAACAGTGGAGACATTAATATGATCAGTGATGAAAATATGGATATCGTCGACAGAACTGAAAATGATGAGCCCATGGTAAGTTATAGATATATATAGTATAAAGTCATTATACTGATTACTATTTACCTTATTAAAGTATGATGCCAATATGGAACATGATAATACCATGGAGAAATCAACTGCCATGGAAGAAATTGAAGATGCAACCGCACCTTTGGTGTTTGACTTCAGCCAACCTCTTCCCACTCCCAGTGCCAATGATGCAAAGAACCTGGAATTTATTCAAATCGTCAAGGAGTTTGGCATTTCTCGTAATGCCCATGAAAAGATTGCCAGCCACTTCAACGAGATCCTTGCTAGCTCTACAAGCACATATAGAGCATGCACACCTTACCTCGGTCAAGAGCTTTTGAAGCGTTTCTCCAGAATAGAGGAGAAGAAATATGACGTTTGCTGCAATGGCTGTATGTTGTTTGATGCAAATAAAACCGAGTGCTCGCATTGTGGTGAAGATCGCTACAAGAGTGCCCAAGACAATGGTACGTTGGTTCCTGCAAGAACCATGGTTCAACTTCCTCTAGGCAGACAACTTGCTCTCTGTTTGGCCAATGATAGCACCAGAACAGAGATGCGCTACCATTACCATTACGAGCCAAGTCAAGATGGCACAAAGACTGATGTATTCGATGGTCAGGCCTACCAGTCTAAGAAGCATCTCTTCTAGGGAAGTGATGACATTGAAATTTCGCTGTCTGTGAATGGGTTTGCTCCTCACAATGTTCCTGGATCAGTAACAATTGTCCATGCCACCATCTTGAACTTGAATCCAATGATCCGGTACAAAAGAAAAATAATGGTCCAGCTTGCCATGATTCCTGGGCCAAAGGCACCCACTGACTTCTGGTCATTTATGAGACCAATCGTCAGAGATCTCCATGTGTTGCAGTCCAAAGGAATGATTGTCAAAACAGCCACGGAAACCATCAAGGCCAAGGTCCACGTGTTAATGGCAACAGGTGATATCCCAGCTCTAGCAAAGCTAGCATGTCATGTTGGTCACATGAGCAAAGATGGCTGCAGAATCTGCCATGTTGTTGGTCAATCTCCTGGCCACGGTCAGTATTTCCGTATGTCACCAGTCACTGCCCTATGTACACTGGGGAGCTTTCATGATTTCTGTGAGGCAGACGAGTCCAGCCGAAGAGGACTTACAGGACAATCACCACTGGCAACATTGGATGCATTTTCCGGGCCATATTTCTTCGCCTTGGATGAAATGCACGGTATCTGCCATGGTGTAGCAAAACAGGTCTGGGGGCTCGTCACTGGCAAGTACAGAAAAAAACATCCGCTTGTTCTCTCTGTTGGAGTCCAGAAAGAGATAGGTGCAGCAATGTCATCAACAAGGAAAACGATCTCTACATCGTTTCATGGTGCTTGGAGAGACGTATCAAAGAATGCAGGATACCTTAAGGCAGTAGACAGGGCAGACTTCCTTCTGTTCGTTGTTCCGACTCTAGTAGCAGAGCGGATAAGAAATATACCTGCACGGAAGGCATTGCTTGGTCTTGTACAAGTGTGCAATTTACTCATGAGCTGGGAGTTATCAGCAGAAGAACAAGCCTCAATAAAAAGGTATATTAAATATCATTATTTGTTATTCTTTTTTAAAAATATATACTAACTTCTATCTTAGAGAACTTGTTGAATGGAACGTGTACCTTGAGACTCTGCTTGCCAAGGACAAGGTTGATCTTAAGGTTTTCACCATTAACCAGCACCTCTTACAACACTACCCAGATATGATCAAAGCATTTGGCCCGCCAAGATCATACAGTGCTAGATCAGTAGAAAGAGCAATTGGCAAGTACTCTCATGCCATTAAAAGTAACTCTGCCATCGGAACCAACACTGGCAATATAATGCTTGGCTTGGCACAGACCAGACAGGTAGAGCGCACAAAGGCATATATAGCAGCAAGACTGCGAGCAGCAAGACTTCTTGCATACAAAGATTCCTCTGCTGGTTGGCTGATGACGGGTGAAGGTGAACATGTTGGTGCTGGGTCTGATATTGAGTTCTGGGGGCCTTTGAGAAATAGAACGATTTGAGATAGTTTTGAAGGCATTTCATGTCTTTCAAAACTTCTTGAAGACTTTTATGAATCAAAGGGGGAAGAGTGTAGCATGATTGAAGCAGCTATACAAACTAGCTGCAAGGCATCTGTCAATGGTTGTGTGATTGAATCTGCACTCGACCAAAATTGTGTAAGGGAGGCACATAACATCAGATTACAGATTCAGGTTGATGAGAACCGCAACATTGGGCAGAGCTACTCTCCAATCTATAAGGATTTCTTTGGAAAGGTTGTCGTTTTTCTTTGAGCACAAGCTCAACAACAAGAGTTGGCCACTTGCTCTTGTCCAGGTATATGCCATCTATGAAACGAATGGAATTCCTGTCGTGACAAATGTACCTGCGAAGCCAAAGGTTGTTCATCTGGCTGATGTAAAAGAGCTGGTTGGCTTGGTGGTGTCTACAGCCACTAATGGATGGTATATTGTCTGGCTGGAACTGAACCGTGGGCCAAAATTATTGCTTGGTTGTCATGCAGACATATAATTTGTTTTTTTTGTGTAATACATTTTTTTTCGAATTGTCTTAACTTTTTGCTGGGAGGATAAAATATGTTTAGATATTTTTCTCTCTTTTACCTCTGACTTTTAATAGTCATCAGTTGCAATCTACATCTACTAAAAATGTAAAATCTGTAGTTAAAATGTACTTTTGTCTATCAGGAGATTTAATTTTCAGTGTTCAATTTGCCTTTTGTCAACCTTTTCAAAAAACAGAGACTTTCTTGTTTCATTTTGAATTTTTGATGATTTTTTAATTATTATAGACCGAAAAGAAAGCCACAAATTCGAAAATCCCGAGTTTTTTCCCATAGTGTAAAATATTTCCAAATTTGATATCGAAAATCTCCTGTGGTGATAGAGACAATATTTGCAAATTTTCCCTGAGTTGTCCCCTTCTCTATTGAAAATCTTGGGATTTTATATTATATAATAATCAAAAATAACTATAAGAACACTTTAATAAAAAATAAAAAAAAATAAAAACACTCTGTATCTTATATAAAAGCTCTGATACAAATAATACACTTGTGCTGAATAAATCACAGTCAGATTCCTTGATTTCTAGTCCTGAATTAACTACATATCAGCTTCTTTACATTATATCTTCTAAGAGAATCTCCAGCAGTATCTAAACCCAAATACTAAATACCCAAATTAGAAAACTGGTGTTTAGATTTTCCAAAAAAAACGTCTCCAGCAGTTTCTAAACAAAAATCTAAATATCCAAATCCGGAATTTAGATCTAAACTTTTTGAATCAAAATCTAAACTTCTGTAGATTTTCTCAGAATTTGTTTAGATTCTATCATTTACTAAATTTCTATTTTTTATATTGTGACTTTGAATTGTCCATTTTAAATCTCAGCTTTTAGGAAAAACCTCACCAAAATCATCAGCTCTTTAGAATCTGTGTTAAGAAACTGCTGGAGGGACCTTGATATTCTTCATACTAAATTGCTTTATTTGTACTAGCGCGGGAAATCCTAATTTGGATATTTAGTATTTGGGTTTAGATACTGCTGGAGATGCTCTAAAGAACTCGACTGAATAAAGTGAAACTTCATTTTATTATAGATATAAGTATATATATTATAGAAATAAAAAAATAAGATAGGGCCTAATATGTGGTGTGGTCACCACAAGCTTTTATAACTTCTTGAACTCTATCCAGCATACTTGCTGCAAGAGTACAACGAAGTCCTGGGTCAAGTCTCTCCCGCTCCTGAAAAACACAAGCCTTGAGCTCTTCAATATTGTTTATAGAGGCCTTTCTCTCTTGAACATTGACCTTTAAGGCATGCCAGACGCGCTCGATGGGGCTCAAATCTGGACTTTGTGATGGCCAGTAGTCAAAACGTTTAATTTCCCAACGGTTTTTCCACCACATTGTATAAGATCCAGTATGGCAACTAGCACCGCCTTCTTGGAATGTAAACATAGTGTCCTGTTCATCATTTAATTTCTTATATCAGAAATGGAAGTCCTTAAACAAACAATTAACATACGTGTCTTGGTCTACTGACCCTTCGAAAAACAATAATGGTCCAAGACCACCAGTCCAGAAACAACCTCACACCATCACGGAACCCTTTCCATACTTCTCTGTTGTTAGTGTATGACGCTCCTGGTATCTCTCCTTTCGTTTACGAATTACAGCTGAGTCAGAATCATTGCCCTTCAACGTAAACCTCAACTCATCTGACCACAACACCCTACTCCAGTCCTCAATCCCAAAGCTGGCTTTAGCTTTGACCCACTACAACCGATTCTTCTTCTGTTTACTGGTTAAGTTTGGCTTAGAAACAGGGGTTTAAGGAACGAAGCCTTTGGACTTAACGTATTGGATAACCGTGTCTCTACAGATGATGACACTAGCAGCTACCATATTTCTTTGACGATATGCCTAACTCTCGAAAGGGTTACGCCTCACGCTCAAACAAAGGCTTGTAACATTCGTGACACTAAGTCTCTTAGATCTCCCAGGTCTGGTCTTTAGTTTTGCAGTACTAGTTTCTTCCCAACGTTTGATAGTAGTGTTAATTGTTGTTCTAGGGATACCCATGTGGTTTGCGATCTCGATTGAGATATATTTGGTTTTATATAGCCAAATAATGCCACCACACTCAAACTCTGACAATTTACATGTTTTTGAAGGACTTCTGGTTCTTTTATTTCTTGATGACATAAGTGTTTTAGTTTTAAGAGAAGGTTCTGCAAAAGGAAAAGAAATATGGTGTGCTCTAAAAAGAGGTGTATTTCTGAGGAAGTGACAATGTTTTATCTTGTCAGAGTATATAATTAAAAGATATAAAACAAAGGAGGTCCTTGTAGAAAATAATGTTTTTGAAGACTCTAATGAACTAATATTATGTTTATTGTACTGTTTTAGATTATTCTCTATTAAAAATAGGTACACTACAAGAACAATGCGGAGATACAGAGAGTAGACTTGAATATTATTATGAAAATCGTCTTAATCTCTTCTTTTCTTTCCTGTAATAATATAATATATTAGCTAATATTGTATAAGACATTCAAGCAATTCATTACATAAAAAACAGTTGGTAATATTTACATTACAATTAAGTAAAACAATGACTATACAGTCCAAAATGTATCTCGCATTTGCTAATGCACTTGACAGATTTGGATATCAGAAAATTATAAAAAAAACACTATCAATCAATCAATAATAGCTAATCATTAACAAAGAAAATATATAACCTATGAAGCAAACTATCTATATATTAACAGCTATGCTTTTTATCTGTATATAATGAAACCCTCTAATATTATATATTGCTCTCACATTATATATAATGAGTGATAATACTCCATTTTGACTTGACTTCCAAAAGCTTCATTTTACTATACACAAAACTTGGTATGGCTTTATTTTACAAATACATTATTATTGGAAATTACTTACACAGTAACTTGACATAAATATGTACAGCTTACCCCACATAGTTTTCTGGAAATTGATTAAATAAGTCTGAGAAAAAATATATGTATCTTGCTGGCAAAAGATTACATTGAAAGTATATCAGATCTAAGCTATAGACAGCGAGATATAATATGTTTTAATATTATTTGTAACAGTTTCATCCACACTATATAGTTACAGATCATTTATCATCGCTTTTCCTTTTTCAATCGTTCTCTCTTATAAATCTAATACAAGTTGAAATATATACATATATACATATCACCATTTTCTTATAACATCACATTATTATTTTTCTTTTGCTAATACATTAAATATATGACAGATAACATATATATTAACATAATTAAAAATATGTTTGCTATTATGTTTAATAGACATAGTCCTATCTCGGCCCATACACATCTTCCTATAATTACGCCCAATGCAATTGAATCAAAAAGCACCGAAAATTATACACCAAAAAAGCTAGAGCCTACAGAAAAATATTACCGAGTCACATTAAAAGGGACGGTATTCATAGCTAAAAGTAACTCTTAAACTAAATATATATAAGCTGTTACTGTATTTTAGATACAATATCACATATATATATATGAGCTGGCATCATATTTTGGGCTCACTATCATATATATTTGTTTTCTTTAATCCACCACACACACATACGCACACTCACCCAATTGTCTACCAATATATTGGCTGAACTGGTACAAAATATACTTGATTGTATGTTCCTTTTATATTTTCTTACAAACTAAGGATTATAATCCATAATTCGGACAGAATGCACTTTTTTGTAAACTGTTATTACCAATTGGTTGCGCAGGCGGTTTTTGTGTATCAATAAGCTAAAATAACATAGCAGAATCAATTGACAGGGATACTGTTCCCCATACATAGACTTAAAAACCGCCTAGTTCTCACTTACAATCGCTCAGACAGGATGATATATTAAAGTGGCCTTCACTGCGCCATAATCATAACAAAAAAAACTTTTTTTTACAGTGGCTTGCATCCTCCTTCTACATTCCCCTATCCATCCATTCCGTCATCCTTTTTGAGAATATTCATTCCTTTTGGGAATCGTCATTCATATAATATTACATCTCATAGTAGACAGAAGTCGGCCCAGTATAAAAATAAAACATATGTATGATTAATAAAAATTACAATTTCAGTTAACCAATAAAAACCGAATATGTTATATCAGCAATATGGTCCTGTCCGGATCGGCCGCCTATTGAGCTCGATCTGGACTGAAGGGATATTTCCAACAATCTTGGGCCGTCGGAATCCAGAAGATAATAATATCGTAAAAACATATATGCTAGTAATAATAGTTTTGCTTTCTTATAAATATATAGCTTGTATCATACCTCTCTCAAATAATTCCAAAATTATTCATATATCCTGTCTCCTCAAGATTCTAATTAAAATTAGATTGGGTTTAATCTATAGATAATAATACAAGATATATTGGAATATACTTCTATAGCCGATTTTTATTCCATGGTATATATTTACAAATCATTCACAATCGCATTGTTATTTATATTTTTGTTAATACTTTTAATGCATGATAGAAGCTATATATAATAATATAATTTAAACTATGTTTTCTAGTATGTTTCATAAATAACACACTATCCAGATCCATACACATTCTTCTATAATTATACTTAATGAAATTGGATCAAAAAGCATCAAACATTTTACACCAAAAAAGCAAGAGCCTACAGAAAAATATTACCAAGTCAAAATGAAAAGGGTGATATTCATAAACCAAAAGTAACTTTCGAACTAAATATGTATAAACTGTTGTCATGTTTTGGATATATTATCTTATATATGTTGTTATTATTATTCAACACACTGGCACACACCAGAAGCTACTCCCGAACTATATACATATATGAGCCTCTATCATATTTTGGATATACTATCTTGTATATTTTATTATTATTATTCAACACACAGACACACACCAAAAGCTACTCCCGAAATATATATATATACGAGCCTCTATCATATTTTGGATACACTATCATATATATTTATTTTCCTTTTATTCAATATACGGTTACGCACCAGAAGCTACTCCCAAACTATATATATATAACCTGCTATCATATTTTGGGCTTACTATCATATATTTTTCTTTTCTTTTATCCAACACACGCACATACGCACAAATGCACACTCGCCCAATTGTCCACCAATACAATTGCTGCACTGATACAAATTATACATATTGTCTATTTCTTTTTGTGTCTTTTTACAACCTAAGGATTCTACTCAATAATTCGGACAGAATGCACTTTTTTGTAAATTGGTATTACCAATTGGTTGCGCAGACAGCTTTGTGTATCCCTAAGCTAAAAGAACATAGCAGGGTCCATTGACAGGGATACTGTTACCCATACATAGATTTAAAGACCGTCTAGTGTTCACTTATAATCGCCCAGAGAGGACGGTATATTAAAGTGGTCTTCACTGCGCCGTAACCAAAATAAAATAAAAATTCTATTTAACGATGGCGTGAATCCTCTTCCTATGTTCCCTCCATCCCGCCATCCCACCATCCCGCCATCAACTTTACAAAACTACCAGAATCGCCACCACCAACAATATTATTCTTTTATTTTATAATCACTGAAAAATAAAAATCGAAATAATGGCCATATAATAAAACCTCAACACTCGGAAGTCATATACAATATTTCTCTATACCTAAAGTGTTATATGTCACCATTCTCAGAGCTGACCTTCAACTCTCCAAGTCATATAGTATTCATACCACCATAATTCCAACACCTTCTTCGATCCCAATGACGCCATTCAATTCCGTCCCATCCCATCTAATTCCATCCCATCGGACATAATTTTCAAAGCTCACGCCTTTCAGTATACTTTTATGCGACTGGGTCTAGACCAAGCGGACGCCACCTAACAAAAAGTCTCGCGATGTTAATCTCTCGTCATTAGCATGCGCCATGAATGTCAAAACTTTGTCACACTGACTACTCACACGGACCACCCACACGGACCACCCACACGGACCACCCACACGGACCACCCACTCACACCGCCCACTTCTCGCCCATATAAAAAATACACTACTATTAAAACTTGATATTTTTAAATAAAAAATAAACTCATATTATTGTTCTCACGCATTGTTTTATTCAGTTTTCTTCTAATAATAAAGTGTTTCTCTCAATCATTTGTAAAGCAGACATTGTATTTATGGGCAGACAAAAATGGTTTAAAAAAAAATTTTATTAATATTCAAATATATCGTCAGAATCTTAGTTCACCACCTATAAAGGCGGATCCATCCTCCACAGGGCGTAGACCTGTCCTGACTTCGTGGAAGAGAACGGAGTGGGGAGGAGATCGGGAACGCTGGGGTGTGAGGCTAGCTATGGGCTTAAAAAATAAAAGGTGAACAGGGAACGAAACTATCAATCTAAGCTAAGCTAAAGGGATAAACGAAAGCTATATCTAAAGACTACCCACTACGTAAACTAACTAGAGAGGGGAAACTAAACTACCCCACACCCACCACACCCACCACACCCACCACACCCACCACACCCACCACACCCCCCCATCCACACCACACCAACACCCATCCATCCGACACGCCGCTGATTCACATAGAAAAAAGGTCAAGATTAGTATATCTATAGACTATACTACTCCCTCAACACAAATGAAAAGGAAATAATAGACTTACCATGCACAAGAGGAAAACAGAGATGGTCTGGCTGGCACTCTTACTAAATAACTGTGAAAAAATTTTATGCTTTCGTCATTAGATGATGACATAGCAGCATGCATAGAAAATTGTAGATCAATGGATTGATTGCTCTGATTAGAAGCAATATAAAGACTTTCATTTTAAAAACCCGAATTTCTTATATGGCTACCCATTTTCGTGAATTGATTTTATATAAAAATTTACTTGACACATATGTTATATATTAATATATTATTTCTTAAAAGAAAGGTTGTAAAACTGTACCACTTTAGTTGGAATATGAAAG